GCTGGATGTACTCTTGGGCGTAGGTCCCAGAGCCTGTCTGGAGCTCGAGTCCCGCAGGCGGCATGGCTGCACTTCCGACTCTGCTGATAGAAACCATGACGGATAAAACTGTTAAACTGTTTTTCCATTCCTGGAGCAGGAAAGATTCCGTGCCCAGGGCAGGGCCCGCTCCAATTCAAATCCAGAGGAAACGAAGCAGGCAGATCCGACAAGCTATTCAGAACAAGCTTTTTGATGAATTTCAAGTATAAGACCAACGCGACACTCGGCAAGAGAAAGCTTGGCGGGAATCGGCCGGAATTCTCTCACGAATCCGGGCAAGGCCACCGCTTCGCTGGCAGGAGTAGCCCAGTCTTGGTTGGATGAAAAGCGTACCTCGCATGACCGAATCAACAAACATCTCAACAGCAATGAATGTTAAGAGCGATCGCAACGGTCAATACGATCATTGTGGCATGACAAAAAAGGGAAAGCAACCAAAGAAAAGCAAAGACGATGCTATGCAACACTGACAGCAGCAAAAAGAAGAAAAAGAAAAGGCAGCTGGGCTTGCCCAGGCAAGTGTTACTCTTTCTCAGACTCATCCGTCCTACTCGCATCACAGCAACAAGCCCAACTACTGGCCCAACTGCTACTTCTGCTGCCATCTGCTGCCTCCGCCAGTACTTCTACTTATTGCTTGCGACTGTTTGTCTAATGCTATTCGCTACCTACCAGCAGCTAGTTGCTGACTACGAACTCAACGAACAACCACTACCACTGCCATCACACTGCGACGACAACGGCGACGGCAGCCAAGAAAACTACGACTCCTACCACTACGACGATGACGACTGCTGCTGCCGCTGCTACCACTACCACCACCACCACCACCAACACCGCCACTGCGCCTGCGGCTGCTTCCCTCGTCCTAAGCACCTGTCACGGCTACCCTGCGAAACTGCTCCTGCCACTGCTCCTCCTACTGAAGCTCACCACTGCTGCATGACTGGTGCAGTCAATTGCCTTGTCTTCCCACGTAGGACTCGCACCAGCCCAAATCAATCATCCTCATCCTCGGTTGAAGCCGCAACAGCAAACTCTGCCACCGACCCTTCCACAATGATACTGCCCCCGTTGCAAATGGAACTGCACCTATCTGCAACCAAGTGTCTGCGTGACTGTGACTGGGGCATACACAAGACACGGTTCAAGTGATGCAACCTGATGTATGCATGAGAGTGCCACTCGCGCAGAATGCTTCTGACTACAGCCCTATGCCCGAGAGGCCACAACGAGGCAAGGCACAAGATCCGAAATGTCTACTCCGACGGCCACCTAAGTTCCGAGGCAAGTCTAACTGCCTGCGAAGAATACACAGAAGCACCGAGACTTTCGCAAGTCTGACCAAGGTGTCGGCCGCTTTGATGGGAGGACCACCCCGTCATTTCCAAACAATCGACTGCTGACAAGTGCAGCCAGCAGCGAGGACAAACGAATGCCGGCAAAGCTTATGATGAAACGTTCCTTGGGCTGGCAAGACTATCCCGAGCGATGGCACAGACACGTCCTCCTGTAAAGACGCCGCTCAGCAGTCTCAAAACTGGAAATCACTCCGTGATGCCCAGCAGCCTTGATCGTTTACTAGCAAAGCAGCAAGTACATGTAGTCAAGGTGCAAACGGACAGATTTTGGCAAAGAGGACGCGATGCAGGGTCTGGCAGCATGGCTACAGAAGCAGCAGCAAGCAAGCAGTCCATTGCCATGCGGCGCGCAGCCCGTCACATCGAGTCAACAAGGAAGACTCCAAACAGCAATGAATGAAATGCTGGGCAATAATAACTAAATGCAACAGAACAAAATGGCTGATGCATGAATGGCTATTGCAGCCTGCAGGTACCAATGAAAACAGTTCGCTGCACTGGATTCGCCGGCAGTGCAGTCCAACACTGGGACAAGGTGCAGCCGCTCATCTGCACTTGCTTAGTTTCCTCACGGCAGATCCACATGCTCGACTGCGCCCACTTTATGGGCGCTTGTCGCCACAGGGGTCTATGAAAATGCAGCTATGAATTCTAAGCGGACCTATCATCGACCAATTTGCGCAACCGCCTCACCTCGGCATGCCACACATAAGTGCATGTAAATGCCAGGTGCAGGCACTCTAACTGGCCCTAACTAAACCCCAAAACCCCTCAGCACTATACCCTTTCTGCCACTGGACTCAAGTCTAGCCAGTCTACGACCCACAAGCACTAGACCCCTGCACCCTGCACCCCTCTGTGCCCTCTGAGCTCACCTCGTCCAAGTCCTGGCCCAAAGCAGGGCTGGCCGTCAGGCGCTGTAGCAGCGCCTCGGCCTCTCTCCTTCCGAAGATAATGTTTCCATGTACAGTAGAAGCCTAAAAGTTGGAAACCCAATAGCCTCAATCCTTAAGAGTCATGTATAGGGAATCCCAGCACTATTTGGCCTTAATCCGTTTTCCAACTTTATGGGGTTTACTGTAGGCCAGACCCCGGGAGGATCCAAAAAGTAGATCCCTTAATGGGGGGTTCCTATAAAGTACCCTTGGTAGTATAGAGCCCCAAATTAGGGGATCTACCTTCTAGATCCTCCCAGGGGTCTGGGAGTAAATGTACAGTGAATAGCTTACACTATACAACTCGTGACAGGTAAATATTATGTACATGCACTATGCGCGACAGCAAGTACAACATAAAACATGCTAAAAAACAGTTAATGATGCATAGCTCCTGACACGAATCTGTAATACATACCAAACCAGATTTAACGTATAATGCACAATAATATGCAATATAGCGGGTGATACAACAGCTGATGCAAGAAGAAGACAAGCGATATCTGGTATGAACCTCGTCATCAAGACTCAATAAGGCGGCTGTGGTGGTGGGAGGTGGAGGTTGTGGCGTCATTTCACCGGGTTCTTGTTGAGGGGTTTAAATAAACTTACGTACCATAATAGGGATCCAGGGATCTATAGTAAACAATATGGTTTCTTTATTATGGTAACTGGTACCTTAAACCACATTCCTTAAGAAGAACCCAGTTCAGTCTTCTCAAAGTCCCCTGCCTGGACACTCGGCTCTTCAAGTCGCTCTGCTGGCCAGCAAAGCCGTTGGAATGTTTGCCTCGCTTTTTCTGGCAGCACAATCACTCAGAGCCTCGTTTAGGGTTTAGGGTTTTAGGGCTTTAGGGTTTTAGGCTTTTTCTTCCCTCCTACTGGTTTTAGGCTTTAGGGTTTAAGGGTTTAGGGCCTCTTCGCCACGAGTGTACTGACTTTTCACATCCCTCATAAGATGCCGGCTGAAAAAGTCTCGGTTCTCCTTGAAGCTTTTCAAGCGCTCGGCCTGGCAAAGCCCAAAAGGCAAGAGGCAGTGCCTCGATTCCATACTTGTTATATGTTATATCACATACAGTGAGCCGTGAGTGTGGTATGCATGTCATTCAAGCAGTTGTCGCGGGATGGCACCACTCATCTTAGCAAACCAACTCATCCTCCATGTAGAACGAATCCTGAAGCAAAACTAATCCATCCTGTCATTCTTTCGAGGGTTCCGCGCAAGCCTTGTCCGTGGCTGCAGTGGGCGCAGCACAGCCTCTCACACCAGGGTTTAGGGGTTGAACAACTCTTCAGTCTCTATGAGGTTCAGTGTTTAGTCCTTTTTGCATCTTTGGACTCCATGCTTTGGAGGCACCCTTTTGCTGCAGGCTTGCTTGCAAGGACGCCTGGTAGTTTGCCGCTCTTCCGCCAGTTAGGACTGTGCACCCAAAACCCTAAACCTTGAGCATAATGAGCATATGGGGCTGAGCTAGCGAAGCTTGCATTGGGTGGCCTCCTTCTCGGTAGCCATGCTTCCCGGCTGACCTGAACAAAACTGGTAATCTGGCACAGTGTTCGGGGGCTGGCAGGGCTTGGGTATGTCTCAGGGTTTAAAACTTCAGATGCTCTAGTCTCTAGTCATGAACAGCAGTTGGCCCCGCCTTTCGATGGCCTCTGCCTCCAAAAACATGGAAGCCGATTCGGCCTTGTCGAGGTGATCCCATACTCGGGTTTTGTGACACTCACACTCGGAGAAAGCCAGACAAGGTCTGCAGATGATACAGATCGAGCGACAGAATGCGCACTCGGAACGTGGGGATTTAGGTTGAGGATTCTAACCCTAAACCCCTATAAACCCTAAACCCTAACATGCTTAGGAGTTGCAGCTGCGCTCTCACAACTCGAACTCTGCCAAATGAGGTCCTGCGGTCTCTGCGGTAGAAACTTGGATGACGTCACAGGGCCCACCTCCATCCAAGAAAGGCAACTACACAACAACGAGTTCGAGCAGTCCTGTGAGACCCTGCGACACTGGAGGGCGGATGGCAAATTAAAGTGCAAGATGTAGACTCCCAGTTATGTTTCTATGTAAGTGCCCATACTCACCATCCGCTTTTACGGTCTAGCTGTGCTAGCGTATGTGCAGATTAGACCACTGACTGGCCAAGGTATGTGAAATCTTCCACAAAAGGTTCTGCAAAGAATTGGGGTGGTGTGTCACCACCGGTGCCGCGGTGACAGCACCGAGGCAGCTTCCGATCTTGCGGATGACTTAAGGATTAAGGCTCTTATGATGTTATGTTCTTGTAGGGAGGTCCGAAGATTCTGGAAGCTCTCCTATACCGGAGATGACGTGCTGGAGCACCAGGGAATTTGCGGTACTCCCACGGTGCATCATCAGCAGGGAAAACTGGGAGTGGATATGAGTGGATTGAGGGAAAACTCATCCGTGTTTGGGTACCCATCTCCCATCTTGAAATGTTCGAATGCAAACCGCTCCATCGTGCAGACTGATTGTGTCCAGATTGAAATGCAGGGGTACACTGCGGCACAAGGAACACTACGCGAAATCCTGACTAGATTTACTAGTGGACACAAACTCGGGCCATCTCCCGGCAGCACCGACACCTTGGTGCCAGCTGGATTGAGCACACTGCCTTGAAAGCCCTTGGCTGCCGCACTACAGAGAAAAGTGGACGGACCCGTCTGGTTGCTGCTCTGCTAAGCCCGCCTCAAAGAGCTCCTCAAGACCTTCCGAGCGGAAGGCTCCCTGCCGGAACGTCGTCGAAAGACTGTCGGAAGGGCTGCCGGCGCCGGGATCGGTGCCAGCGCTTTCGGAAGCTCCTTGTTGCCCCGAGGATCCGCTGTCATCCCTTCCGGCTCTATGCGAACCCCGCATCTCAGGAGCCTCTCGCACATAGACATGTGGCGAAACATCGGGCATCGCATGGTCGTGCTGGTGACCACAGCTCTTGGGAGGCTCCCTTCTCGCTCTGGCTGCTGGAGCTTGTCTGGCCCGGGCATCTTCGACGGCTTTCATGTGCCGACTTGCCTGTGCCATCAGTTCCATCGTCACATGCCTCGTCGCCGTCTCCACCAGGCTGACCCGCCAACCATTCTCGAAGACTCGAGGAGCATGGGGATTCTCCATGTCGGCAAAGCCACTCCTAGCGATGAAGTACGCCAGATTGAGACTGAGACCCTGAACATCTGCCTGGGAAACACGAATGTGACTCCCCAGCCGGACGTCCATGGGATTGCTGCGCCCCTGAAAGTAGTCATACGCCATCCTCGCCGTTTCGCCGTCCGTGAAATTGATGAAAGCTAAGGCCACATTCCGTGCCCGTGACTTGTCATGGGGTACGTAGACGAAGTTGTAGTGGCTTGGCCAGAACTGGTTTAAGATCTCCAGCAAGCTCTCGATCGTCAACTTGGATGGTAACCGCCTCAACATGATGGCAGTTGCTCCCTCATCCAGTTGCTGACACTGATCGCCCTGCTGATCGAAAGACATTCCCATCCAACCGCTCACAAGGGCTCCTACTTTCTTAGTCTCGACGCGAAGACGTGGCAAGGTGCTACTGTATCTGCATAGTGATAATTATCGTGTCCATGATCCTGGACTCTTGAGACACAGCCAAGGAATCAGACAAAGAGCTGGCAAGACTTGGGAGTTTCCGACAAAAGGGGTATCTTACTAAGGGGTCCCTACAATAAGGATCCTACTACTTAGGGTACTATATTAGGGTCCCCTATTTTCGGAAACCCCCACTTGCACCGCGACCTCTATCGGAGCTGGGACGGATTTTCTGCGAGGGCCCGCCTTCCCGGCATCGTGCCCGGGTGCTTCCGGAGGGCACGGCGCATCTTCTCTCTCCTCACACCTGCACGAAAATTCCAGGCATCGGGAGATGCAGGGCCGCGAGGCCGCGAGACCTCACCAGTCTTCAGGTCATGAAAGAGCCTGTTTTCCAGCAGATCCTTCTCCGAGTTAAGGAGAGGGGGGCTGGGAGGTGCTTCTTCATGCCCTCCGCAGGGAGGCTCGTCCTCCGTTCACGTCGCGCTTCTTTACAAGCTGCATCAAAACCACTCCACTCCCTTTCTGGGTGCTATCCAAGGATCCGGTGGCTTTCTGACCTCTTTGCTGTGCACGGATTCGGGCCTCTCAACACTGACCCAGAAGCTCTGGTAGGTCGATGCCGTGCAAAATAAGCTCTTGGCATGCGAAGTGCTTCCTTCCCGTTGTCCCACCAGGAGCGACCTAGATGCCAATGTACAGCAAATCTGTTCCATGAGTGGCATGCCTCAGCTGGCGACCCTTTTCCACGCCTTTGGTGAAGCGGTCAAGAAGTACCTGCCACGCAGCGGCACATCAAATTCCGCAGTGATTCCGCCTTGGTGCAGCTACAGAAAATGATGAGAATATGAACAATACTATTTACAATAACAACAACAATACACATTGGCATAAAATGATGATGAGGATGATGATTATCATTGTTACTATTATTGCTATTCCTGTTGCTATGAACCTGCAGTACCACTGACAGATGAAAGCTCTCCTGCGGAGAGAGCGTGGCAAGGTCGTTCCAGCTCGTTGCGGTCGCAGCATGACCCTGGGACCTTGCACCTGAGAGGCCAACTCCACAGCGGCAGACATGGAGACATGCACGAGATCACATGAACGGCTTCGACGCTACAAGGCAGGCAAGGCTCCACATGAACGGTTCATTGCTTTTCCTCGTACTTTTAGGGTTCACGGTCTGGGGTGGAATCAGCATCTCAGGAGACTGGCAAACATACCATTAGGAAACTTCTTGGTCGGCCTTGCTGCGGACTGCGTCTGGGCCGCGTGGTGCTGCCGACGCTGCTGCCGCGCCGATGGCCCTTCCACGAAGCGGTGTCACTGTGGCGCATCAATACTTGTCTCCTTATAATGACCTTTATAGCAGCCTCAAAGTACCCCTAACAGTACCCTCATGACCATTTACAGTAAGCTCTACATAACCTTACAACAACCTAACAAGAATCCCCTTAACAAGGATAATTTTGATAACAACCGTGCTGAAAATCCTACAGTAGTCATCGTAAAGGAACCTTACGAGCTGAGGACCCCGTCGTAAAGCCGTCACCCTAAACCCGAAACTGCATCGTTGCACTGAGGTTTGCTCTTGTGCACTTCGCAAGACCGAGACCGCGCCTCCTTTACCTGCTCTTCTGGCCTAGGTGAGGAATCGACAGAGGTTTGAGGCTTTAAGGTTTGTCCCTCCTGCTTAGCAAAGTTGAAGGTTTCGAGGTTTACGCTTTGGAGCTTTAGGGCTTTATGGGCTTAGGGCCTTAGGGTTTCGGGTTGGGGTTGCGGCGCTCACACTCGGACAATCCGGGCGAGGCATGTGATTCGAGGTTAGGGTTTAGGGGTTCAGGGCTCGGGCCGCTCGGGGTTTATGGGGTTATACAGCAAGCAGACTGCTCGTGCATGCGCTTAGGTTCGGCTGATTTTCAGGTGCCGCAAACCCGGAAGCACTCGAAGGTCACACCGGAAAGGCTCAGCTGCAGCGCTTCCATCCTTGGTGTCGAAGGATATCAAAGCTACTCGTGGCTTGCTCCATGCTTCGGTGCTTTTTCGGATGAGCTGCTAGTGACTGTGGGAGACTGAGGCAGTGAGGGTGTGAGAGAGCGGCTGTCTATCTGTCTGTGGCGGTGCCACGAAACACCCCTCCCACTGCCTGATCGGCCGAGCATCTGAAGCTGCATCACGCTCCCATCACCACGACATGCATCTCGCACTGCGGGCGTGATGAGGATGCTGTTTTCGGCAGCTAGGTCCTGAACAAGATGACAGAGCTTCAGGGCCAAGCATGCGACCAAGACGAAGGTGAGTGCCAGTGAGTCCCTGGCCTGTCCCAGCTTACTTGCTGTATTCACAGCATCGCCCCAGTGTACGTCTGTGTCAGGAATTATGAGCAAGTCGCCGCTGTCGACGCCCCACCCTTGCATCGCAAGACCTGCATCCCAACAGGCATCTCCTCAGCTGGCACCAGCTCTCACATGCGCTTACTGTGTAGGATAATTGGCGGGTGGCTTGCGGACCTGAGACTGACCAGACTCTGGCAAAAAATGCCACAGTCTGCCCAAACGCTGCTGCAAAACACTCCGCATCTATTCTTTGGCGCCATTTTCCCAAAGATCCACTCAGAGCTTTCGAGTTTCTGCTCCTTCTGAAAGGTAGAAGCTGCAGCGACTTCGCCAACCAGGCGAAAGCCGTCAAAAGAAAAGAGCATCTGGAAGTTTCCGAAAATTAGGGGCACCTTATTTTGGCGTCCGTATAATAAAGATCCTAGTATTTAGGGTGCTATATTAGGGTCCCGTATTTTCGGAAACTCCCATCTAATTTGGAGCCTTCCAAGCTTCGCAGACCAAACTCCTCTGCGATCAGCGTGGCAGTGCGAGTGGCGGTTCCCCAGCGCAAGGGAGCTGGCCGGGGACCGCATGCCGCACTGGAAAATTTGCGGAAAACCTGAAAGAGAGTCCTTTGACCGACATGTGAAGACTGATTCTCGGGTCAAGGGAAAGAGCTGTACGACCCAGATCAGACTGCACAAGCAGATGCAAGAAGCATCGAATTTGCAAAATATTCTAAACACAGGACCTGCTGTCATTAAATTGCCGCTTGTCTCTGCAAGCTGCCAAGCTACGTGAGAATGATCGAGCAACACAGCCAACAAAAGGTGCCCTGATGCCCATGCGAATGCGAAGGGATCGGGAATAAAGAATGGGGCGACGGCTACAAATGTATAAGTCTAGGAAACAGGTTGGGCTTGGGAGATCTTGACGACTGGAGGAAGGGAAGGCCGTCTCTTTGTGCCCCATGGCTGCTCGCTGTTGGAAACTGACCAATGAGCCCCTTGAAGGCTCCTTTTCGCGCCTTTCGCATCCCACTTTCGGGTGATGGTGCTACTCAGCTGAAGCTCGTCAACGTCATGTCTTCGGCCGGCTGGCATATCCTGATCCTCCCCTTGTTCTGGCACTGCAAACGGATGCTCCGAGGCTGCAGGCACTTCTTTGGGGGGCTTTTCCCTGGAAGGCTGCGGGCACTTCTCCACGGGAACATGCAGCGGCAGGGGGGTGTCGCTCCATGCTATCTTTCGCTTCTTTGGGGCTGAAGACTTCTTCTGACACCCCTTCCAGAGGGCAATAGCGACGATGGCTGCGGAGCCCGAGAGTAATACCATGCTGCAGCACAGGATCACAAGGTCAGCCAGGCCGTCTCGCTGCTCCACCTGAGACTTGCGGAAAGTAGCGGACCCTGCATCACCCCTAGTTATAAGATGATCCTCACTTTCAAAACCCCACCCTAAAGGGGAGCCCTAGAGGCACTTGTTAAACCTCCACCTCTGGCTCTGAGGCAGGCATCTCCTTCTCCGCGATCGTGAAGTTCGAGCCGCGCGGAGGCCTGAGCCTTTCGCTCGACTGGCCTAGCCCACCTATGGGAACCTCTATGATCGGGACTGGCGGAGGGGGAGAAGGTTTCGGCGTGGTGGTCAGCAGCAGACCGGTGCCCCTGGCTGAAGGCGGCCGCGGCTCGGCGTTCTGACGAATCTCTCTTTGGCTCTCGCTAAGACAGGCGCAGCCGCACTGCGCCGTTGCGAAGGGGCCTCCATCGCAGTGAAAGCCGCAGGCCCAGTCATAGGCCTCGCCATTCGAGACATCCTCAAAGCCAGGCCGGCACCGGGGAACAAAGCCTCCAGCTTGCAAGCCCCGGAGCTGGCTAAGTTCCGCAGCATGAACATATAGATGAGCACATAGGATGCACGACCACCAGCGGGTGCCCAGCATCTGAGGCACCCGAACACCGAAGCTTCCCGACATGACTTGAGCCGCAAAGCTCAGAACAAAAACAACGCAGGCGCGTGATCCGAAGTCAAGCTGCAAAGCTCTCATGGCCCAGGGCTCTTGGTCGTCCCTACCCAGAAATTTGGGGAGGATCCAAAAAGTAGATCCCTTTAATGGGGGGGTTCCTCTAAAGTACCCTTAAAAGTAGAGGGCCCCAAATTAGGGGATCTACTTTCTAGATCCTCCCGGGGTTTTGGGTAGCTGCTGCTGAGCAGCGAGCTGCAACTGCAGCGTTGACAGCATCGGCAGGTCGCTCGAAGATCCAAAGCTCAGCCTTCGACTCGCCTACCTAGAGGCTCCATAGTAGTTCCTTTTTGTGGTTCATAATTAGAATCCGATAAGGTAATCCCAAAAAGGAACTACCATGGAGCCTATGGGTACGTTGAGGCCGAGGTCGTTCATGCATTCTCTCACTGAAAGTCTGATTTATTGCACTCATGCACGGGATACTCAGCCGTAGTAGTAACCGTGGTAGTCATAGTCATAGTGGTAAGATGAGTACGAGTAGCAGTAGTCGTAGAGTAGTACAAGAAAGAGGACGAGGAGCAGCAGTAGTAGTGGTAGCAGCAGCAGTAGCAGTTGCAGCAGTCGCCGTCGTAGTAGTAATAGTCGCAGTAGAGTCGCCGTCGCAGTAGTAGTCGTAATCGTCGTGGTGGTGGTAGTAATTAGTCGCCGTCGCAGTGGCAGTCGTAATCGTGGTGGTGGTGGTGGTGGTGGTGGTGGTGGTGGCGGTGGTGGTGGTGGTGGTGGTGGCAACAACGGCAGCACTAAGGCGATGACGACAAGCACCGTGCGCGACCACTGCGACTGCAAAGGCCTCAAAACTCTGGCCGCGGAAGCTCTGGAAGATGGGCGTGGTCAGCTGTGCCGTCCTCTGAGTCTGACGAAGAACCATCCCCCCCTCAAACCTTTAACCACAAACATCCCCAAACCCTAAGCGTCTATGTCTCAAGTCTGCTGGAAAGCTTGGGCCGCCTCGCGGCATCCTGGCACAGATCACCCCGAAACCTGAAGTTGCGAGGAAGCAGAACCCTAAGGGTCCAAGTAGTTCCTATCGATGGTTTTTGGTAGCTAAAACGCCCCTAAAGTCCTATAATAGGGAAGACTTGGACCCTCTGGGGAACGGCTCGAACGACATCAAAGAGGGCGTGAAATCAGGAACAGCCTGTGATCGGCAGAGCGGCATGAGAACTGTGCAAGCTTTGAAGTGCTGCCCGATGATACGGTCAAGTACCGTCAGGTCTTCTGCCCCAGCCGCGCCATGTCTTTGGGCGAGCGGAAGCAAAGATGGCCCCAAGTAACCTGATGCTTTTGCACTATTGAGGACCTTCGACCTCTTAACCTGAAACGCTTTCCCAACCCCTGCACTGCCACTTATACACGAGTGCCATGCACCGGCTGAGCAACGCTGGTCATCTGCAGGCACCAGGTCGACTGACAAATCGAAGTCGCCCTCCAAGCTGAAATATCCTTAAGTGATGAAGTCCCTGGCCGAAAATTGCTGCCTTCTTCAAACAAGCAAGGCTGCATAAGGCCAGAGAGGCTACAGGTTGCCCGTTCAGCTGCCAGGCGTCTGATCTTGCTGTTAGGCTCCTCCCCCGCTTCTCGGAACACCGCCGGAGCAAAGAAAGGCTCATCCTCAGTTCAAACTGCCATGTAATTTTTTTTGACACTCACACTCGGACCAGCTAGGAAGAGTCTCCTACGACGGTCAGACAGGTGACGGTAAAAACAAATCTTCGAGGATCTGTGGTATCACCCAAGCCAAGGCCAACTGACAACCACATTCTTGGGCTTTTGCCTCCCACCTAGCTAGGACGAGCCCGCGTTGCAGGATTTGGGAGTTTCCGAACATAGGGACCCTAATATAGTACCCTAAAGAATAGGATCCCTATTATCAGGACCCCAAAGTAAGGTACCCCTAATTTCGGAAACTCGCAATTTAGTGTCTTGGGTTCCAGGTTCCGACTCTATCCTGGCCCTTCTGGGCCTAAACCTGCCCCTTAGGGTTTACGCTCTCACAACTCGGACACAGCCAGGCGAGGGTTTAGGGTTTAGGGTTCCAAACCCTGAAAGGAAGCATTACCTGGACCCCTATTTTACCTACTTTGGGGGGTTTAGGTACTCAGACTCTGCCTCATGAGGTCCTCTGGATTTCGGGTTGCGGGTTTCCTTGGGTGCTAGCCCTCAAATCCCAAATCCACCCTAACCCCTAAACCCGAAACCCTTTTTGCATCCAGGCCTCTTGAAGTCGAAACCCTAAACCCCTAAACCTTAAACCCCTTTTCAGCACGGGCTCTGGGTGAAACCCTAAACCCGAAACCCTGACGTTTTGAGCCCGGCAGCCAAAAGCTTGGACCTCACTGTCTGCGACACCAGGATTTCGGACTCTACGCAGAGATCCTCGCCTTCGGGGTTGTCTTACCTTTGGTTAGTAGGGAATGGAAGAATGGGGCATAATTATAACTACTATTACTACCATTCTTCCATTCCCTACTAACCAAAGGTAAGTTGTTGGGTTCTTCGGAGGTTTCGGGGTTAGTTCGGGTTGAGGAACCGGGTGTAGACGTACCTTGTCCGTTCGCCGAGGAAGCAGGGTTTTGGGGTTTAGGGTTCCTGAAACCTGGCTGTAGGGACGCAGGATGTCGATGTGGGGTTAGTGAGTGCGTCACATCGATTTCGAGCCTCATGCTCGCACGGGGCAGGAAGGCGTCTGCACGGTGGGTCTGGTGGTACAACTACAGTGGGATTTTGCTGCATGCTTCCATCGCCCGGGAAAGGCATGGTCATGCAGCACTCGCAAGTGCAAAGCCCCTCACGGGTTCCTTAAACCCAGAACCCTCAAAGCCTCAAAGCACAAAAGCTACAGATGGCATCCCACAATGTTGGAAGCATCCCTGTGCTTCGCTGAGCGGCCGAGGAAGTAGGCACCGCGAGCCACTTCTCCAAGCAGATCCCCATGCTCGTTGAGATAAAGCCCCTTTCCGGCATGCACGCCGATGCCGCTCCTGGTTGAATCACGCAGACACGAGCCAGGTCATCTTCTCTGGCTAAGTAGGATATGCTGCACTGAGGAGAGCACAGCTGGATGGAGAAGTGTTGACGATCCTCCTCGGCTGCTCTTAGCGCACGAACTCTTTGCCTCCCTTACCAACACTGTTACATCTGCTTTGAGGCATGCATGGCGGCACACCTTGAGGGACCGATTGTACGCATGGATGACTTCTCGCATTTCCAGTGCGGCCCGCACAGCATTGCTTGCAGCACTGAAGGCCACAATGAGGTTATCCGCCTCAGCTCAGCACCAAAGAAACTGCCCAATGAAAGCTGATGATGCGTGATTTGTAGCGGAGAAAATGCAAAGCGGAATATATGGTACACAAAACACTTTTACCATACAGCATCTGTGTGTAGGAATGATATGTGATACGGTATCTAACCCAAAACTACATTAAAATTCTATGTATGTATATAGTGTATAGCGTGTAGTGCTTTTTCACAATTATGTCCGATCCGGTATGAAGATGTACGATAGGTCTATGCAGGAAATGTACAAAGCTATGCGCACTAAGAGGTATGTACATATACAGATAGGTGTACGCATACTCGGTATGTATATACGATATATGTACATATAGAGATATACCGGTAATGTGCGCAATACATAATATCTAGAATGCCGTATTTAAATTATATATTGGTTATAGTCCATATTACATATTATCTAATTAAAATACTATAGATCATACAATACAAACGACATATTATATACTTCATGATACATACTACAGGTTACATGTCATGTACTATAGATTATAGATTACATAGTCTATTGCTATTGTATTTTTCATATAATTCCTTATCTGGCCTACTATGGATTACAGAGTATATGCTATATATTATAATTAGACCATCTGTTGTACATTATATATACATATGTGTGATATAGTATATGGTCTCTTATGTCATATGTCATTTAGCACCACTGCACCCGGGCCGAGGCCTCAGTTGTCACTTTGATGGCGCTGTACTTCGTGAGAATGGGCCAACACAGCTGGCGCTTTCGCATGATAATGCTCGCAAAGTGCACGATGCCTTGTGGGAATTCACTGGTCAACAATGCATTTTGCAGACCCCCGAAGCCTGGCACTGACCGTGCTCGGCTCTCAAAATCTACTGAGCCACACACCACATTCTCGCACAGTGGAGGTGCATCCCTGTAGATCAGACACGAGAACAGCCATTTCGCCGTCATAGGACTCCAGGACTGGCGTCTCATGGCCAGCTACCCCGACTTCAAAGTCATCCTCCAATCTTGCCTTCCTCAGCTTTGCCCCCCTTCCCCGATCCCCCCGCCCCCCGATCCCATCTTCGCCAAAGATCCGAAAGCAAACCGACTTCCGAGTGTCTTTTCTGGGAGGAGGCGCTCGTTCCAGCGGCGTCTGGGGAGTCGGGGCTTGATAGCCGGGTGCCACCTCGAAGTGCAACAAATGTCCTGGAGTCCTCCAGTCATCAGGAAGCTATATGCCTGCCCTCATCGTGAGGATCCGGATTCTTGCATGCAAGCTTGTTTCAGCCCCGGCAGAAGTCAACATCCTTGGCGAAGAAGGTCCATCGTCGAACCAGGCCCACATTGCTCAACTCATGGCCGCTGAACTAGCATGGAGACTGCAATTAGCACGCAGACTCTTGTTCCAAGCAGCTACGTACGCATAGCTAAGTTGTTTATGTGAACCCTATTTGCGCCAGGAGGCTTCCTGAGAGTTCGACCTGGCGTGGGCGCTGCACATGGCTAACATCTTAATGTAGGAACCTGGTTAAGAAACCCTGGCCCTATGACCCCAATTTTTTAGGCTTCATATAAGGAACCCTAATAAAGACCCAAAGTTTGTTAATCAAGTTCCTACATAGGCTCGAAGCTCGGCAGCTTTGTCAGAACGAGCCCGTGAGCAAGAGGGTGTAGCGTTCATGTTGCGGCAGCATTCCACTCAAAGAGTGAAAACCATGACCTAAACCATATAAGCCCTAAATGCCATGGTAGGACCCTGGTAGGACACACATCCCACAGCTTCGATCTCGGAAAAGGGCTTCGAAGCGATGCGCTGGCCGTCCTGGAGCAAGGGGGACGACAAAAGAAGCGGCTACCGGCTACCGGCACTCACTCCAACATCATTAGGGAGTTTCCGAGAATCAGGGGTACCTTCTTTGGGGGATCCTACTATTTGCGTGCCCCTATTTTCTGAAACTCCCATTAATCTTCGCAAGACTGAGAATCGCGAAAATCCCTCAGAATAGTCATGACCAGAAGACATAAGATTCTTCAAATCAACACCGGAAAAGAAGTTTGGCAAACAAGAGTAATAATGAATAATACGGACTCGTACAATTATAAGTACAAGAATAAGAATAATGATATAAGGAATAGAACCAATAGTAACACGAAGTAAGATTCAGATTATGACGATGGCCATCACCATCAAGCGACTACTCATACGAAGAATCAAGGCGGACCTGTCGTGCTGCGCGGCTGATGTCGCCAAAGCTGGAAGCTCGGATCATTGCCTCGCCATCTCAAGAAATTTCGAGACCGAAGAGAGGGTTTAGGGTTTGGGGTCTTGGGCTTGTTTTAATCACCCGTCTTCGAACGCATGACGACGAAAGGTTTCGGTTTAGAGTTTAGGGATTTTTTTTCCCTCTCGCATTGCTGGGGGAGCTGCTTAGGGATTTTAGGGCTTAGGGTTTAGGGATCTTGAGAGGCTGTAGCGTTTCGTGGCTTCGTTTCGGCGCTCAGACTTGGAGTGTACAGGTGGCTTTCTTTTCAGCTTGTGGGTTTTCGACTCACACACTCGCACGAGGCAGGCATGGCTTCAGGCACTGCCGCTGAGCTTGTGGGTTTAGAGTGTATCATTATACTACAATAACACTATAGTATAACAACACGATAATACTGACTAATGATATGCTAGCGCTTTAAATTTGCTATAGTCAGACTAGTATAACACTTTAGTTTTTCAGGTCTTGTGGAGAGCGTAGCCTTTCCCTGCGTTCCAAGGTGCCCCGGGAGATCGTTTGCCGGCCCACAGCGACCCTACAGCCATCAGAGCCCAATAGGTTTGTTTAAAGAACCTAAGCTTTTTAGGAAAACACTTATGCCCAATTTGGGAAGCTATGCCTTTACTTGCAAACCTTGACTTTGCGAAGGTGATGCCCGGCTAAGGTACTGTGAGGCTTTTTAGGCTGTCTAGAGGCTACACTGCATGCGTGGTACGCCGCTGGGAAAGTCTGCTTCTGTTGCTGCTGCACTGATGCGCTCCGCGCGGTCTGCTTGAGACAGTTTGCGGCTGCAGGGAAAGTCTGCTTGAATCGATCTCTCCAAGCTCGTATCCTCCCTTTTGCTACCCAGGCCGCCAGGCCCAAAGCTTAACGCTTACGGAGGATTTTGATGTTGGCTGGGGTGCACCTGACTCAGGCCGCTCGTGATGCCTCGCCATGTACTGCCATGTACTGCTTTAAATGATTTAAATGTGCACAGCATGACCCATCCGCCGAATTTTGTGCCTGTGCTGCGCAGGTCCTATTCCTCCGAGTCTGCCAGCTAGCTAGCATGGAACAGGAGGACTCTTGAAACGAACAACGAGCTAGAGGCTTGGATGCAAACGACCGCTGCAGGTCGCCGTTCAGAGCTGTCTCAGTAGATCCACTCCACCCTTGAGCAACATGTTGACTGCCTGCCAAATGAATCTTGGAGCGATGCTCTCTGCATTCAGCTGTCTGGATTCCAGGACGGCTGTCTCCTCTCGCCGTGCTTGAAGGTGGAGGATGCTCAACCCAAAAGACGGTTTAGGGCTTGGGGTCCAAATAGGATTGTACTTCTAAGCCTTGTATAGTCAAGCCCCACCCATGTAAGACATGTAATCGGATTACAAATACAGATGGAACTCGGCTCCGATATAACCAAGTAAGCGTTCAAAAACTTTTGGAATACATGTATAAGTGAGGTCCCTGTCATAAAAACAACCACGTTCAAACAAATCAGCACAATGCCTGGCCTTGAGGACCTCTGGTGGGCAGCCAGCCACTACCTCGGTCCGAAGGCCCTCACGAGCCCCGGTCCCCGCAAACCCCTGAAAGGAGCCATGACTACTCTATACTGAACTTAGAACCCTAGCAGGCATTATAATTTGAGCTGTTTCTTAGGGATGATAACAACCAAAAATTAAGAATTATTTCGAAGTACCCCTAAGTACTGTTTGCCACCCCTTTATTGCAAAGGCTTGCAGGCACCCAGTCTACGGAACCGTTCTGGGAATACAACATAGAAGCGCTTTGAAGGAACCATTAGAGTGCATTGGGTACTGCCCCCCATACAGTAACAGTCTATAATAGGGCTACAACTAAGGGCCTAATATATCTATATTATGAATATTATCGAACTGTTACTGAGTGGGGGCAGTACCCAAATAGTACGCCAAAAAAAGCCCTGGCCTTGCTTTTTAGCCGTGCCATCCGGTCCTCGCAGATTGCCTCAGAGCGGTGGGCAGGTGGAGACTATGCCTACCAGGATACTAAGCTAGGGTTTTGGGCTCAGGGTTTAGGGTAGCAGTTTGAATGACTAATAGGGTACTAGACTGGGGTATTGGGCTTAGGGTTTAAAGTTAGGGTTGCAGATTGAATGACCAAGTCTCAGTTCCTGGGTAACTCCTTCAAGTTCCCCTTTCCTAGTCTCCTTTGAATGGTGGGAGACCTCAGATCAAAAAGGGTATCTGGGCACTTCTGGGCGACCTAGATGACATGTTGTACTGCAGCTCCGTAAAAACTGCGAGATCATAAGATGCGCCAGATGAATGTGATGCCTGTTGTAGGTTGAAACCTCGCACTCTCAGCTTATGCGAGCGCCTTGGCATTTGGCACGGCTTTTCGGCCCTGGCTGCCCTAGCTGTTCCTGTGATGGGCTTGTGGAAAAAATCCCACACTAGGTTTGAGTCCTAGCAGGTTTTGTGATGCTTTGTGTAAGGGTTCCCTTGCCATTGCTAGGTTGCAGCCGCTAGGGGCACAAAAGAACGATAGTACGCCCTCGAAAAGTCTGCTGCACTTGCCGGGGCCTCAGGCTTCAGGTTTTTAGGGCAAAGTTTGGGGCTCGATCATTTCTGCCTTCGGTGCACGAAATGCTGTTCAAGAAGGGCACCGGCGATGAAAGAGGGTCATGAGACGACCGCAAGCGCTGAGGTGGCTGGCTGGTAGCAATGAAGCCCACTCCGCTGGAAGCACAGATGCGCACTGCGAACTGCCTTCCCCCAGTGTGGACGCCGATCGAACCACGGGGCCAACAAGCCACATGGACCCAGCAACTTCAGATCACGTCCTAAACGTCATGGCGATCCAACAAAACAAGTACCGACTTCCACTGCCGGGAGTATGGTTCTCTGACGTTAAATGTAAAGAGGTTTTGAAACAGAGTGTTTGTACCAGAGTGACCGCGAAATGTTGCGACTTATGGTTTGACGTTCCACCCGGCGTCTGCGCCGATTTGACAAAACAAGTTACGACTTCGGTCGTGCCCTGTAGCTGCTGCTCAGTAGCTGGTTGGTGCCGAACCCAGGCTCTAAACTTTTAAACCGTCTCTTGTTGCTGGACTCAAAGTCTAGCCAGACCACGACCTCCTAAACCCTGGACCCTAGACCCTAGGCTCTCAACTGAAGGCAATTCAGCCAATGCTAAATCAGCTCCCGGCCATCTGCTTAACGCGTTGGACTTGTGGCATACACAACCTGGCTGGGGCTTAGGGAGAAACTACAGAGCTTAGACGAAAGCTTCAAATGGAAAAGGATTCAGAGATGCTGTCACCCTAAACCCAAAACCGGTTGGACATGAAAACTGCGGGGCAGACGTCCGCGTCTTCAGATGGGCAATTGGCCCTGCGAACCTCAGAAGCTAAGTCTCTGCCCATCACTACTGACTACACAGGAACCATACATGTTAAAGTTAAAAACAGTGTATACCTATACACATAATATATACTTGTATATGCATATAATTATATATGTATATCTATATACATATATATATATATATATGTGCGTATCTGTGTAAATTATATATAGGTGCACACCAGGTGGGGGAGAGCCTTCTTAAGCCGAGACACTGGACAGGACCGGGGCTGATGACTGTGCGCTCTTCCCTCGGTCAGGCAATCAGTGCCGGAACGCAGGCACACTTCAGCTCGGTCTAGGGATCAAATGGTTTATGGTACTTTATGGTACTGTACAGGGTTTCGGATTTCCAACGTGCGTCAAGACCAGCGTCGAAACTGAATTAATAAACACAGAAACGGGCATGTGCACGTTGAGATCAGAAAAGTAAGGCATCGGCGGCTCTGGCATGCTCCGCTCATAACTGATGTCATAAAGGAGACGGCTCCTCGGCCTGAATAGACAGATCCTCCCACTGCCCACAGATCTCTCGAAAGAGTGAGCCCTGCTGTACTTGGCTTCTGGCTGGATGTGGTACTTGGGCTGCGAGTCATCTTCTGTCCCATCCTTATCAGGAGCGGTCCACACAAGCATGAAAAGATTGCAGGCAAACATACAGCGTCCACTGTCCTCACCGTGACCTTTTTGCCTGTTGCGGTTCGGTAATTGTGCACTACAACGAAACTACGCATATCAGTTTTTGATACGCACTGCAACGACAAAGGGGGACTGCCTTCACAACGGAAGCGCCCTCTTTGTGCCGCTCCTTTTCATTAACGTGCACACGAGATGAGGTCGACATGTTGCCTTTTTCCCCCATCCGGTGCAAGGCTCCTGTGTACAACCGTGGTAAAAGCAGCATGTGCTGTACACCACGGCGAAGAATGCCAATCCCTAAACCCTAAGCCCCTGTGTGCAGGTATCACATCCCAGCAGTGATGGCCATTTCTTCCTCAGGCAAGGCTGCAGCAAAAAGTCGTCAAAGAGCAGACAGGAACCCTGACCCCTAAACCCTAAACCCTGTCTGCCACTGGACTCAAGTCTAGGAACCCTAAACCCTCTCTGTCCCAGGCATTCGAAACGAACCCTAAACCCTAAACCCTAAATCCTAAACCGAAGGGCAAGAAGCAATGCCATCCGAGCAGCATCATCGTCGAGGTCTTCCTCGTCGCCTTCACCTGCCCAGGACTGCCTTCATGATAACACTAGTGTATGTATGTACGTATGTATATATATATATATATATACATATATATATATATATATGATATGACAATGATGATACTATAGTGATAGTGATATGATATGGTATGAAGATATACTCTCTCTCTCTCTCTCTCTCTCGCGGACTCAGGGGTCTGTCAGCCGCGCGGTTGCCCAGTACTTGATATACTGTATCTATATCTATATCTATATCTATATATATATATATATACATGATAGATATAAAGGTGTGTATATATATATATATGTAGGTAGATATCATATACTACTTAATAGATGTTATACCCCGAACCATGGGAGCTCAGCTCCGGCCTTGCTCTTGCAGCCTTTCGAGCTCTCGCCTCGATATCTGGGTTTTTTAACTTTTTTTGTTTTTGTGCGGGCCCTTTTCCGTCTGCAGTTGCTTTTTGAACTTTTGGGGTTTTTTCCCCTCCTACTTAGCAAGGGCGCTTGGGGATTAGGGTTTGGGGCTTCAAGGTTAGGGCTTAGGGCTTTAAACTTAGGGCCGGTTTAGCGTTACAAGTTTAGGGTTTAAGGTTTAAGGCTTTTTTGGGGTTCAAGGGTAATGCGGACCTACTGGAATTTTGTCCCTGCTGCTGGGATTAGGTTTAGGGGTCTAAGTCAGGGCTCCGTCATGGCGTTGGGGATTAGAGCCATTCCTGAGCTCACTGCAGCTTCCGCAGTCTTTGGAGTTCGCCTCGGCATCTGTTCGTTGCAGCGCAGTATCAGTCATGAGGGTTGAGGGTTGAGGGTCTAGGGTTTGGGGCTTAGGGTTTCGCGTTTAGGGTTTGGGTCATATTGTGCATGACTTCACGAAGTGGCACACTTCACACTCGTCTTGGTCCCGTGCGTTGCTCCGAATATCTCGTCATGCAGTTCAAGATGCAGGACAAGATGCACCTGGAACAGACCCAACTGTGCGCTCCAGGCCCATGGCGAGGCAAGAACAAGAAGAACAAGAACAAGCACAAACACAAGAAGATGGCAATTGCTGTCACCATCAATAACTACTAGTTCTAACTTTACTTCTAGAATCAAGGACTATTCCCATTCTGTTACTGATGCTATTACTATCGCGATTACTCTTACTCTTCCGGTTCGTGTTACTGTACTACTACTGCTACTGCTGTAATTATAATTACGAGTACTACGATTACGATGGTTGCTAGCCTTCTTCCTCCTCTTCGCATTCTTTACGGTTTTATCCGCTACTATACTCACTGTTATCGTTGTTAGTTGCTTGGCCTCGCAAGGGCCAGAAGGATGAATGATCCGAACAAGCAGAGGAAGCCATAGTGCCACGTCCTGGGGTAGTGGCGTCGCATGACCATGGTCTTGCTGCGTGGACATTCCATGACAACTGCAGGGCCGCGACTGGTCTGGCTCGTTCTCCTTGGATCAAGCTTGGCTATGCTTTCAGGGTTTCAGTTTTAGGGAAGCCAAAAGAGAGACGCCCGATGCGAAGCTGCATACAGGTGCTGCCAAACGACATAGAGACCTGGCTTCGAAGGAGCCGCACTGGAATGGTTAGCGCTGCCAAGGCTGAGACGATACCGAGCGCGGGGCCACCAGTGATGAAGGCAAACACTGCTACAAGCCTAGGATGCTGCAAAAAAGCTGTTGCTGACACGATGGATATCTAGGCCTTAATTGAAAGCTCATGAATACGTGGCTGTCCTGAAATTCAATGATGCCAAGAGGCTTCACAAAATTGTTCAAAGCAGGGCCACTGGTGTCTTCAAGAGGACCTCCTATCATCTCACCTGCCCAGGACTCCCCCAAGCCATTGCTCTCTGAAGATTTCCGACAGGCTCGGCCTACACCGAGGTAGCCGTACTGAGCCGAATCGGGTCCGATGGCTGTGCCGTCGGCTGCCTGACAGAGGGGACAAGCTAGGATGTTGCCAAGTTACCCTTCATCTAGGCCCACTAAAGCCTCTTTCTCTCTCTCTCTCTCTCCCAGGCATTCGTTGACTGAAACCCTAAACCCTTCCAGAGGCGCCTTTAAGTGGCCAAAGAGAACGTACTTCCTTGCGGAGACCCACGACTGGCCAGAGTTGATGAGGAAGAGGCTGAGGCACATTCCCTCGGAGAAGAAACGGGTTCGCGACTCTCATATTCTTTCATGAAAACACAGAGAAAGAATAGTGACTGTAGTCATAATAGTGGCTGAATCCAAACAGTAACAGTTCTCCCATTGGCTCATTTCCTTCTCCCTTTTGCACGCTCATTTCCTTCTCCCTTTTGCACTTGGGCTATGCATATGCCAGGAATCGAGGTGCCGACTGTGCTCCGGACCCGTGCCAGACTGCAAAAAGTGATCTTTTTACACCTGGACTATGCATATGCCAGGAACCGAAGCGCCGACTGTGCTGTGGACTCGTGCCAAAAAGTGATCTAAACCCTAAACCCCAAACCTCAAAACCCCCAATCCCTGGTGATCTAAACCATAAACCCTAATTAACCCCAAACCTTAAAACCCCCAAACCCCAAACTGGGTGGCTGGCCAACACATTCATGCCCGAAAGAAGCCAGATGAGGCCCTTTGTGCCCAGAAAGAAGCCGCCAAGCAAAGGGCAGATCATCCTTGGCTTGTTTTTGGACTTCAGTTTTTTTCCTAGGATTTTAGGGTTTGGGGCCATTTTAGGGTTTCGAATCCTTGGTTACTTAGGATTTAAATTTTTTTGCCTAGGATTTTTGCGGTTTTGGGGTTTCGGTGCTCGCACTCGGACGGTTTATTAGGGTTTACGCTCTCGCAACCCGGACTCCGCGAGACGAGGAGGGTTTAGCGTTTTCGACTTGCACACAATCAGAGGCAGGTTTAGGGTTTCGGCGCTCACACTCGGACCATCCAGGCGAGGCATATGAGTTCGCGTCTGTTTAGGGTTTAGGGTTGTGGGTTTCGGGTTTTAGTGCCTAGGGTCATGGTACATAAAAGAACTGGAGTGATCGCAATCCCCTCTGAGCGCTCACTTCCTGATGGACGGCCCGTTCGGGAAACATCTTTTTTTCACTCATCCGTGAAAGGCTTGATGCTCTTAATTGGGCTACTCAGGCTACTCACTCCGAACCGAACCTTAGCAAAGACTGTGCTGGATGTTGCAATTCTAGAATAGGCGGACTCCGTGCCACTAAACGCTCGAACGCCTATCGTCTTTCTCCGTCTCTAACTCTCCTCTCGTGATACTTCCCCCCATCTCCGGTTCAGTTAGCCAAGCATCGAGTGGATGATGGGGCTGAACACCAATCCTGAGTTTCAGATCTGCAAAAACTGAACCAACCTGGCATGGCCTGGACGACAGCCCGCCCCTAACCTGGCCCGGGCGCGCATCGAGGTGATAGTCCCAAACGAGCACAAGATCTGAATTCCTGGATCCAGGCTAAGAGTGACTCTCAAACTGTGAGTCTGAATAAGCGGAGTAGATGCATCTTCACGGAGCGCAGCAGCCTTTGAGGTGCGACTGCGGGAAGGGGAGGTCGGCCCGCTTGGACACTGCAGTGGATTCCTGAACTCTGAATTTCCCAGGGGTTTGGGGTTTAGGGCGCCGTGTGACAGGAAGTGGATGCCAAGGTCTGGGCTTTGCAAAAGCGCATGAAGGACTTGGACGTCTCTAGACCTCGACGCACAGGTTAAAGACGATCTATCCGTACATGCACACAGATATACACATATGTATATACATATGTATGTGTATATTTTTTCTACATACATATAAAACTATGCTACTCAAAGTGTATATGTTATATGTTATTCCAGTGGCCTTCAAACCTTTTCCGGTGCTTCCTCCGAGACTCGCACAGCTGACCGTGCAGTTGCCGGTGAAGAGGAACCTGTGCTTCTTTCACTCAAGATATCCCTTTTTGGGTACCTCAAATATGGTGGTTTCCCTCTTATACCTATACGGGTTTAGGGTTTAGGGTTTAGGGAATATATACCTATATGACCTGTGTGGGTAGTTGTCAAAGTTAAGGTCCCTTTTTGGGTACCTTAATTGAATAATGGGTGCCGTACTATATTAGGGACCCAAAAAGGGACCATAATTCTGACAACCACCCCTATGTAGTACAGAGGATAGAGCATAATGGTATATAAGTACGTTAACATGTAGTAAATGTAGTTTGGTGGATAATGTATACTACATTACTACATCATATGCATTACAAAATGTATGATGTATCGTTAAATCAAACGTCATCTGCTAATCCACCATTTGCGCAAGTGGACACAGCTGCATGAACATTGCGGACAGATGGACGAGGTTAAAATGAGTCGAGGCAAGTTGCGGCATGATCACGCCGAGCACTAGCCCGGCTTGGCTCCACTCTGAAAGCGGTGATCCTGATACAGCCTCCGGCCAACCGTGCTTTCATGCAACGTCGAAGAGTCAATACATAGACCGCAAGCTGCCATCCATGCCTGGTAGTCCGTGCTGCGACCTGTGTAACTTTCCGCCAGGAGAGTCAACGCAACATTGAACACGGCGCTGAAGGCATTGATGGCTGAGATTGTATTTCCAGCTTGCATAGCCTGGGCATGCCATGCCATGCATCCGAGAAGAGATTAAGCGGTCCTTGTAATGCAGGTCAAGGGACCGTGTCGCCCACCCTGACTTGCTGTGAGAACACGCCATGCTTTACACTACTCTCAGCTATTTTGTTTGACATTAAGTGGTCAGCCGCCAAGGCAGCGTGCCGATATTAGCACGGCAACTTCTTAATTGTCATGATTAGCGTAGTCATTGTGGCCGTTTTGGTACAACTGCTCGAGTGCTAGCAGCAGCAGTAGCAGCAGCCGTAGCAGTAGCAGTAGCAGCAGTCGAAGGAGCAGCAGGCGCAGTAGTGGTGCTGGTGGTGGTGGCAGTCACAGCAGCAGCAGTAGTAGCAGCAGTAGCAGTAGCAGCAGCAGTAGCAGTAGCAGCAGCAGCAGCAGCAAGTCGCAGTCGCAGCAGCGCTAGTAGCAGTAGTAGCAGCAGTAGTAGTAGTAGTAGTCGTCGTCGTGGTGGTAGTGGTGGCAGTGGCAGTGGCAGTGGCAGCAGCAGTAGCAGTAGGAGGAGCAGTAGCAGTAGCGGCAGCAGCAGCAGCCGTAGCAGTAGCAGTAGCAGTACCAGTAGCCGTAGCAGTAGCAGTAGCAGTACCAGCAGCAGCAAGCGCAGCTTGAGTAGCAACAGCAGCAGCAGCAGCAGCAGGAGCAGCAGTGGCAGCAGTAGCACCAGTAGGAGAAGCAGGAGTAGGAGTAAGTCGTATCAGCTGTACTACGAGTAGGAGAGCAGCAGCAGGAGGAGGAGGAGTCGTAGCAGTAGTAGTAGTAGTAGCAGCAGTAGTAGTACGAGTACTTGTGGTTTTTGTTGTTGCCTACTGGGCTTGGGGACTAGCCAGATCCTTGCATCACGGCCTTTCGTCTTCACCCAACTCATATCCCAACTCTGTGCAGGTGCATTACTTCGCCAAAGAATGATCCACTGAAGAATTGCCGGAGTCTGAATGGAGTTTCTGATTCGCGCGGTTCTGCCATCGTTCTTGTTTCTGCCTGCGACGTCGTGCCCGTTCCTGGTACCAGTACTAGTACTAGCAGCATCAGTAGTACTGGTAGTCGTCGTGGTGGTAGTGTCCAAGTAGCTGTAGTAGTGGTGGTGGTGGTGGTGGTGGTGGTGGTGGTGGTGGTGGTGGTGGCGGTGGTGGTGGTGGTAGCGGTCGTGGTCGTGTTCGTCATGGTGGTAGCAGAAGCAGCAGCAGAAGCGGCTGCAGTGGTACTAGTGCAGGCGCTAGCAATACTAGTACTAGTAGTACTTGTGGTACTGGTGGTACGAGTGGTACTCGTGGCACCAGTGACGCTAGCGTTACATCGTCGCGGTGGTGGTCGAAGTCGTCGTGCTGGTGGTGGCATCGTCATAGGAGCGGGAATAGAAGGTGGAGGAGGAGGAGGAGGAGTGGGAGTGGGAGTGGGAGTGGGAGAAGAAGTGGGAGTAGGAGCAGGAGCACGAGCAGGAGCAGCAGGACGAGCATCAATCATGATACTCATAAGAAAATTATACACACACATTCAAAACGGCTACTGTTAAGACCACTGCTACGATTCGAAGACTGCTGCTGCTAGCAAGGCTTCTTGGAGCTCCTGTGCCCTCCACGACCCGAGGAGAATGCTTGTAGATGGTGAAAATGTTAGGGTTTGGCAGAACTGTCAAGGCTTGTTCTCGTTGTGTAGCTTTATTTTGACTTGTTGCACTTTTGGGATGTATTTCTGTACTTGTGTCTCTGTTTCATCTCCGTCGACTTCATCTATTCACGTATCTAGTTGCACAGTAACCACCCCTACTGCATGATGACTCGTACCTATGCAAGTTCACCGTGTCTGTTGCGCAGAGATGCGCAGAGGTGACTGCCGATGCAGGAGCTCTCCAGAGGTCTGTTGACTTACCTTTGGAGAGTAGGGAATGGAGGAATGGGGTACAATTATAACTACTATTACTACCCTTCTTTTATTCCCTACTAACCTAAGGTAAGTTGGATGGCTCGGCGTGGACCGTCATTGCACAACGGATTATGTATTCTCTCTCGATAATAATAAGCCCAAACCAGAAACCCGACTAAGTATCAAGCTACGAGCCACGGTACAGAAGCTAAAGTGACACTGCTGCCAAGATGCGTGGCGCAAATGTTTGCACCTTGCTTCGATATGCTTCGATGCATGTTGTACACAGAACACGGCGATTGCTCAAACTATATTGTATGGTGCGTGTGTGTCATATGTTATGAGGCTCGTTATGAGGATAAATGTTGTGTATGTATATATATATACATACACGTACTAGTGACGGGACAAAAGAACAAAAGACCAACTTCCGTTTGTGCCAAAGAACGGTTCCGACTCAAAGAGTCGTGCGTCGTCAAGTGGACCTGCTTCTGGGCGAACCCGAAACCCCACCCTAACCCTACTTGTCGGGTATCATGGGGAACCAAAGGTTAAGCTTTTTGGTTATATGGGGATTACATAGGGACTAGACCACCCAAAAAAGGTTAAAGGTTTTCTACTCTATTACTCGGTAACCCCAAATAACATGCCGTTCTGGGGTGTATAAGTTAGCAGATACCATTTCCATTTTCTAACCATGCCCACCCCCCTAGGCCACCCAAAGACCCAAAACCATAACAACCTATACCTCAACCTTCAACCCATTCAAGACCCATAGGTAGAACCCTAGGAAAGACCCAAAACCATAACAACCTATACCTCAACCCTAATCTCATCAAAATACCCAACCTAAAACCCACATAATAGAACCACTAGAAGAAACCATAGACCACCACATAGAAAAATCCCACCCTCAACTCCATACACCAACACTCCCATAGAAGAAAAACCCATATTCCCAACCCGAAATCCCCAACCCTTGAAAATGGAAATGGTATTCTCTAATAAAACAGCTATAATAGGAATAAGGTTTAGGGATAAGGTAGGAAACAATCATAATATTATAGTGAAACAAAATTATGGTTGCTCAATCTGTTAAGACATACTCCGGTTTATTCATAAGAGTTCCAACGATTTTGTTAAAGTCCCTAATAAATATATCCGTATTAAAACCAAAATCGTTTATCTTACTACGAATATCAGTATTTTTAATAATCATCCAATCCTCATATAACCATCTGAACCTTTCATATTTTCTTTTTGACAAATCTTTGAACAGACTATTTTTAACTCTGTCATAAATGGGAAAGTTATGTTTAATTGAGAAAATAAGTCTATCTACATCATATTCGTGTAGTATATTACGCTTGATAATTCCCTCTATCACTTCTTCGTTGAACTTGCGTTTTTGACAATTACGGCAAAAATAAGCAAAGCCATGAATATTATTAATAATATTTTCTGGTAGTGACAATTCGTATAGAGTGGAATAACGCGCGTGTTTTTTACAATCTTTACACTTACAATTCCGTCGCTCTTCCTTGAGTTCCCTGAAGTAGTCGCCAACCCTGACAACATCTGAGAACTGATTAATAATTTCATCCTGGTCTTGTTGGTTGAACATTTCCTATTAATATATAGGTCATATGTCTTTAGATGTTTTTCTTTAGAAATTCTTTTCTTAAGACCTATCAACCGGAATCTCAATAATTATCCTATCCTTATGCTTACCAAAAAGCATAAAATAATCTTCTAAAAACTCATCATTCAACAGCAACTGATGGACGTGATTGAATACTTTATCGACATCGGATTTAGGTTTATCGGGTTCTGGATGCGGTTCGTCATCAACAAATTTATTAGGAAATTGTTCGTTTAATCGTTTGCGTATTTCCCTTTTCTGCTTTTCGTATTCTGCCTTAATCTCTGCTTGTAATTCGTCGTTTAGTTTGCATTCTTTCCTTAAATTCCCCAACCTTTGTAAATAACCTTTCATCAATACATTTAGTTCCGAGTTCGGATGTAACGCATAATGGAAATGGGCATCCCAGTTTTCGTGTTTTATCTTATGTCCGCATTCTTCGCATAAATGGCTTCCTTTTGCCCTCTCTTCTCTTCTCGCTTGATTATACTCGTTTTTGTTTTTGCCGTAACATTTTCGTTTCGCTTCACGGCACCTATTACAAGTCTTAAAACCGTCAAACTCTTCAACATCTTTAGTCGCACAACATGATTTACACACTCGTTTCTCCATCTTACTATATTAAAAAGTCGAGTCTTTAAACACGGTTAGACCGAAACAATACTCTAATGATTGAATTCCTGAATTAAATCATTAGAACATTACATAGGGACTATCGGGGGTTTTCTTCTCCTTCTTCCAAAAGAACGAAACAAACTAATTAGACCATTACCACATTCTGTTGATGCGCTTATGGAAGCACACGGGGCACTGGCATGGGGGCACTCTGTCAAAACATATTAAAAATACATCTTTAAGTTATTTTAGTAATTCTTCTAACTGATAAAACTCAAACAGCAGTTTAAATCGTTTCTTATACTCTTCACAGTGATAATGATCCTCTAGTTCGTCCAAAATCGCAGTTAATCTAGCATTGTATTTCCTTATGTTCCTTCGTTCTTCTAACCAATTGTTCTTCTCTTCCTCTGTTTCTTTCTTAGGAAACAAACACTCCATATTTATATTATACAAATTTCTTACTAATTGTTAGCTTCAAATCGTTTAGTTCAAACTCCATCCTTTCTATTTCCTTCTTGATGAGTTCAATGTCTCTTTCAGTTCCTTCTAGTCTTTGTTCACGTTCCTCAGGGGTAATTCTATTTTGCCCCCATCCATTATCACACATTTCAACGCTTCCGACTTGACCGTCAGTTTTGAATATACCGTTTTCTTCGGGTGGAACATTCCTCCCACCACCAAATTTCAAATTTCGTCTATCCTCTATAACATTTGTCGTAACTATGTTGTTTTCTTTTGTTGTTTTAGTCTCCTTATGATAAGATTGTCTTTTACATCTACAAGGGATACATGATATACCGTTAGCGTTTATGAAAAACAATTTCTTCTTTTCGCTTTCTGTTATATCCATCATTTATACTATTAAACCTTTTAACAATTTTCAAGCAAATAATATCTGCTTTTACAAACTCTAATGATAAATAGCAACATCGCTTTACCTTGCTATCTTTTATTACCTGCGCTTCTACTACTTCTAGGCCGTTTATCGTTTCAATAAAAGTATCATAGTTTTCATTCATTATATATTTAAATCATATATTTTCTAATCAGCCCAACCGTAGAACCAATAGACATACCCGAATACAAATACAAAAACTCTAAACATGGAATGATGCCCAACCTACCCGCTAGGATGCTATGCGTGGCATCTTCTACGGGAGGCAACACGGTGCTTATCCAAAACTTATATAGTATTAAAAATCTACCGAAACTCCTTTGAAAGGATTTACATTTTCTCACCGACCGTTAATGTTGATGACACATGGACGCCCGTTAAGAAATATATAACCGATGTAACGAAGGTTGATACTGAAAAGGAGCAGGTTTATTATGAAGAATACGACCCAATAGCATTGAAGAAGTTAATAGAAACACAGCATAAAGTCATTGATTTTCAGAAGAAGAATAAACAAAAGGATTTGTTTAGCATCTTGATAGTTGTTGATGATTTCGCAGATGACCCCAAATTTGTAAGATACTCAAGCATTCTTCACGGTTTATTTACTCGTGGAAGACATAACGCCATCTCGTGTATTTTATCTACCCAAAAATACAATGTATTGGCACCGATAATTCGCTTAAATGCGAGTGCTTTGTTTATATCCAGGTTGAAGAATATGAATGAAGTTAATAGCTTCCTAGAAGAAAACAGCGCACTAGTTGATAAGAAAACACTATATATGATATGTATCAACAGGCCGTTAATTTTGCTCCTTACTCGTTCTTCTACGTAAACACCAACGCGAAGGATGTTAATAATATGTTTTTTATTAACTTCCAACAGCGTTTTGAAATTGATAATAATTAATAATATTCTATGTTTATATTATTAATTATCACTAAAATAATGATACAGGGCAACAATGTAAAGAAGTAAAATTGAAACAAGGGCATCGCCTTTTCTTTTTTAATGCTTCTACCTTCTTCTCTTCCATTTCTAGCTTATCTAATAGGTCTTTCATAGCAGTTAGTAATATATCTGTTTCAGATACTTCCCTACTTTTCTGTTTTATCAGTTCCATGCACACTTTATACTGATTTTCAAACTCACTCATATACATAAGCTTATATTATATTAATCGCTATCGCTATTATTTTTTATTTTCTTCTTCAACTTTGTTATTTCTCCTTTAAGGGTGGTCATTTCCTTTTTCATTGCTTTGAATAAATCTCTCATTTCCTCATTTTCTTTTATTGTATGTTGTAAAGCACTCCATAAAATTGGTGTGGTCATACTATAATCAAACTTTAGATATCCGTCTCTTCCCTCTCTAACGATATTATTCCATTCTTTGGGGAGCCCTTTATAATCCATCATATCGTTGGCAATAAAACCACAACATGACCTATCGCCGTATTTCATTTCATCAATAGACTTATATGTTTTAGGAACGATGTATTTTACCAGTTCTACTGCTTTTTTAATTTCTATCTCTTTTATGTCTTTCTTCAATCTTTGGTCACTGCTAGGGCCAACAGACCCTGTATAAGAAATGTCACCTATAACATCAATGCCGTCTGTGGCAACAGTTAAAACATTTTTCGTTCCTATTTCGGTTATCGTCTCACCGTCTGTATCTGGATTTCTCAAACATATTTGTTCCACTGCTCCTAATGCTGTTTGATGTGTAATACTAAACTTTTCATAGAAATCAACTGAACTACCTAAGACACGAAACTCGGGAGAACCAGTAGCACCAATATCTACACCAAATTCATTTTCGGTTGATAAGTTACCTATTACATCAAGTGTTTCATTACAAGTAGTCGCCTTATTTAATGTAATACCTGCTACATCATTCAATTGTAAATATATTTCCGATGATTGTGGGTCTGCGCTTCTGTTTGATTGTATTGAAAAGTTTTGCTCTATTGTTGAAATGAAATTCAATGAAAAATTAGCGTTAGATTGTTAATATATTCTACCTCTACTATTAATTAAAATAGTATTATTAAATGTATTATTAGAACCATTAAAATTACAATCACCACTAAAATTAGCACTACCCCCACCTGCTACATTTAGTCTCGTTGCTCCTCCTGCTATTGCTCCAATTCCTAAATTATTACAATATACTGCTCCTCCTGCTGTTGCTGTATTCAATAATAATTGCGATTGACTATCGTTAGAAGTATTATAAGCGTTAATATTCAAACTATGCATTTTTATATATCCCTGTGCGTTTTTTTACTGCTAAAACATTACTGGCGTCTGTTGTATTTTTAAATATTTCAATACCATTACCATTTGTTGAAGTTATTGTATCACCGCCCATTGTAATAATGTTATCCAAATCTAAACTATCTACTTTCGTGGCACCTCCAACGGATAAAAAATAACCGCTTTCGTTTGCTTTGCCTATTCCTACTTCCGCACTTGTTACACTTCCTAATCTCATTCTATTAGAATTATTACTACCACTATTATCATTTAAAATCATAGTATTCCCATCTTCAGTATTAGCGTTAGTGCATTTTAAATTGTTATTAACATATATCCACTGTGCTGTTCCGTCCCTAATTCGTAATGTCGGGTCGGTGTTATTGGATATCCTCCATAATTGAATACCATTGGCAGATACTGGTAAAAATATAGTATCGTTATTGAATATTACTGCTTCATTTAAAAATACTTGCTTAAAAAATGTTGTTCCGTTTGTCGAAAACGAGTTTGCCCTTTTGCTTGTCCATCTGTCGCATCAAGGATGGAAGAAGTGGCGCAACCACTGGTTCTTTTTCATATGCGTCTAGCAGACCAAGCTCATCGATGAAAATGACCAAACGCTCTGCAACGTCAGCACAAACCAGCTTCCGAATCACGTCGAGGCATTTATCGAAGTCACATGCCTCCACTGCAGCAAGCGATGCACCACATGCGGTGAGGAGCGCATGACCAAATGCAGTGTCATACCTATTGACTTTGCTGAAGGATTCGTGGAATCTGTCCTTCAAATCACCTTGCCGGTTGAAGGTGAAATATATAGCTTTGGTGTTCGATACATTCTTCACGAGCTCCAGAGAATTCAATAGCAACTGGGTCTTCCCGATGCCCTTCATTCCAGATGTGCCCAGCAGGTTGAACAGACCATCCTTGTTGGCAAAGTCGAACGGATTGGTTATGTAATTCTTAACCTGCTCCAACTCTTTCTCTCTGTTGAAAAGGGGACTGACATCTGGGTTCTGAGGCAAACGCCACTCCTTGCTTTCAATCTTCTGGTCGATGACGTCCTCCGTGATCTTGTCCTCGCAACACAACACAAGAAACGAGCAACCTAAACACCCAAAAACTTAAGCACGGAACCTAGCAAGGACCAAACACCTAGGCGAACTAATTAACCCTACGGGGGAAAGACGGTGTATTTTCGACCCTGTTGCGCCTCGGATGGTTGCGACTGCGCCTGCAGGAGCATCTGCTGGGCAAAGTCTATACGCTTCTGCGCATTCTGCATTGTCGTCTGTGCGTCCTCCATTGTCTTCTGTAGGAACTGGATGCGCTGCTCGTCTCGGTCTTGGACACGTTTCGCAATTTCATCGCTCCACATTTGCTCCTTTTCACCGTGTTTCTTCTGCGCTTCATCGTAGTCGTTCTCTGCCTTGTTCAATTTGGCTGTCCAATCTGGTAGGTCCGGTCGCGCTAGGGAAAAGGCTCGCCCGCTCCAAGCCGCAACCAACGCCACTCCACAAACCAACGACCATATCAGCACGGCTCGGCGGAGGGTGCCATGTCGGCGCAGAATGCGACGAACCATTCTGTCTACAAAATCAAACTGCTTGATGTGTGCATGTTGTCTGTGATTGTGCGATTGCCTGCTGGTCTTGAGCGAACCTCAGCATGATGGCGGTTCTGATGTTGCGCGACCTTATTACCTAAACATTATAAAATATTATAGTTATTTTACTAGAGAATACCATTTCCATTTTCAAGGGTTGGGGAATATGGGTTTTTCTGGGGGTATTGGTGTATGGGTTTGAGGTTGGGTTTTTTCTATGTGGTGGTGTATGGTTTCTTCTAGTGGTTCTATTATGTGGGTTTTAGGTTGGGTATTTTGATGGGATTAGGGTTGAGGTATAGGTTGTTATGGTTTTGGGTCTTCAGGTGGGTCTTTCCTAGGGTTCTACCTATGGGTCTTGAATGGGTTGAAGGTTGAGGTATAGGCTGTTATGGTTTTGGGTCTTTGGGTGGCCTGGGGGGGTGGGCATGGTTCGAAAATGGAAATGGTATCTGCTAACTGTATATAGGGGTTTTCGTGGGGTTTCGACTCGCACCCTTGCACAAGGCAGGCACGGCTCCATGAGGTCTCGTCACTACCGTGACGTACGGTGGAGGAGCTTTCAGGAGCTATCAGGAAAGCATTCGGTTCAGGGGTTAGGGTTTGGGAATACAAGGAAAGAAGTATGCCACAGTCTTGCCTTGTCAGCTCCCTCTCCGCCCTACGTCTGCTGCAGCCAGTCGTGTAGGATACGCCGTCAACTAAATTACACATGGAACGGGATAAAGATCTAGAGGGCTGTTACACGATTGTCGCACTGTTCAAGACCGCCATCGCCATGGCAAGCTCACACAACCGATCCTACTGTAAGTAGCTGCTTCAAAACATGCTCTCCACGAGGTGGGGTTTAGGGTCCAGGGTTTCGTTTCACGTCTAAGGACTCAGATTAAGAAAGAACCCTGAAAAAGGTAGGTGATTTTGGTGTCCAGGCAAGCCCCTAAACCCCTTTTGCCACTGGACTCAAGTCTGGCCACTAAACCCTGTTGTTATAAGCACGGACTTGGAGTGTATGCTTTTAGTGGCCCCTAAACCCTAAGCCCCCCAAAACCCCTAAACCCCTAAACCCCCTAATCCCCTACACCCCTAATACCCCTTAACAACCCTAAACCCCTAAACCCAAAACGACCTGCTTGTGGGCGTTCGTGAAGATCGCCCCAAACGAGGCGAGACTGCCTTGGAAGCCTGTACCTCACAGCTTCAGGGGTTTAGCCGTTTAGGGCTTTAGGGGTTTAGGGTTTAGGGTTTAGGGCTTTAGGGGTTTAGGGGTTTAGGGGTTCAGGGGTTTAGGGGTTCAGGGGTTTAGGGTTTAGGGCTCCTTATATAACTCCTTCTATTTTGGGGGTTATAGGCCCAGGGTACCTCACAGCTTCAGGGTTTGGGGCTTAGCCAAAGGGGTCCTATAAAGGGATCTTTAAGGGTGTCTATAGGGTTGCTACAAGGGTACTATATGGGAGATATGGGAGTCTCCACCTCACAGCTTCAGGGTTTGGGGTTGACGGTTTAGTCCTCCTAATGTAGGAACCTGATTAAGAAACCTTGGGCCTTTATTAAGGCTCCTTACATGACTCCTACTATTTTGGGGGTTATAGGCTCAGGGTTTCTCACAGCTTCTGAGTTTGGGGATTAGCCCTGCTATCTAGCAAGGACCTGCATTGCAGGGTAATGGGATTGGGGATTCTGGCTTCTTTCCCTCCTACCCAGCAAGGACGAGGCCCGCATTGCGGGAAATCTTGGTTGAACAGTTGAAAGAGCTAAGATTTCACAGAGGGCTTAGGGTTTAGGGTGGTCTAGGGTTTAGCGGGGTTTGGGGTTCAGGTTTCAGGGCTTTACATGTAGGGTTGGTCAGGGTATGCATCCTACTTGGTTACGCCAAGTGTGTCCATGCAGTTATTTGATTCTTGATGGTTCTCTAGCTTGGACGGCAGTGCCAGGAAGGACGCAACAACAAGTTGTTTAAGCTCCGGAACAACTCCAACTGATTTCAGCAGCCACAAGCTCGCCTTGTTTTGTGGGTCCTCTCTAGCCCGTCGCTGGCCGCGGTCTGAACAAGAGTGGTGGGCTGGGGTGCAGAAGCCCCCAAATGCGTCAAAACCTGCCATTTTGGGCACTAGCTTTACAGGTGCCGGGTTACCAGGGAGGACGGGCCCTGGGGCTGTACACTCAAACACTTAAACACACTGGAAAGGTGGATGCCTAGTGGCCCCCTACAGCCTCTGTGCATCTCTGAGCACAATGTGGCCGATGTTTCAACGGATCAACAAGAATGAGTCGAGTCCGGAGAAGCATGGCCAGAAGGCACATCACACCTGAGAGTGGCGGAAGGCGGTAAAGGGAAGCGTTTCGGCCCTTTCCGAGCTCCTTTCCCGGCGCGGCACTACCTGTTCAGATAGGCCAAGCTCCGGATCTTTGCTCTCTTCGGCCTTCTCCGTCTCTTGCTGTGCGACGTCGGTCTGCGGATCTTCCTTACTCACCTCCTTTACAGCCTTGGGTTTCGGGGTGATCCAGCCACAAAATGTCGCGGTGAATGGGTCGATGATGACGAAGTCCAGGAAGATTGCAAAAAGGATGGAAGTAGCCCATGTGGCCAACATGGAATTCCAGGAGTCCAAGGCAAAACGTCCAGCATAGTGCATGCAAACGGCCCAAGGCCAGTGGGTGAGGTAGACCGTGTAGGAGAGCTTAAGCATAGCAGCTGCTAGCTTGCGGATGCCGTCAGTAAGGCTTGACAGCAGCCTGAAAGAGTTGCAATCGCAGCTGAGCAACACCACCAGCATAAGCTGCAGAGGTCCTGTGAGGAGGTTGTTGTAGGCCAGGAGCGCATCGATCATCGGCAGTCCAGTCGACGGCAAGAAGTTCGTGCATCCGATCAGCACGAGGACCAAAACGTCAGACAGAAGCCAAACATGCCACTTTCGCACCCATGCCGGCAGCGCAGTGCGAGCGGTGATCTGCTCCATGACAGCCCCCATGAAGGGGACCCAGATCTGCGTGGGACTCCACAAGTGGATGATGCGCGCATTAGCCTCCAGGTCCCCGGTCCATTGTTCCAGCAGCGCCAGCACTAGGCATGCGATCCCTGTGCGCAGGGCATACAGGATGGCCAGCACGACAAGAAGCCGCCGAACACTCTGCCGGCGTGTCCACCTCAAAAAGAAAGGAGACACGTAGTGATAGGTCAGCAGCGTGGAGAGGAACCAAAGCGGTCGGTTCATGGTCCACCATGAGAGCAGTGGGTTCCAGCCGCCGATGGTCAGAATCTCCAGGCCGTACTGCAGCAATCCTTCCCAGCCATCGCATTCCAGGGCCAAGGGCACGGCTGTGAAGACGACGGCCACGATGTACGGTGGGATGAGGCGTGAAACTTTCTTCAGCATGTGGTTTGCCCAGCTGGCATCCTTCCACGTAGCCGACGAGAGCCATCCGGAAATCAGCATCATGCCCATCATTAACTCCACACCATGGTCCACAGTCCTGTAGGGCAAGTAGTGGGCCAATTGCACACGGTGGTTGGGGGCGTTCAGAAGCTGCTGATGGAAGCCCACCAACACGAAAATGTAACATGCCTTCACCCGGTCAAAGCTCACGACGGCCTTGGACCCTTCTGGCCGGAACGAAGCGAGTGTGCGGCCCTCCATGGCAGGATTGAGGAAGGCTCCCTGATGCTGGCGACTGCGACCACTGGACTTACACCTTGAGCAAAAGCTGCTGTATCTACCCACCTGCCTATGCGCTCTCAGGAAGAAGCTGGCAGGAGGTCATGAAATTGCATGGACGAGCATTGCAAGCCGAATTGTTCAGGGTTCAGGGTTTTGCATTTAGGGTTGGTCATGGTATGCATCCTACTTAGTTCACAACTCTGTCCATGCAGTTCATTGATTCTTGATGGTTCTCTAGCTTGGACGGCAGTGCCACTGAATCCAGCAGCCACAAGCTCGCCTTGTTTTGTGGGTCCTCTCTAGCCCGTCGCTGGCCGCGGTCTGAACAAGAGTGGTGGGCTGGGGTGCAGAAGCCCCCAAATGCGTCAAAACCTGCCATTTTGGGCACTAGCTTTACAGGTGCCGGGTTACCAGGGAGGACGGGCCCTGGGGCTGTACACTCAAACACTTAAACACACTGGAAAGGTGGATGCCTAGTGGCCCCCTACAGCCTCTGGGCATCTCTGAGCAAAATGTGGCCGATGTTTCAACGGATCAACAAGGATAAGTCGAGTCCGGAGAAGCATGGCCAGAACGCGCATCACACCTGAGAGTGGCGGAAGGCGGTAAAGGGAAGCGTTTCGGCCCTTTCCGAGCTCCTTTCCCGGCGCGGCACTACCTGTTCAGATAGGCCAAGCTCCGGATCTTTGCTCTCTTCGGCCTTCGCCGTCTCTTGCTGTGCGACGTCGGTCTGCGGATCTTCCTTACTCACCTCCTTTACAGCCTTGGGTTTCGGTGTGATCCAGCCACAAAATGTCGCGGTGAATGGGTCGATGATGACGAAGTCCAGGAAGATCGCAAAAAGGATGGAAGTAGCCCATGTGGCCAACATGGAATTCCAGGAGTCCAAGGCAAAACGTCCAGCATAGTGCATGCAAACGGCCCAAGGCCAGTGGGTCAGGTAGACCGTGTAGGAGAGCTTAAGCATAGCAGCTGCTAGTTTGCGGATGCCGTCAGTAAGGCTAAACAGCAGCCTGAAAGAGTTGCAATCGCAGCTGAGCAACACCACCAGCATAAGCTGCAGAGGTCCTGTGAGGAGGTTGTTGTAGGCCAGGAGCGCATCGATCATCGGCAGTCCAGTCGACGGCAAGAAGTTCGTGCATCCGATCAGCACGAGGACCAAAACGTCAGACAGAAGCCAAACATGCCACTTTCGCACCCATGCCGGCAGCGCAGTGCGAGCGGTGATCTGCTCCAAGACTGCCCCCATGAAGGGGACCCAGATCTGCGTGGGACTCCACAAGTGGATGACGCGCGCATTAGCCTCCAGGTCCCCGGTCCATTGTTCCAGCAGCGCCAGCACTAGGCATGCGATCCCTGTGCGCAGGGCATACAGGATGGCCAGCACGACAAGAAGCCGCCGAACACTCTGCCGGCGTGTCCACCTCAAAAAGAAAGGAGACACGTAGTGATAGGTCAGCAGCGTGGAGAGGAACCAAAGCGGTCGGTTCATGGTCCACCATGAGAGCAGTGGGTTCCAGCCGCCGATGGTCAGAATCTCCAGGCCGTACTGCAGCAATCCTTCCCAGCCATCGCAGTCCAAGGCCAAGGGCACGGCTGTGAAGACGACGGCCACGATGTACGGTGGGATGAGGCGTGAAACTTTCTTCAGCATGTGGTTTGCCCAGCTGGCATCCTTCCACGTAGCCGACGAGAGCCATCCGGAAATCAGCATCATGCCCATCATTAACTCCACACCATGGTCCACAGTCCTGTAGGGCAAGTAGTGGGCCAATTGCACACGGTGGTTGGGGGCGTTCAGAAGCTGCTGATGGAAGCCCACCAACACGAAAATGTAACATGCCTTCACCCGGTCAAAGCTCACGACGGCCTTGGACCCTTCTGGCCGGAACGAAGCGAGTGTGCGGCCCTCCATGGCAGGATTGAGGAAGGCTCCCTGATGCTGGCGACTGCGACCACTGGACTTACACCTTGAGCAAAAGCTGCTGCATCTACCCACCTGCCTACGCGCTCTGAGGAAGAAGCTGGCAGGAGGTCATGAAATTGCTTGGACGAGCATTGCAAGCCGAATGGCCACTCACAGAGGAAGATGCCAGCAAAGCCAGGCCATAGTGCCCCTCCAGTATCCACGTCACCATGACAGCTAGCACCTTGGAGTTTCCACGTGCTCGGTATCGCTCTCAATTATCTACACTGCAACCTGCCCCTCCGCCTTGGAGTTTCATGCAGACTCTCCCACCAATTGAGGAGCCTCCTATTCATATACTATGCTATGCTATACTATAATGTAACCTGATATAAACTAACGAAACACGTACAATATAACATATAATAGTACATGATAGTACATGCATAATATATTACAATGGGCTACGAGGCCTCCCCGAAACAGATACACCTCAAGCCTAGGTAGCTCGAGGCCGGCGCGAGAAGAAGGGCGGGCGTGGAAGTGGAGAGGAAGCCTTGACCGAGACCTTGCAGAACAACCTCCAGGGGGGCAATGAATGGGCTATGAAACAATTACAGTGCAGCCTATGCCCGAAACTCAAAATTCTGAAGCCTGAACCCTACAGCAAGAGCGGCGGGCGGGTTTTGACTTCGACGCTCGCACTCGCACAAGGCAGGCAAGGCTTCAGGGTTTAGGACCTTAGGATCCTTCGCCTCATGCGACACTGACACCATGGCAAGGAGCCTGGACCACTCCGTTCTTGGAGTTAGCTGCCAATGATCTTATGGGCCAGTAGTCAGGGGACGTGAAATACTCGCCCGCCATAACGCAAAGCCTCGGCACTTGACTTGGAAGTTGTGCGCGGCTCCGAGGAAGATAACATGATCTAATTTAGGGCCACAAAAAGCACAAACCCCCTTATAATGAAGCCCAATAAGGTAGGGATATCCCCCCTAACAATTACTGCCGTGTTCCTTCGATTCAGGTCAGAAGCTCTGGTAGAAGCTGCCCGACCATCGAGATGACAACCTTATTCCACGGAGTGGGAGGTACCAGGTAAAGTGACCCGAACTCCGGGTTGGGGTTGGGGTTAACCAGCGCCCCAACCTCAGGTTAGAGTTGGGGTTGACTCGAACCTTGAACCTGTGGTCCGAAGACTTCGACCAGCAGCTTGGCACCCCATGCAAACACTGCCGGCCAGGCGGCAAAATGCCAGAACATGGAGAAGGTGATACTGCCATGCACCCACTCCAGGTAGCTGATCCCGATCCTGGGTTTGCCCAAACTGTACCGACGATGCACTCTTCCTATACTGGTACATGGACACATGATAGCTCTCGTGCGTCTCTGGTGCTGCACAAACTGCACGAAGACAATCACAGCCACCCTTGGCTAGTGCCACAATCATCTGCAGCAGGGGCAACAGGCAAGGCCTTGTCAAGACACAGATTGAGACGCATCGACCACCGTATGGCTCTGGCGGTGTATCCTTGCCAGGGGAAGCTCTGCAACACCCATGTCATGCAAGCATTACATGGAGCAGACAAGGATGTAAGGGAGTTCTCGTTTCTCGGCTCTTCACGGTATGATACTTTGTGGCTTGCGAGATCTATCAGAAAATTCTAGTAAAATGACTGCCCGTGTTTCCGGGACTGCAGAAAACAGAACCGCCCGGACGACACATCAGCGACCAGTGCAGCTTAGACGGCAAGAGCGACCAGACCCTCTACATTCTGCAGCGACGAGGAGGAGAAAAGCCATAACTTCGGCAAATTCAGTCCCGGGAAATTACTGCTGAAAGACTCGTCAAGAAAAGCCAGCAAGGTTTTGCGCAAGTTGCTAAGCAACCCGTCGGCACAAGCACTGCAAATGTGGACCAGTCATGAGACAAGGGGCTTTCTGTGCAGTGCACTTTGAAAGTTGCCACGGCGCATCCTGCCAGAGTATATCTGCCCCGACAGCCCGAAGTACGGCCTTGCTACCGAACCCAAAACCAGAAACTCTCCACATCTGTGGCGTGGCACCTATGTTGCCGGAGGCCACAATCCAGAAGGGAAGCCCCGTCAGAAAATGTGGCACCGCTGATATCTTCGCTCCGATGATGGCAGATGTGCTGAGGATCAACACCATGGATTCCTCCAAGAGGGCTCTTGAGAATTGGGGTTGATGACAGACATGGATTCTGTGTGCATTGCTTCAAGAAGGCCCGCTCGAAACGTTGATTGAGGAGCAGAATCAGAGAGAGGATCCGCAAGCAATCGACCAACTGTCGCGAAGTCAAGGCACGAAAAGATCAGCGCAAGTCCCGGTCACATCACATATAACCTCTCCAATCTCATCCAAAAAGTCGATAGGATGGAGATCCTGGGCACGATAGGCAAGACGGCGCTCTGTTCGGGAAGCCTCTGTCCATATTTGTTCGAGGCGAGTCGTCCCCCCGACGAATCACTGCAGCTGGAGCGTCCGCACAGATATCTTGCATCTCTTCCTCCAAGAGACGCAGTTGATCTAAGGCTTCCTCCTCGTCGTCCTCCAAGCCTTCAAGAATAGCCAGAACGCTGAAAAAGGTCCATCAGAGCAGCTAAGAGTCTACCTACAGTCTCCATTGTAGTTCCATGTTTGGCTCAACCATTTCTGATTTAGGATCCTATGTCCTATGAGGTAACCCAAAAAAAGGACCGCAATTGAGACTACAGGTGGGGCTTCGATCCCTACATGAAGACGACAACGCAGTGTTTCGGCCTTTCTGCAGACGCTCTTTTCTCGTGTTCGCGATGTTCTCCTGAGGCATCGTCGGTTTAGGGTCTGGGGTTTAGGATTTAAAGTTTAGGGCTCAGGGTACCGAAAACGCCAGACTGGCACAAGTAACAACTCTCCCCTCTGTGACATCCTACTTGCGAGCTGACTGCCAGCACGTCCTCTGAGTTGGGCGGAGAAGTCTCTCGGCGTTGCTTTTAAATTCAGAGGAGCATGCGATAGAGAATGTATAGGGCTAGGGGTCTTGACGATGACAATCCCACTGTTTACTCCCAGGCGCCCCTAGTTTTCTGAACCTCTGCTCAACGCATTTCAAAAATGCCGCATCTGGAGCTGAGGCTCCATGCGCTGCTGTAACTCGAAGACGCGCCGCTCTTCGTCAAACTTCGTCTCGCTCATCTCACCCACGAGATCGCCACCTGCAAACGTTGCTTGAACGATCTCGGAAGAAGTCGCCATAACTAGGGTCTTCGGTAGGCGAACCCCAATCGGATTTCGCCTTCAAGCCAAAACTTGAACCCTCAAACCCCAAATGAACCATGCAGCCTAGACCCACAGTAATTAAGCCTCAAAACACAGAGCAAGTCCTAAACCCTCTCTCTCTCTCTCTCGCGGACTCAGGGGTCTGTCAGCCCAACCCTATAAACCCAAAATGGGCCCTAAACCTAAAGCAATCCCTGAATCCTATAATTTCCAGTAAGCCCTAAACCCACACGCCGTCGAGGTGCCCAAGTCCGCGCCCTTGGAGAAGATCCCCCCGCCCACTCGCAGGTAGAAGGAGACGAGGCAGGCCCCGGATCCGAAGCCCGAAAGCCTGGGTTTTGGGGGGGTTTTGGGGGTTTTGGGGGCTTAGGGGTTTAGGGCTTTAGGGGTTTGGGGGTCTGAGGGTTTAGGTTTTTTGCTTCTTATCGCCTCTTTTCCTTTCCGCCTCCAGGTTGGTTGGGAATGCCTATTAGGCTGAGGCTTCTGTGCCAGCCGGCTCTTTGCAGGGATTCACCACCTATCACCACTATCCCCGTACTGGCAATTACCGCAACCCGTAAACAGGCATCAGGAGCCGGCTGTTCATTGCACCAATCGAAGCACACCCTGCACATACCTGTTGAACTAGCCAGTACGTGTAACATCTACCATCATCCTGCAGGTGTACAAGTCAAGCCTCCAGGCAGCAAGGTCGCAGCCGCTTCACTCCAGGGTTTAGGGGTCAAGGGATTCAGGGTTTGATGTTGTTGTTTTTGCCTCCCGCCTGGCTAGGACGAACCTACGAACCTACGATGTAGGGTCTTCTCCATGGCTCCCAAGATCTTTTTGGTTGCTTAGGGCTTAGGGTTTACGTCTTTGTTGGTCTTTTCTTGCCTCCTGCATTGCTGAGCGAATCACTAGGCAAGGTTTCAGCGCTCACACTCGGACAATCCAGGCGAGGCAATTGGTTCGAGGTCCGCTAACATGCGAAACGTACTCTTGAGAGCACAGACAGCAAGACAGCTTCCCCAAGAGATTCACCTGACATCATGGGCTGTGGCTCTCACTGAAATCTCTGCTGTGAGAGCTACCCTAGTTCAAGAATGTTCAAGACCTCAGCCGCTACTCTTGGCAAAGTGCTCTGGAGGGAGATCGGGAAAGCACTTATTGAATCGACTTAAACTTAACCTCAATTTCTTAGGGGCGCATCTAATGCTTCTTCTAAGTAGGCTTCTTCGCAGCCGGGGCACCATTAAAGGAGCTAAATAAATCCTGGTAAAATCCTTCGCTGAACGTGTGATAAACTGGGTCCTCAGGTGGCTCAAGCATGCCAAGCTTTTTGTAGCCTTTTCTAGCCTTGCCTAGCTTTTCAATGGAATTCCTTAGCCGGGCCCCCGGCCCAAAATCAGGAAAAATTTAGCTTTTTCTAGCTTTATCTAGCTTTATCTAGCTTTATCTAGCTTTTTCTAGCTTTTTCTAGTGGATTGGAAAACGCACTGCATGCCACATAATTCCAGGAAAAATCCACCGCTCAACCAACTGTCAACCCTAAAGCACCAAACAGAACCTTCAATCATACATCCGAAATCCGCCACCCTGAACCCTTTATCTTCATCCCAAAACCCTCGCCACTATCTCCAAACCCTGAACTCCTGAACCCAAAGCCACAGGTCCAATCGAGACGTCATTGCAGGAAATGATTTGTCTTTTTTAGCTATTTATAGCTTTTTATAGCTTTTCTTAGCCTTTACAAGCTTTGCCTATGTTTTTGACATGTTCCATGGCTTTCTTGTACTTTTCCTGCAATGCTGAAGCGGCCCGCTTTGAAGCGACATGTGATGTGCTCCTATGACAATTCCTCAATCAGAACCCAGAAGCAAGGAGGTGTCTAAGATCCAGAACCACATCCCGGCCATACCTCGCAGCACAAGAGGGCTTGGACTTGGGGCATGTAAGTGTTCGCGGGTTTCGGGAGGGGTTTCGGGGCTAGGAGGTGCTTTGTGTGAGGGTTTCAATGTTATCATCACTTGAAGAGGCTCCGATTGTGTTGAGAGCCCGTTGCCGCCGCCGCTTTTTCCAGCCCATTTTGGATTTGGGACGTATGTAGATTAGTCAAACATTATGGCAAACCACTGGGGCGCAGAAGATTGCAAAAGAAGTGCCAGAAGAAGGCAAAAGGCCCCCCAACGCGAGCGAAGTAGAGAGGAGGCCCCCGATGGATCCTGTCCACATCCCCAGCTGGACGGAGCGGGACAAGTTCTCTGAGAGCAGCGTGGCCAATCGACATGTCCCTTGCACGGTGGTGCGGACGCCGACCCAGGCAGAGACCAGGTTCAACAGCGCTCCAGCGCCAAAACACGTTAACGTGCCCCAGCCCGCTGTGACGAAAACATAGCCACCAGCGGAGACCAAAAAGAGCAAGATCACAGGGATGGTGCGCGACATGTAGATCTGGACACCTGCATTGATCAGCATGTTGATGTCCACCTCACAAGGCAATCAGAAGTGTAGAAGGGGACACCATTGATGATGCATGTCCGCGGTGCTTGCTGGTCAAGGCGCATTTCGGGAAATCCCTTGGGTCTCCAGCAGCATCGAGTTTGCAAAGAAACTCACCTTAGACACCGAACGAACCCCAGCAAGACACAGTAGCAGTTACAGACACGGAACGTGTAGGACTCTTCTATACTCTAAACCCTAAATAAACCCTTGGTGCAGAAGGGAGGCGGTGAAAAGCCCAAGAGAAGCTGCTGCAACCGAGTAGTACAAGGCAACTTGCGGCAGGTGGTACCCTCAGCAAGCATTTCATGATCCGCGCAGTCTGAAGTTCATTACATTCCGCTATGTTATGTTGTATAGTATCATCGTAAACATAATAAATACATGTATCTCTATATATATATATATATATGTATATGTATACACATGTGTGTGTGTATGATCATATGATATATTATATATCACATGGTCACGGGCACATGCAGCAGAGCGGCTGAAGGGCTCATTGATCTCTCTCATGGTGGCCATGTTGGGCTGCTCTGCGGGGCCATAGGGCGGCTTCTGCTGCCGTACGAAGGAGATCCTCGGCTCTTGCTAAGGAACTTATATATATATATATATATATATATATATATATACATATATAGATAGATAAATAGATAGATAAATAGATAGATATATATATATATATATATATATATATATACATATAACTTAAGTTACCATAATGGCGTTATGAAAGAGTTCCTTTAAGGGATCTGTAAAGGGTTCCTTTTTAGGGTTAAAGGAGCTTGATATTTGAGTTACCATAATAAGGAAACCATGATATTGTGTACAATATATATATATATATATGTCTCCCTATTATGGTATAAATTAAATCCCTTAACAAGAACCCAGGATCTCTTCGGAGATCCGCTCGATGCCATCGCCCTGAAGGAGCGATCGAGCTGAGACGCGTGGGCAGGTGATGTGTCCGGTTCGGAGGGTTTCTTCAAACTACGGGTTTCTCTTGTTCAGGGTCCTATAATACCGAAACTCCGTAAGACCCTTTTGCATCCAGGCCTCCTGTGGTGTTGCCGGGTTATCAGCGCACTTGCACCGAAGATACGAAGGAAACAGCACTCAACATATGCGACCCCACTAGCTCTCGTGGCTAGGTGATCACTTGTCGAACTCTGTGATAAGCATCATGGTTCAACACGGTCAGAAGAAGTAGGTTACTGAAGGACTGAAAAAGATCCACATGTGCAAGCTGTAGATCAGGCAAAAAGGCGTCGCAGTCATGCGAAGCTACGGAGAGTGAAATGACCCAGGCAGGATACTTCATACGAACGAGAGCGAGCGCCTCACACAAACTCTGACGCAGACACTGTGGCTGAATGCGGATTGTCATGGGCCCTTCCTCTTCATCTATCCATGCCAGGCAATAGCCCTCACAGTGCTCGCACAATACACAGGAAAAGAGCCATGGAACAACCTGTAGGAGTGCATACTGCCATTTAGGCCATGGGCAATCCGAGATATACGAGTGCACCTCATCTTGTGCGACACGGTCGAAGTGGGACTGTCCCGCATGTTGCCACTTCTTCCTATCCTCTGCTAGTAACACCATCGGCGAAGGCTCCGGAATCCCAAAAGCATGACCCTAATACCCTGAACCCTAATACCTTACTTTTCAGAGCCGATTTGGAGTAGTGTTCGGATTGAAGGGTTCCAAGGTCTCTGAATCCTTACCTGGCGTCACCCCTGCGGCCTGGAAGGTCAGCACACCCATGGTCACAGAGCCTGTGCTGGCAATAACCAAACAAAGAGCATCAGGCTCAATAAATGTAACGGATTAGGGTTTAGGGGTTTAGGGAATGTATGCTAATTTGGCTCTGCATGGCTGGTCTCGAGGACTCGCTTGGCTGGGCTACGAAGTGTATCCTGCATAGGGACTCTATTTTCATACTATTCGCATCGGACGGTGGGGCCGCTGTAGTGCTCGAAACAAGGATGCAGCCCAGGGGCAAATGCACACCACCAGCCAGAACATCATCATCCACGCCGCAAACCAACTGAACTCTCCCTCGACAATCACGATCTGGCGGCAGGATCATCTGGAATGCCCTAAACCCTAAACCCTTTTTTACACCTGGACTACGCATATGCCAGGAACTGAGGGACCCTGAACCCCAAACCCTAAGACATCTTCTGGCTTGCTGGCGCAACCCGGACCTCCTCACCGGCTTTCTCACGTACCTGCTCTTCCTCACCGCCCTGGTTCTCCATGGCCTCATCCACCCGTGCGCGCCACAAGGAGAAGACGGGAACCCAAACCCTAAACCCCGATCTCCTTCCAGCACATCTGGCTAGTTGTCAAAATTATGGCCCCTTTTTGACCCTAAACATTAGGTGCCGTACTAGAAAGGACCCAAAAGGGGACCATAATTTTGTCTAGCACCCATCTCAGTCTCGGACCACTAGGAGCCTCTACCTGCAGAGATTCGAAGAGCTGCTGCTGCTTTCCACGTCGCTCCTGCGCTGCCTGGAGGTGTTGGCTTAGGGTTTAGGGTTTAGGTATCCCGATTCCATGCTTCAACTACCGGTTGCTTTGCGAGACGAAACCAGGAAACCAGTGCCCATGATGCTAACGGCCTGTTGGGCAGCCCATCGCTCAACAGATCCCAAGGCGAGCCATGGCTGCAAGGACTCGAGAAACTACGTTCGGACCGGCCAAGGGGCTCCGAAATTCACTCAAGGGCTCGGCTCTTGTCTACAATGGCGTCTCATGGAAAGCAGTTTGACGGAGGTCCGGAGCACAAGCCCCTGGCATGGAAAGTGAGGAGCGATGAGATGGGTGTGCCGAAGACCTGGATCCACGCAAAGGCCCAGAGCAGGAAGCATCGGAACCCCACCATTTGCAAAGACTACGGCCGTAGACAGAGGGATCCTATTCCCAAGTAATCCCGACCCGCCCCGAAATCCTCAAAGTTGGGCCTCCCAGTGCTTCACGTCTTCCTTGAGCTTCGTCACATCCACCAAGACACCGGTCCGTTCCTGCGTGACGAAGGTTCCTGCCGTGTAGCCTCGCATGGGGGATCTGGCACTTTGCTTCTTACATACTATAATGATGAATGACATATACTACGGTATCTGGCAGATGTTATACGACACACAATATACCATATGGAAGATGTGACGTATAACACATGGCATACACTATGTGACACATCATATAAGGCATGTGATACTTGATATAGTGCACGTTGGAGCAAGTCAGGCCGCGACCGATCGTGTATCCGAGATCACAGTCGAAGTTGCTTGGAAGTGCTGCACCTTGGCATAGATGCAAGCCGGCAAAGCGCACATCCAGCTTGAAGGTCATCTAAGCCAGCAGCGTGCTTGGTATGGAAGGGAGTATGTAATTGCCTACAGCTGCCACAGTCGGACATGCCACCAGCAGAATGTGCACCGGGAGCCTGGAAGGGACCCCTGAACTTGCCCATGACCACGCGTCTTGTGAGCTCGCCCTCCACCATGCTTTTGAAGATGACCTCCGATGCTTCCATATGCTTCAGCACGTCTTAACTCAGCACAATCACCAGGAGCAGCCTCCTGGCGCCAACATACTCAGAAACGGAGAAGTCAAACGGCACCCTTCCCATGAAGACCCGTGCTAAACGCCGAGAGCAGAAGAGAACAGAGCAAACCCAGATAGATGCCGAAAGGCCTCCAACCCCAACCGTCACCTTTGACGCGACACAAAGGCGAAGACGTGTGTTGCAAGTCTCTTGTGCTTTACGTTTCGCCTGCACCTCCCGAGCCTTGCACGGACAAAGAAAAAGACATCTCCGGGCCAAGGCATGAGAAATCATGAGAAGACCCTGAGCCCAGACTCTCATAAGCCATCTCTGAGCAAGGCATTCTGCTAAGGCATTGAACGTTCGCTCATTACATGTCAGCTTCCTCAGAGGACTCAAAAAGATTGCAGTACGATGAGCTTTCACGTCCTGCACTTCGCAAGTTGCTAGCTCCTTCCGAGCGCAACTCACGGGGCCTTAGAGAAACGCTTTTCCACGGCAAGCAACTATGAAACTATAACAAGCAGTAGCAGTAGAGGTTTCGTAGTGGTCAGCACCCCAAGACAGACATCTTCGTCAAGATCTTCAAGACAACAAACCTTCGTCGAGTGCGGAGGCCCCTTCTGCCGACACTGCCGGCCTCTGTCTCGACAGTGCCAAGATCAATATTGCCGCCACGACAAAATTCGCCCTGCAACATGACTGGGCATGAGTTAAGGAAGAAAAAAACTTCTGTAGACACACCTAGGGGATCTCACTGCCTCGACCACCACTCGGCAAATCTGCACACGAACTCGCTCGGGCATCGACTTGAACCTGCTTGCTCCAGTTTCGACCCGATACCGAGAAACCCAGCAGCTCGCCAAGATCTGCAGGAACAGCTGAGTACCCCAAGGCTTCTGCAGGGCCGCAGTGAGAGGTGGCCTGGTCAGGGCCAGAGGGTCGGGTCGCATCTTCTCTCATGGCCCTTCCTTCGCTTCCCATCACCGGGGCGCCGGCAAGAGATGCTGAACAACGGGCATGTCAATGATGCCATTGGTGTTCAGGTCTCGGATGGAGTTGTTTATGCCGTGCAGTCAGCCGTTAGACCGAGTGAAAACAGAGAGCGCGGCTTGCAAAGCACTCCGGACAGGCGGTGTAGATCTCGTAGATCTGATCAGGATGAAACCACTTACGAAACAGCATCAACACATCCGCTCAAGCCCAGCGCCTCCCGGAAAAGCTGTTTCATCTCCTGAGCTACTCTGCGAAGCCCGCTGTGGACTGTAATTGCCTTTTCTTGGATAATGATGGGCACTTTCCGGTCTTTCCGTCTTTTGCGATGCAAGTCGCAAAGACTGATGCCAGGAGCTGATCGGGAACCAGGACCTGCTCGGCTCCGGGGTATCCCTGTCTTCCAAAAACTCTGATTGCCCTCGAGGCACTGACGACGCCATTGTTGTTCCCCTCCTTGCTGCGGATCTCTATAACCTCAGTCATGGCAAAAGGCTGCTCTAGGATTCTTCAGAAGTTACCCAAACCTTTCAAAATGCTGGTTGTGAATCACAAGCTGCTACCACCGCAGTCTCTGTATGCACCTGGCATTGCAGATCATCTGCGTCACATCTGTCAGGCCCAGTTGTTCATTTCCGGTGTCTGACGACCTGTTCCAGAAGGGCGTTTTCGAACATTAGCAGTACCTTACTTTGGGGTCCTTAGAATAAGGATCCTACTATCGAAAACACTATATTAGGGTCCCCTATTCTCGGAATCTCACAGAAGAGTCGCACCAGTTGCATGTCACTCACAAGTAGCACCCGGCAATGTCTGAGTAGCAAGCATCAACACCACGTGCGGATGAGTAAGCAGTGCTACCTGCGGCGCAAGACCACGGTTGTAGCAAGCTCAATCCCCGTTAGGGTGCTTGTCATAGCCCAACGGTCCTCTATGCCTTTAAGATCCTTTATACTACCTCCTGAAACCCGAATACTAAACCCCACAAGCACTTGCTCTGAGTGACTTGGGGTGGCATGGCCTCGGCTGCAATGTGGGAGATCGACCGCCCGGGAATCCGCACGAAGCACCAGATCGATCCCGACGAAGCAGCCTGCAGGCTGGGTGCTTCTTTGGATTTATGGCGGTTGATGGTTTGTGTTTTGGCGCTCACACTCGGACAATCTGCTGACTGAGACAGAACTGGTGGGAATGGTCTGCTACAAACAAGCACAGAGTTTGTAGTTTAGGAAGTTTAGGGCCAGCTTTAAGATGGTGCGGCCTTGATGGCCAGATTGCCCACGATGGACGAGTAGAGCTTGCACACGGTGTCGTAACCAAGGGTCCTGAGTTTTTTTTTTTTTTTTTTGAACCCTCTTTTCCTTCCGCCCTGTTGGTTGGTTAGAATGCCTTGTAGGCTGAGGGGCTGTTCGAGTCGGCCGGCCCAGAGAAAACCAACTTACTGCACACAATAACGATTACAACCCGGCCAAAGCCATCTCGGAACAGGAATGCCTCGGCAAGGCCTCCAGGAGCATCGCTGTCTTACTCAAATTCGCTCAGCTACAAGCATCAAATTACATGATGACCGGTCCCAATCAGCGACAACTCACAGGCCAATGGCACAGTACAGGCCGGAGCAGTGCTCAACAGCCACCTGCCCTTGGACCCATATGCCCTTTCCCAGAAATCAACACATCTAAAACTCGCAACATAACACTGACACCTGGGCTGTCCATGGGCTCCACTCACAATCATGGTTCACAATATCCGCTCCGCACTACTTGCTGCTTTCGGTCCTCTACAACCCTCACTGCGGCATAGGTCACAAGTACACTAAAGGTAAACTTCACTAATGGGCCCCAGTGACATCATAAAGGCCTACAGCGTACTCACATCCAAATACATGCTCGGCAGTGTGTCAACCCATAGACCCGCGGGACAGCATCACCAGACAGTTCAAAGGCAAAGCTCAACAACATAACGCGGTTCACTCAAATGGTCCATGGGCTCAGCACTCCAGGATGGCACACGACACCCTACCAGCGATACTCTACATCCTCAAGTCGCTCAGGCGACACAGGCTCGCAGTAAATTGGAGCAACAGATCCACCCCGCTAGTCCGAAGAGTCCGAGTCAGCGCCGTGCAAGTCACGCCTATCCATAGCTGCTGCCTCAGTGCGCCTTTGGCGGGCAAGGACCCTCTCAGAGTGTCTTCGCCGAACAAGCTGGTTGAAGGCCTTGTCCCCAAAGTTGTCGATCACGTAGGCATCCGACCAGACCCCCATCGTCCACTTCAGGTAGGCATCGTGCGGCACAGGAGACATGTCACTTGTAGGCCCCTGGACTCCTTCCCGGCCTGCAGGAGCCTGCACCAGCGAACTTTCGTCAGGCGCGTCCTGGGTGGGGCGCACCTCTGTGTCCACGCTGTCCGGGCCTGCCACTCTGGCGTCCATTACTGTGTCTGCCAGCACATTGCCCTCCGCAGCCTCCGTCTCAGCCTCGCTGCCCGCGCTATTGGGTGAGCCGCACTCTTCCGGCGACGGAGCCTGGTTGTACCCCCTGTTTACCAACGTCCGGAAGGTCAGGAGCCCGGAGTCACCGTACCTCAACAGCACCAGGTCGTCGCTCGTCTTGCCGGATAGCCAGGATGCATACGTGCCTCTAAACTCCGGGCATCGGAGCATGCTCTTCCACTTCTCACCGAGGTAGTAGTTTTTCAGAACCGTAGCCAGGGGAGGATCGCATTCACGGCCTCGATCTCCTTCTCGGCCTGGCAGGTGGGCTTCCGTGGCCTCCGGGTCGTGGCGCGACAAGCGCTGCTCTTCCTTGAGAATGAGTTCGGCGGCTGTTTCAGGTGCAACGGGGCGGCCAGCATGAAGCCACCTGTGGGGACCTTCGGACAGGCTCAAGCCCAAAGTCAGTTCTTCTCCTGGGCCGATCTCGAACTCACTGTAGTGCGTGCGACGTCCTCTGACTTCCACCGTCATGCGGAGTCGCTTTTCCGGTGGACCCTGCGACAAGCCCAGTCGGCTTTGCACTGCCTGTTCGTCGCTTTCTTTAGCTTCTTTGGCCAGCTGCTGTTGATGCCATCGGTACAGCTCCTCATCCTCCCTTTCTTGTTGCGCCTCTTCCTGCTCTCTTGCTTCCACCACGGCTTCATCTGCAGACAGTCTGAGGGCCTCTTCACCAGAGGAGGCCGACTGGCCCGGGCCCGGTCTGGACAGCAGTCGTGTCATCCACTTGGCCACCCACTCATCATGAGCCGCCAGGGCCTCTCCAGTAGGCGGGCATGCTTCGGTCTTCAGCTCGGTGTTGGCCGCCAGGACCGCATCTTGTGAGGCCCAATCCTCAACTCGCGCACGGTCAATCTGGAGCCTCCTTCTCAAGCGGTCAGCCAGGATGGAAGCCTCGCCCGGCGGGTACGTCTGCAACTCTTGGTGGAGTGCCATCTTCTCGTCCCTGAGCCCGCGAGCCTGTTTGTTGGTGCGTATCATACCGGTCACTGTCCTTTGCATCATAGCAACCTCATCATTTCCCGCCGCCCTCGAGCTGTCATCAGGAGGCTCTGGGGTGTCCGGCCGCGGGGCAGAACTCGAGGAGCCCTGCGATTCATCCAGCAGCCCAAGCAGTTCTTCCTGTATGGCTTCCAGCACGTTGGGAAGGGCCCCCCTCATCTCATTTCGCTCCTCCTCACTTTGGTCCGCCAGCGTGTCACGGATATTGTCCACTTTGTGGGGGAGGGTCATCGGCATTGTGAGCCACGTTGCCGGGGCTGCAAGGCCGCCGCCGTAAGGGTCTAGGCCGAGGAGCATGAGCCACAGTCTTTCAGCGCTCCCTTCTTCGCCCCCTTCGTCAGTGTCCTGCTCCCCGTTGAACGGTCTCCTTGCCGCCGTGTCCTCTTCGTCCAGTTCAATCTCCACCTCGTCAGTGTCCGCGGCGGCCTGCGTCTGTCTCCATGGGGCGTTTTCGCACCTGCTGCTGAGGAGCGACCTTGCTTCTCCAGGTCGTCGTGGTGCTAGGGCCCGCCTGGTCTCCCTCCGGTTACGGGGTTGCGCAGAGTGCCAGACTTGCTTCGACGTGAGATAAGGCGTCTTCGTCTTGCCCTTCAGCAACCACTTCTTCTGCACGAGGTAGGTGTGGTCGCCCTCGGGGTCGTCATGGTGCTCCTGGTCGTCGGTGGAGTGCCAGGATTGGGACTCATATTCAAACTCCGAATCTGCTTGTTCCGACGGTGGGGTCCGAGGTGGTCCGTAGTCCCGGTGAGCTGGCTGTCGGTCTCCCGGTCGGACTGGGTCTGTACTGGATCCTGCCGGGTCACTATCTGAGTCGTCAGTCCTGGTTGGATCTCGCGGCTGGGGTCTGTAGGCGAAGGGCCCCCGATGCGGCGTGCGCGAGCGCGACACTCGCCTGTCTCGGTATTCCCGCTTTTCCGCCAGGTATTGTTCATCTCCAACATGACAGTCATACTGGCCGTCTTCTTCCATCATCTGCTCCAAACCTCTGTTCCGCATAGCCACTGGGAAGGTGTCCCGGAGCCATCGTTGCCGAAGGGTGCGGGCCGTCCTCTCCGCAAAGTCCTTGACTTCATCTTGGGACGCCGGGTATCTTTCCAAGCGGAGTCGTATCCCCCATCTAACATTGGCTTCGCAATGGTCAGTCCAGATGGCTCGCATTCCATTGACAAAGCCTGCGACGTCCCTCTCATACCTCGTGTCTTGGTGGGCCAGCACATGGTCTTCGACGAGGCTCGCCATGATGTACGGGTCAACCCCCCTTTGCAGCATTTCGATTCCGCTGTCCACGAGGTTCCACCACCAGACTGGTGAGTTCCCGGGCTCCGGGGTACGGTCAAAGCCCCAGGCGTAGTAGAGCATGACCGTGGCCGCAACGGGGACCTCATAGGTCTGCAGCATGGAGGTGGCATCACCGTTTTCCTCGGTCGCGGCATGGGGTGTCCTGGGGCAATGTCGATGTGCTAACTGGGGCATGTCAGGACGTGAGCTATCGATGGCTGGTCCGCAGGGTGCATATGCCCCTCGTTCAAGCCTGACTGATGGTGTCATGATGCCTGCAGGTAGTCCCTGGTCGTGCCCTGGGAATCCCGGAGAATCGTGTTGTAGCCGGTGGTCAGCACCATCCAGCCGTTCTCGAGGGGGTAGAGCAGGGTCGTCCACTCGACTTAGTCCCTGATCGCATGGGTGAGCTCGCTCCAGCTCTCTCTCTTGTCGCATCCCATTGTGGCTCTTTACGACATTAGTGCCCCTTGCTTGCAGAAGTGAAGCAGACTGCTGTGCCGAGTTCGGAGCTGTCGTCAGGGCTCCTCCCTGCAGTCCTTGATCATTGCCGCTCCGATCAGGAGAATCGTGCGGCGGCCGGTGATCACTTTCCATCACTGCTCGGTGAGGTAGGGCAGGATCTGCTGCTCGGTGTAGTCCCGGATCTCTTTCCTCGGCCAGGCTTCCTGCGGTAGCGTGTCTCAGATTTCCCTTGCTCTGCCGGCTGTCAGAGTCCTGGGCCCGCGGGGTGGCAGTGAACAGTTATGTCCACGTCGGTAGCGATGCCGGGGTGCCTTCAGGTAGTCCCTGAGCGTGCCCACCGTATCCGGGGGAATCGTGCAGTAGACGGTGCTCGTGCTCCAGGTGTCCTCGGTGAGATAAGGCAGGGTCGGCTGATCGATGGAGTTCGCGGCCTCGCAGTAGGGCTCGTCCTCTGTCGTCACCTCGGTCTTCAGGAGAATCGGGTCGTGGGGCATGGTCAGCATCATCGTGCCATCGGGGATGAATTCGGGTGTTGCCATAGCCGTCGGTGGACTTTAAGTACCTCGAGGACAGGGTCCACGTCTGCGGCGCTGCAAGGGCAGCTTCGAATTTGGGTCCTGCTCGCCCACTGCTCTGGGCATGTTCGTCACACAAGCAGGTGTGCCACATGGTCATCACGATCCATGGCAGCATGGTACACATGAGTGCGGTGCGGTGCCACTGAGGGTGGCAAAGTCGTCAAGCGGCTGCGCTGCGAGTCAAGGAAAGCATGCATGAAGTCTCTCGCACAACTTGGTCATCCGGAACTGTTTGACATGTAACTCACGCACATCCAAATCATCTGAACTGGTTGACATGAAGACATAGAGCTGCAAGGAATGTGGGGTTTTGGTATGTTGTGTGTTTGGGTTAGGGTGTAGGGTAGATCGCCATTGAGGGGGGGGGGGGCCGTCATCCCTGGTAGGATTCATTCGCCCCCAACCGCCGGTGGAGGGGGTGGCGGTGATGGTGGTGTCATTGCACTGTCCGTGAGCGAGACCTGCCGCCCGCTGGTCCAACGCACATCTTCTCTACGGAGCCACTCTGCTTCCAGGCTTCGCCACTGGGCTGTGTCCACAGCGGCTTCCCTCCAATCACTGCGCCCTGCCGCTCTGTTAAGCTTCTGTTCCTCACCTGTAAGATGTGGGAAGAACCATGTGGGGTGCCTAATCCCGTCACCAATCCGATTCTCTTGTCTCCACCAGGTGTAGGTGCGATACCTGTCTAGGACCGCACTTGCCGGCGGAGCTTCTCTGAACCAACTGCGCGCAACATGCCCCCGGTAACCCCAATATCTCTTGAGCCAGCTGGTGCTCCATCTCGGCTGTCCATGATTATGGAGCAGCTGCCGGGCGGCCCGGAAGCTACGGAGCCGATGTTCGAGCCACGTTTCGTCGGGGCGCCTCTTGAACCCAGCCATTCTAGCGACCAGCTCCTGTTGTAGGGCATTGGCCGCCCCCAAGGCTTGTGGGGATGGTGGAGCTGCAGCCGCGTACCATAATGCAGCACCTCCCACTGCCATCTGGAATGTCTTGAGTCGTTCCTTCAACGGGCCCCTGCACTCAAAGATGTGCCTGGAGGCAAAGTATTTCTTTCTGGCTTTGGCCAGCCCTGAGTTCAGGAGGCTGGATGGCTTGAGAGGTACCTGCAAGACCACCCCCATGACCTCCATACTCGAGCTGGGCTCAATGTCTACCCCATCAAGGCAGATAGGGTCTTTCTCTGTGACATAAGGGCTCTGGTAGTAGGCTGTCTTCTTTGGGTTCACCTGTAGCCCCCATCGGGACAAAGCTTCTCGTAGGATATGATATTTGAGGCCGAGGTCACGCTTGTTCCCGCTCCATGAGAGCGAATCATCCATGAACAAGAGCTCATGTATAGACAGGTCAGGAGCGGCACCTAGCTGCCGCGGCCATTGAGGGTGGTTTTGAGCTTCATGGAGGGCACACTCCATCGCGACCCCAAAAAGCCACGGGCTTTCGACTGCCCCCTGGCGTATACCCCTAGTCTGGCTCACGCGGCCTTCTCCCCACGGGGTGCGGATGGTGGCCACTCCCGGGGCTAGGAGCCGCTCCCAGCAGTGGTACTCCTGGTACATGTGATCAGGCAGGTTTGACTTCAGGTGGGTCAGGGCGCGGGACCGGCTCAATGAGTCGAAAGCCTTGCTGATATCAAGTTTGACCCAGTGCAGCCCCCATTTCCACTCAGTCTCCAATTGAAAAATACGGATCGCCGATCCCAGGTAGTCGCAGGTTTGGCGCCCTGAGTGAGCGCACTGTTCCGGCCCCACTGGTCTGATGGCTTCACGGGTGCGGCGTAGTAGTAGCTGGCCAAAAACTTTGCCAATGGTGGAGCCTAGACTTATAGGCCTTAAGTCCGAAGGGCTCTCTGGAGCTGCAGTTTTTGGCAGTAAGGTGACCACCGTGTGCAGCCATGCTTCAGGGATAGGCTGTCCTTTGCGTATTTCTTCTAGCCATAGTAGGAGAGCTTCGAGTGTTGGTTCATCTGCAACAAGCTTCCGGAGCAGCTCGTAGGAGGTCAGGTCAAGGCCGACTGACTTGGAGTTCTTGCCCTTAGCGATGGCCTCTAGGAGCTCTTCCTTCGAGAAGGGGGGTGATCCCTCCTCAATTGGCCTGTCCCAGGTGGGGTTGGGAGGTTCCCCTGGCGGGGCCGCGAAGATCTGCTTAAAGTGATTTATTGTCCATCGGAGTGGCTCCTCGCCTCTCTCGTAGGCTTCTTCCGACAAGGGAACTGCCCACAGCTGGCCGTGGGTCTGTTGCAGATCACGAAAATCCTTCCAACCCCCCGTACTCGCTCTGGTGACTTTGTCTTTGTGCCATAAGTCCCTTGCCATCCTGCGAGCCTTGTGGGCCTCCTTCCATGCTTGCTCGCCCCCATCACGTTTGGCTGTCCTATAAAGCTGCTTTACTGCCGCAGGGTCACGGTATCTCTTGCCTGGGGAAGGTCTGGTGAATCTTCGCGCCAGGTCCTCTAGTGTGGCTTGGGTAAAGCTCGACTGAGGTCCCGGCTCGCCACAAACCTGCCTCGGGCGGGTGCAGGTGTCCTGTCCTACTGGCTCGCCCTTGGTAGACAGCAGGAGACTGAAGTGAAGGCGGTCATGGTCCCCGCCTATCTGCTCATAACTCTTGGACTCAATGAGGATCTCCGTCACCGGGAAGGTCGCAACCGCGACACCGTCAATCTGTCGACCTCTCGCCCCTCTCCTTCTCGGCCGACTCGTCGGGACATCCCATTGCGGAGGTTTCGGAGGGCACAGCTGGTACCCCCTGGTCTCAAGCTCCGAGGTGAGGTAGTCTGCTCTCCCTGTGGTCGGTTGGGGTTTGCCAACACTGCCACCCGCAGACGCCCACTTGAGTTGGGTATTGAAGTCTGCAAGGAGAACTGCTCGGTTTGGCAGTGGCGGCCGCAACTTGAGGAACTCCTGGATCTCCTGCGCCGTGATGTCGTCGGTCACCCCGGTGCTGAGGCGGGCAGAGGCAACCCAGAGGTCCGTAGACGATTTTCTATGCCTGAGCTTCGCCCAGATGCCTAGTTTACAGGCTTTACGCCGGAGGCACTGGAACACTGTTGGGTCGAACAGGATCCCATTCCCCCTCCACTGCAGATCATCGTCTCTATACTGCAAGAGGACTTTGCCCCCATGCTCGGTAGTAGTTTTCCACCCCGGTGAAGCTCTTGGGAGCTCTTGGAGTGCAATGACACATTCTTGCAAAGGTTGTACTCGAGTGGAGTTTTCGATAGAAGTAAGTGCATCGATGACAGGTTTGCCACCGATGATCCATGAAAAGAAGGTAACTTGCGACCCAGGCCGGTCATCCGTTTCGGGTGACAGGTCAGTCACACAGCCCCCGGGGCTCGGGTGGCCACCGGAATCGTGGTTCAAAGGAGGGGGTGCACCCAGGAGGTCTCGCTTCTCGCAAGTACTTTCTGGCCCCTGCAACGGGATGAATTCACGGTGAACTCCGTCCACCAATTCAGTGTCTTCACGAAGCTCCTCTTCTCAGGCCTCGATGAGGCTCTCCCAGCGCCCGCGGATGTCATGGTCTGAGCAGCCAAGCAATCTGGCGATGAGTGGAATATTCACCCAAGATCCCGGAGTCTTGCCGTCGTCCATCACCGCCATGGTGGGTTTGGCCCTGGTGCAGCTGCCGATGAGATTCTCGCCCAACCATACAGACCCTGCATTCCACTCAACCTCAATCCGGGACTTCTCCTGCTCGTTGATTTCAAGGACAAGGCGTTTGAGCTTGCCTGCATGCGAGGACCGAAGGCGCTCGATTTTACTCTTGGACAAGGCCGCCCAAAGGTTCTTTCCATGCTCCATACTCTTCCCCGCTACCTGAGCTCCCCTGATGGGCTGGACAGTGTTGGTGAGTCGCCTTTTCAGGGCCTGGTCTGTCTCCTGAGGCAACAGACTGACCAGCCCCAGTGCATTGCCTCGACGGGGTCCCGTGGTAAAGATGTCTTCAAAGCTGTCCAAGAGGTTGACTTTCTGGAGTAGGTCTTTGAGCTCCGGAAGGAGCACGTCTCGGTGGGCATCCGGTCCCCAGCCGCCGAAGATGATGAGGTTCTTCCGGTTCTTGCCCGCCTGGCCGTCTCCGGCCCCATCGTCGCCCCAGTTTTGCCCTCCGCGAGCCTCCAAGGCCTCAATCCTGCGCTCGGGCTTGTCCCCCTGGTCACGAAGCTGCTCGATATAATCCCCATGTCGAGCAACCTCATCCCGGACTTTCTTGAACTGTGCTGTGGTCGATTCGCGCAACTCAGCTACCGCCTCTCGGATCTGGGTAGTCTGATGGTCCTGTAGGACACGGCTCTGGTTTTCAAGGAGCTGCTGTATGTCGCCCAAGGTAATCCCCTTGCTGTCCTTCTTCTTAGCGGGCGACCCGCCTTCTGCCTGCCGCCGTTTGGGTCCCGGCTCACTTCGCAGGTCCTCGTCGCTGCTGTCCCCCGGCAACTCAACAGTCCCGGGCACTGGTGTAACCCCCAGCCCAGGCGGCCCGCCGCCACGAGCGCCACCGTTCCGCACTCGGGATGTCATGACCGGCAGAAGGAGTCAGGGAAGTCGGGGGCCCCTTGAGCCAAGGACCCTGAGTTTAGGGTTTAGGGTTTACAAGTCAGATTTCGACTCTGACAGATTGGGCAATCCCTGTGCGGTGTCTCAGTGCATTTCGGCGCTCACACTCGGACGATCCAGGCGAGGCGTGTGGTTCGAGGTCTGAAGGGTGAAAATGTCAACTGTGCAGACTTGCGTCTGCGATGTCAAACGCACATGCGACATCGGGCCTCTAACAGCTCCTGCCCTGCCTACCTGGACGCTGGAAATCCCGATCATGACATGACAAAGACCGCGTAGTCGTAATCGTAGCCCGAGCTGACCGTCCATGGGCAATCCCCGTTGCATGTGTGATCTGAACCAATGAGCCCGCCCATGCCACCACCGCTGCCCCAGTGATGCATTTCCGATCGCATTTCTGCATCCGCCTGCGGCCGTTCTGTCTTTCCACAGGAGTCGTCAAGACTCCTCTCGTAGTTTGCGTCGTACTGGGTGCCAATGCCCGACCCGGCATTTCCCAGAATATTGTCATTGACGTTGACGCTCAATCGGTTGAAGTCATCACCTTTGTTGTGCGCTGAGTTGACATAGAGCTTATCGGTGCCATCAATCGTGTTCTTGATGAGGGGTTCGTTCTTAACGAGCGTGCCCACGTCGCCACCTGTGGTTTCTGCGGCCATCTGGAACTTCGTGTCTGCTTTGAGTCCTGTCGTGCAGGTGTTGCCGATCGTGAACCAGCCCTGCAGCGTCTTTGTGGAGAGCAACTTCCAAGAGCGCCATCCAAGTGCCTTGCCCTCGCTGTGACAGACGATCAGCAGCTGCTTGGCCTGCACCTTGTTGAAGACCTCCACATCCTTGTAGTCCCGAGTGAAGCGCTCTTCGACCTTGTCGCTGGCCCCACCCAGGTCCGTGGCAGACTCCCAAAAGGCGGTGTTCACGTATGACACCACATGGCCATCGTTCGTATCGACGTTGAGGGCGAGGTGCCAGTCGCCAGAAGGCGAGGTGCCGAGCCCCGAGAAGTCCAAGCCGGACGTACCGCTGGACTGCTGGCAGCAGGAAGCAACACACGCTTTGGCCGGACTGTCCGCAGGCAGGCCCTCGAAGTTGGCCTGCACGTAGCCTCGCATGAGGGGTGAGAAGTGGAACGCGCAGGCTTCAGCAACTACAACTTGCGCAGACCGCTAGGAAGTGAAGTCTCGCATGAGGAGTTTAGGAGAGGGTTTTGCAAAGGTTGTGTGGGGTTTAAAAGGGTTTTAAGAGGCATTGAAGGGTTCTGATGGGTTATGGAATGCACAGGTTTCAGCAACTACAACTTGCGCAAGAACATGCACTGACAGCAGACTCTGCAAACGCCCAGTACTTCACGCCTCTGGCCTGCGCTCCCGGCCTTGTTCGCCGGGACGTGGCAGGTGGGCTTGTTCGGGATCGTGGAGAGCTGCAGCGGGAGGTCGCTGTCGGCCCGTCCACTCATATCCTTCGCCTGGCAGCTGTCGATGGCACTGGCACGTTGGGACTCCTCAAGATTGAAGACCTGAATGATACACTCCATGCGCAAGATGGCGCGCCACTCCTTCTTCAAGCTGTCCAACTCGGTCAGGGAAGAGGTCTGGACAGACTCGTAATTCGAGACAGCCTTGTCATAGCAAGTTCCAGAAGCCTCGCACTTGCTGGTCGCCGCCTCGTAGTGGGAGCAAGAAAGACTATCCATTGCATCCTGCACGCTGTCGCAGTTGTGCTTCTGGGTTTCGTAAGTTTTCAATGCGACCGTGCACTCGGGTCCCTTGTCTTCCAACTCCTTCTTGGCTGTGGCGCATCCCTCCTTAAGCTTCTTGTACTCTGCCAAAGATTTCTGCGAAGCCTCGATGAGGCGTGCATGGTAATCCTCGAAAGCCTCACCAGACTTCACTTCACAAGAGTCCTTGGCACTGTACATGGTCTTCTCCAGTGTTTCCAGCGCTTCGCATGTCGTCTTGGCAGTGCTTGTCACAGTTTTCAGCTCTGTCTGGCAGGTGTTCTGTGCATCCATGTTCTGCTTTTGAGTCTGCCGACATGTCTTGTGCGCTGCGCTCTTGGCCGTAAAGTTCTTCTCGAAGGCCGTGGAGCTCCTTTGCATCTCCAGGCCACCGCAGTCGGACATGGCGTTGCCGGCGTTGGTCAACGTGGCCTGGAGGCCCTCCAAAGTCTTCTTGATCGAAGGCTTGGCATCGGTCAAGAGCTGCTGGATCTTCTCCACCAGGGCCTTGGTCTCGGGGCTGGACCGGCCCTTCGAGGCGCGAAGGGCCGCCACCAGCGTGTCCTCGAAGTCGAGGTCGCTATCGGAGGTGACAGGCACCTTCAGCAAGTTCAGCGAGCCCTGCTTCAAGGCAACGGCTCCCACCACACAGAGTGCTAGGAACGACTTCATTTCGGGAGAGCAAGAGGCACTGAGCTGAGCTAAACTTGGCACAGGCCTTGAGCCGAAATTGCAGTGCGTCTCTACGGTTAGTTAAGCGCTCTTGGCGCTTACACTCGGAGAAGTGCAGGCAAGGTCCGAAGACAAGGGCGACCCGGGTCCACAGACAGAGGTTTATGCGCTGGAGGTATCTCGCATGAGCTGGCGAGAATATGCATCACCCGGGTGCGGACACCATTTCTCTATTACGCCTCAGGGGCGAGAATTCGCATCACTGCCGTGTGACGACACGATGACGACAAACACCACATTAGACGCTGTCAAAACAGCGAAGAAGCCAACTCCGCCACAACATCACATATGCTCTGAGAACTGCTTTTCCCCTGTGGACGCCACTCGACGTCACCAGGACAACGACAACTCGACGACAGAGCAACAGCCGCCATGTAGACACTGCCTAAAACAGCAAAGAAGTCAACTCGGCTACATCGGTCAGATGTGCGTTGAGAAGTGTGTTCCGCCCAGTGTGGACGCCGATCGATGTGCGAAAACAGCGATGCGAGTAAAGCCACGCTTTGGCAGGGAGGTCGGACTCTCGGAATTCGAACTCTCCAGGTGAGGCTGTCCGGCTTGAGGGTTTACCGTTCCAGAAATCTCTAACGGTTACTGAGAACGCGGCTGCTCGATCAATGGCAGGTCGGACTGCACGCCTTGCAACAACTCGGTCGTTCTTAGCAGGGAATGGGGAATGGATCCCTATGAGAGTCTCTTGGAAAGTCCCTTATACCAGTCCCAAATGCCCCATCCCCCCATTCCCTACTAAGAACCACGCAGACGAAGGTGCAGCACAATCACGGGTTCATCGCAAGAGAAAGCAAAAACTCGGGTCCAGGCTGGCCGGCACACCAACAACGCATGTTCTAGCCTCTTCAGCATCCGATGAGCATGAACACGCAGCTGCATTATGACATAATGTACTATACGACACCGTACTATACTATGCTATACTTTACTATACAAGATACGCGATACGCGATACACTGTACACTACTTATGGTCCGTATGTACTATGTACTAAATACTATATACGTTCAGACACTATTTCCGATTTTTTTCCAGGATCTCTTCCGGCCTTGTGCTCTGCGAAGTACTCAGCGAGGCGGGCTGTCCAGGAATGGACATTTCGACCTGCCACATTCCGACAGAACAAGGCATTCGAGTATAGGAGAGTATAGGATATAGTACAGTATAGTGTAGTGTACTGTAGTATAGTATAGTTCGGTATAGTATAATATTGTCCCGCTTCGTTGGATGTCGCTAAAGCTCCGGTCCCCTACCCTCGCGGTTCTTTGGCTCCCCTTCGAGCTCTCCGCTCATCTGAGCATAAGCTGGACATGATGGCATCTCTCGCAGGCATGCGGGGCCTGAAGGCTCGCAAGGCGAGACCACACGCCAATTATGTACACTGCGTGCTTACGATTGCCGTGCCCAGGGCCAAAGCAGAATCGGATGTACTGTGCTTTGTGCACCACCTGGCCCTCTAGACATGACAAGAGCAGAAAAGCCTGCCTCAGCAATGATCGGGCAGTTGCTGTGGCTGTGCCAAGTCTTGTGTTGGCTTCAAACACACCATCTAGCTGTACCTGTGCCTTCCCCCTCGCTCTCAGATCCCACCGAAACGGCTCAGACCATAACGGTCCGGTTGTCCTGCTTCTCACCCAGGGATGCCCAGAGCGCTGCAGGGCTTCCCCAAACCTCGCGCAGGCCGGAGCGGTCCAGAAGCTCCCGGGTCACATGCTCAGCCTCCGGAGATCAGGACACTAAGGAAGGTTGTGACGAGTCAATTGCAGCTATATCTGCTTAGGTGTAATAGTAATGCCTACATACATATACACATATCATATATACATCACAAATTGCATGCAGGGAGAGGGAGGGGCGGAACCCTGGATGTGGTCGAGGCACCCGGTCCATCGTCGACTCAGCTCCACTCTCTCCGGGCTCCTCCGCCTCTCCCAGCAAAGCGTGGTCTACAAAGCCCTTCGTTATGAGACGGAGGGCCATGGATGCGATGGTCGGGGCGAAGTAGGCGGCCTGCGACGCTGGGAACTTCATCGTCACGATTTGCATGTACGTGCCCTTGGCCCGATCGACCAGGGGATAATAGCCAAACAAGCCCGCATCCATATGCACGTTTGCGGCTTTGCACTGATCAGTGAAGCTGCTCGCCTTCGGTGGAAAGCACTCGAAGTAGTTGCACATGGAATAATGCCCCAGTAGCTGAACGAGGACGGTGCTGGAATCTGCGATTTGCACTCCATCCAGATAGTCCTTCTCCATTTCCTTGCTCACCTCCTCCGGGATCAACTCGTTGCCGACGTAGGCACGCAGAATTCGGTCGTAGTCGTCACCCGTGGTCATCAAGTTTCCAGCCAATCCCGGGTTGGTGCCTCCAAGCCACATGGTCGACTTAAGCTGCAAGGGCCGAATGAGGTATCGATGAAGCAACTCCTGCACAGAGATGCCGGCGGCATAAGCGGCCATGGCCCCAGCCACTTGCAAGTGGAAGGAGTTGTAGGCCCAAGTTGTACCCGGCTCAAACCGGAAAGGGGCTAGGTCGTAGATTTCCCTCGCACAGGATTCGCCTGTGTAGGCGGAGGCATTGGCGCCCAAGCAAGGAACATTTCCACCCGTGTCAGGTGAGTAAAAGCCGCTTGTGAAAGACATCAGATTCCGCAGGGTCACACGACTCTTCGGAACGGCGGGATCAGATGTCCACCAAGGAAACACTTCGTGTGCAAAGGTGTCGAAGTTCAGATGCCCCTCGGCCACACAGCCCGCAACGGCAATGGCAGCAGGGAACTTGCTGGAGGAGGCCATGGCCAAAGGTGTTGCCATTGAAGTTGCGCCCTTCTCAAAAGTGAAGTGTCGACCGTCCGCTCTGCCAGCCGAGAAAGCCATGTCCTGAATTGGGAAGTAAGAGCTCAAGATTGCTCTTACAGGATCCCATCCGTCTCCTTCAGCGCCCCGAATAATTGTAACTTGAAGCAGAGCAATGCAACACCATCCACCTTTCATGCTTGAAAGGCTATTCACAAGGGCTCCGTCCTCAGAACCTGAGCTGCCTAGCTACGGGGCGCAAGCGGACCGCCACCAGCTTGAGCAGGGCATAGGCATAGGCAGATGTTAGGTGCCAAGAAGAAGCTCTGCACAGCGTTGAGGCTTATCTCTGTGTGCCTGCCTCCCCAAACCACAAGTCCATCCAGCTTCAGCCGCCGGCAGGTGCTGGCACAAGATTGCCTGAACGCTGACTGCGGGGGCCGCACTCAGTGGTCCTGGTTTCAGCGACTACTTGGGAGTTTCCGAAAATAGGGGACTCTAATGTAGTACCCACAGCACCCTAAATAGTAGGATCCTGTTTTTGAGGACCCCAAAATAAGGTACCCCTATTTGTCGGAAACTCCCACTTCTGGAACTCCAGAGCTCCGCGCAGATCGCCCCCCAGCTTGGCGATGTCCTGGCAGCTGAAGGTGTGCAGAAGCATTAAAATGCTTTGGGTTTAGGGCTTCTGCCCCTCCTATCTAGCGAGGACACGCCCGGTATAGGTTTTTATAAGTTTTAATAGGTTAGAACTAACTGGTTGAAGTATGTTTTAATAGGGGTACCGCATCGCGGCCCTCGAGCTTAGGCTTTCGTCGCTCTCCTCGGGCTGGCTCTGACCCAGCAGGTCGCATCCTGCAGGAACGAAGCCATGACATCTTAGCGCTTCGACTAGGGTAGTTCTCTAAGTTAGGGTCCCTTTTAGTGTCCTTTGTATAAGGGTGCCGTACGAAGTTACTATTTTGGGGATCTAAGCAGAAGGGACCCTGACTTAGGGGACTTCGCACTTGAAGGGCACACGCCTCCCTGGTTCCGGTGCGGAGCCAGCAGCTCCTGCGAAGCTAAGCAGTGAAGGTGTACACGCAAATGGCTTCCGTTCTTGCTTGATTTGCTTGATTCAGCGCCTGTGCTCACCCTAACAAGCGAAACTGCCAAAGCTGGTATACTGGCAACGAGGAAGAATAAAATCGATCTGGTATGACGATGTTAGGGAGCTAGTACATGTCACGACGCAAACGACGCATGAGACTGTCTGGTGCATAGTAGGGAATGGGGGAATGGATCCCTTTGGTGGCCCCTGTATAATCCCCAATAGTAGTTCCCATCCACCCATTCCCCCGTTCCCTACGAAGAACCAGACAGGAGAGCATCGGCCTCCGTCAGTTCGAAAGAGTAGCCTTTGACAAGCCCTGCGAGGCCCATGGTGATGCAGACCACGGTGCCACTCCAAACCTGCGATGGGTTCCTTAAGGGCAGAGATCGACTTAGGTTTTTCGGTGTCAGCACTCACACTCGGAAAAGCCTGGGACTTAGGGTTTTTTTGCCAGGTTAGACGTCTATGAGCTAGGGCTTGGGAGAGCCTGCAGATAGTCGAAGAGGCCCATGAGGACATTGTTCACACCAGGTCCAGATCGCCCGATCAACACGATGCCGATGCCTCGAAAAGCGCATATGCCTGCATTTGTGTTTGTTTTTTATATATGCACACACACCATAAGAAGCATACGCATGCATGCACTACGTGCTTGTGTCTGGTATTTCCACTTGGGTTCCGAGTAAGTGCCCGGCGCTGGTGAAATCGACGCAGGTCGAATTTGTCCAGCCTTGGTCACACACTCGCAAAGAATCCCTGAGGCCAAGGTACAGGAAAGCAGGAAAGGGTTTCCGGGGCTTTTGAAGAGCGCCGCGCATACCATGTGCATGTCCAGAAGTGCTACTTCAAATACGCATCACATATTTATGTACACACTGTGCACAGACCCTGCTTTTTCTAAGTCCACCCCACGCCCCCCTTGCTGCCCTGGAAGCCGAGGTGCATGGGAGAAATGGGTTCTTGCAGTTCTTGCGGCTTGGGCGACACAGGATTCGCCTGAAGCCGGGCCGGGTAAAAGGAGCCCTGCTCCAACATGTAAGCTTCCGAAAATAGGGAACCCTGATATAGTGCTCTAAAAAGTAGGACATAAGGACCCCAAAACAAGGTACCCCTAATTTTCGGAAACTCCGACATACCACAAACCATGGTCTGTGTTGCAGACCAGTTTCATATCTCAGGATTTTCGGTTCGAGGTTCCAGGTTTCCTTGCTAATCGGATATCTAACAGTTCGCGAGAGGGATCTCACCTCTGGCAATCATGCGCTTGTCTTTGCTATTCGCACGCCCTTGGTCCAGAAGGGGCTCAATTAAGGATAATTATGGTTTCCTCAAACCTCAAACCTCAAAGGCCTTAGTCCCAAGTCCTGAACCCCAACAGCCTGAACCCTAAATCCTCCCAAACCCTGAAGAGCTGCATGCACGTCGGCCCCGGCATGCCCCGGCCTTCGTCGAGCTGGAGCCTTTGCCTGGGCAAGCAACCAATACTTTCCTTGAAAAGGGTGCCGCACTAGACTGGGGACCTAAGAAGGGGCATAAGGGGTTCTACAAGGCTTCGATAAGAGATCTGTCTGGTTTACAAGGGGCCTATATCGGGGGTCCAGAACCTAGGGGGTCTCTGATGGAGGGATGTAGAAGGCTTCTACAAGGGTTCGATAAGGGATCAGATTTGGCTACGGCAGACGCTTGAAATGTTGTAAGCGGATCTATCAGTTGCTGCCAGCATGCGGTTTTCAGCCACTCACCTGAAGCGGCGGAAAGCTGCACCAGGAAACACAACGACCTCGGACCTTCACTCGGACTCGCTTGATGGAGGTGCCCCAGAGAACATGTACATTTCGCCTAAACTCTGCCTAAACTTTGGGCTAAAACCCCAAACTCCCTAAACCCAAAACCCAAACCCTAAATACATCTTCGCTCGCAAACCCCAAGGCGGAGCTCTCTGCGAGAGTATCGGGGCCAGCCTGGCTTGGGTTCCGTAAGCGCGCACTGCATGGCGACGCTGTCACAGGGGAGCTTCAAAAAACAGGGGGCCAATTCAGAGAACTTTTTTCATAGTAAAGCAGGAGGAACGCTATTGCAAAGGACCCTCTAGGAAGATTCAAGGAATTCGCAGCAGCCCACGCAAAGGCTAAGGACACAACCAGCATCAGCGCCAGAACTTGAAGGGCTGTCTTGTACCGGAAGGTTGCCTGGCATTCTGAGGTCAGGCCAGGGTTTATGGTTCAGGGCCACTTAATTCGGAACCTAGGGCCTAGGGACTTAAAGCCTAGGGCTTAGGGCTTGTAGGGTGATTTGCCACATAGATGGTCCCACATGAAGCGCTCAAGTGGGGCCTTCTGAGTGGCTGGAGATGCCTTGCAAGGAATCATCTCTCGTCATTCCACCTGGCACCGAATGGGCGAAACCTTTTGGACTTTCGCTGTTGAGAGTTTTGGGTTGAGGGTCCAGGCCGGCAATAATCCAGGAACAACTTCTCATGCAGCATCTGGACAGCATATGACAGCACACGAGGACCAGACGCTTCGGCTTCTCCGGCAGCAGTTGAAGCACGTTCAGCTCCTGTTGTTGGCATTTGTTGCATTTCAATCAAAGAAGCCGAACCCGCATTATGAGACCTTTTGAAGTTAAAGATTACCTACTCTGCTACTAAGGAAGGAAGCCATGCGTCCTGATCCGGCATCACCTCCAACTTGGCTTCCTTGTGATGTCCCGAGCCTTAGAGTAGAGCAAACAGCGATGTTCTCTGCCGGGCCTCTCAGGGCTGGAAGCTACCCGGCCAAGCCCGGTGCCGGCTAAGCTTGGAAGACATTTCCGCAGCAGATCTTCATCAGGGCACACGCGACCCTGCAGGGATCAGCAATGATCGTGTCAAGTGTCAAGAAGAGCGCAAGCATCCGTCATGAGATGGCGAACGTCTTTTCCGCGCACGCTATCTTCATGTGTAGGCGACATGTCTTCTTAAAGCCGCTGATTCCTTGCTACCGCTTCGTCTCGAGGAATCGATCACGGGAAACGAAACGAAGCCGGCATAAGCCGGCGAGGTAGCTCAGAGGCCACCGGAGACAGATGCCCGATGGACGTTGGATGACGTTGGCAGGTGAAGTCCGAAAAAGTGACCTCCTCCAGGCTCGCGAGTCAAGGGTTCTTTACCCGGCCAGCTTTTTTGGCCACGGTCGAGGTACTCCGCCACCTCCGAGTTCGGAGGCACCCTCCAACTGCACGTCCGGAGCCCGCGGCTGTGCTGCTGCAGACCATCAAAGCCGCGGCGGATACGAGTACAGGTACAGTTCAGGACGACGTCACAACCAGGTTCGGCCAGGCTTGTCACCGTAGTCGGTACCTGTTCCGGCGGGATCCGCCGGGAACTCTGCGAATGTGCGACGTTCTCAGGTTGCAATCCGAGAAGCCTAGAAGACGTGCTGAGGCGTGATGCTCTGCTCCAGGAACGCCAACCTTGCATATTCTTCGTCCACCGTTCATCACTTGGCCCTTTACCTGCTTAGCACCTGCACACAGACTCGCGCGCAGCACACTGCCAAGGGGCCTCCTGCATCAACGGCCCTCAGATGCAACGACATCAAAGTTTAAGTTTAGAGGCATCTCGGCTCACCCCTTAAAAAAAGGACCTAAACCCTACAAACCCGATCTCAAGTTCAATACCCCCCCGGAACCGAGCGTCTCTGAGTTCTCGGAGAGAGCCCGCTGGAGTACAGAGGAGCAGGAGGCTGCCACTCCTTTGCCCCAGCCGTCCTCCGCCACACGGGGCTTTAGGGGGGGTGGGGGGTTTAGGGGGTTGGGGTTTAGGTTTAGGGGGGTTTGGCGGTTAAGGTTTAGGATTTAGGGGGAAGGGTTTAGGAGAAGCCTTAAGTAATCAAGGGAAGTCTGAAGTCATCAACTTCTGCACAAGATGTGGCGACATCTGAGGCGCGGTCGCAGCAGGGTAGCCTTGCAAAGGGGCGGCTGTTCTCCCAAAGCAACAGAAGTCCCACCGGTTTCGGAAGCTACGTGACCACTAAGCCGTAAAACACGATCTGTCCCGGCTTTGGCTTGTCATGATAGCAGCAGCAACAACACCAGCACCAGGAGCAGCACCACTGCCACCAGCAACGGCAGCAACCAGAACCACCACAAAATTATGAATCGGGTTTTGGGGCCCATTACTACAATAAAAATAAGGAACTCCCAAAATAGCATTGGTAATTATGAAGGCCCCACAACATTTCTCTCTCTCGTTTTGCTTCAGGCAAGCGGCCGAAACTGGGCGCGTCCGCCCGAGGGCTCCTGGAACGAACTCTTCACACAGGGTTTTTTGTTTTAGACGACCCTTTTCCATCACACAGGGGTTTAGGGTTTAGGGCCACAGGGCTCGGATTGTTTTGAGACTGTTTTAAGATGACAATGATGCCACAGGGGGCTTGCCTGGACGATTCGCCTCCGGATGGTTGCAGGCGAGACCCCTGGACAGCGGCACCCAGAGGCACCTGTAGCGCAGCATCACGAGCGCGAGCGCGGCACCGGTGCAGCAAGAAGAATCTGTGCCGAGAAACCAAAGGTTCTCCGGGACGTACTGGCTGGCGGGGTGCCGGACTGCTGTTCAAGAGCTCATCATCCAAGTTGCCCTTAGCTCGCCCGAGTCACGAGACACAGGAAATGTAAGCAGCGACTGTATGCTTGTAATGACCAGAGTATCGGGGACAAGCTAAACACAACACTGCCAACGCTCCGTGCTTGGGAATGGGCTGAAGCAAGTGGCTGTTCACTCATCACACTATTTTCTAGCAGCTAACCCTGCTTCAGACGAAAGTCGAAGGATGGCAATGCCGGCTGCTTCGCCGATTTGCGGAGGGTGTGAACTGCTCCCTCAGCAGCTGCGTCCTGCAATTCGACTCAACTTTCTTAGGACGGGTGAAGCCTTTTCTTTGTTCATCAGCATCAGCGCCTTCAAACCACTCAGCGGCATGTCAATGTACTTTGGCTTCACTTCCTCGGTCAACTCGTCTGTCGGTCGATCGTGTACCACACACCCCGAGCTGCAGCACATATTAACGAGGAGATATTATTTACAATACAGCCCGGTTGCCTCTTGCCCTGTGGCACCTCTATTGCACCTTACAGGACCCTTGGATGGTAATCTATATTGAATTTCGTCAAGAAGCTGTCGCCAGCGGATATTGCGAGCGGGGCTTCTGCTTCCTTGACACACTTGTGCGGCGACGACGGCTTTGGTTTTACGGCTGCAGGGTGGAGCGCTGAGGGTGTAGGGCTGATGTTTATCATACCTATTGAATACTTCCCACTATCACACGATCGAGGACACCTCGGCTACGCCCACATCCGGCTCACTTCTGTCCACTCAGAAATCGTTCCACTCAGGTCATCTGCTTCCGCGCACAGTGAAAGATTCAGCTGTAGTACAGAACGAGGCGAAACGTAGCAAGAGTCAACGGAAGCTCGACAGACAAGCGCGCATGAGCAAGCTCACGAAGTGCGGTTCAGCATCGGCGGTGCAATCAGGTCCTCGGGTTCCGTGTCTGGCTCTTCTGGCTCTGCCTCATGGAGCACTTTCGGCGCTTGGGACTGCTGTTGTGGTCGCACGGGTTGTTCGATGTTGTCGGAATTTCAAGATCCATGATTTTCCGCACCTGCTACTCCTCCACGAATCCTTCAACCGAATCCTTCAACTCAGACAACTACTGCCCCAGATCAAAGCAACAACAAAATGCGACGGGTTTGGCAAGGCCCAGCCGGAGCATACAAGACTACATCCCGCCCTTTCACAGCAGCCACAGACGGCTCGGATGCATAGGCGCGGCCAAAAAGCGCAAGACTGCACTAGACCACTCACACAAACATGTAGGAGAGATGCACTACGAAAGCAGTACTGCTACTGCGGCTGCTACTGTGACTTCTACTGGCAGGACTGCCATTAAGATGAACAGCAACACTGCGACGCCTTGGAGGGGTTCTGCAGGAGTTCCTTTTCTGGTTGGGGTATCTGATAATGGTTTAGGATTCTGAAACTCAGACTTCCGAGGTCCAGGCTCGAGCTTCGACAACTGGCCGAGACTCCTGGGCGTGTGCATGTCGAAAAGGCGCGTGAGCTTTGTTACAAACATATTCTCAGAGGTTAGAGATTTCGGAAATCAGCCGCAAAGGTGCATGAGGTTTAGTGAGGTTTAGGGCCTCAGAGTTAAAGATTTCGGAAATCAGCACATCATGTGCGCCAAGAAGGTGATAAAAGAACACCATTGAGCTTCTCCCGGAGGGTAGGCTTAGATTGCAACCTTTACACATGTACCCTCTGTACACACGCTGTAAAATCCACGAAGCGTCAAGCGCTATCCGGTGCTTGCTTGCCGAGCTTCCGCTTCAGCCTTCCCATGTTTCATCACACCAATTCCTCCCCGTTTCCGGAGATTCCCCGATGCAATGAGTCCTCGAATGCAGAGCGAGCACAGTGGCATCAGACAATCGGAATGGGAAAGACCGGTTGCTGAAAGCTGTTCTAGTTGGCGTTGGTAGTGCTAGTGTAGCTTTCATTGAATGTGGTAGTGGCGTCATAAGACTTCTTCGCTCCACATGATGGCTTCGAAGAAGTTGTTGCTGGTCCCGCATATCTGCAACAATGGTATCGCTCCTGTCGCTGTTCTTATTCCTCTTGCGGTTGTTCATGTCACGAACCCTTTTTGCAGCGGGCCTCGTTGTCCAGCAGCCCACGAACCCTAAACCCTAAACCAACAACCTCTCTCAGCTGGGCCACGACGTTCCCACTCTTCCGGGGTCCATCTCAGGGGTCGCCAAAACTCAGAAAATCCCACTGCTCGATCGCGTGCGTAGGTGTACCGGACCTTGGCTCAGACAGTTCGATGTAAATACATGATAGACATATATACACATGTATGGTATACATACATACATACACACACACACACTTCTGTGTGTGCGCACATGTGTAGAGATCCGTATACCTGACAACATATAAATATGATGACTCCGATTAGGACCTAAGCCCAAAGCATCTACAGGAAGCACCAGGCAAATTACGAGACCACCTCATGATTTCGGCAGACTGGCGCTTCCATCATCTACCATCATCGGCTTGAATGCAACTTGCAGCGAAACCAAGAGGTGCTTACAATGAAGTGATTGTGAGACAGGAAGATTGATCCGCGAAGCAAAGCTCCAAAACTGAGACAGAGGCGTCCTTGGCTGTAGGATCCCAAGAGCGGGCCACTTCGCCAGAAATGGAGTCGACCTGGCTCACGGAGGTCTCTCAACCACGATAAGCCGCCGATCTTATCGGAGGAGCTCTCTCCTCCTCTCCTCCCTGAGTCTTACGAGGCGAAGACGACGAGAGAAGCCTTTAAGCTAACGGCCGAGCGGCTGAATCTTGAGACTCGGGCTCGGAAAGCACTTCCGGGGCCTGCTCGATGAGATCCAAGCCCCCGGGGGTCTGAAAAGCCCGGATGGGCCTCGGGTCCCGCTTCTCCGGTGGGTGGGCCACGGCCTCCCTTCGATGGATCGGGGAGGAGAAGACGTCCTCGGTGACTCCCTGCACTGCAGAGACGCCCTCCGCGCGACCTTTCGGGGCGGGTGCTCCCGGGACCTTCGGGGTCGCTCCGAGCTTCGCCTTGGCTTTGGGCTTGACCTTGGCCTTCGGCTTTGCCTTGGCTTTCGGGTTGGCCTTGGCATCCGCCTGGGCTTTCGGGTTGGCCTGGGCCTTGGGTCCGGGTGCTTGGGCTTTCGCCTCGGCTTTGGCCTCGGCCTGGGCTTTGGGTGCCGCTGGCGCTTCCCCGATGTCTGGGAAATCGTCAGGCCCGGAATACTCTGCATCGTCCGGGTCGTACCAGTCAGGGTCCGCAGACTTGAGCTGCATAGACCATGGGACTTGCGAGGAGAGTGGAGGGGGTGCAGCCTCGGGCAGGGGCGGTGGCTTGGTCTTCTTGGGCGTCGGAATCGCTTTCGCAACCGGCACCCGTGTGTCTTCAGCGAAGAGGTTCGATACCCCACTGGGCACAAAAGAACCAAAGCCCGGCAGAGAATCGAAGATGGAGACCTGCACAGACAGCGTGTCGCCCGATGATCAACCGGGAAACCAATGGCAAGAGAGGCAGCACGATACCCGCCAGTATTCTGGCGCCGTGCTTTCTAAATGCGTCTCCATTCTGCCCACCTGTCCATCCTGCACTTCTGGCACCGGCTCGTCTTCTTTGTCCTTTCTTGGGACAGAAAGAACTCCACCAACGAGCGGGTGTCACGTGCTTGCATCTCCCCTCCAACCCCGGACAAAGAAACTCCCCGAGGCTACTAATCCCTTCCCCTAATATTAAAGCGCCCCCCGCCTAATAGAAAAACAGATTTCCTGGATTGTGTTTTGATGTTAGGGCGGTTTCGGTCCCTTCGGTCTGATTAGTGCTGCTGTGGTCTTCGGCTCTATTAAAACTAATACAACCCTAGGCCCCCCCTAATGTTTTTAATTAACTTTCAATTGCGGGTCCGAAATCGCGAAATCCTGAGGGCGAGTTGTTTTTTATATTAGGGGTGCTTTGATGTTAGGGGGAAGGGATTACATGCTCACAAACCCCCCCAGAATGTTTACAGACGGAGCACACATTCTTTCTAAACCCTATGCAAGCCCATTCTTTCCTGCATCGATGTCCATCCTAGAAAACGATGTGTTCGGCAACTGCAGGTCAAACTCGACCCATCAAGAAGGCATGCTGATCTCAGATACACCAAAAGGCGAAAGCTTTCGCAAGGCCGGCATTATACTACGAGGCCTTACATTATTGTATTTCCGTTATACATTTCATTACATACCCTGATACTCTGATACATTAACTGACTATGTTACGATATATTTCAAAACATACAACATAATGAGTCAAGGTGCAGGTGCTGCCTTTGGCTTGGGTGTTGCCTTGGCCTTGCCCTTGGCTTTGGGCTTCGCATCTGCCTTCGCCTTGCCAGCGGCTTTGGCCTGTGGCAACATGGCCCTACTGCTCCAACACTGGAATTGTATATATCATATATGGGTTACAAATATATATATATATATATATATTACATAAAATATACTAAATAATCATAAGGTTACGATTGTCTAGTATATAATAGTTGGCTCCCCTCCTTCGTGCTTTAGGATCCTGCGGCGAAGAACACGAACAACAACGAACGAGCGCTGTTCCGCCAGCAGAACTACTGATCATAACATGGTCGTTGAATGTTGGAACAAGCCAGCGCAACGGGATGGCACCTTCATGCAACCAAAACCAACAACGCAGTAAACCTAGCGCAGGCCGTCTAGCAAAACATGTTCTCGTAGAAACGCCTCCCGCCGAAAAATCCTCGGCAATCAGTGTGAGTCATGCCTTGCGTGCGTCCAGCGTTTGCTTGAGCTGAACATTGCGACAATTCATAACACCTTTTTCGTACCTTCGAAACCTGCGGGGCCTTGGAGCCATTCCCCCTCCTTCCTATTGATAACGATGTAAGGATCACGGAGGGGAACCGACGAAAACCTTATTGAGCGTCGCACTCTTCTGCTCCTGCCTTCGCTTTGGCTTTTGCAGCTGCTTGGAGTTGTGCTTGGAGCAAGGCATGTGCCGACTCAAACTCCTGGAAATTCACGGAGCCACTCCTGAGCAACTGCACTGCCGCTTAGGCTTAGACAGCAGACCCTGAACTCCCAACACCAAACCCTTTCACACTTGGACTTGATGGGATGCCAACACCCCACCGGAACCCTGAACCTCTAACCCTGAACCCAAAAAACCACAAAACACTTTTCGCCACCCTAAACCCTAAACCCGCAAACCCTAAACCCTAAACCCGCAAACCCTAAACCCTCCTTGCTCTGCTCCAAGAGTCGAGTCTTTGTCGAGGCCTTTGAAAATCTTTTGCCTTGGCCGGCGTCGTCGGTATCTGAAGGCATGAACTACCACTAGCAGTATTGTGGTTCTTCTTCTTCTTGTATCATCAATATATGTAGGTGTGCATACGTGTGCAGATACGTATGTGTATATAGCATATACATGAATATGTGTGCATATGTATTTGTGTATACAGATCTCTATGTATATGTACATGTGATTATATGTATATGCATATGTATATGAAAATTTACATGTTTACATACCTAGTTAGTTAGTTGTTTCTTTTTGTTACTCTATCTGTCTATGTATGTATGTGCTTATGCATCTAATGAATCACGTGCTCAGTTGCTTATTTAGTTGTTCGTTTGTTCGCTTGTTTATCTATTTATTGACTTCGTGTTGCTTTCATCCCTGGCCATACCCTAAACCCTAAAATCAAAACCCTAAACCGTGACTTTGCTTGTATCTAACAAATAATATAGATAGTAAAATCCTTATTGAAAAGATCCCTAAGCAAGGTACCCCTCATTTTCCGAAACTCCCATATGATGATGCGAAGCCCAGTTACAACTTCTCTTCGCTCACAGGCTGCTTGAGGCCCTGCAGCTCACCCACCTGAAACGACCAGGGAGCTACGGAGAGGGTCTAGGGTTTGGGGTTTAGGTTTTTTTAAACGTCCCTTTTCCGTTCGCCGAGGTCCAGAAAGCGGGTTCCCGGTTTAGGATCTAGAGTAGATTAGCACCAGACTAGAGAGCACTTTGGAAGTCGAGAACATGTTTGCGTGCTTGATTGCGCGGAGTGTTTGATGATGTGTGCTAGCGAATTACCATCAACAAATTCAAGGGAGGAAAATTCGAGCAATGCTGAGCTGGCACAAAAGTACTTGTAGTCATGGCGTGAACAATACAAACTGACAAGAATCCCCGGAGCAGTAGTAATGCAAAGAGGCTCTGGTGGCATTCATAACACAGAACGTGAAGATGACCGCCAATGCTACCACTAACAGTTGGAGCTTTCCTGAAGTGCCTCTGTCCCATCATTTCGAAGCTTCAAGTAATTTGGGCAAGCAAACCCAAACTAGTAGGATCCTTCAAATGCGAGCAACAACACATGAGGTGCTCCTGCTTCTGAGAAACCCCCGTCTTGTCTCTGGCCCTAAACCCTTTCTTGAGCCGGCGTCTGGGCCCCAAACCCTTTTCTGCAGCTGAGACTCCTTTATGCTTAGGCCTCAGCCCCGAAACTCCTAAACTTTCGAACCCCTAAGCTCCTAAACTCTTAAACCCCTAATTCCCTCAAACTCTTAAACTCCTAAACCCCTCAAACTCTTAAACCCGTAAACTCCTAAACTCTTGAACCCTGCAACTCCTAAACCCCTTAACTCCTAAACTCTTAAACCCTGAAACTCCTAAAGCCCTATGCCCCGGCTCCGCTTGCCTCCAAGGCCAGAGCCTGAAACTCCTCCCAGGAGAGGTCGCCGTTGCCGTCCTGGTAGTGCTGATAGTAGTAGGACTAGCAGTAGTAGTAGTAGTAGTAGTAGTAGTAGTAGTAGTAGTAGTAGTAGTAGTAGTAGTAGTAGTAGGACTAGTAGCAGTAGTACGTCGTATTTGTAATGGAACCCCTAGATGCAAAGTTTGTGGGTTCCCGAGTTTCTACCAGCAGATGCCCACGCCTTGTCATACTTGCTTCGCAGCTCCTGATCAAGCACAAATGCAGCCCGGCTCTCAAAGCGTCACGGCTCAACGGTTTAGGATTAGGGCCAGCCTTCAGCTGCTCCGGCGAAATCGGTGGCGCATTGCCCATGTGGGGAAGGAGGGAGGACAACGTGAATCGCGAGGCGATGAATCGCTAGTCAGCCCTCAAGACCACCCAGCTGTGCACACACCCCGAATGCTACAGGTTGAGTCTGTCGATTCATGTCAAAGCCCAACTTGATCCATATGACTACCGGCAGGGCACAACCGGACCATTTCCGGCACAAAGGAAGCACGCGACGGGGCCGCACTGCTGCACAAGTTACATGTACTCGCAATAGCAATGTGCTGAAATCATCCTAAGCTGATTCTTCTTGATGGGCTTCGGGTTCCGGTCTTAGCCTTCGGAGTTCCTCCTTTCCCGAGCCTTGCGGTATTCTTCGGCGAGGCGGTTGGGCCCCTGCAGCACCTGTGAATGATCTCAGGGATTCAGAGCCTCGTGCACCCGATGCTTAGCTCGACCCACTCTGAGCGTGCCACCTGTGGCAGGTTAGGCTGGTAGCCAAGTCGCGATTTCTGTAGGGGAGACAACATGATCATTTGCCTCCATCGGTCGTCTTAAAAGGCAGTACTCCAGGTGAGTCACGGCATCCCAGAGCCTCCTTACCAATCGCATGGTTCCACTCTCAATGGCGTACTGCGGCTCCTGTGCCACAGGCACAGGATCATGAAAGCCGATGAGTAGAGTCGGTGGCATGAAGCAACGCACCCGCACAAACTCGCCGAAGGCCCTAGACCAAAATTCTGAACGCTGGCTGCAAACCGTCAATCCCCGCAGCCAAAACTCCCAACATCCCAAAGCCCTATGTGAACCTCTAAAGCCCCCAACCTTGGAGCACTTCAGCCCAATCAAAACGTGTAGAACCTGTTTTAAACTTACGCCCCTCTGCTCTCCCATCCCCAAATCCCATCTACCCCCGAAACCTCCTTTTCGAACCAGGAGCTTCACAAAAATGAAACAGAACACCCATCCTGAGCCCTAAAAAACACAAAATTGTCATCACCATAGAAATAGTCATGATAAAAATGCGCACACAATACGGATGATGACTGTCAGAGACCAACATCGATGCGAAAGGAAACCAGGATGCCTTGGACGGGTCCGGGAGATCGGCGCAACCTGACTCGTCGCTTTCCTTGATCAACTCATGCTCGAGGTCCTTCAGGATTAAATTTGGGCATGTTTTGCTTTAAGTGGCCCTTTTTGTCTCAGCATGGATCCAAAAGCTGGGGTTTAGGCTTTAGCGTTGAGGAGTTGGGGTGTGGTAGTGGTAGCAGCAGCAGCACCACCACCACCACCACCACCACCACCACCACCACCACCACCACCAGTGAGTAAAGGTAGGACTTGCGTGATAACAGTGCGAATCTTGTGCCAATGACTATGATTGCAGTGAGGGCTACTGCTTGTTGCTGTAACTAGTGGTACATGGTGCATGAACTATTACAGGTTGCGATTGTCTTTTCGATGATTTGAAGCATTGTTGTTCTTATCACTGTTTCGCTTCCTTACCAAGCTTTCCCATCTCATGAAAAGTCTCGATGCTAACAGCTAACAACAGCAAATCAAAAGCGATGGCTTCACTCGGCTTCGAAAAAAAACAGGAACAACTCAAATCTTGACATAACTAAGGCTTCCAACTAGAGTTCTCTGTCAGACGTCGGTTCTATAATGCGGATCGCGATACTAGGACTTCACCAACATGGCAATGCTGCAGAAAACTGTCCCAATGAGACGACCCTTGCAGCCTTCGTGCCGAAGAGCTCGGCGCGAAGCGTGTAAGTCCACCATGAACTTGGACGAGCAGCAAATTCGGATATTCTCACTATAAGGACACTATCCAGCGGCCATTTGCCAACGCTCCGGTGCACTTCACAAGCCAATAAGTGGTCCACTAGCCATAGGCACCACTTGGGCTCCAATACCTGGTCATGGTCGGGATAGAAGATGTCTGCCAATACAGGTGGGACTAGGCCGGTTGAGGCAGCAACTGCAACGGTCCAGGCTGCCTGTAGCTGTGGGCATATCGCCACTTCTCGCGCACCTGGCAAGAACTCTCCTGCACATCACGCCTTGACTATCGGAGGTTTCGCTGCAAATTCGCATGCAGCCTTCCTGCTACGGTTGTCACCCGGCATAACACAGAACTACAGAATCCAGCATCGCCTCTGATCATCAGCTCAAAAAAACGGTCGACAGTTCATCTACTATGATGTACTGAGTGTACTGTATCAAGCGTGTAATGTATGCCTTGCCGTGCACTACGCTACGCATTGGATGCTGTGGGATGATGAAAAGATCCAGCTGAAGCAGCAGCCGGTGTTGGTCAAGGTTCCTTCACTGTTGTGACGGAGCTTCCTTGCTTCCTTGCTGCACACACGAGCCCATTTGGCTGTGAGAACAAGTTCAAGTCAGTCAACTGCACGGGAAATAGGCCAGCTACACCAGCGCGAAGAGCTTGAAAGCATTATCTTCCTCCACCAAAGTTTTGCTGCAACTTTGCTCGATGCTCCTGGCGCCTCCCGCTGCCTGCTTGTTCAACTGCCGTCGCTTGGCAATAGGCTCAAGGTGCGGACCATCGGGAGACGGCCTGAGGCTGCTCGCTGTGTTTCGGGTTTCTGCGCATGCCCTTCGTCCGGGCTGCCGGCTTTAGCAGCCGTGCCAGAGGGATCGCACATGGCTGCCAACTGGCGCAAGACACGCTGCATGCCAAAGCACCCCAAGGCCTAAATCCTAAACTACCTTTCCAAGGAGTTTGCCAGAGCACAGCATTTTAAGGTCGGCACTCTATGGTGTCCTTCTGGATGTTTCGGACCTGCGTGCGCTGCCAAAAAAATGAACGCAAACAGATGCATTTCTGGGCTACTCTAAGACCGCGACATTCGCCATGTAGCCCGTTTGCTGCTGTTCGATAAGTGCCCCTGCCTCTCTCTTGCGATGATGAGACACTTCTGAATACATCACACCATGTCAGATCGTGCTTGAGATTCTGGGAGCGCTGCAACATGACCCAATGAATAGCCCAGCTTGCAGTCCAGCACCGTCGGCATTGGACTCAAAGCAATGTGCCTGCTCAACTACAACCACTCCCCACGACTCTTTCAAGGAACGAAGAGGCGGCAGAGCGCTTCCAACACGGCCTCAAGCTGTGCGGATGCTGCTCGAAGCATTTGACGGTTCGCTTGCCCTCTTTCCCTCTCCTGAAGCAGGATCTTTTCAGAACACAGCACCTAGCCTCTCGCACGGCGGTCTGCACTGGAAGAGCTCCCTGGCAAATGGGAGCCGGGCAGCGCGAGGCGTCGCGCAACAAGAGCAGCGACAACCCGCTCTGCTTCCATGAACGGAAACCTCGGCCAAGATTGTCTAGGTGCAAGGCATGACACGGCCTTGAATGGAGCAATTACAATATGCTTGGGTCTTCACGTAGGAAGCCCATCGATCCCATCGGTCCTGCAGCTTTCGCTTGCATTCGACAAACAACAGCTCCGACCATCAGACAACCAGGCGCCTGACCCCTGGACTCGATCGTAAACCCCGCACCCGCAAACCCGTGAACACACCGTACCAGTATCAACGACCGTCCTGAAGACCAGGGCATTCTGTGCGTCAGAGGGCAGCCTGAATTGCAATGCCGCGTGCCGCCCAGTTCTGGCCACATGATGAGATCAGTGTTTTGAAGGCTGCTTTCCACCACACAACCAGGGCATGTGCACTCCAGGCGCATGCTCTGATAAAGGAAGAGGGTTTTGAGATGCTCTAGCCCTTCCCGAAGTGCTTCCAAGTCGCAGCGCATAGTACTTAGCAAGCGCTTCAGGCAGCATCCTCAACGCGACTTCCTGGACAAAGTATGCAAGTGCGGCTCGCAGGTCATGTGTGCAGGCATGTTTATCTCTCAGCATGTCTCTACCTACCTGCCTGCCTGCCTGCCTGGCTGGCTAGGTCGGCTGGCTGGTGGGCCGACAAGCAGGCAAGCAGGGAGGTAGGTAGACGAGCGTCTGTAGTCTATCCACCCACCTATCTCTTCGCCCTATCCATCTAACCCTATCTACCGATCGATCTGTCTGTCGATCTATCGATCTATCCGTTTACCGATCTAACGATCTACCTATCTATCGATCCATCTATCTGTCTTTGTATCCTCACTGTCATCCATCTGTTTGTTCGCCTATCTGTCCATCTGCCTCTCTGTCGTCTGTCGCTCTGTCTATCTATATATCCAGCCATCCATACATCCTTCCGATGGATGGGCAGATCGATACGAAGTGGTACGAACTCGCACAACTATTCAATCCCTTCCATACAGTGCGTAAACCCTAATCCACGGTAGATCCTGAGAAAACATCCTAAATCCTCAATGCACGCGCGTTTCATGAACCCTTTTGGCTGCCCCCGCCTCCGAACACAGCTCGGCAGGCTTCTCGCAGCGAAGCCTGGCAGAGATTCCAGCTTCGTCTTGGTCGGTTCTGCATGCTGGGCTTGGGGCAGATGCTTTCTGGGAGAAGCAGCGTGTCTTTGCGTTTCCCTGAGCCCGTCCTGGTGGGCGGGCAAACCCTTATAGAACCCTTGCAAGAGCTCTTTAAAGAACCAGCTGGGGCTGGGTGAATGCGTCGTGCTCAGGCCTCGATCTGGCATATAGTCATGGTGCGATCTGCGAGCTACCAAAGAGGAGACCCTAAAACTTCATGGTTGTTCTTGCCTCCTGCATTTTTTTCCCTCCTACGGAGGCATTTGGGGTCGAGGGTTTAGTTCACAGGATGTAGGGTTCAGAGTTTTAGGATGTGCGTTTTTTGCGCTTGGTGCTTTGCTGTTTGTGTCAGTCACCCTCGGCACAGCCATGCCATTCTTTTTTGTATTCACCACCTCACTGGGGTTTGGTACTTGGGATGACTTGGGCTTGGGGCTAGGCGGTCAGAGGTGCCCCCGCGCCTGTGCATCTCGCGGCCTGAGTTGCCGTCCCTCTACCTCTCTCCAAACCTGGTTGCGCTTCTTTGCCACCATCTTCTCCAAGAGGCGGAGTAATCTGGTCTGATACAGCTTGGGGAAGAAATCGTCGGAGATCATGATGACGCCAGCCTGCACATGCCAAGGCTTCTTGACTTCAGTCAGCCCGGCAGCGGGGTCCGAGATGCCGGCGTGCAAACAGTAGTCATGGTGGCGTGTGACGATAACCTCCACAATTTCCTCGAGAATCATCTCTAACGTCATCCTCGGCACAGGGCAGACGCGTGGAGCCGTCTACTGCGTGTTCAATACGGTATGTTGCAAGGCCGCCGCTCACGCTGCAAGAGCTCTTCGCCAACATAGCAGAGGGTGGGTCTGATCTGCATGGCCACCTGCTGTCGGAGCAGGTGAAAACCATACTGGAAACGGCAACAACGTGGCCTCGACTGTCAGCGTGCTGGAGCCGCAGGAAACGAAGTGGTAGATGTCGCGGTTCAAAGCTTGCCTCTGCTGGAGCTCACCTAACAAAGCCTTACGTCGCCGATGCTCACCAGCAGCCTGCTGAGCGAAAGGTTGCCCGCGACCTCGCTCAAGACGGCGCAGGCACTGTCGAAGCCTGCACGGGCTCACCGAGATGTGCATGCGTGCAGTTTAGAAGAACAATACCGTTAGACATGCATTTGTCCATGCTTAGAGGTATACATCTTCGTATACGCATACCTACACATATACCTACAGCCCTACATACATCCATACCTACATATGCACCATTACATATCGACATACCTACATACTTACATACCTACATAAAGACCTCAGACCTACCTACTTACCTTCCTACCTACACTCACGTTCACCCACATGCACGCACACACATATATATATATATATATATACATACACCCACACGCATAAACAAACAATCCCATGATGCACGCATCCACACATACACACAGAAATACACACAGTAATACGCACATACATAGATCAGATAGATACCTACGTACATACAGACATACATGCACACATGCACAGGTCCACAAAACGTACACGCATGTTTGGCACTTGCACTCTACGAGGTGGAACAAATACAATCACATGCACACATGCATCCATACGTAAACACATATAACCCTGCCACACAGCCATGCATCAATACATGCATGCATATACATACATATAGAATATAGGAAGTTAGTGTGAAAGGGGGAGAGCGAGAGAGAGAGAGAGAGAGAGAGAGAGAGAGAGAGAGAGAGAGAGAGAGAGAGAGAGAGAGAGAGAGAGAGAGAGAGAGAGAGAGAGAGAGAGAGAGAGAGAGAGAGAGAGACAGAGAGAGAGAGAGACAGAGAGAGAGAGAGAGAGACAGAGAGACAGAGAGACAGAGAGACAGAGAGACAGAGAGACAGAAAGACAGAAAGACAGAAAGACAGAAAGACAGAAAGACAGAAAGACAGAGAGACAGAAAGACAGAGAGACAGAAAGACAGAAAGACAGAAAGACAGAAAGACAGAAAGACAGAAAGACAGAAAGACAGAAAGAGAGAGACAGACAGAGAGAGACAGAGAGAGACAGAGAGAGACAGAGAGAGACAGAGACAGAGAGAGGGACAGAGACAGAGACAGACAGAGACAGAGACAGATAGACCGAGAGAAAGAGATAAAGAGTGGAGGGAGGGACAGAGAGAAAGTGAGAAAGACAGAGAGAAACAAAAAGAAAGAGAGAGACTGAGAGACAGAGAAGGAAGGAGAGAACGAGAGAAAGAGAGAGACACACGTGAAACAAGCGTGGCTTGCAAGCGGGGCTTGCGGCTCTTGGCCTAGGGTTGTCTGGATCCAATCCGGTTGCGTAACCTGCGAATCCCGAGGCTTCCGGGAAGTGCAAGGTGGCGGAGTTTTACCGAGGCCGTGGCCCAACCACTCACGCTGTGAAGGACGGTAGCCACAGTGGTGGCGGGCCGCTCCTGGAAGAAAAGGCTGCTGGTGACAAGTCCGGAAGCCGACAGCAACCGGGCCTTCTGGAGGTGCTCGGTGATTCTTGCGATAGTTAGCACCTCGCTGGGACCACACCTCAGCATGAAATAGCTTTGCGGGTATGCGGCTCGTACTCAAGAGGAGGCCAGGCTGGCATCACGCATCTGAGGTCACCGCAAGAAGACCAAGCCATTCAGCTGCAAGCTGTCACAAATATCAGTCACCTTTCACGAGCGTCACTCCCACGACCTCCTGTATGCACCTAGGCCTGGCCTGTTTCAGCAACATGTTGTTCCAGCGGATGTGGATGGTCGGCAGGAGGTCACTGCCGGCCTGTGACGACTTCCCTCGCAGGCCCCCGTGAGCACCCCCAGAAAACCAGCCTTGCCTGGTTTAAGAAGTAGGTGAAGCGGTCGTCGATGTCGAACTCGTGCACTTTGGCCAGGTTGCGAATACCGATCAACTTGGACCCTGCGAGGGCCGGCCGGTCGAAAAAATCCCGGAGCCCGAGCAGCACGTTGTGCGTGCCCGAGGCCGCCACGGCGTTCGCCACGCTCACGACGCCCACGCGCCGGGCCTTCGTGGGCTCGAGAGGCTCCGAAGGCGGCTCCGAAGGCTCCGGCTCTTTGGGAGGCGCCGAGGCCGAGCTCTGGGCTTCCGAGGCCGTGGTGGCTGGGGGTGGTAGGGGAGGGACGGGAGGGACGGGAGGGACGGGCAAGACGAGGGAGGCCTCGGCCTTGGTTTGGTCGACCAAAAGCGGCTCGAGCTTCCCCGTTGAGGGGAGCATCTCTCGAACTTCTGCCGAGGCATCGGCGAGCCAGACCTCCCCGTGGCACCTCTCATGAAACTGGGGCAGACCATCTGCCAGCAACTTGGGGAGCGGTGGGACATCTCCAGCTCGATGTTGTTCCAAGTCGCTTCGCCTGGTCTTCTCCCTTGTCTTCCCGGGTCTCAAGTTCGGAGTTATCTTCAGCTCCTTCGTGATCTTCGGTGGCCGCCGAATTTCAAGCTGTGGAGATCCCGGCTGCGACGGCAGGTGGAGCATCTCTGCCCGCTCGCCACTAGCCCATTGCGGAGACTGAGTTCTTCGGGTGTTGGCTACGACTGAATTCGACGACTGCGGGACACTTGACAGTGGCGGGGACTTGTGGGGCCGGATTGATCACAATCATTCGAGACATCAGAGAAAGCAACACGATCCAGTGCACAACGTGCGGAGAGTTCTTGCCGCAGTCATGAACCATATCCCAGCAAGGCTTTGAACCTTGTGCTTCGGGGGAACAAACCAAGAAGCGACATAAAGAGTTGGACACCTTCACATGGCAGGCAGTCTTCCGAGGCGTCCAGCGTTTTCCCGTAGGCAATGCTTGAGAATTCGCCAGCTTGCAACCTGTGTCGACGTGGGCTGAAGCCACAGGCGCAGCTCAAGCTCATTATCTGGAAGCTGCGCTCCCTGGATGGTAGCCTCAGGTAACACATCCTTACAGCCACTTGTGCTCCGTAAATGGAACCTATTTGTAGCTCTTCCTTCGCTGGAATGGAGCACTTGTGGCATATCGAGCCTTCTACAACTGGAGAGGAGGAGGCCCGACTAGACATGGGCAATGCCTCCCTCTTGTGAAACTCATGACACGAAAGGGCGGCCTGCTTGGGATTGGCTGGGATTGGTTGATCGACTGCCCTCTCGAAGCTGCGCTCTTCAGCGCAAGTGACACAGGCTTCTGCTTGGATTCCCAGCAGAGCCGAACACTAACCAAGGGTGAGACCGAGGACATTTACAGTGAGGATGTAGGTATCGTGTTTCGAAGTCGCGGAGTATCAGTACTTCAGTGCCAGGAAAGCGGCCACGCCTGCCTTGATCCATTTGTCTACGACCTGGTCCGTCTTCACCTCGATATACAGCACGAAGTTTGTCGAGTGCCCTGTTGTCAGCAGAGTTCCCTTCCGCGATACCACCTTGTAGCATGGGCACCGATAGTCTGAGGCGTTAGGAACACGATTCTTGACAGGCAGAAACTGCAGCGGCGGCAGATCGGTGAAGAGCTCCTTCGGACGGGACTCCTCGAGCTGGTGGGTCGTGTTGTCGAAACGCGCGCCCTCCAGGAAGATGCCGTAAACATAGACCCCATCGTCGGGAGGCGTGGTCAGTTGTGCCGGGGCATCGCTGATCTGATCCATAGTGTGCTGGCTGAAGGAGAGCAGGTCAATCTCCTCCCCATATTTCCGGGCAAAGTTTTGCATCGCTCCCGTGAAAAACGCTTGTGGGAAGAAGATGCCACTGATCCAGAAGACGGGTGGCGCATGTCCCAGATCGAACCACATCTGGAAGAACCTGGCGAGATGCAAGTTTGGGCAGAGCTGCTCAGTTCGACGGTGCAGGACTGGCGGCCTTTCTGATTGATGACATTGATTGCATGAGAGTATCTGCTTCCGAGCAGCCCAACGCGTGCAAGAATGTCCAAGTACCAGCTGCTCAGGGGTTTCAAGGACAAAGGACCTTTCTTGGACCACCTCAGCCACAAGTACCCGCAAAGTCCGTCGTGCATTTACCGCGAGAGTACAGGCTAAGAAAGGGACATTTCGGGGACCTCGTTGACAAACAAGGACTTGCCAGCAGCTTCCAGCTCGGCAGTCATCACGATAAGTCCTGGCACCAACGTTGTCGGAAGAAGTCTGAAACATCAGATGCTAGGACCCCGCTGGGACGACCGACACCTCGCCTTTGATGGCTTTCCGGAAATCTTTCAGAGAGCTTGTCATCGACCAGATCAGCTTGTTGTATCGAAGGCACTCTTGCTTGACCACAGTGTTCATGGACTCTTCATACCTGGCGACTGCAACACTACGCAAAATTACCAACTCGTGGGAGTTGACCTGGCTTTGCCGCCACGAAACAGTGTCGGGAATTTTGTTTCGCAGACATCCAAAGGGAATGGCTTCGGCAGCCGATCTTGAATTGATGCTGCCGTGTCATCCATTACCTGCCACATGCAAGCCGGCACAGACTGCGAAGTACTACACGCAAGCCCAAAACTAAAATCCCTGGACGAGTGCGACTGTCCAGTGAGTGCCAAGAAGTTGCTGAATCTGCAGACCCTCCCTCGCCACCACCAGAGCTCAAGGACACCTCGGAAACAACCAGGCCGAAAAGAAGCAGGCAAGGCTTCCGAGCAACTGGTCCAAGCTCAAATCAATGCACGTAGTGCTCTTGGACAACAGACACCAGCAAGGTAGACTACAATGACTACACTTGACTACAAGATACTGTACCGCAAACCCATTCGTGGACCAAGACAATACTTTCTTTCCTCCCAGCTGAATGACATGCAGTAACGTGCTTCTGACGCCAGACGTGATAAGCCACACACTCGGGCAAGAAGCTTAAGCTGGCTCGATTCGGCGAAGCACGCTTTGCAAAAATGCTCTTGCTGAAGGCATTGACACTGCAACTTCAATTATCGCGAAAGGCACTTGCTATCGCAAATTTCTTCAGCCTGCACGTTAAACTAGGCAACACAATGTAATGAAATACGTTCTGTCGATCAGTTGATATCACTTCCTTGTGAACGCCGTGCGATTTGACCAATAAGGATGAAAAACGTGCGGCTGATCGACTGCGTGGCAATAATCTTGGCAAAAATGGTCAACTCGGGCCAATCGATCCTGTGACTCCTCCTCTAGGTTTGGGCTGCAATCCGGCGGCCCGGACGTGCTGGCAGGCCCAAGGCCTGGCATGGTTGCCCTCATCAAATGGAAGCGTAAAACCACGCCCCGAGGAGATGTTGATAACAACCACACGGCCAGGGACCCCTGCATGGCTAATCTCCGACACCCCAGTCGTTTCGGTGACTGTCATAGCTCCCCGATGTGGTGGACGATTGCGTAGCTGAAGTCAGCGATGATGTTGTCGTGACCCATGTCACCGTCGTCGTCACAGTCTCCGAAGTTGTGATCGACGACGTGGCTGTCGTCGTGGCCGACGTTGTTGTCGTCGCCCATGATGGAGCTGTTGTCGTGCTCGAAGCCGCCGTGATGGCAGGAGGACAGGCACCAGCTTGGATGTTACATTCTCCGAGCGTCATTTTTTGCCACCCGCCCAGCTGAACATGTCGCACCGCAGGGAACTCGTCAGAACTCGTCAGGTTCGAGCGTCATCACAGCAGCAGAACCTGTGGTTAGGGCTCGTTGCGCACAAGTTGATGCGGATGGATTGCCAGACAAGAGCACAAATCCACTCCATTTACCGTAATGAGCTCATCGCCTGCAAGCGGTTGGGCACAGCACATTGCCACGACATGCGTTGCTCCGGACGCTGGCGATTGGCACAAACAGGGTTGACATATCGGCGCCGGTGCACTCTGTCTGCACGTCGGCAAGGGCTTGTGCATCGCACGTGCCGACGCCTTTGCAGACCGTGGTGCAGCGTTCACCTGCATTCTGTACCATCCAGCCATAGCTTGTGGCACCCAAGCACCGGCCATCAAGTGCCATCAACACCAAGCAAATCAGAGCCGTGGCCGCACTGCGAGGCAACGAAAAAAATCCTCAGAGAGTCTTTCCCGGCCTATAATCCAAACTCCTGAGCCAAAACCCATCTTGGTTGGGACTTCGGGCTGCTTCGAATTTACGCTTTCACAACTCGGACTCAGAAAGACGAGGTCGCTCGGTTCGTGTCTCACTACACCAGTTTGAAACAGTTTAAAGTTTCGACACGCACTCTCGCACGAGGCAGGCGCGGCTTGAATTCAATCGCTTAGGGCAAGGATTCACGACATCGAGCGTTCAGGGATTTAGCTTGCACTGCAGCGGCCAGCATCTCAGGACCAAGCCATACTTTGCATCCCTGTCAGAAGCTTCAATGCTTCGTCTTGGGCCTTAGCGCTCTCTTCGGAGAAGAAACACCGCAATCTGCGCGAAGCCCTACAGCCCTAGAGTAGCAAAAGGAGTGTATCAAGCAATGACCCTTCAAGAAAGCAGAAAGCATTAAGTCTTGGGCGCAAGTGATGTTGCAATTCTCGTGCAGGCCAAACGCTTCGGGCATGGGATACAGAGGCAAACCTGCGAGTTAGGCTTTAGGGTAGGGGCTTTAGGTCTCTTTAGGACTGTAGAACCAGTCATGGCTTGGGTAATTGGTCTGGCGTCTAGCGTGTTCAGTGGCAGCAGCTTGGAAAAGCAGGATGCTTCACACTAAGACATGTGCAGGGGTGGAGCCTTTAATGTAGGTGATGAACTCTTCCATCGTTTCTGCAGCTGGGGCGTAGTAGAGGCCGCTCGTGGAATACTTGTAACCATCCTTTTGCTCCACCGACTCTGGACAGATGAAGGTCTGAAGGATCGTCGAGATCAACAGCTTATCCTTGTCATCAGTCACACGACCTCCATAGTTGATCTTTGCCCCGAGGAAGTTCAAGACTTTGTAAGGCACCTGCTCGTACTGGTTGACGAAGAGCATGAGCTGCTGCCGACAGACTTGCAGATCTTCCGGTGTGAAGCCATAAGCGATGTTCCAGCCTATCGGCCCAAACTTACGCCTGTCCTGGACAACCGCATGGAAGAAGCAGAAGCCGAAGAGCAGTGTCTTGAAGATCTCCGGCTTATTAGACTCCTTGAAGAGTTCGTCAGACAGCGCGGAGTATGAACGAAGCAAGTTGGCCCGCAAGCCAGAGGGCGGCTCGTTCGTCATCTTGACTCCATTCTGCAGCACCTGCACCGGGAAGGACTTGGCCGGCATAGATGTGAGCCAGAGACGGAAGCTGGTCTGCATGTTGTCGGGGTTGAACTGCTCCACGACAGCCTCCAAGGTGGGCATCCAAGACTCCATCAGGTGACAGTTTGAAAGCAAAACCCATCCACCACTGCCCTGAGCATTCTCGATGAGCTTCATGGCCTTGGGCCCTTGCCCCTGCCCCAAGGAAATCGACTCAAAGCGCTTCAGCATGCCAAGCTTGTCAGCGAAGGCAATGACGTCTGAGACTGGATCTGTGCCTGGCGACAGAATGAAGATCAAAGGTGTCGTGTTCACCGAGTCGGCGAAGGATTTGCTGATGTCAAAGGTGGGTGGCTCCACAAACGCTTGACCGATCTGATGCGAGATGAATGTGATCACCGATGATTTCAAGCAGTCAATGCGCATGGCCCGGATGAAGCACATCTTCTGCATGGGTGTAAGTTTGGCGTCCCACTCCCCCGGCAGCGGCTCTTTGTCAGCTTCCACAGAGTCGTAGAGCTTCTTGAAGTCTGACACATGCGAAGCAAAGTAGTCCGAGAAACCGGCGAAAGCTGGAAGGGTCGACAGTGTGAGGATCTCGTTCCAACGCGGTTTCCCGACCCACTCCTCTGGAATCGGCGGCCCTTTCTCCACCAGGTCTGCCGTCGGACCGACCTTAAATTGGGGTTTAGGCTTAGGTCCTTAGGTTTGGAAGGCGAAAAGCAAAAGCGCAAAGGGCTTTAGACAATCTTAGACACTGCTCCGGGCTTCCTCTTGCAGTCAGCGGGCCAGCAAGAATCGCAGCTCTGAGTCATCCAAGAGCTTGTCGCCTCGATGCTCAAGATGAAACATCTCTCTGCTGCATTTTGGGTGTTTTCTGTTGAAGGCTTAGGGCTTTTCTATTGCAGTGTAGGCCAAGGGGCTCAAAGGGTACGGATCTCAGACCTTCTCTCCCCAAAAAGTATATACTCGGATAAACATGTGACACCTTCGCCTAAGGCTGCAAAGAACGATGCAGCAAACATGGACAGCTGCCGTCCATGCATGGGAAGTCAAGCGGTAAGCGAACCAAGTGCTTGCTCGAGGACATGCACGGCATGCGAGACGTCTTGATTGCAGGTTGGTTCTTCGATTAGCCATGGTTTGCAGGGTTAGTTTAGGGCATGGCTTGACACATGCTTGGCTAAGGCCGGCACCTCGCAGAATGCTGGTGCAGAGGGCGAAGGAGAAAAGCGTCTTGTCCTTCTCGAAGAGGCCACGGCAGATGGACTGATACAATGCCTCCGTGAAGAAGCTCTTCAATATCCCCAAGCCTAAGCGTTTAGCCGGCTTCGACGAGCCGAAACTCTGTCACTCACCGCATGCCCCAAACCCCCAGACACTTCATAGGCCAAGCGACGCTCTTCAAAGTCTTCTGATTTCGGAGAGGTATCAATGGCTATCGTGAAAAGCTTTTGGAACCACTGCAGGCTATACCTCAGCAGACTTCTGATACTGGCATGTACGATAATAACATGAAAGGCTATGGTATGCTATAGGATTCTATACGTGCAATCATATGCTACCAATACGACAATATACGATAGTATGCCACAAACGCGAGAATAGACTTTATCAGGCACCAGCAGTTTGCATCCAAGCTACTGGTACATGGGGTCAATGTTCGTCAGCTCGACGATGCAGAAGAACAGCACAGCAGTCCGGAAGGCCACGGGTCGATAGCTCTCGCGTGCCGCATCGATGTTCTTCTCCGTCACCTGCCATCATTTGCACTCCATATGTGAGTTTCCGAAAATAGGGGACCCTGATATAGTAATCCTTATTATAAGAAGCCCTAAATAAGGGACACTCGCGGCAAACAGATCCGGAAATAGTGTGCAGGAGTAAGCCTCTGCCACCTTCTTCTTTTCGTTGATATCGTCAGAGACCGCTTTGGAGTCTGTCACCTGCCACCAGCACCAGCTGCCATAGGAAACAAATATAGGCGGCTGTATAATATCTATATTTGTTGATTGATCTCTTTGTTTACTAATTCATGTATGATATGCACAATGACACCATGATAGTTTCTATGATTGAATAGGTCAAGTCATAATATGTCTCCGACTCGATACCCAGCATCTCAGAGAGCCCGCCTTGTCAACCAAGGTGTCGTCTTCCAGCACATCGCCCTCGCTCGTGGCCAGCAGCCGAAGGATATCATCCTGTAGGGATTAGGGTTTAAAGTTTAGGGCCGGCCTTTAGGGGTCCTAGAGGTTCAAGGTTGATAATTGGAGTGTAGGGGATAGGATCTGGGGTTTGGGGTTCAGAGGTAGGGCTCCCAGAACTCGGACGTTCGCAGTCGGACAACTAACCAACTAACGGTGCAAACTTGCAGCTGCATCACGAATCAGCTCACATATAACACATTGACCAATTAGCAAAGAACTGAGTACAAGACCTTTTCTTCTCCGCTCTCGCGGTAAAGTTACCGTTCCCCGGTGAAGAGACATTTTTTGTGTCTCAACCCCCGAATGTTCAAGCCCCTCTTGATTGAAACCCCCGTTCTGCTCACATCCGCTTCAGCAGGGCGGGTATTCGACGTCGTCCGGCAAGCGCACAGCCAGCCACAAGCGCGACGGAAGCGGCAACTGCAGCGGCACCAGTGCCAACGCGGCCCCCGGGTGCCCCTGCGGCGTCTCCGGTCGCGGAGTGGCAGCCACAGCTGTGAGAGTCGCAGGCGATGCTCGAAAGGACCGGAAGTCCGAGCCTAGGAGCGCTCGCTTGGCCCATCACTTTGCTCTGCGAGGGCAAAGGCGAAGGCGGCAGAGCGGGCATCGATATCGGTGCCTCCTTGGCCTTCGCCGCCTTGGCCTTGGCCTCCTCCGTGTAGCGGAGGGGCAGCTGCAGCAGCTCGGCTTCGGGCACATGCTGCCGCAGCTCCACGTTCGCGAGCTCGAAGAGTCGCCGTGAGGCCTTGGCCGAAAGCTTCTCCTTCTGCTTGTCAGAGGCGAAGATCACCTGCTTGATGCCGGCCTGGATGATCACCTTGGCACACTCGTTGCAAGGGAAGAGCGTCGTGTAGATCCTGCAGCCCGAACAGCTCTCGGCATTCTTGTTGAGCACCGCGTTCAGCTCCGCGTGAACCACATAGGGATACTTCGTATCTAGCTCCCCATCCGGCGAGACCTGGGAGCTTCCAAAAATAGGGGACCCTCATATAGCACCCTAAATAGTAGGATCCTTGTTAAAGGACCCCAAAATGAGGTACCCCTAATGTTCGGAAACTCCGACCTTGCTCCATGGCAGCTGGTCGCTGGGGCAGTTGCTTGGCATCCCATTGTAGCCTACCCCGACGATGCGGTTCCGATCGTTCACAATGCAGGCGCCCACCTGGGTATATAGTTCTTTCAAATATGCCCCTCCCAGGTCCCAAAATAGTACCGCACCCTTGCGAAAAGGATCCCTTATAAGCCTTACAGTATCCTTATGGAAACCCTTATGGATCCCTTTAAAAGTATCCTTATAGAAACCCTATTATAGATCCCTTTAAAAGGGGCCCTCTTTCAGAGAACTGCCCACCTGCGTTGAGGGATCTTTGGAGCGCATCGCAGTGAGGAAGGCAAGGCTCATGAAGTAGTCATCCCAGGACCTAGCTCATAGGGATCCTTAGGGGTGTAGGGGGAGGGGGGGTAGGGGGCCTTAAGGCCCATAATAAGGACTAATAAGGCCTATTTAAGGAAATATAGTCCCCTACACCCCTCCCCCCTACACCCCTAAGGATCCCTATGACTAGCTCATGGTTGGAGTAATTCCTTATTGGGTTCTATAGCTCATGCTTGGGATAGTAACGTCATCCCAGGACCTATAGTGAATCCCAGCAAGATGGAACATGGACTTAGGGTGATTGGTGTTTGGACTCCCTATTCTTCTCCTTGAGGGCATGAAGTAGTCAATCCAGGACCTACAGTGAATCCCAGAAAGATGGAACATGGACTTAGGATGATTAGTGTTAGTATTAGGATTCCCTATACTTCTCCTTGAGGGCATCAGGATAGCGATGTTCAAACTTTCTGGCTTCTACAGTCGCTCATGGTTGGGATAGTTCCCTATTGGGTTCTATCGCTCATTGCTGGGATAAGTTGTGCAACTTCCTTATGGGGTTCAAAAACCATGAGACGGTAAAATGTTCCCCAACTATGAGTTCATGGTTGGGATGGCATTAAAAAATTAAGTTTCTCTTCCTCGCGCGGTTTACGCACCCACAAATTTGAAAATATTAAACATTCCTTATTGGGTCTAAGCGCACATAAACGTGTAAGAAATGTTACCCAACTATGACACAGGGACAAGGCGTCCTTTCGCGGAGACGAGCTGCCCATCGCCCTTGCGGTGGAGGCTCCTTGGCCTACCCTCTATCAGCGGGAAGGAGTCTTTTCCATACCCAGCTCTTGAGCCGTAAGCCATAAGATTGGGGTTAAGGGAGTTTAGGGTTTAGGGCTGTGGGCGACGCCTCGGCTAGCTGACAAAACTATCTAAGCGTTGGTACTGCTCAAAGCTGCTTGTGACGCGCCGGTGGACATGCAGCGTGGACATGCAGCGGTCTCCCGTCCTCAATGTCTTTCAAGATCTTGTTGTTCTTGGCATTCTGGACAACGAGGTTGTTCTTCTCTTCTTCGAGATCCGGACCTTCGCCCGGCATTGCTCAGGCAACATGGGCCTGCTCCTCTTATCTGCGACTGCACGTTGCCGGAACCGAACAGCAGCACTCGAGCCGCTGACGTTCTTTTGCCACCACAATTCCCAGCATCTGGTCCTTTTAAAAGCCGCTGACATACGTGGGGGATCGGTGCCTTTGCACCAAACAAAGGACGTCGCTGCCAGCAGAACCGCGCGAAATGTCCTCGAGTCCACTCGGCGTGATAGCGAAGTTGAGCCTGGTCTTCAGTCACGTCTACGCCACATCAAGCTTGCCAGGCCAGTACTTCCTGCCGAGGGACAGAGTCACCTTGACCGAGGTTTCTGGCCTCGCACGAAAGATTGCAAAAACTCGGCAGACAAAGCAGAGGCCTGTCCGAGGATGCAGCGAGTAGTGTGGATTCGGCAAAGTCGTTGTCATGAAGAACTTGAAAGTCTCCTGGGTGCGAAGTCTCTAGCCGCCACTGACTGCTTGTGTCTCTGGCCAGGCAGCCAGAAAAGTTCAGCCCGAGATTCTGTGTATGTGACGGACTTGTCACCGAGCTTGATAACGTAGCCGGAACCATCCTGCGAACTAATTTGAAAGCCTCCACGGAGGAGAGATCTAAGGCACGAGGCGCGCGAATCAGCTGGCATGCTCTGGGCAAGACAGGACAGAAGGGCCAAAACCAAACCTAGGGCTGAGTCACACCTTCAGGCATCCAGGGTTTAAGGTTCTAGGATCTAGGCATCTAGGCATGTTTGGTCTACGTCTACGCCGGTGCGAACAGCCGCAAGGTCTCGGCAAGCCCTTTTTTTGCTCAAGGACAATCCATCCCCAAGCTCTCGAGGCAATGACTTAGCTGATAAGCATGACCATGATAGCCATACCGAGCAAAAGAGGCAACATGATGATACAAATAGCCCGTAAAAACAGTGGCAAGCAAGAAGAGCTGGGGAGGCGTCCTTGACCTTCTGCTGGCCGAGCACTGGTTCCAAAGCGGGGTCGAGGCTGATGCCAATGTTCTCCAGCCTCAGAGGGGATGAGGGTGAAGCGTCACAAGATCTTCGGAACTGTCTGAACTGCGGATGGCTGGAAGTCTGGGAAGCCGCTGGAAGTCTGGGAAGCCGCACAAGATCCACTTTCCGAATTGGATGCCAAGCTCCAACCTGCCAGCAAAGCAAAAGACGACCTAATTCGGTCGGCCTTTTGGGATTCCTACTAGGCCAAGCTGCGTTCGCAAGAAGTTCTTCTCGCTGAGCTTGCACACATCGATCCCCGTTTCGGTGTCCTGTCGGGACCAAACGACCTCGATGTGGAAAACTACAAGTAACTACTTCCGTTTACCGCCTTGCCCATGTTCTTGATGTACTTGTTGGCCTGTCGCTGTGGGTCGATCATCAGGGGCCAGCGCCTGCCATGGGCTACCGTCGCGATGTGCGATGTGCCGTCGAGTCTTCGCTTCTGTGTTCTGCCTGGCACGGTCGATGATGATACCGTTTTCGATGGAAAGCTGGTCGTTCGGCAAGGAGCAGACCACCCACTGCCTCGAGGCGCTCCGACTTTGCTCGGATTTGGCACGCTCGATACCACTGCTTTTCTTCAGCTCAGCCGCTGGATCTTGACCGGATCCCCGAGCACGGTTGACATGCTGCATCCTGGCAGCTGTCAGCTTTCCAAGCTCTCGCCCCAGATAAATAGTGAACGAAGGTGAAACGGTGATCAGTACCAACCATGATACAAACAAGATCAAACCGAGTCTGGGCCTTTGGTGTGGGCCATCTCCAGCTCCGTCAACTCCTTTCGCCAGAGTTCCTCGCAGTCGCTTCGGACCTGCGAGGTGAAGGGCCCCGCCTCAGCAAAAAGGGCTCGGACTTGGGAGAGACACTATGGCTTTGCTTTCGGTTTGGGTTGTTTTTTTTAAGTGCTCCCAGCAGAGGGTTCAGGGAGTAGCATTTCGGGTTTCGGGATTGGGGCGATTAGGGTTTCAGAAATTTTCATACCTCCTAACCTCTTTCTTACGCTGGAAATCTCTGCTGGCCATCACATCTTAGAGTCGGGCGTAGGAGACCATGCCAGCAGCCACGATGCAATCACCAGGCAAGAGTCCCAACTGTGCGTTGAGGTCCTGGAACGGTTTAGGGTTTAGAGTTTTAGGGTTTAGAGTTTAGGGATAAAGGGAAGTCTGCCCCGCATGTCTGGCTCGAAGGCTCAAGTTTTTCCAAGGCTTCACGACGACCGGTCCACGAGAGAACTGGGTAGACGAGAACAGGCCCAAAGAAGCAATGTTCGGTTTCAGGTTTAAGGTCGGGTCGCATAATCGCATAGCAGAAAGTCTCCTGAACATTCTGTCCCCATCGTGCTTTCTCTCCGCCGAGGCCACCAATCAACTTGTGCCTAGGCAGCTGCACAGAGAGGTATGCTCCATAAAGGCTCCTCATGTGGGGCTTTCAGAAGACTAGGGACAGGGTTTAGGGTGCCCTGCTGGGTAATCCAAAAGAAAAGATCTTACGACCTGGGGCCATACCATTGGAGTCCGGTCTCCAGCACCCTTTTTTGCATAACCCTAACCCCAACACCCCTTTTCAGCGCGGACTGGGGTGCCAGCCGGTGCCCGAACACCCCTTTTTCACCTGGACTATGCATATGCCAGGAACCGAGGCGCCGACTGTGCCCCAACACCCCTAAAGCCTAATCCCAAAGCCCCGAACCCCAAAACAACCGTGCCCACTGTAAGGCCCTGACGCTCGTTGCAACTTCACCTCGCAGAGATTCATGTCATCCTGGAGCTCCTGGTGCGCGAGAGATGAGCATCTGAGCATCGAGATTGTGATAGGGGTCCCTACGTGTGTGTATATATATATATATATATATATATATATATATATATATATGTGTGTGTGTGTGTATATATATATATACATGTATATGTATATACCTCTGTGTGTGTGTGCGTGCACGACTTACCTATACCTTCAATCATTAATAAATAAATACATCCGTGTATGTATATATATATATATGAGTGTATGTGTGTTTTTTATGTATGAACTTATTTAGGGCGTGTATGTATGTATGTATGTATGTATGTGCCTATCTAAGTATCCATGTATGTATGTATGTATGAATCTCTCTCTGCCGTTGCATACATACATGTACATATGGGTTTATGTATGTAGACATACATACATACGTACATACAAACATATAAAAAGTTTATGGGGAGATCCCAACACAAGGATTATAGCAGGGATCGTAATAGGCAGAGTCTGAAAGCAAGGATTGAGCATGAAAAGCTTCAAGGCGCTTGCGAGAGGATATCTGGGCCAGTCCTTCTGCTTCTCCACTGCTCCATTGAAATCGGCCTTTGGGGAGTTTTGCCGAAGCATGTCAATGTGAATCCATTAGAATGGTGCTGCAGGCCTCCAGGGCGGCGATTTTGTTCCTTGACGCACAATGCAGGACAGCAAGGTAAGCTGAAAGGTAACACCGGAAAGATTCAACAGTCAAGCGACTGCACTTGTCGTAGCTGGGACTGGGCGGCATCCAGCTTCTCCTGCCGCTTCCGATGCGAAATGCCAGCTGCAACCACAGCTGCGAGCACGCTCGGACACCCCACCAACCCAACACCCAAACCCGAGACTCTAAACCCCAAACCCAAGATTCGAGACCCCTATGAGATTCTCTGGGCCGGTCCTGGCATTCTGCAAGTTCGGCTTCGGCCTGTTTGAGGAGCTTGCGCTTGGGCCTGCCGACACTGCCGGGCTGGTGTCCGTCAGAATGGGACAACAAGAAGAAGAACATAAGGGGCTCATCACAATCATGGTGTCATGAAGATTTACGACCTTGATGGTTGCAACCGTAACAACAGCAACATCAAGGATACTAGTAGTACGGTAGTGTGCCGGCAGCGTGAAATGGCGCTTTCGTCTTCGCAGTGCCGCCAGGCTCGCTGTCCCTGGGTTCCCTGCTCGACGGCTTTGGCGACGAAGTGGTACTTGTACATCGCTCGGACCTACGTCTCAGCAACATTCCAGAACTCACATAGCCTCAGAACCTATACTCAAGTCTGGCCAGACCAGCCCCTGTACTACCCTAAATCCTGAACCTATCCCGAACAGAGCGAACCCTTCACCCGAAAACCCTGAACCATAAACAGCACTCGAGACATTTTCCACATGTTTCCACCCTCAAATCCCGATCCCACTAATTTGAAACCCTGCCCCCCGAACAGGGGTTCCCGAAACCCCAAGCCATAAACCCCGAAAAAGGGCTCCCAACATGAAGAGTCTGAGCGCCAAGCCCACAAACACAAGGCCTCGCAGGCGATGGAGGCCTCCGTCACCGTGCATCACCCCAGCGCGAAAATCATAATCATACTAAACTAAGAAAGGGAATCAGACAGTAGATAGTAGGTAGTGGGTAATAGGTACTAGTAGCAGGTAGTAGTAGATAGTAGAGTGTCGTGAGTAGGTAGTAGTAGTTAGTAGTCGTCGTCGTAGTAGACGTAGACGTAGTAGTAGTAGTAGTAGTAGTAGTAGTAGTAGTAGTAGTAGTAGTAGTAGTAGTAGCAGTACTAGCAGTAGTAGTAGTAGTAGTAGTAGTAGTAGTAGCAGTAGTAGGAGTGGTAGTAGTAGTAGCAGCAGTAGCAGCAGCAGCAGTAGCAGCAGCCAACGCAGTTGTTGTCGTTGTAGTTCTAATTCAAGCCGTAGCTGTATGTGGAGATTTTGTTGTTGCCGTTGTTGTTGTCATCATCGTAACAGTAGTATAAGTAGTAGCAGAAAGGGCAGTGTTTTTTCTTGCCACTGCCCTTTCTGCTACTACTTATACTACTGTGGTGGTTTTGTTCGTGGTGGCGGTGCTGTAGTGTAGTGGTAGTGGAAGTAATACGCAACATAGATTAATCTGCTTCACGGTCTGACCAAAGCTTTGTAGAGCTGGCCTTCTTGATTGCTGCAGGGTCGAAGTCCTCTCTGTCGATGTAGGGCCCGATCGTCTGGATGACCTCCACACCAGGATCCCAAGGAGGTCCAAAGTCCCGCCTGTAGAGTCTGCAGGAGCGCGAGGCCTTGTCGGGGATGTTGTCCTTGTCGAAGTCCATGAGGTCTTCCAGGAGCTTCTTTGCATCCACGAGGACCTCAACACCCAAAGCCGAGCGTGCGTAAAGTGGTGACTTCCAGAAGCCCCAGAGGCTCGGGCCTGCTTCTGCGACGTTTCCCAGTAATCCTGCCCATTACGTTGGAAGCTTGGTAAAGCGCGATGCGAGCTGAGACCGTTCAAACGGGGTGACCTCGATCTTTTTCGAAGGATTGCTCGGGTCAGGCTTCTTCACTGGCTTCAGCTGAAACCTGGGCGGCATTCCACATTTCCCTGATGTCGCAAAGCTGTTGAAAACTAGGACAAAGAAAATCCGGGGCCCCGACATGATGCACACGCCTTCGCACGCGAGTCGTACACCAGCAGGTGGATTTGCAAGCGCCTTGACTTCCTGGATGTGCTCCTGGCTGCTGGTGCTCTTGCTCAAGAGATACAGGAAACCTTAGGGTTATACTGTACTACACCAATCCATACTATACTTTTCCATGGGCAAAGGCTTAAAGATGCATCGAGCACTCTTCGCTATCCCGCTCCTTCTTCAGCTTCCTCAAGCACTCCACCTTCGGTGCCCGGCTTGCTTTCGTGCTACTCAGACTCAGATCCAAGGCCCCTGAAAGAAAATTTTGGAAAGATCATCTTTGAACATGCCAGTATTGCAACTCTAAACTTTTGAACCCAGGCTCTATGCCATCATCAGCTGGGAATCGGCAGCTAACATGACTACTATTGTAACCCTAAACTGCCTTAACAACCCCTAAGTATCTGTTGGACTACTGCAGAGTCATCCTGGAATTTGGAGATCCAAACACTTAGTAGTGGCATCACCTTTTAATTGTAGTTCCCTTTATGCCTAAACATCCGAGCCTGATTCTCAGAGTACGTTTCAAAGCTGCGGAACTCGCCCGAGATTAAATTAAGCTCGGAGTCATTACCAGACCCTTACCCCTGAACCCTTAGCTTAACCCCTAAACCCTTGACACCGTAAGCCCCCAAAACCCCAACCCCTAAACCCCTATAGATCCCTTAAAGGAACCCTATTATAGTATCCTTAACAGGAACCCTTAACCCCTAAACCCTTGACACCCCAAACCCTCGTCATTGCCCAGCTCCTCGGGCTCCGACCGCTTGGTCCAAGGCCGGCAAAGCCTCGTCCAAATCTCGCTGGGCATCGTCCTTGAGCACAGCCGTTTCGAGTGTAGGGCTTTTAGGGTTTAGGGTTTTTTCCTTCCTACCTAGCAAGGGGTTCAGGGTTTAGGGTGTAGGGTTAACGTTTTAAGGTTTGGTGCGAACTCTATCTTGTGGGGGGGGTGTTCAGTACAATGCTTCTACTGCCTTCAACATAGTGTTTAGTTCCCATTGGCAGCACTGGTGCCATTATTCTTAGTGCTGCTGCCGGGCCTTGATGGCTTGGGTTTCCTCGGCCTTCACTGACGCGGCAGCCTCTTCCGCTGCAACAGCCTGAAATGCCAGCCATTCAGCGGCAGTCTACCCATCCACGCTCGAATTCTTCTCCCACCTTGCTCACTTCTTCAGCCTCCCCTTTGTCCTTCGTGATCACCACCTTTCATGAAGTCGCTTACTTTCTTACAACTGTCTCAGTCATCCCTGCGGAGACGGATTGAATCGGCTCACCATCATCTCGCCGACTTCCTTCTGCGTCTTCTCCAGCATAGGCCTGACACGACGGCACTTCCGTGTTGACCTCTGGCACGCCCCACTAAGGCAGCACAGTAAGCCGCAGACTTCTTGTCAACCAGCATCTGCTGAAGTCCTGCGACTTGCTCTTCGGCATCGCCGATCTTGCCCAAACCTCAACGGCTCCAAAGTCTGCCCCCCCGTCCATGTCATGTCAGCCACACCTCGGGATCACTAAGCACGTGACCAACGCTATATCTGTGCTGCAGCATACCAACCTTTGGAATTCAGTAGGAAGCTTCAGAAAATCAGAATAATGAGTTCCTTAGTTGTCCAGTACTCTAGGGGAACTAAAGGTAAGCCTTTGGGGTTGTGTAGGATTTACTTGTCGTAGTTACCTACTTTACTATACTAGATTCAAGGTAAAGGGGACAGGCACTGGACTCTGACCTACAGTACGACGTGACAAGAAGAGGCCTGCTTGCGCTTGTCCGCAAGAATGCCGACGAAGCTGTTCAGCAACTCTAGGAAGGAGGTTGGCGTGACCTTGTGGTTCGGCGTTTCGACATTTGGGTTTTTCTCCCTCGTTTAGCTGACGAGGTCGCGCTCCAGGGAACTAGTTGTGGGAGCGACGGAAAGTCCCAGGATACGCGCCACTCCAGGCAAGACGACCACCAACTCAACAACCGGTACAAGTGCTAAACGGTTTGGGCTCGAGGAACTCGCAGGAGAAGTTCTAAAGGGCAGCAAGGTTCCTCTTTTTAGAGGACATCGTCTATTTTGTTGAACGCCTGTTTCCGCCTAGCAGTTAAGGGCTGGATCCGCTAGGGCTCTGGGTTCTCCGGTTCAGAGATTGGATGCATGCCACTTGATAAGCAAAAAAGCACGGGCATGAGCGAGCGGCATAAACGTGGCGATTGGTCGCTTTCAGGAAGCTCCTGGAGGATGTTTCCACACTCTGGTGGATGGTCTGGAACCTCAGTCCGTGAAGAGGGACACTCACGGAAAGAAGGCTTGGTCAATCAATGCATACTCTTGACATGGATATATGTACATCTAGCTGTATACGTATTGAACGACACGCATTTATACATGTACTCATAGGCGGATACCAAATATGAATGCTTCTCTGCCTGCGTCCTATCTTATTTCTTCCCTATCGCCGCAGAAAGCCGGAATGCACCTGTCCGGGCCCCGAGCATCTTCAAGGAGCCCTCGAGGTTGGGAAGCTCAACCTTCAGGAGACCACATCCGAGATACAACACATAACATGCAACATGTAAAGTAACACGTGCGAAATAAAACAATACGCACACCGAATAAATCAATATTATACTACACCAGACATAAGACAGACATATTGTATGAAAAACTGTATGATACGATACACCAAACATAACATAATTTGTAATACAGAAGCCACGACATATCATTGCAAAGGGATGCTCCGGTGGCTCTTGCGGCTTAGGCACTAAGGTGGGAACTGATGCGACTCTTGGCTTCTGGTAGGGTGTAGAGTTCAGGCTTTAGGGGCTTTTGGGTCTGCTGCCCATGCCGGGATATGCCGGGATCATAGGTCCCTGGGGCAGCCACGCTCTGCCCGGTGATCTGCTGCTTCGCCACAGAGTAGAGCGCTTCGGCGGGCCACTCGTGGAACCTCGTGAGCTGTCCCGTTGAGGGAGTTGAAGTATGTTCAAAGAAGCATGCACATGCAGAGCAATCTGCAAAGAAAGGCACATGTTCTCTCGCCCTGCGAGTGCATCACTAACCCCGGCCCCCTCATCCTTGAAAGCTAGACATGAGTCCAGACGAGTCTTTCGGGACGTCGAAGCGACTCGTCTTCAGAGATTGGAACCACCTACGCACGAGGTCTGTGCGCGGGACCAATCAATTGTGCAGCAGTTGACCAGCGATGGAAAGCTTCCTTAGTAGAAGGCTCTGACGGTCAGAAAACAAGCATGCATCTCGGCGGTTCGCCACACATTGCTCCTAAGCCAAGGCTCGCAAACGATTTCTGAAGCTGTCGCCAACAGGAGAGAAAGCCAGTGTCACGTGGACGTTCTTCTTCACCCGACCTACAGGAACACGTCTCGCAGCCCAGACCAGTCTCGCGCTTTCTGCCGCACTGGGCCGGGCACTCAGATAGGCACTGAAGAGGTTTGCCTTTGTGGGCTGCATTCCCATGGACCTCGTCACTCGTCAATGGGCTGATTCCGAAGAAATCTCCTGAGACGTCCGAGGCCATGGCTGGCAGAGCTGGCGGCAGGATGTGGAGATGGCTTCGAAATCTTCATTGGCGTAGAGATTTGGCCTGAGGGACTTAGATGGGAAGATGTCTGCAGCTCCTCGATTTTCAGGGTGCCGGGCACATCGCCGCTGTTCAGGACATTGTTGATGGCCTGGCTTCACACAAGGGGCCCAAGGGCCCTGAAAGAGCCTCAGAGCTTCCAAGAAACCACATGAGGAGCTGTTGGGGTTTGAGATTTAGGGTCTAAATTGTAGGGTTTAGGAGTTTATGGTACAGTTAGGGTTTAAGATTTGGGGTCTAAAGTGTGGGGTCTAGGGCTGTAGGTACACTTCTCGAAGGGTTTAGGGGCTCACTTCGAACCCAGCCAGCATGGGTTTGGCATGATGTCCAGGCAGACTTCAGCCTCGACAAAGTCTTCCTTGACAATCTGGGTGTCACAGAACAAGAAGATCTGAACCTCAGCCAAGAAACCCAATCCAACTGCTGCGAGTCCGACCAATGCGTGTGTGCCGCTGCAAAAGAAAAGCGTGCTGCTTGGGTTTCCAGCCTTGTCCTCCACGCCGCATTTCATCAGGCACTTCTTGACCTCAACAGCCGTAACAGCTGGAAGGTCCGGTCCCTCACGGGAAACCCTGCAGTCAGATGCAACACTCTCACATACTCTCACGAGATCGCAACGTCGTCTTTGAACTCCGTCATTCCATAGCCTCTCCCGCCGCAACACAAGTTGGCTCTTCATTTCAACGGGTTTCAGACAAGTCTAAGTAAACCTATCTCGCGCAGGCCTTTCGCCACCTCAATCTGGAAGCAGTCTGCTTCATTCATGTACGCTGACCTGTCTCTGAACTGTGTCTGCAACACGAAGGGACGGAGGAGACGATCAGCTTGTCAAGATCACAGTCCCGGGGAGCGTGCAGGCGTGTCAGGCTTTGCCGTCCACTTCCACCTCGGCCGATCCGCTCATTAAGACAAGGTCTGCAAGCACCGTCTTCCATGAAACGTGATCGTCCATTTCGTGGGAGTTTCCGACAAGTAGCCGTACCTTATTTTAGGGGTCCTTATAATGAGGATCCTACTATTTAGGGATCTAAATTGGGGTCCCCTATTTTCGGAAACTCCCATGTGACAACTGGGGCATCTGCCAACCCCGAGCAAGAGGACGTTGCCGTTGGGCTGGCTCAGGACACGGCAAATCCGCGCCTGCATCGACTCAATTCTCTAAACTCACAATCGGGGACGCGGCTTTTTGCGTAGGCTTTGCTTCGCCAACAAACCCGTGATCGGCAAAGGCACTGAGACCCTTGCGCAGTGTTCGCAGGCATCAAGGAACATGACAAGTGGCATGGTGATCGAGAATACCTGCACGGCAGCACTTCGTGTCTCAGGGGCTGCAACGACTCGAGACAATGGAATAAAACGGGCAGCAGTGACCTGATTGTAGTCTTCCAGATATTCTTCGATTGCCTGCTTCATGGCCTCGCAACGAGAAAATCTCAACCGGAGCTTCTCGCTGCTTCTGATCTGCTACGCGAGGGAGTGCCTGCATGTCTGTGATCTCGTCATACGTCCGATTCTCCACCTCCAGTACGCCATGTCACTCATGAGATGGAAACGACGGAAAGGGCGAATCAAGACTACAAGCGACTACAAGAGCCTCCTGCGTCAGGAAAGATGCAAAGATCAGGCGCTCCTCACAGGCAAAGCAATGTCTAAGAAAGCCTTCGGATCAGAGTTCCACAGAGTTCCACACAGGTCTCTAATCGACTTTGAAAAGTGCCCGCCTTGTTGAAGATAACTTCGAGCTTCTGCTCAAGATCCTGCAATTCCATGGGAAACCGACACTGGATTCGGTTCAATTGTTGCAGCTCCGCGTGGCTGTTCTGTAAGCTGTAGGAATGCCGTTTTGTTCCGCCGACGTCCCAATCCTGGCTCACCGCGCCCTCGACCTGCGTCTTCATCCATTGCAGGTCTTGGTTGTCCTGGAGCAGTTTGGGCGAGGTTGGAAGCTTCTTGCCAAAAAGGCACAAGGTTCAGGGTAGGGCCGGTGGAGTTTCGACTTGCACACTTGCTCAAAGCAGGCATGGATGCAGACAACTCAGTCCAGCTTGCTACCACGACATGAGAGAGCGTCAATCTAAGCTAATGAAAAACCAACGAAAGAAAACGAGTTGGCAACATGTAAGAACTTTCAACCGTGGACTCACCCACATCCACCAAAATATCATATGTCACTCACACATGAGGCTACGCAGTCCTCACTGGGCACCTTGTAGCCAACACGGGGAACGACACTTTTTTCGGCTAGGCTATTTGAAGTGTATAAGGTCTACGGCCGTGCTTGCCGTGTGCAAGACAAGCCAAATCCACACCCCTCGATAACAGGCCCGATCGCCTTGGAGCACAGATCCACGATCCACAGTGGAGCTGCTGTGCCCGGAAGGGCCAAAGTTAAAAGTGGATCTCCGAATTAAGAACAACCTTGCTCAGCGAGAACTGTTCAAAAGGCGAGCCTGAACGGCTCTGTGTAGAAATGCAAAGTGCCTCAAGCTGTGTAAAACGCACAGTGTCGGCTACGTTGAGCTAACTATGCCTTGAAAGGGACCGACGAGTGGTGGAGGCAGATGCGCACCTTTCCATCGGGGTTCCTCCTGTAGCCAAACGTGTACTCCACCTTCGTCTTGCTCCCATCTGCTGCGCTAGTGAAGTAATAGTTCCCCATTGCGAGGGCCATGTTGCCGTCCACATCGATCTCGTGGTTCTCGAAGACGACGTCTGACCAGCCCTTGCCCCCGTTGATGGCGAAGCCAGCATCCTCAGAATGACCTCTAGCAACTGACTTCCTGCCGACGAAGTAAGACATTGCATCCTCGGCAGTCGGACGGAACTGTGCCTCTGCCGCTTTGGTGGGCTTGAACAGCACCTTCGAGTGACCATAGCCGTAAAGCTCGCCAGCCGCTTCGGTAGCAACCGCCACGAAGTCGCCGTTGTCAAGGTAGGTCTTGGAGATCGTCTTAATAGCATTGGCCCAAGCTGCCTGCACACTGAGCACATCCTCCTTGGAGACAGCGCCAGGGGCCGGAGGGCTGAATGGAACGGACGAGTGGTGGAGGAAGATGCGCACCTTCCCATCGACGTTTTTCTTGTAGCCAAACGTGTACTCCACCTTTGTCTTGCTTCCATCTGATGCACTGGTGAAGACGTAGTTCCCCATGGCAGTGGCAGTGTTGCCGTCCGCGACAATCTGGTGGTTGTCGAACACGACATCCGACCAGCCTTTGCCGCCGTTGATGGCGAAGCCACCATCTTCTAGAATTCCATCGTCGACGGCCTTGCAGCCCACGAAGTACGACATGGCCTGAGATGCCATGGGCCGGAACTGGACATCCTTCGCCTTGGTCGGCTTGAAGAGCACCTTCGTGTGACCGTAGCCGTACAGCTCACCTGCTGCCTTCCCCGCAGCTGCAACATAGTCCCCACCGTCCAAGTAGATCTTCGAGATCGACTTAATGGCACTGGCCCAAGCATGCTGCGCATCTCTCACCTCCTCCTCAGAGATCGCTGCGACTTGCACAGGTGAGGCGGCCGCGGCGGCTGGGGCGGCTGGGGCAGGGCTGAATGGAACGGACGAGTGGTGCAGGAAGATACGCACATTCCCATCGGAGTTTTTCTTGTAGCCAAACGTGTACTCCACCTTGGTCTTGCTTCCATCCGCCGCGCTAGTAAAAAAATAGTTCCCCATGGCAATGGCGGAGTTGCCATCCACATCGATGTCGTGGTTGTCGAACACAACATCCGACCAGCCTTTGCCGCCGTTGATGGCGAAGCCACCATCTTCTGGAATTCCATCGTCGACGGCCTTGCAGCCCACGAAGTACGACATGGCCTGAGATGCCATGGGCCGGAACTGGACATCCTTCGCCTTGGTCGGCTTGAAGAGCACCTTCGTGTGACCGTAGCCATACAGCTCACCTGCTGCCTTCCCCGCAGCTGCAACATAGTCCCCCCCTTCCAAGTACGTCTTCGAGATGGTTTTGATGGCATTGGCCCAAGCTGCCTGTGCGGCTCTCACATCCTGCTCAGAAATTGCTGCAGCTTTGATGGTCCCCGGCGGGCTGAATGGCACTGACGAGTGGTGGAGGAAGATGCGTACCTTCCCATCGACGTTTTTCTTGTAGCCAAACGTGTACTCCACCATGGTTTTGCTTCCATCTGCTGCACTAGTGAAGTAGTAGTTCCCCATTGCAGTGGCTGTATCTGCACTTAACTCGATCTGGTGGTTGTCGAACACAACATCCGACCAGCCTTTGCCGCCGTTGATGGCGAAGCCACCATCTTCTGGAATTCCATCGTCGACGGCCTTGCAGCCCACGAAGTACGACATGGCCTGAGATGCCATGGGCCGGAACTGGACATCCTTCGCCTTGGTCGGCTTGAAGAGCACCTTCGTGTGACCGTAGCCGTACAGCTCACCTGCTGCCTTCCCCGCAGCTGCAACATAGTCCCCCCCGTCCAAGTAGGTCTTCGAAATGGTTCTAATGGCATTGGCCCAAGCTGCCTGTGCGGCTCTCACATCCTGCTCGGAGACGGCGGTCGCACCACCGCTTGCGGTGCCGGCACTAAATGGCACAGACGAGTGGTGGAGGAAGATGCGCACCTTCCCATCAGAGTTTTTCTTGTAGCCAAACGTGTACTCAACTTTGGTCTTGCTTCCGTCCGCTGCGCTCGTGAAGTAGTAGTTCCCCATGGCGATGGCAACTTTTCCACTCAAATCAACTGCGTGGTTGTCGAAAACAACGCTTGACCAGCCCTTGCCGCCGTTGATGGCAAAACCACCATCCTCCGAAATTCCATTCTTCACAGCATTGCAACCCACAAAGTAGGACATGGCCTGGGGCGCCGTGGGCCGGAACTGAACATCCTTTGCCTTCGTCGGCTTGAAGAGCACATCACAGTGCCCATAACCATAGAGCTCACCGGCGGCCTTGGCAGCGGCGGAAACATAGTCGCCCTTCTCAAGGTAAACTTTGGAGATACCAACGATGGCATCGGACCATGCCTTTTGCGCCTGGTGAACTTCCGCCTCTGAGACGGACATCTTCGTTGCGGTGGGGGGGGGAGGCTGAGCAGGCTGAGCACCGAGCAAAATACACTTCTTGAGGCAAAATGGCTGCGGGGCAGCGTTTAGGGCCAAAGAGCCCTTGAATGCAGCTCGCGCCCTCGAAGCTCCGCAAGCCTGGAAAGACCCTGCGCCCCGAAACCCCGAGCGCCAAACCCTCATGCCAGCATCCTTTTGCCTTGCCGCGAAAAAAACCCTGAAGCCCTTGACCCCAAACCCGACCCCCTCCACTCCAGCTTCAGAATCCTACTGGAATTAAACATGAAATTTGTGGGACTGCATGCAGAACCCTAGGCCCTAGCCCCTACATAAAATGCTAAGCATCCGGCCGTCAGTCGGTCCCCGAAGACTCGCTGGATCTCATGAGCCCAGCAACGGGTCACCTCGTTTGAAGCTAAGACTGAGACATCATGCGCGCACACACACACACACACACCCATACGCCCGTATACGAAGTATGCTGGGTCTTACCATGGGCTGGTGCACGTCTACCAAAAAAGGCGGTGTGGTGAAGAATTTATCTTTTGTCTGTGCGTGCGCATGCGCGCGCATATGTATGCATGCATGCAGGCTACCGATGTAAGGGGTTGTAGTTATGCATTTGTTTACAGGTTGCTGGTACATACACGTATATGTGCTTGCTAGTTTTGGGCCTATGCCGAATAAGTATGCCATAGACTGATTGGTTGATCGACTACTGTACCAGCCCTCCGAACCCTAAACCACTTTTTTGCAACTTGGCTTGGGGACTAGCCACCCTTTTGCCCACCAGGATGCATGCGAGGTGCATCCTTTTGCCCTAAACCGCTAAGCCCAGAAAGAATGCTGAGTCCCCGACGGTCAGGGGATTGTTGGACTTCTTGGAGCTGAGACTGCAAAGACCAAGGAAGACCTGCAGGCAAAGGACTGGGGCACTGCGGGGGTTTCGGGGTTTGGGACTTTAGGGTTTAGGACAAGTTTATGATCTTTGTCTTCTTGGGTCTTGGGGATTGCGGGCAAGTTTTGGGTTTGGGAATGCTGGTTTTAGATGTTGATGTAGTGTTCAGGGCTTTTGGTACCCGGCCTTCCAGATGTCACGCAAATTGAAGAGGTAGTGGGACTTCGCTGGCGTGGGCAGCAGGTCGTTCAATGCCTGCCGAGCACCGGTACTCAGATGCACGATGACAAATTGGCAAGTGTCTCTGTGAAGCGCGAGACGTGTCGAAATTCCATTTTTCTCATCACAAGAGCAAGTGCAGAGAGACTCTGTAGTGGACAACGCATTCTTTGGCATGTCCACAGACGGCAGAAAGTCGGAACAGAAAGGTTCCTTTCTTCCAACACCTGCCTTTGCGCGTCAGCTGCAAAGCCTCTTTGGGACTGTCCAACCACAATATCTTACACAGGCTCTGTCTTGACAGCTGCTGCTTTGGCCTCTCGTGGTGCAACCTTGCAAGACGCACAAGCTCACGCAAGCTTTTACGGCCCCGGAGCCCTGAGAAGTGCAGTGACAAATCACTGGAATTGGGAGCTCCGGAAAATTGGTACCCCCTCTGCCTCAGACCCTACATAGGAATTAGAAGCTCCTCGTTGAGTGAGGGTGCTGCTGCAGCCTTCTCGGACGCTGCTTTCACAACCGACCTCGGGTAAGCAAAAACGCCCTGGGGAGTTCGGCGATCCCTGAAAAAAGAAGTGCATGCGACTCAGCTTTCGTACTCTGAGCACGGTGCAAGGTCTTCACGAACTCGAACTTATCAATTTCGTCCAATATCTTGCTCAGATCGAAAGACTTTTGGCTTCTGATTTCCTTTGCTTGCAGCGGCGCATGGAACAGGCATCAAGGCAATCAGAGAGGGTTCAAGCCCAGGTCTATGTCTTGAGTCTAGCAGCTGTCGGAGGTCTCATCAAGAGGAGATCGAGGAACTCTGGCTCCTGACTGCTTCTTGAGCAAAGCGCTCCAAAATAAGAAGGATCCTACCATTTTTGGGTAATATATTATGGTCCCCTGTTTTCATGAACTGCCCCGCGCCTCGGTTGCATCTTGGATCTTCTGCTGAAGGGCACATGCGAGATTGTCAGACTTGAGGTCGGAGTGGAGGAGCAAGTCCAGAAAGCGATTCACTTGCCTGAGAGCGCAAGCCAGGGATATGCAGGGGCTTGACCTCCCTTTCAGGCAAAGCCGGCACTGGAGCTAGCAGCTAGCAAGTTCCCTCGTTTGCAAGCATGGTTCAAGTGAGTTTTCCAGCGCTGGAGATCATCGGCTGGCAGCAATGCCTAAGACGAAGGAATGGCGTCTGGCACGTGACTCCGCGGCATCAGATACCGAACATGCACAATTCAGGCGAGACTCCAGACATCGCAATACATCTCGAATCCGGTCGCTGCCACTCCTGGCGTTCAGAGCGCACGCCGTGTCGCGTGGCCGGGAGGTGCTGCCTTGCCCTGGCCTCGCCACCATGGGGGACAGCAACGCAGCGGGTCCGCAACGCTGACACAGCTTCACCTCGAGTTGTATCTCGTCCCAGACTGTTCAGCTCTGATAAGGGCTCAGGATCCGGCCAACAATCTCAAGATACGTCCGAAGGTGTGGGCTTGAGACTGGATCCCGTCTTGAGGCAACTCAATCAAGGCCTCGCAGGAATACCGTCCATGCTTGGGAAATCCGAAGACTGCATGGAACAAGGACAAGGAGCATTTACAACTCAACGAGGCCTGTATGAGCTCCTCCACAGGGTTCACTTTGGCCCTCTTCTTCGCTTGCTCATGCACGTGGAGCTTCTGCACTGACACCTTAGAAGTTGTCGGACAAGCACGGGCATCCCGGAAGACGATCTCCATCCTGAATGCTAACCCTAACCCTAGCATCCGTACCGCAAGTGAATGTAGATGGATTTTCCGCTCAACCCTCCCTCCAGAGGACAGAGGACATGTATGCCTTCTTGAATTCTCTTCTACGATTCCTAGACCCAGAAAAAGGGCAGTCAGTTCCAAAACCCGAAACCCCAAGCCAAGGCTGCGGCCAAGAGGGCGTCGATCGGCTCCAAACTCTCGCAGGCGGTTACCACCGCCCGGCGCACGAATGAGGCCACCACCCAGGGAGGCGGTCTCCGCAACGCCCTGGCCTGGCGTTCGGGTACCTGGCTGCCTGCAGGGCTGGGATTGGGGGGTTTTGCGCTCTCGCAACTCCGACGCAGCCAGACGAGGTCTCGTGTTCGAAGTGCTTTGACCATTGGGGTTTAGGGTTTGGGGCTAGGGTGGTTTGGGCACGCGCAGAGTCAAGCGATGGGTTTTTAGTGCGGAACGGTTCTAGAACTGAGGGAATTACCAAACTCAGGATGTAGGGCGCGAGGGTTTCAATAGACTCTTTTGCGGCTTTCGCCCTCATCTCCATGCCCTGCCTTGGACCAAGGCAATCTGGCGCTGGAGGGATTCCAGCATCAACGCCAAGCCTCCCCCGGAGTCCAGGTTTCCCGACATGGCCAGGGCGGACAAGGCGGCAATGGCGGCAGACTGATCGAAGGTCTGCTTGTGCAGGAACTCCTGGGTTTCGGTTTAGGAGTCAGGGCTTCTTCTTTCCGGGGTTTAGGGTGTGGGGTTGAGAGCTTTTGTTTGCCTCCTGCGCAGTCGGGTCGTGTAGGCTTTAGGGTTTATTCGGGGTTCTTATAGCAAGGATCTCATCCTTGGTGGCCTACATTCGTCTCTCTGTCCCACATCTCGGAAACCGAGCTTGTGAGAGTACATGGGGCCAAGGGTGCTAGGCATTAGATAAGGGTGCTCGGCATGAGATAGGGGCGACGATGGATTGCCAATAACCATAAACAACCCTCAGTAAAGGACCTTTCCAAAAACCCTAGGAACCCTTTAAACGGACCTTTCAAGGAACCCTTTACAGAACCTTTTTACAGAACCTCAGCCAAAGCACCAGGGGGGTGTTCTTCAGCAGCGAGGGCTTCGGGCTGTTGCTTCCGGTTCGGAGCAGCTTGATGGCATCCGACGCGCTGCCCGCCGGCGGCTCTTCCTTGCGTTGGGGCTTGGGGTTTCGGTGCTCACACTGGGACGACATCGGGCGAGGCGTAGGGTGGAGGCTGGTTCGAGGTCTCTTGAGCGAAACAGCAATCGATGGCTTGGGGTTTTAGGAATTTTAGGGTCGTTGGGGGCTCTGTTACTTTGACGCCTCTTTTCTATCCGCAGGTCTCCCTGAGTTCCGAAAGCCGGGGTTTAGAGTTTAGACTCCCACAGAGTACAAAACGACTCCGTAGCAGACTCGGGGCTAGATCAGCTAGGGGAACAGACACAAGAAGCCGAACTTGTCAACGAGATTCCGGGACGTTGTTCATGTGCTGCTCCAGGAAGGGTATTTTGCCTGACTCGATGGCCTGATGCATAGCAGACATTGCTGGGCCACTGGTGCAGCAAGACCCTCCCCGTGCCTGGAAAAGCATTTTCACGGCGGCTGCCACGTGCGATCCTGTTGCGCACTGCCTCCAGTTTATGCACCGAAGGACACAAAGTGCGGGACCATTGCAGGTTCTCCTGTCGCAGGGTCATCTCAAACGCTCTGTGTTCAGACCTGCTGTCGATCCAAGTCCCCGAAGTCCTGGAAGCAAGCTGCTCGCCGATCTCGCCCAGCAGCCCGTTCATGTCTTTCGGATCAACCAAACCTCTAGACTCCAGCAGACTCTAGCAACACACACCCCGAACTCGCGACTCTACTTGCAGCAGCTCTAGGAACACACACCCCACGAACTCGCGGCCACTCTGAAACCCCACTTGCGGCTCGGGGTGCCATCGTTGTCCAAGGCCACCACCATGTGATGACAGCTGGGTGCAATGGTGCTCGTGAGCTGCGCGAGGAGGGCCCAAAGCTGGCCCTGGTCGTGGGAACACTGATCTCAGCTCATGCCTCCTATTCTTACCTTTTTTTGCCTCCTGCATGGCTGAGTTCACGAAGCAGGGCAGTAGGTCTGACAGTATCGTTACCTTTGGCTAGTAGGGAATGGAAGAATGGCAGTAATATTAGTTATAATTGTACCCCACTCCTCGATTCCCTACTAGCCCAAGGTAAGTATTGGCACCATGGAGTCGACGCGCCTTGCTCATAATCTCCACACATTGCTCATCTGCTTTCGGCACGGCCGTGAAAGTTCTCATGATGCAGCGCATCGCAGCCAGGGTAATCAAATTTCGGACATCTCCGAGCAGCTGCGTCCCCACCTTCGGCTGCGAGCGCACAGATCATGTGCAAGCAAGTCGCGCCTGTTCCCAGTACATGAACGAATGACGAAACGAAGCTTGGTTATGAACATGTGTAGTTCATGCAGGAAGCCTTTTTCTCGCATGGTGCACTGGGTCCTATAATTAAGGCATGTACACAAGACGCTATTTCCAACGTGCGTCGTACCGTGCTTAAACAGAACTCATCTGAACCATATCAACACAACCACCGCGTCAAGGTGACCATTTGCGACTTCGGCAGGTGTCGGGCCATCGTCGTTGCTGCATCATTCCCAACGCTCCTGTCAATCAGCAGGCGCACTGCAGTAAGTTGACCTTTCTGACGTGCGACAAAGTCAGGTGGTTCACCATGGCTCGTTGCCGTGCCTGTTCGGCACCCGTCTCGATGAGAATGCGCACTACGCACTGACTTGCGACGAAGACAGGTGTTGCACCACTGTCTGTTGCTGAGTCTTTGCCGCTCTCTTAGTCTCTTAGCCACAGTATGCTGACCTGTCTGACTCGCGACGGAGACGGATGTTGCACCACTGTCTGTTGCCGTGTCTTCGCCGGCGCCCTTCTGGATCAGCAAGCGCACCGTAAGGTGACCTCTCCGATTGCGACGACGACAGGTGCTGCAATCATATTGCTTGCTCTCCCCTTGTCGACCCTGTTCTCAATCAGCAAGTGCATCAAAGTAACCAGTATTGGCCATAGCCGCGAACAAGACACACATCGCGTGATTATTCTTTTCTCTGTCCTTGTATGTCCTCGTCGGCACCCTTCTCGATCAGCAAGCGCGCCACATCAAGATGACCATTCTGACTTGCGACGTAGACAGGTGTTGTGCCAATGCATGTTGCCATGTCTTTGTCGGCGCCCTTCTCGATCAGCAAGCGCACCACATCAAGGTGACCTAACTCACTAGCGATGAACACAGGAGTTGCACCAATGTCTGTTGCCGTGTCTTTGCCGGCGCCCTTCTCGATCAGCAAGCGCACTACATCAAGGTGACCTTCCTGACTTGCGACGTAGACAGGTGTTGCACCACAGTCTGTCGCCGTGTCTATGCCGGCGCCCTTCTCGATCAGCAAGCGCACCACATCAAGGTGACCATTCTGACTTGCGACGAAGACGGGTGTTGCGCCAACGCATGTTGCTATGTCTTTGCCGGCACCCTCTCGATCAGCAAGCGCACTACATCCAGGTGACCATTCTGACTTGCGACGAAGACGGGTGTTGCGCCAATGCATGTTGCCATATCTTTGTCGGCGCCCCTCTCGATCAGCAAGCGCGCCACGTCCAGGTGACCATTTTGACTTGCGACGAAGACAGGTGTTGAACCATCTTTCGTTGACATGTCTTTGTCGGCACCAGTTTCGATCAGAAAGCTCACAATGTGGAGGTGACCGTGGTAAGCTGCGGCCAAGAGAGGTGTTGAACCATCATGAATCGCAGTATCCTTGGCGGCACCTTTCTCAATCAACAAGCGCACCACATCTAGGTGACCTCTCTCACTAGCGATGAAAAGAGGTGTCACTCCGTCGTTCATCGGTGTGCCCTTGCCAGCACCGTTCTCAATCAGAAAGCGCACCACATCAAGGTGACCGAACTCACTGGCGATGAGCACAGGAGTTGCACCAATGTCTGTTGCCGTGTTTTTGCCGGCGCCCTTCTCGATCAGCAAGCGCACTACCTCAAGGTGACCTTTCTGACTTGCGACGTAGACAGGTGTTGCACCGCAGTCTGTTGCCGTGTCTTTGCCGGCGCCCTTCTCGATCAACAAGCGCACTACATCAAGGTGACCTTGCTGACTTGCGACGAAGACGGGTGTCGCCCCGGTATTGTTTGCTCTGTCCATGTCGGCCCCATTCTCAATCAGCAAGTCTACCACATCGAGGTGACCAGTCTGAGCTGCGAGGAAGACGGGCGTCGCACCACTCATTTCGCGGGGCTTGTTGAGGTCAGCACTCCCGGACGCGAGTAGCTTCACGCTCTGCAGCGCCCCACTTCCGGCAGCCACTAGCAGCGCTGTCCAACCATCGGAATCCACTAAATCTGGGTGTTGGGGACGCCGCAGAAAAGCTTCTACCGCAGCAGCGTCGTTTCTTTGACTGGCATCTGTGAGCTCGTCAACGTCAATTGCTTCAACTGCGACATAGTCACCAACGGCTACATGCAATTCGAGCGGCAATTTCAAGGTTGTGTCTTGCGTAAGCTGGGTGTAGCCGCAGAAGAGCTTCAGACGAAAGCATGGCTGGCCGACAAGAGGGGCCAAGAGCTGCTCAATTCCCTTGATGACATTGCCATGCGCATCGGCCCAAGCAGCAAGCTCGCCTTGACTGGCGGTCACCAGATCCCGTCCGGAAAGGTGTCGAACACAAAGCATGGCAGCTCAGGTTATGGAGCCTTCCGCACCCCTCGATTTGTTACCCTGAACCACGAACTTGATGCTCTGCCATCGGTTCGATATGGTCGTAGTCGTAGTGTTCACATGCAGATGCTTGACAGACGACCGTCATTCAGAGCCATGGTCCAGGTCTGCACCACGCATAACCGGCTGCTCTGCACTATTGCGCCAGAGCCACATTCGGGACAATAGTACCAGACTTTTATAAGGGGGGCTACTTGTTCGATTTGTGCTTAAACGGGCTGTTTTGAGGCTGCCACCCACTGGCCGGCGGCGACCACGGCCGCAGCAGAGAAGAGCAGAGCCTCTACCAGGCAGCATTCCTTAACAAAGGCCGGGGTCAAACTCGCAGATCATAAACCAGGTATGACTTGTACTGTGCAATATGTGTGTATATGTATACATATCCATACATGTATAAATATATCTGTGTGTGTGCAGAGAGGTATAGATCCGGAGATATAGATACAGATAGAGCTATAGATCTAGATAGAGACCGAGATAGAGATAGAGATACAGATATGTAGATAGAAGTAAATACACAGAGATGTGGAGACAGAGATGGGGATAGACATAGAGATGGAGATGCATAGACAGAGGTATGTAGATGTATGTATGTGTTTATGTACGTACGCATGTATGTATGTATGTATGGACTCATGCATATTTATTTGATCGTTTGTTCATTCGTTTATTTATCTATCGTGATATCTCCATATGTATATCTGCGTATTCATATTTATAAATAGACATGTAAAGAAAATCTGCGTATATGTAAATATGCGCGCGTGTGTGTGTGTCAGTTAGTTAGTTAGCTAGCTAGTTAGGTAGGTAGTTAGGTAGCTTGTTTGTTTGTTTGTTCGCTTGATTTGTTGTTTGTTTGTTTGCTTGCTTGCTTGTGTGTTTGTCTTGGTGTGCTTGTTTGTTTGTGTGTTTGTTTATGGGTTTGGTTGCGTACATGTTCTTGTTAGTTTTTTTCTGGTTTTGCTTTGCTTATATTTGCATACATGTATACACACATATGTACATAGAGATACCTTTGTTGCAATATACATAAATACATATTGATACATGTATATAGATATACGTGTGTGTCTGTATCCGGAAAAAAAGAGAGAGAGGGAGGGAGGGAGCGAGAGAGAGACAAAGAGAGAGAGAGAGAGAGCAAGAGAGTCGGATTGTTTTGGTATTAAATGATCTGAACCTCCTTCTTGCCACCAGTCTCGTAGGTCGCCTTTGACTGATGACGGCCGGTGGCCGCGATGATTCCTGAGCTTGATAAGGGCTTCCCTTGAAAGGGGGAGGGCTCCTATGTCCTATGTTCAAAAACGGTTTCTGCAAGGGTACGGGCTTTTTGGGGGAGGCCGTCGCGCAAGCCGAGCGGCTTTCGCGGAAGTCTTCCAACTTGGATGTGCCATAGACCAGCTCGTAACTAAGTACGACCTTTGCCTCGTCGGCGATCTTCCTGAAGCGCAAGTCTCACAGCTCGCGGGCTCGTACATAAAGCGTGACCGACCTGCGGTGTCAAGCTACTGCCCCCGGAATCAAGGAGCCATCTAGTACTTTGCGAGAAAGGGTCTTGAGCGCATGGAAGATGTCAATGGCAGCGTCAGGCAGCTGCCCCAGCTCAGTTTTGGCTGTCAAAGCCCCTTAGAGAGGGTCTAAGTAGGCTTTTCACGCTCTCGCAACTCGGAGTCTGCCAGATGAGGTCTCGCGGTTCGCATTCGCACTGCTACTGTCTGGGGACTTCAGTAGAAGAATACACGCGAACCAACGATTGCTTGTTTTGCTGTTTAGGGATTTGCGTTTCCAACAGGGGAGCGGCTGGGCAAGACCAGAATTCAAATCTACCCCTTTTATGTGCATGAGTATGAAAATCAACTTACGTACCCTGGTGCCAAGATCCCGGAAGCTGCAGGGAAAGGGGAGCCAGGTGCCAATACATCATCTTGTCCTGAAAGCCCCTAACGCACGATCAACCCAAGCAACCCTCCCCAGCTCGCCCATCGAATCAGGACAAGTGGCCCGCAAAGTACAGAGGCTTGAACAATGCCTCGATCTCGACAAGGGTCTCATCATCTGGCTTTAACCAAGGTCTCCTCGATACATTTTCAGCAGCTCCACGTCAAGAGGGTTCTCTGGGTCCCCACATCAACAGTCGGGCCTATGAACCCTCTTTAACCCAGGCCGAGCTTCAGCTGGTTGAAAAGCTGCTCCGCGGTGCTCAAAAGCACGGTCGACTCGATGCGTGGGCTCTTGATTTGTAGCTGGAAGTCCCACCTGACGTGCAACTTGAACTGACGATATGCCGACGGGGCGCATCACATCGAATGACATGCAAATGAGCGGCACGATGGGAAGATGATCCGATGGTAGAAGCTCATTTGGCATTAGTGCCAGCCAGTCACGGTCTGCGTGATCCTTGGCTCAGTATCGCTGAGTCGGGCTATGGGCGCCCGAGAAATTGCCAGCAGTTGCTTGCAGCCATCTTTGCGGCCACTTCAGCGCACCAAAGCAGTGATTTTGCAGCTGAGCTGCATCCGTCTTCCTTACCACTTGAACTGAATACAAGCTCTGTTCAGCTTGGAACGTGTGTGCCATGCAGCTCTCAATCGTCCACAGGCCCAAGGCACTTCTCTCGGAGGCGCAGTGCCTGCTCACCAAGCTGGAAGAGGTGCCGACCATCGTAGAAGATGTGGTCAATGAGCTGGTACATGTCCTGACGAGTATCTAGGACTCCCAACTCCTCCTCTTCTAGCACACCCTATCAGCACCAGATTGGAAGACGAAATTGGAGCTAGCACTTGTGCACCGGGTCCTCGCCAACCTTCTTTGGCTGTGCAGAAGCACTTCCTCGCATCTTCCACACCTCAGGTGACTCAGGTGCACTGATCCGTTTCGGGTGAAGGGTTTTTGCCTCCCACTTCGCAAGGACGAGCCCGAATTACAGGGTCTTTAGGATGAAGGGTTCAGGGTTTAGTTTAGGGTTACAGGTGCAATGAGATGTTCAATTAGTGCCCTCCCTCTTTCTTTTCGCGGGTAGAAGCGTGTCTAAATCTTCGCTCAAGACTCGACACTAAACCCTACGAGCCATATGACCCCAGAGCTCTACATGCATGTTAGACACTGAGACGGGTGGGTTCCACATGTCACGCGTGCTGCTGTAGAACTCCTCCCAGATGCTTCTCAGATCCTCGGCAGGATCGGGAGCCGGGGTTCCATTAATCAAGGTGCCTACAGCAGCAAAGGCTCTATGAAAGGTTTTGGGTTTGAGGTTTAGGGCTTAGGATTCGGGGGGTCTATCAAAGGCTCTATTTTGACACTCACACCTGGCAAGGTCTTAAAGGTTCTTGATCTGTTAAGCACCTTGTTCCTTCCTCCTAAAGTCTCAAGACCAGGAAAGTCGCGTGGCGAAAGGCACAAGGGTTTAGGATTTAGGAATCGGGGGATCGCTCAAAGGTTCTACGAATGCTTCAAGACGTTTCCACAAAGGGTTCTGTAAGAGTTCTAGAGAGAGTATGACGAGCGTCGTTGTTGTGCATGAAGCTCTGCAGTGCATTGGCTTCTTCCGGAATGGGCACGACACTCCCGAAGGTCATGTCCTCAGGCAGCAATTCTGGCACAGGGCTCTGGGGAGAGTTCCATCACTGTTCCATCACCTGGATACAAGCAACTGTTTCCCTTAACCGTCAGGTAGCCGAACATTTTTCCCCACTGTCCCTTCGACTTTTACCGTCGGTTCCCGTCGCCTTAGCCGTGCCGGAAACTTGCAGTGACTTATTTGTTCTAATGATCTTCGAGATCAGGTGCGTGCAAGGATGCTCCAGGCTTCTCACGAACTGCTTTGACCTGTGAAAGGGTTCTAATTTCAGTTTGCTGCTTTCCATTCCGCCGGCCCTTTGCTTCACCGCCCAAGATTGAATTCGATCGTCTGGGCCACCCTTGCTCACTTGATCCCAGAGGTGCCCGACTGCAGGGCAGGTCTGACGTAACACCCCCGGCCCTGGAGCCTTAGCGTGCACTTGGACTTTGCTTGCCCTTCTCATCTCATTCATCCGGCTAGCTCTGAAGCCCAGAATCGGTACATCTTGAACCTGTTCCTCCTTCCCTAAGGGGTTGGTGGGGCTGCCAGGAGTCCGCATCATCGAAGTCTAGCTCGGTGTTCGCATCCATGGACCTGGGCAGGTTATAGTATAGTATAATATAGCATAACCACAGAATATCGTAGAATGTCACACCGTCTAATCTAATTTGAAAATAGGCGAGGCTTTCGGCCTAGAATCGCGCCCTCCGGAAAGTCTTAGTTTTCACCAGAGTCTCGGGAAGACGGAGACATCCCCAATAAATCCTAGTCCCAAAACCCCAAGCCAAAACCCCGCGAAAGCTGCTAGAAGCACAGGTCGACTGCTGCCGACGGGTCGCCAAATCTCGGGCAGACCGCTGCGACCCCAACATTGGCCCAGGTGGTGCAGCCTCGCGGGTCTTTTTTAAATCACATCCGGGAAATATGAGGCCGACCAAGACCTCTATGAAGATCCCCCCTAAACCCTAAACCCTAACCCCCCTCAAAAGAGGACTAAGGATGCAGCTGCTGAATTCGCCGGACTTCGCTGTCCGTTCCGCTGGACCTGGTCTGCTCTGGGCTTCGCTTGCATGTCAAGCATGTATGTATGTATCTATGTATATATATATACATACATACATATACATGTATGTGTGTGTATGTATATATATATATATATATGTGTGTGTGTGTGGTGTAAAGAGATAGAGAGAGAGTGAGTGTGTGTATAGGTGTGTGTATATATATATATATACAGTATATACAGCATTATGTATATATATATATGTATAAATATATATGTCTATATATACATATGTCTATACTTATCTTTATATCTATTCATATATACATATACCTTGTTTGTATATATCTACATATTTATATATTGATATATTTGCTTTTTAGATACGTATAGATTTATATAGTTATATATTTATATATTTATATACGTATGTGTATAAGAGTATATACAGAGAGAGGGAGCGAGGGAGGGAGAGAGCGAGAGCTTATGATTGGTGTGTGTGTGTGTGTGCATATATATGTATATATATATATATGCACGACCAATGCTGGACCAAGGAGCAGGTGCGTAGTGCATACATAGAACTGCCTTGATTGGCATGGGGGCCCGAGACCAGGGCGTAGGGTTTGGGAGGACACACGATCGCTGGGTGTTGGCAAGATGCTGCCGCCGCAGTCGCTCGTCCAATTCCTTGAATTGCAGGAGTACCCTCACCGCAGCCTGATCTGCAGTCGTAAATCCTTCCGGGCAACATCCGACAACGGCGGCTTGAGATTATGATATTGGTATAAGTTATGAGCCTTCTGTATTTCATGAAGCACTGCGGTAGCATTATCTAAACGGCCAGCCAGTGTTAACTGCTATCTTGCTACCATTTTGTCGTTTAGATTGCAGATTGCTCCTGGGACCTCGGATGTGCCCTCCACGAAGGCATCGATGTCCGGATCTCCCGGCAAGGTCTGAAACTCCTCGGGTTCAGGGATGGGGAAGGCGAAGGGGGCATGTTGTGCTTTTGTATTACCTCCTGGGCTCCTGCATTGCTAGGTCGAACCCACTATGCAGAGAACTTCACAACGGGGCACGACCAGACGGTCTGCAGATCGCTGCAGGCGGCAGCCATGCCGTATCAGACAGTCTGGAGCACACTCATGCATCCAGGGTTTTCGGTTGTGGATTTGGGAGATAGAGCTTGGGCGCATCGGACGAGCGGCAGGTTTGCCAACCATCTGGAAACGATCTGCTCGCCAAAAAATTGCTTGCCCGTCATCGTCCACGGGCCATGCATCTTGCCCGTGGAACCGCCTGGGATCTGCGACGCTTCTTCACTAACCTGGTCATGTAATGCTTGCTTCAGCAGAGCTCTTGCATCCGTGCGTCGCTTTCACACCGGTCCCGTCTGCCACACGCTTCTCCAAGAAATGGCGGGCCGTACTCTTGCCCTTCTTGAAGCCAGTTTTTGGAGCGAAGGCCCAGGACGAGGAGGCGAGCTTCTCGCCTCAGCGGGGGTGTGGTGTGAGGGTGTTTCTGTGTCGAGCCTCAACTTCCCCCAGATGTCCGACTCAAGTCAGGTCACTGTAGGTCGATCCAGTCCGATCCTTAAGAGGGACGTAGGCTTCGGCATCCACGCTGCTGCAGGCATACCCGAGCTTCTGCAGCTCTTTGGAGAGGAAAGTGAAGTTGTCGAGCTCCTTGCCATCGGGAAGATCGGAAGCAGCGGCTACAACGCAGCACTCTGCCAGAGCCCTGGCGCAAACTGCGACGGCAGGTTTCTGGCCATCTTTCTTGAAAAATTAGCAGCTCAGCACCCAGGCATGAACTCTCTAGCGCTTCGCGAATGCATGTCCCTTCGAATCCCATGTTTTCTTGGAGCAAGCTATCCTGTAGGCAGATGATGTCGGGCTTGAGAAGGGCCACGAACCACACCTGTCAGCTAACGAAACTTGGGTTCAAAGCTTGGAATGCCAGAAAAATGCCAGCTGCAAGATGTTGGGTGCTGTCCAGTTGCCACTCGAAAAAGCCGGTGCTCAGCCCCGACGATCGCCTTCTCATTCACAGTCAGTTGACCCGTCCCCTTGCCATCCAGGTCTGGATTATACCTGCCAGGATCCGACGAAGCCATGATGAGCGGCTGCCCTACTTCGAATCTCCCTCCCCCCACCCCAACAGAACAGTTAAAAGCACTGCTACAATGCTCTCCAAGGGTCATCTTCTTAAGCTCCAGCCCCCGCTCCTCCTTCTGTGACGGGGCTAGCCCTTTCCTGGGCTCGGATTTTGGAACTTCAGTGCCATCTTGAGGACAGCGTATGATTCAACACGTATCCTTGTCATGCTAACTTCAATGTAGTTCCACACGATGTACAATGAGTCGGGATAAACTTAGCTTAATAATGCCATTGCCACCCCTGCGACGTCTCCCCATGGTGGTAACATGTGGTAACTGCAAGTCAGTTCCACGGTCTACCTCGCCCGGCTAGCCCCGCTTGGGCGGTTTAACTTCAGCTCGTCGACACTTAGACTCTCGCATATCGGAAGGGTTGACTACCGCAGCAAAAAGAAGGTGAAGCGAACCTGTGTTTTATGAGAGGAATATGTAAACCCCTTTACGCAAAAGGCTCCATAAACCCAAAAACCTCCCCAAACCTGAAACCCCAAGCCCCTAATCCTTTTATCTTCATCCTACACCCCCAAACCCTAATGCCTAATCCGCAGCCCTGAACCCTAAACCTTAAATCCTAAGACACTATAAACCCTAAACCCAAAATCCTACGATCCAAAAAATTACGCCCTCAATCCTAAATCCTCAGCAATTTCTCAGCCCAGTTTCATGGCCAGGACCATGTTACAGGCCATCCGAGCGAACTCCTCCCAGGAGCCCTCGGAGCTTCCATCGCCTTCTGAGGGGTTTTTCGTTTGGGATTCAAGGTTTTTCCGCGCGGCATGCCATGTGAGAGGGCTGTACAGGGTAATCCGCGCCCCGACGAAGCCCGCATTGCAGGGTACGCTGTAGGGTTTACGAGGGTTTAGGGTCTAAGTCTTGCAAGATTCTTCTGTTTTCGCTGCACAGAAGCCTCCTGCATTGAACTAAAACCAAACATGTCGTCCAGGGTTGCGCCTCTGGTGGCTCTGGATTATTAGTGGTGGGGCTTCAAGTACGACTCCAAGCCAGACTTGGTATCCCCACGATCCATCTTCGGCTTCCAGTCCGCGGTTCGATTCTGTGCCGGCTCGTAACTTCACGCCCCGGCTCCAGACCAATATGGCTGCGGCCCCGATTCTCGTATCCACGGCTCTGCAAGTCTCACCTTCTGCTCAACAAGGCCATGGAAGACATGCCTCATAAAGTTTCCGGTCAGTGGGTCGTCCAGCCGGACTCCCACTGGTCCAGCATAAGAACCAATGCGCATAATTACCTCCTTAAGCCTCAGGAACTCTTCCTCCCCGTGATCAAAAGCTAGAGTCAACTTGACCACGTGCTTTCCGGGCTTAGAAGCAAGTCAGGCAGGAGTCCCCTCTGCCAATACGCGCCATGGGAACCTCTTTCGGAAGCCTTGTGTTTCTGAAAGGGCATCCGTATACCATCAAGGATGAGGACGCTGCCCCCACGGTTTCCCGCTGGTGCGCCTCCCGCTCCTCGCTTTCCAAACCAAATTCCGCCGCGACTTTCCCCCTCACTAGAGGATGTCGGCGACTTCTGCGCAATGACGTCTGCACAATGTCCTGAAATAAAGTGGGCTCGGGAAAAGGACGCCTCCGCCGCAACCCCTGCTTCCGTCTTCCTGAAGTACGTTTTGACGTGCTTCCTAGGTTTCCTCCACAGCCCGCCGGGCCCCCGGACCACAACAGCCGCCGGAGTCGCTGCTGGTATTTCATACTCTTCCATGACAAGTCCCAGGCGGGAGCGCCTCCCTTCCATTTGGGAGGACGCAGTAGTCTCTGAAGTTGCGACGCTCTAAGCCTTGTGCAGCTCTGGATTCATTGAGCGCATTCCACCCGCTTCTCATCTCCTGGTCGGCTTTGCGAGCGACTCTTGTCTCGCGCCGCGGCTACTCTACCTGGTCTTCAGCTCTGTAGCACGTCCAAAACTAAGGCGGGTTTGCCTCAAAGTCTCAAAGCATCAGTTTTTTGCGGAATGCCCTGGGTCCGAACCGACTCCCGATTCTTCTTGTAGGGTTTCGACGCTCGCACTCGCAGAAGGCAGGCACGGCTTCACATAGTCCCCAAGCTTTCATGCTAACACAAATCACGGTTTGGAGCAGATTCACCGACCAAAGCGGTAAAAGGCCACCAGACCCAAGCAGGAAACAGATCCAATAAACGAAGTAACCAATGCTCCAACTCTCAATCCCAGACGGCAGGGACATGCCCTTTTCTGTTTCAGAAGGCTCTTCAGCGCCGCTGGGCACAGGCATCAAACTTACAACGATTTACATGAAGCCGATCCTGAAACAGACGACATAAAGTAAGGATTCTATAGACACTCGAGAGCCAAGCCTCTTCCCAACATTCGTGCGATGGACTGACATGTGCAGTCACTCAGCACTGCTAGACAGCTCCCAAAGTGAAACATGGCACGGCGATCAAATTGCCTATCTCCACACACTGACAACTGCGGCCACCAGAGATCCCGCCCTGTAGGGCTTACAGTCACGCTTCTGTTGCAAAGACTGCAAAGGCCACCAGAGACAATGCCACTCAACAAATCACTGGAAGTAGACAGCATGTCATGCAGCAAACTCAACTTCGACCAGACGATGCACCACGGACCCAAGCCATGCTATAGATTCGGCTTTGCCACACATCGTCAGAATTGAGCAGAGATTGTAAGTAACAGTCCATGCAGCAAATTCAGGGTTTAGGATTTAGCGCTCGGAGCTCAGGGGTTACGATTCAGGGTTCAGGATTTAAGATTCAGGGTTTTGGGGTGTTTCGGGCTTGTAGGGTTTAGGATCGCGTTTAGGATTTAGGGCCAAAGGTCAAGAGGTCAGCAAGGTCTGGGTTTGTGTTAGGGGTTTTAGGCTTCAGACAGGGTTTGGGTTTCGACGCTCGCGCTCGGACGTACAGTACAGACCCAAGTATCGGTGATTGAATGCAACTCCAGACAGACTTGAGGTTTGAGCCAGCCTGTGAGTTGTTCGTTGGATTTCCATGTTGAAGAAATCTGGTCGAGCTACAAGAAATAATGCAATCATGGTGTCTCCCTCTCCCTCTCTGAATTACAAACGCTCGCTCTGTTGCTTCCTTGGCGGCTGAGTACCCTCGTCCGGAAAAGGTCAACCTTTTGATGATGGTAGGGTGACGCGTGCCCAACAGTCCCACCCAGCTTATACGCAATTACATTATACTGTATCAGGATATAAAGTACATGTTATGGTATGTTTGCTATATCTTATTATGTTTAAACACTATGATATATGGTACTATGCTGTATTATACGATGTTCATTATGAGGCCGAGCTGGGCCGGGTGCCTTCTCTCCACACGAAGCTTCGGTAGCCCTGGGAGGCGAGTCTGGCAGCGTTCTGCAAGTCCTCGGGCCCGCTTTTGCGAAGAAGCTCCTCCAGATATGTGTCCTTTGTTTCAGGATGCAGGGTTGGATTTAGGGTTTAGGGGTTTAGGGGTTTCGGCGCTCACACTCGGACAATCCAGGCGTTTTCGGGTTTGGGGGCTTCGGCGCTCACATTCGGACAATCCAGGCGAGGCATATGGTTTGGGGGTTTAAGGGTTTAGAGACTTAGGGTTTGGAACTTTTCGGGTGGGCCGAGACATCATGGAATGTCGGGAAGAGTCGTTACCTGATTAGCACGATAAACTCGACCAAGCTGCTGATCTCTCGACGTGCTTCTGGCTTACCAGCGGCATCATGAACCCTTCTGGCACAAGACCTTCTGCTAAGAGGTTCCATTGAAGAACTCGCCTGAGCATAGCTGAAGGTCACGCAGACATGCGCTGTCAACTCATGCGAGCATCGCCCTCTCAGAGGCACAAGACCCGACGATTTCGGATAGGCCGAGGGGCAGATTGTGCCCATTGAACCTTGGAGCTTGCTGTGCGGCTCACATGTCTTGTTCCCCCAAGTAGCTGTGCGGACAGCGGTGTCCCATTTGGCATCCAATCGGCGTTTCTGGCATCGATTCCTTGAAGGGCACCTCAAGGCAGATAGAGTTCAGCTCTCAGACTCGGGCTCTGCAAGGTTTAGGGGTTTTGCCGAAACCGGTGACCAACAGAAGCCGCTAGATCCCGAAATTCTGTTGATACCTAAACCCTAAGCAATGGTTGTTAACGCACACACTCCGGCAAAGCCAGACAAAATCTGGGGTGTTTAGGGCCTCAGGGTCACTCGGGACATGCTGCCAGGCGTCAGCTGGATCGAGCAGCGCACTTCCTTCGAAGTGCTTGCGCCAGAGCTGCACCTGATAGAGTGGCATGAATATCTTGGTGCTTTATTATCGTATTAGTTGTAGCAAACAAACAGTGTAATGCTGTTCGCCTCGCCCTGGGCCACGCTCCACCCCTCCCCAGCTCCTCCCCGGCTCCTGCCCTCGCCTTGAACTTGCTAAGTTTTAATTGGGCCCTGTTGTGGACACCACGATTTCACCTGAGAGGGCCGGGGTGCATGACGCGCAGCGTCTACAATTGCTGAGGGACTTGGGGCTGCATGCAAGCGTCCCTGAAAAGAACAATGCCTTGCAATGGAAAAGTTATAAGCTAAGGAATCTTCCTTAATAAATGGTTACAGTACTGCGGTTTCTCACTACGATGTGGGGCATCTGTCTTCGTCACAGAGTCTTGGGCTCTCTGGGAAGTCGCGGGCCGCATCTGGCCCGGACAACTCAGCTCAGGGCCCAGTGAGCATCCTCTAGGAACTTGGCGTGCACACCATCTCGGTGCATCGCCTTGCATTGCTCCACTGTGGCTCAAGAGCAACCCTCAAGGCTCAAAACCCAAAGCCCTTCTTGAACCCAGGCACCCGAAGCCCGAAACCCTGGAGCCGAGCGCCTCTCGCACCAGCTGCTTGTAGTCATCGAGGCTAAGGGAACCAGATGCCATGGGTTCATGTCTATGCCGCCTATGCTGCGCTGAAGATGCCATGGGGTCAAGGGGCACCGCGAAGAGTCACTCTCATGCAAGGCCGAAACGGAGACTACGACTACGACCTGCATGGCCCCTCAACATCTTCGCTGCGCTGCGCTGCGCCTGCTTGAATACGTTGATGGTGGAATTGATCATGGTTGGGAGCAGCTTCTGCACACTTTCATCGAAGACCTGAGCTTCCGAAGCTTGCTCCAAGATGCTCCAAGGGGGCCGCTGATGGCTAGTGTCAAAAAGCTCCCCGCCGCGAAGAAATTCTTGGAGATCACATCGAAAATGTGCTTGATGGACACCTGCCATGTGCTGGCCATGAAAACCAAGCTGTTTCTTTGCCGAGTTCTTCCGGCTGGGGGCTTGGGGAGTCCGCTCACGAACCGATCCCGTGGATGGAAGCAACGGAGGCGGGACATCCGACAAGTCAGAGTACGCCGTCCTCGATGCCATGGTGCGAGCACAGTATCCCGGGACTATGCAGGAAAAGAATTTGGGCCCGATGCGTGCTGTAGTGCCGCTTGAGTCCTAAGCAACGTCGGAGCTCCGCTCTCCTATCCGGACTATGACTGCTTGCATCCAGAGTGCTCTCTGTGATGAACGTTCGTCCACCGCCGGGAGGCCCCATGGCCGAAACCATGACCACATCAATGATGTTGAACCTGAAAACATCGGCTCTTCCGGTCAGATCTTGTGCACAATAGAGAGAGGTGAGTGTCAAGATATCTCAAAGTGCGCCGCGACGATGTTTCTGCATTCTAGGCTAAGCTAGTCACCTCACCCCTGGCGCCCCAAGGGGAACGCCGAAGACTGCCCGGTGGATTCCGCTTGCACATCTGAGCCCCGTGCTTCACAAGCTCCTCGAGTTGAAACACACTTCATTCTTTGACACTTCCCGGCTTCAGGGCGAGAACTAAGAGCAGCTCCTTTCGGTTGTACCAACCTCCGTGATCATGCCACTGTCGGATAAGCTCGATCGGAGGCTGCGCCCCGTAGTACTCCTTCAAAGGTCCGCACGTGAAGTGCTACGGCTGAACCACATCGGCCACACATTGCTTCAGCAGCTGTCCTTGAGAGGCATGTTCAAGTCCTGGGCAGTGGCCGGCTAGATGCAGAAGCGCATGGGCACTCACACAGACACACTGACAACAAGCCAAGGCGATGGCATCTATAAACAGCACCTTCCCAGCTCAGGAAACCAAGCTCACGCCACAAATGCATGATCCCGATCTGAGCTTGCAGAGCACTTCCTGGGGCGACGACCATCTTCTTCCCTGCAGGCGGTCCATATACTCCGCGTCGCCGCCTCATTTGCTGGGGCGAGGCAGAGAAGCAGCCGAAAACCCTCGTCGTATACAAGATTATGAATACGCTCCTGTTGCTCGAGCTGGGACAGTGGGACTACTGTTGTTATGCAGTCCACGACTACTGCTCTGTACTGGCTTTGCTTTATTCCTGGTATCACTTGCCTTACGAAGCAAAACGGCTTCAACCCCCGTCTTGCAACTGGCTTGCAATTTCACCGCAGGCAGCTGACTAACTCCAGGCTGTAACCCTTTTTGCCACAGGCCTTCCATTTCGCCCATGGTTTCAGATACCGTTGAGCGGCGGATGCGAAAGCTGGCTGCGCAGTGAAGCTGCTAGGGCTGCTTGCTCCAACTCCAGGCTGTAACCCTTAACCCTTTTGCATCCGGTCTGCAGCGCCTCTACCGGGTCCGCCCTCAAGCTTGTTCATGAGGAACGACTATTAGTTGAAACATATTTAAAACCCTGTATAAAACCTGAACCCGAAACCCAGAAGCCTCGACCTTCTTTGACCGGGGCCCCCGACTTCTCAAGCTTCGAGTCGATCAGGTCTTGCAGCTGGTTCACGTGCGTCTGAGCCTGGGGCAGATATGCCATGTTGCACTACGAAGAAAGAATGGTAATGATATGAAGCTCTATAAGAGCTATAATCATCATAATCACAAATATTACGTAGACCGTACTATGAACTGGATTATATACCGCATTTTCAACCAAAGCTCAGGGTTCGTGGTTTGCCTCCGTCCACGCTGGGGCTTACGGTTCGATATTTAGGGCCAGGTGTACAGGAGGCTCCTGCATTGAATCGCCGTTTCCTAACGCGCCCTTCCCCGTCCCATGTTGCAGCGTGGGGCTGAGCGTGGATGGGCTGTTCTGCAGAAGTCGCCATGCACAAGGGGCCGGGTGCCCGGGCTGAGAAGTTGATGAAGACGCCTCAGGAGGATCGCGGCGTGACAGGCCGGTGCTTAGAGTCGGGGAACTTCACATGATAGACGGATGTGCGATGCAATAACAAAGGGGCACTTCAAATCCGGGGCTCTCACCTTGGTAATTTTCCGGCGCCTGACGTTGAAATGATGCTAAGAATCAGAAACGACGGGCAGTTGTTCTATCCTTACTGGTTTCAACTTTTAAACCATTTGTGTTGAAATTGAAACAAATATCCGTTTTTGCGTTCAGACGCCACCTGCTTCTGAAGCCACAGCGAGATGTTGACGCTCTTTCCGGTACCCGTGGGCCTCGGGAAGACGCTCGTTACGGCAAGAACGCACGGATGCACGTAGGGCTTAGGGTTTAAGAGGGTTCAGAGTTCAGCTCCCTTTCTGGGTGGCGCACCCTGGACACAGGACATGCTTGTCATTCAGCACCAGCAGCTGGAAGATGTACACCAAGCGCACCTCCCCGAACCAAGCATCTAGACCCCTGTTTCCCCTGAACTTCAACCACCCAGTCATTGAACCCTGAACCTGACCCTTAATCCCTCTCCCTCCCAGATTCAGTGCGTCAAGCATGACTGAAAGGCTGCACTTGCGGGAAACCCTGAAACCTGAATCATAGATGCCTCGTCCCCTCACCCCCTAGAGCCCCAAACCCTTTTTTTTACCCTAAACCCAACAAGTTCGGCAAGTTTGGTGGTTCCTGTAACGGCTCTTTTGGAGGGCTACTACAGAAAAAGCCAGCGTTCTAGACCATAGAACAATAAGGGCCTAAGTAATTCTGCCGTATAAAAGGGACCTTAACGTAGGCCCCTGGCCGAGTCCACGGAGGGAACCACGATCTCCTCGTACTTCGCCCCGCGCGGGACCTCCAGGGTTTCAGGATATTTGGGCTTCGGCTCGCATGCGTGCATGAAGCTGGCACGGAGTCCAGCAAGTGGGTCGAATGAGGTGGGCAAAGCAAAGACGGGAGGTGAAAACCTGGCACCCAAAGGCTCCAAACACATGACTGCAAGAACACCAGCAAGCCGCACATTCCGCTACATCAGGGTTTAGGCTTTAGACTTTGGATTTTGGAGGTTTTCGTTAATTTAGGGTTTGGTGGGTTTGGTGTTTGGGTGTTGAGGGCTTGGAGTACTTCAGGGCCTCCCAACAGCGAAGTAAAGGACAGCTCAAACCTGATGGAAGCTGAAAACCCAACAGTCAACAGATGAGTATCGGGCGGCAGGCCCGTAACATGCCGGCCGCAGCAGCAGCAATCACTACTTCAGCAAATGCAGTACAAGGCAGCTCAGCAAACAAAGCATAACTAGAGAACGACCCGAGGGTCGTTCGCTCGGCGACTAACCGTTTCAAAAGGATCCCCACGTGAATTTTTCAAGATCTCCAAAGACTGCTGGCTTGCTTGAAACGAGCAGGCCACCTGTGTAGTGGCTACTCTGCAGAAAGTCTATCGAGATTGTAGTCAACCCATCCTGTGGCGTAAGCCACAACTTGCTCCAAAGCAAGCGTCGGATTTTGCTCGAGTCGTTTCACTCCAACGTGCCCTCTTCCATCAATGATACTTGAGAATGTGAGGCTTTCGTGATGCGGAAGACGACCATAGCAGCTCCCAGCACCGATGCAGCCACTGCGCCCAAGAGGGCGGAGGGCAAGTGGAACTTGGAAGAGGCCATTGGATTCATCTTGGTGAAGAGCCTGGTCGCAGCTTCTGCCCCATCATCCTTCTTGCACACTGGCCCCATGGGGATCGTGTAGGTCTTGGCGGTGTTGACAGCAGCATCGAAGGTCATGATGGCCTGCTGCATGTTGTTCAAGTAGTACTCAAACTTGGGTCCGTCCTCGCTGGTGGCTTTCGCCGGATCTGCCGCCAGCTCTGCATTGAGCTTGGCCACCTTGTCCTTGGCATCGGCCGAATCCTTCTCAATGGCAGAAGTGATCTGAGTCAAAGAACCCACCTTTTTGCAGAGTTCTGCTGTGACCTCCTTCATCTTCGCCATCAAAGCCGGCTTCTCCTCCTCCGTGGCTGTCAACAGTTGTCCCGGAAACTGGGGAATCTTGACGGTCAGAGGGGCGATGGCCTGAATCACTTCTGTCACCTTGGCTTTCAACTCATCCGCTTTGCTGCCAATGGTCTTTGACAGGTCACCCGAATTGTCAAGGGTGAACTCCGCGGAGGCTGCAACGCAGAAGGTGGCGAGGATGCGCAACATGGCCGTCGAGGTCACGAAGAGTGAAGCAAAGGTGGAACAAGGCGTAAAGCCGAACTCGAGCTTGAGCCAAGAGTTTAGGAATTCGTGGCATTGAGGTGACTTTAACTGTTAGACAAATGTTTCGGGGGGCTGAGCGACAAGTCTAACTAGATTCGGGATCAACGCAGAATCGTGTTGTTGAGTTGCTTTGGCTGACTGCTGAACGCCTAGTAACACTAGCACATCTTGCCTCGCTTTCATCAGTTGTAAGTGCAAAAAAAGCAAAGGAAACCAATAACCTGGAAACCCCTGCTTGAACCATGTAAACACCCTAGGCAGACTCAGAAACCCTGACATGCAAATCCTGATTGTATGGTCCCCTATGTTACCTTCTCTTGCAACAGGCTTCGCACTTCGCTTGGGTCGGACAGCACCCACAGAAGCCGTCTCCAAGACAACCCTAGGTGTTCCGTCCCTAAACCTGAACAAACCCTAAACCCCAAACCCTTATCAACTTATCAACGAAGGAGCTCTGAAGCTACGGGTGGCCTCGAACTTCGGAATGGTAGTCATCCATGGTACAAACTGCTTCTTCTCCTGCAAAGGTCTGTCATGGAACTGCTTTAGGACTGAGACTTAGGGTTCGGCATACGGCTCCTGCAGACATCCAGGAATCCAGGAGTTTACGTCTACTTCGAGGACTCAGGCGACGCATTGCTTTCGGGATCTACGTCTCTGGGACGGCACCCCAGCATCGCAGGGTGGTTTAGGGTTTAGGGTTTAGGGCGTCTCGCCGCGCAGCGGCAGTATTTTCTATGTAGGATGGCGCCCCAACCAGGGGTGTGGGGGGGCGGCATATCGACGTCTAGCGTTCGAATGCGATTCCACCACCAAACAATCACACATTGGTTCCTCACCTTTTCCCACCCGCTGTGAGAATACACAGGCTACCACCCAAAACATTGCCTTTTAGGGTTTAGCGCTTACGCCCTCAATTCCCACCTGCCCCTGGTCTGTCTGTTGGCGCCAGGAAGGACGCACCTACACACGCCACAAAACAGATAGGGTCAGGGCCAGGTGGCGAGGGCCAGGGGAGGGCCAACGGGGGCCAGGGGGGGCCAGGGGGGGCCAGGGGGGATTTTAATCTCATTCCCTCTGCAAATATGGGCGCCACGCAAGGGGCCTAATGGCTTGGCTCAGCCCTAGGGGCTGAATTCGACCACTCTCCAATGGCTCCACCCATTGTCCATCCAGAGTTGGTGTCAATCACTGCCGAATTTCTTTCTTGGGTCCAAGCACCCTAAGAAAAAGGGTGGGTACGGCCTAAGCAGGCCTGGGTGGGAATTTAGGGTATAATGTTACGAGGACTTGCTTGCCTCCTGCATTGCTGAACGAGTCGCTTTGTTATGTTGGGTTTTTCGGCTCAGACTCGCACGGGCAAGGCATGTGGGAGCTTCCGAAGATTAGGAGGGGCCTTATTTTGGGGGTCCTTATAACAAGGATCCTACTATTTAGGATGCTATATTAGGGTCAAGCATTTTCGGAAACCTCCATGTGGCTCCAGGTCTGAAAAGGTGCAACCAACTGAGGGGAAGAAGAGTTTGGGTTTCGGGTTTCGGGTTTCAGGGAGAGTTTGGGTTTCGGGTTCAGGGCTCTTGCAGAGGTACTGGGGTTTGAGATTCGAGAGGCGTTTAGGGCTTGTGGTATGGGATTCAGGGCCTTATGCCCTCACACTCGGACTTCTAAAGGATGGAGGGCTCAGGGCACCCCTGGGCATGAGACCTGGTCGTAGAAGTAGTCGTAGAGCATCTCCCCAGGCTCAATTCCAGGCAGCTCCACGTCTGGCTGCACTGGCGGAGCCTCTGCGGCTGTGGTCTTTTGAATTTGGCCCTCAGACATTAGTCTTTTCCGTTTCGTGTGCAGGGATTGAAAGGATTGAAAGGGGTGTAGGGTTTGGGGTTCAGAAGCTCAGGAGGAGTCTCTGAGAAATCCCCGCACTCTCCCAGGCTGCAAAGCAGCACGAACTTGGGCAGCGGCGGTTAGGAAGGCCTTCTCCAGCTCTTCGACGATCGGTGGCCGCAAATCTTCGCTTACCGTCGCCCAGACCTTGGCATTGGGAACTTCAGCGATGTCAAATTCCACTTAGAAGGCGGCCGAAGTTTTCGTCAAGCCTCCGGCCAAATCGTTAAAGCCCTTTCGGCTCTTCGCGTCACACGTAGCTCCAACAGACCAGATCAGGCAGAAGAAGAAGAGAGGGACCAAGTTCGACACCTCGATGAGCGCTTAGATGCATGTTGGCACATCTGTCGGCACCACTCTGCCCTGCGAGTTTTCTGGCTGAGCCCGCGACAAGCCTCGGATGGATACGGGCAGCAAGAAACACACGAAGCATCCATCACAGGATGGCATCAGCACTGTGACGCGATCCCCCAAGCCGTGCCAATGCAAGCCAAGATGCTCTGCGATGGCTTCTTTGAAAGAAGCCGCAGGCTTCAGCTCCGTCGGTTGATAGTTCACGAAGTAGCAATCCATCAGCTTGAACAAAGCCTTCCCGAAACCAGCTTGAGAGGCACTTCAGACAGAGCTTTGCAGCAAGACTTTGTAGCCTGGATGGTGTTGTTATCGGTCGTTGTGACCTGAGTCTTCAGTGCGGCAGCCATGTTCTAGCAGGCTGAGCATGCTATAGGCTTGAAGGTGTGTGAGCCCCTGGCACATCTGACCGTCTTCTTGTTCACCTCATGACGGACACTCTAGAAATTCTCCGGGAAAGAGGCTCAAGCAGAGCTCGTGCCGGCAAGCAGCGTAGGCGATGCAAGGCGGCACGACTTCCTCGAGCAATCGTCGCAATGTCTGAGCCTTGCCGGGGTCATCATACAAGCAGCTTCCGGCTCTCCATTCTCTGCCCTTTTTTTAGTGAACTTTGGCTCGTGGCAAGGATTGGCTTGAAGGAGAAGGTCTCGGGCAGCGCCTTTGAGGCTGCAGTTTTTGAAGCCAGCCCTCATGTGATTCCGCATGCCTTTCGGCCCAGCCTCAAGCCAGGAGTCGAAGAAAGGCTGAAAGCCCAGACCTGACAGCTCCAACCTTTCCACCAACATTAGCTCAGAGGTGCGGTCTCTAAGGCATGAGACTCTCTGGCTCCATGTAGATCATCCCACAACGAGAGACGGTCGCGGGCCTGGCACCGAACAGAGCGACAACGAAGGCACCGGGTGGTACCGGGTGTCTGCAGCCGTAGACGATGAGCGTGGAACTGCCTAAACGCTTCCTCTCATGCGGGCAGGCCACGATGCCACTTCCAGATCCTCCACTTCGAACTGCATCCGCATTTTGGCTGTCAGTGCCTCAGGAGAAACTCGGAACTGACTCGGGCAACGGCAATTCCAGCAATTCCCCCCCTGGGAGAGAGAGCACGTGGGCAAGGCCTGGTGCTTAGTCCCTTGCGATAATCTCGCCACTGACCAGGCAAAGCTTCTTGTTGTCGTCCAAGACCGTGTTCATGCCTCAAGTCGTCCAAGCGGGCGCGACAATGCGAAGCCCCCCAACGGAATGGATGCTTTGGAGATTCACCTCGATAAGCCCCCAGCTCTCAATCCACAAAGCATCCACGGGCCCATCAAACATGACCCAGTGATGGTCCTGGCTTCGAGGTCCCTAAACACTAAGACAAGACCCAAGAAAGCGCAGCAGCTGTGCAATGTCTCAACCCTAAGCCCTGAACCCTAAATCTCTGCACCCTAATTAAGCCTCAAGGCCCTCTAACCCTTTTTGCATCAGGACTTGTGCCATCGCCTGATAGAGGGCCTAAAACCCCGAACGGCGATCCGGATTGTGGTTGTCGCGGGTCGCATTGCGGATCAGCTCCGCAGCTACTCCATCAGACCACTCTCGCGTCACCTTGCAAGGCGCAAGCTCAGGCGCTCACGATTTGAGCAGGTCTCCGGGCCAGGGAATCTCATGCAGTCACCTACTGTAATCCTTTTGGGATCCAAGACGGGTCCGAATCTAGACGGAAAAAGAAGCCATGCAGAGAAGCTTGAAGCTGACGGTTCGACCTCGTCGAAGGCCCCGTAGAGCTGGTTCTGGGTAATGGCCTGCCATAGGGAGACGTGGAAGAGTCTCTTGCAGCCATGCCTGCAACGGTCGGCGACTCACTACAGTCCGGGCCTTCGGGTTGAGCACGTGCACGTGCGTCTTTTGGAAAGGAGACTCACCATCCTGGGGACAGAACCGCTGATTTCTGCTCCTGAGCTTTGCACGCGAAGCAACAGTGCCTTCGGATCCACCAAGGCCGTGCAAGCCGCCTGCGTAACGGTGCACCATCGTAAAGACTTCAGGGCGCACAAAGGATGGCCTGGAGCGTGCGATAGCAGCAGGTCTTTCCGCCACCGGTTGGGCCAACCAGCATCATGCCGTGACGAACCTGACAGGGGCATTGAAGGGTTCGTCACCAGAATCGGGGCCTCGATATGCATCCAGCCTGGATCATGTCAAAGAGCTCGAACTGCTTCTTAATGAAGTAATCTGTTGGCTGCCTGAGTACTTGACAACCAGCTTGCGATCGGACCGCGGCCATGAACGTTTTCAAGATGCAACTTCAGCTACTGAGTCAGTACTGTATCCTGCTCCCAAATGGTAAACCAAGCGCTCCCATCTCTCCAGCAGCCAGCAGAAACCCGTTCATCGCAAACCGAACGCAGAAGCTACACGAGACTCGACTGTAACTCACGCAGATTTTGTCTGGCAAACCTAGTGTGAACATGTCCCTGGCACCAGTGCCACAAAGCTGCAGATTCGTGTCCTTGGATTTCTCCTTTGCCATCTCATCCAACTTACCATAATCGATTGCGGGCCTTGGTGAAAGTTTTGACTTCGCAAAGAATCAGAGACAGGTGTCCTGAATACGATGCTTTGTTCGGAGGGTACATGAGGGTACTCTGAGCTTCACACTTCTCCACGCCTGGGAAGAGGTCCGAGATGATGTTGTAAAACAGCGGAAGGTCATCCTTCAGAAACTTTGGCACCTGCAGGTGCGGCGATGCCGGATGCGCGGCCGTCGTCAGAGCCGCAGCTTAACTGGGAGTTTCCGACAATTAGGGGTACCTTATTTTGGGGTCCTGATAATAGGGATCCTATTATTTAGGGCACTATATTAGGGCCCCCTATTTTCGGAAATTCCCGACTGCTTCAGCAGGGCTCGGCTCGGCGCATTGACGTCTTGCAGAGCTCGGAGTAGGATCTGCCCCTCACTTTGGTCCTTTCATGGCATCTTGATTGAATGCAGGCGAGCCCCGATCTCTGCTGCAAGGGCCCCAGACCGGGTACTTGCGCTTGTTGAGGCCAGCAGCTTCAATCACAGTTTTGACCTTGCTCGACACTTCGTGCAATGGCTACGAGGGACTTGCACCGAGTTCCCCGACAGCTCGCATGCCGTAGTCGTAGTGGCTTTGGGCAGAAAGCTGCTCGCTGCAGAGCTGGAAGGTCGTGACCTGCGAGAGCTGTAGGATGGAGAGGCTTTAGGGTTTGTTCTCACAACTCGGACAGCCAGCAGTTTCACGCCGACTTGCACCAGGGTGTAGAGTTTAGGGCTTTAGGCTTTAGGGGTTGAGCATCGGAGAAGAAGGGATACACCAAGAGCGCTGCCATTTTCTTTGCCAGATGCCGCCCCTTCTCGAAGCCAAACGCGTAGAAGCTGATCTCGCCTGAGATGAAGACGTAGGACAACAGCATGAAGCAAGGATGGTAACAATAACAAGACAAATGGCAACAAAGAGAAGATTAAGAATAGCAGCAGACGTAGTACGGACAAAAGTCGCAGTGATGATGAAGAACCACAATAAGACAACTCACCAGTACTGCGAGATTCCTCCTCCTCCCACACCCTGCAGACGAGAAGCCGATCATGGCATAGTCAGGAACCATCATGGCCTGATCATCGGAGCTTGACACCGAGCGGGTGCGTCAAGCAAATTGGTGGCGGGGTTTTGCTTAGACAGCGGTCCTTTGTTGACATTTTCTCGGCGTCTTCGTACAGGGGTATTGCTCAAAACTGGAGGTTGCGCACTCGGCCCCCTAGCTTCTGAAGCTGCAGGGTGCTTCGAAAGACCTTGGCACTAGCACTAGCAGCTCAGACGCTTGCCATTGGTCGAAACAAGGCAGCCAAGTTGTCAGGAAGCTCGCTTCGCCCAGCCTGCGTTCAGGGTTTCGGGTCATCAAGTCCGGTTTCAAAAAGGGCTCAGGATTTACAGATATTCACCGTTGAGGGTAGAAGCGCAAAACACTGAGGGAGAGACATAACCTGGGTTCATCGTGATGAAGACCTGCAGGTGAAACGAGGTTCAACTGTTAAACTTCGCCTGCGACTTGACACTGCTTGCAAGCAGTGGCGCCCGCAACTAAGCAAAGGCCCCTACGTTGAAGGTGGGCCGCATCATGATCAAGGTAGAGTCAAACTCCAGCTCCACAGAGTCCTAGACCCAAAACTGGTGGCGCTTGCGCTGCACTGTCAGCCTTCTACTATGGGGCAATAACTCATGTAGTTGTGGTTGTTCTGATTGTCATCACTGTTGCTGTTTTTCGAACTTCCACCGGGCACACGGCGTTGTAGGACGTCAACTCCCGCTTCGCGCTGAAAAGCTGAAGCAGCTGCTGGGCGATGACACTGAGCACCTGGCAACCAGCCGTGTTGTGACATCATAGTATCACAGAATTGTGATGCAATGGCAATCATGTAAAACGTGTTGAGATCGGGATAGTCTCAAGGAATCATATGACTTTCGCCCTGCGGCCTCAATGTAGATACGGTTGAACTCGTCAAAGCAACACCAAGCGCCGCTTGACGCCAGGCCCTTGAAGAACTTGCCAACCTGGCAAAAGGTGCTTCTTTTTGGATGCTGCGGCACACGGGACCCGGCGCACCATGAGGTAGTCCATTTCTGGGGAGCAATTGAAGACGACACACCTGGCCAGGTCACAAGCTTGGGCGAGCAGAGATCGACGGCTGCACTGAAGTGGGTTGTGGGATGTTCATGCCATCGAATACTTTTTCTCCCTTCAACGATTCTTCTGTACAATGTCGGCTCAGGGCGAATCACTGGCGATGCGTCGCCTCTGCCTCTCCGTTAAATTTGACTGGACCATCGAGTCCGGCCATTTTGCCGACACTTATGGCCGCGTCGAAAACTTCAGCGTCCGCTTGTCGTGGCTGGCCGCCCTCGAACAGAAGTCACGATCGCCACGCAGCCGTGCTGACGCGAACTTCATGGCACGCCAATTTTGGGAAGTTGCCGCCAGAACGACGTCAGCATCGTCTTTCAAAGCGGTCGAGGCATGAGCTATCGCCAAGGGATCCTCGGCGATAGCTGCGAGGACCACGTACCGGTCATCGCGCAAGTGCGGAGCTGCAAGCTGGAGGGATCGCCCACTTTGCGACACAGCTGCCAAGACAATAGCCTTGTCCTGCAGCCGGTTTTTGCTAGCGTACTGCAACGCTCCACCTTCCTGCCTGACCGCAGCCAAGACAATGCGCGGATCGTCTCGGTAGGTTTTGGGTACAAACTGAAGAGCAAGGCCCTGACATGTCACGGCAGCAAGAACTAAGCTGCGATTGCAGATGGCAAAGGCCATTGCGGCTGGATTCTCCGCCACTGCCGCAACTACGATTTCCTCGTCTGACCTGTATGCATGGGGGACCTTTGCAAGTAGCAAGCCACAGCTTTCAACCACTGTGCGAACGAAGTGGCGGTCTTTCTGAAGTTCTGCAGGTACCTCTGTGAAGCAGCTAACTCCAGTGCGGATATCATCAATAGTCCTTGCCCAGATGGGATCCAAGCGGACAAGCAGTAAGTCTAACTTCGCGGCATCGTCCATCTGCCGCTGATCGGCGGCACGCCTTAACTCGAGGCTGTTCCTTAGAGGAGACGAGCATGTCGCCAATAAGAGGCTTTGCTCCAGGACCGGAAGGTTCAGTTTTTCCTCCAGCTCCTCCTTGACCTGACGGATACGCCAAGATGGAGGAGCGAAAATGGAGACCAACTCCCTCCCGGCGAGATTTCGGACCACTACATGGAGATCATCGGGCATGGCAGCTTGAGCCCAAAGAGCAAGAAGAAACGGAGCTCAGATCCCATCTCCGCTTACATGATCAAGTACTTGTAATCTTGTTGTTGTCCCTATCATTGGTCTTACGATCGGTCTTTTTGGTTGTTCTTATTCTCGTCATTCTGCCTGTTATTGCTATGCTTATTGTTAGGTTCAACGTGACCATTACTGTTATCGTGTTTTTGTTGTTAATTCAGCAACGAGACAGTAATGGACATTGTTGATTACTGCTCAGTTGATTAATATCTACTCTCGGCATCTGTGAGACATCTGGGTGCCCAGCTGCTTGGCCAGTGCTTTGGCCAGATCCTTCGTCGTCTCCGTCTTGCCCGTACCAGCCTTCGATGCCGATGTGGGTCTCTTATACCAAAGAGCCTAAACCCCAATCCCTAAACCTTAATAGTGTCAGCCAGCGAGTCCGCCCACGCTCTGACCCTAAACCCTGACTCTAAGGTGTGGACAGGCCCGGCCGGAGCACCTCCCAGGTTCAGGCCTCAACTCCCAAAACATGCACCGGAATGCAAAAAAAGGGTTCTGCTTCGCTTTAAGCTGCATGCTCTGCGCACCCATGAGGGTCATGTAGCACCTGATTCTGACCGCCGTGTCTAGTCAGCTCTAACATGAGCGAGATAAACGCCAGAGGCTCACATGTCTGTGAGGGGAGTGATCACCAGGCGGAAGGAGTTTCCCAAGTACTCATAGCCTCGGCACAAGCGAAGAAACGGCGGTCCCTGCAGGAAAAATATGACTGATAACATCTTTCTCGCTCGGCTGGCAGCCATACGGGAAAGGAGTCTGCACCATACGGACCTTACAGATGCAAATCGTGCAAGACCAGCCACAAACAAACATCCAGGTCATGCAGATGTCCATGCTCAGGTCACGACCCACATGTTCTCCTTACGGGCAGATTAACAATGCATGTGGGGAGCCCTTCTTGTTAACCCTTTAAGCCATCTTCAAGTCACAACCTTCCGGATGCCATCGGGTCTCAGAGTTCCGATCGTCCATCTCCCAGTAGTAGCGCAGCTGCGAAATCCACTCGAAGGACCTCGGTGGCTTCGAGTTCTCGCATGCCTCATGCTGCGTGGCGCGCAGCCAGTCACAGGGTCCAGACATGCAGTCGTCGATCTTTTCCTTGGCAAGCTTCTCCACGGTGTCCTGTCACACCACTTTAAGCAGGCCATGTTCGCAGCACCTCTAGCGCTGCCACTGTTCCCTTCGCGTTTACGGCTGTTTCTGCTACTGCTGCATCTTCTTCCTCTACTTCTGTTGCTCTGCTGGAACTATACATAGTCGCACTTGCACTTGCACTTGTACTTGCACTTGTATTTGTAATTATAGTTGTTGTAGTTGTAGTTGCAGCGGCAGCAGCAGCAGCAGGAGTACAAGTACTACTAGTACTACCAGTACTACTAGTACTACTAGTACTACTAGTACTACTAGTACTACTAGTACTACTAGTACTACTAGTACTACTAGTACTACTAAAGTACTACTAAAGTATCTAAAGTACTACTAAAGTACTACTAAAGTACTACTAAAGTACTACTAAAGTACTACTAAAGTACTACTACTACTACTGCTACTACTACTACTACCACTACTACTACCACTACCACAAATACAAGTTGCTCTTACAACGACGACTACTGACTACTGCTGACCGATTCTCGATTCTGTGGAACCACGAGATCTCCGACTCCGTGTGACAACTCTGCAGCAAAACCTCACGGCTGCCCCCTGCTTGAACCTGACTCACTCCTAGTGAACGCCAAGCCCTACACCCAAGTGTAAGGTCCTTTGCATGGACATCGATCACCACGAGAGCTCCAATGCTCATCCTGCAGAGAGACTGTCACAGACCGGACCCGTCGGTTCTGCGAAACTCTGCACAACATAGTTTTTCTGTCTGTTTTTCATTGTGCAAAACTTTGATACAAAACACCTTGCACGTTACATGAGACACGTTGCATACTACATGTCATAGGCTTCATACGCAAATGGCATATGCCACTCAGCATGGGCCTCTGCAGCTTCGTGATGTCACCGCGCACCAGCCGGACCTAGGTCTGTCCCAAGTACGGAGCGTGGAGCAAGAACGGTCAGGGCTGTTGGTTTAGGGTTTTTTCCCTCCTACCTAGCAAGGACGAAGCCCGACGAATGATGCAGCCCAAGCTTCTCTCGGGAATGTATACAGTAGTAGATCATAAATAAGCAATGGGAAAGGAAATAACAAATCGAGATGGCTGGGACGACTTCCGAAAAACGTACCATGGAACGCTGGTAAGGATTGGGAGAAGAATCCAGTAGGTGGCAAACTGGGTTTACGGTTGCAGACTTCTAAGATACCTGCCAGGTCCAGCAGCTGATCGCTCAGCTGTGTGAAATACTCTGCGACGGTCCCGCCTTAGGGATTCAATACGATTCGTTGCTTAATCCTCAAGACATCTTTGAGAGACTATCGTCAGCAGTCTGGGCCCTCGGCCTTTGATCGCTTCTTCCACCTCTGCAGTCCTTGGCATGGTTCCACGATAATCCAAACTTACTTGCTTTAGGCGTGAATTGCAGACTGTTTCTGCTTGTGTCTGAATCTAAGGCTTGCTCCAGTGGACCTGGCTGGAGTTTAGGCAGACCTGACCCGGATTCTGCAAGACCTTGGCGGTACGTCTCAGACGACGGAAATGCTTCGGAGACGCTTCGGAAAGGGTCCGGCCCATTCGGTCCGCGGCATTTCCGGGTAGGTTTCCACCTGAGGCTGAAGGTAGGCTTGTTAGAGAAGGCCCCAATAAACCACGATCCTTGTTGTTTGGGGTGATTGCTAAGCCGGCCATGTGAGAGGGACAGGAGCATTCAGAAACAAGAGGGCACAGGTCTCGGAACCTGGCTCCGATGCGACAGACATTTCGCACTCCAGCGATCATCTCGTTCTCCACTTCCTCAGAGGGGCAGGTTAAGCCTGCAACATGGGATGCATGGGGGATGTGCTTAGAGCCTCAGTTCACCGCGCTCTACATCCATTTTTTGTCCGGCAGTCAGGTCGGCGGTGGGGGTGGTGGGGGCGGCGGTGCCGGCGGTGGGCCTGTAGAGGCTGGCAAAGCCTCGGGCACCTGCAGCGTCACAGTCATCACGCCTTCGCTCTCCGGCGGCACCGTGAGGGAGTGCGCTTGGCCAAGGTAGTTCACAAGGAAACTGCTTCCAGGCTCGGCATTTTCGGGAAGGGCAACCTCCACTTGGTGAAACTGATAGCCTGCGACTGGACCTTTTTGGCCTTCATCGGGCTCCCAGTTCTCGCGCACGGCGTTGAACCTGCATTCGCTTCAAAGCTTGCAACGCCGCAAAAACCACGAGGAAAACTAACTAGCCTTGCACCCATACAGCCTGCATAACAAAGGTAAGACCCAGTATCTAACGGACAAGAAGCATCAGCTCCTGGAAGCTTGAGAAATCCTCACTTGCTGTTAAGGCCGTCATTAGCGCCTTGAAGTTCGGGTCGTGCCCATAGGCTTCACTGCAAGCGCTGAAGTACTCCATGAAACGCGTGCAGTCTGCATCGCAGTCGTCTAAGACCTTCAACAGCCGGTCCTCGGGCATCAGCACATGTGTAGCAGACGGTTCCTTGAACATGCATAGATTAGCAAGAACCGCAGCAACAACAAGATCGCTAAGACCATTGATCCGCTCATGCCTCGCGTCAATATGAATGCTGTTTTTTACATCATCACCACCATGTCGGGATAAACTTCCTACAAACCATCCTCACTACACTCCGTGTGCATGAGGGTAGGTGAGGAAAACTGTGCTTGCGAGGAAGGTCAGAGCTGTTGACTTCACGCACCGCACCTCGTAGAGCTTCTTGTACTTCCTGTGAAGATTCACCCACTGCATGGGACAGCTCCCATCAAAGTGAACTACGGCAAACTCTTCAATGTGGCAGTTTATGAACGTCTCGATCTCGTCTTGGAACTTCGGATCTTGAAATTCCGACATAACACAAGTGGCAACCTCTTGCATGGACATACCAGTGGCAGCAGCAGCCATGGTGTGTCGACAGAAGTGCTGCTGCGTGGATTACTGGATTGAGTGGAGACAGATCTCTCTCTGCCATTGATAGGAGACATGCATTCATGACTGCTTTTAAGGCGGCGTTTCCGGCAGACCTCGCATGCTTTAGTTCCAGGTTCAGGGCTCTGGGCTTTCCCGGCTACAGACCTTTCATCTGCAAGCCAGAAGCTATGAGACCACAGGAGCTCCGGAGACAGGGCTGCCGTCAATACACCAAGCAGGTTCTGACGGAGACTGGGAGGCGATCCGTCATCCAGGTCTCAACGTTTTTGTCCTTCGTTACCACGGGGTTGACCTGACACCGTGCGCCAGGTTGAGACCGGGAGCCGATCCACCCTGCAGGAGGCTAAGCCCTGAACAAAATCGATGATTTCTCCTTCCTTGGAGTGCATTTGGGTGGCGACAAGCTGGTCCGTGAACGTCAGCTTCTTCATCGCCTGGCGATTTTGAGAAAGTCCTGGGTCCCATGCTCTCCGCGCCTGACCCATCTGCCGCTGCCTCGAAGACCTTCGAGAGGAAGGGCTGCACCCTCAAGGGATCCTGCAAAGAGGAGAAGTCACTACTTCGAGCGGCAACCCATAGTCATAGCGGCGCGCATCATGCCCTCCATTCCTATGATTTCAACTGAGAATACACTGAGGCCAGCATAGATCCCAAACAGAGATAGAGCACCACAACTTCACATACAAGCAGTATGAAAAACGAAGAGCAACTAACCAAGGTGCCTTGGTCTGAGACAGGATCTCCAGCAACTCATCGTTGGACAGGAAGTAGAAGCGTGCGAAGGCGGCGCACCTGGGTCGAGGGTTTATCCGCAGCAAGCTCCCTGGCTCCCATGACTCAGCTGAAGGGAGTTGCGGCTCGCCCCTACGACCCCGCGCCGGAGTCCTTTCCTATAGACCTGGTCTACCTGGCGGGGAAGGACTCCAGGCTAAACACCCCAGAGCAAGTTGAATTCATGGACGCACAGGAGTGCGGTCTGCTATTGGCCTGGTCCCATGCCGTGGAGCTGGACACTCTACCGTGAAAAAAGTAATACTAATAGTCATAGTAATAGTATTAAATAGTAATAGTAATGGTAAAGAACACCTTTCAGATCATGTGCACGACACGGAAACCCTGCAGCATCGTCCATCTATTGGTCCATCCATGTTTAGCGTAGACTTCAGGCAAATGCCTAAGCTTTTCAGGAGTTAACATGTAAAGGCTTCAGCTTTTGAGGTTCCAGGCCTCTCAAGCCAGTGACTGTGATAGACACTGTTGACCGGGAACCGCACTTGGTTGCAAGGTAGTCGTCCAGGCCCTTCTGGACCTTGCACCACACAGCACTCCACAGGGCCAGTGGGCATCTCGGAGAAGTACGGTAACAAGGTGGGCCAATTCGAAGAGGCATACGGGACACGGTTGCTGCCATGAAGCGATGTCCAGGTCTCTGTTCACGGTCTGCCACTGCGTCAGTAGACCCTCCTGAAGACGGACGCACCAGTATCGTCTTCGCAGGAAATGTAGCCTTTCTGGGCTCCTGTGTGCACTGGGTCAGGGCGTGGCCGTTGCTGTGCACCCGGCCTTGCAGAATGCAAGCAAGCTGCGCACTTATCTCGGCTGCCAGAGAAACGAGGGGTGACGCTTGCATGAAGATGAACGAGACATCAAAGAAGACACAACGGTGTTCATGCTCTCCTCGGCCGTCGCCGCGTCTATCCACCACGGTGTCTACACTAGCAGCAGAAATCGCCCGAACCATGCCTCCCCAGACTACATTAAACCACAAACCACCATGCGAGGCTGGCACTCATGGTCTGCCGCCACTTGCCTCGAAATACCAAGTGCTTCGCACATGCACACAGCAACGTCTCTTTCTGTCTGTCCGTTCAGCCCTGCACCGTCTACGACCTTAAACTTCTTGCCCTCGGTAGGGAGCTGCTTCATGATGTCAGGCCTCGGCTGCTCTTGTAAGGAGAAACCACAAGCGACTGGTGCGAGCTGCAAAGCATCTCTTCGGACGCTCAACCGCTCAACCTTCTGGGTGCGTGGCGAGTCAAAGATGGGCTGCAAGTACATCCAAGCCTTGAGAAAATGAGATCAGCACCAAAAAAATGGCGTCCGAGGGCCCAAGATTTCCGAATGATGCCGAGACTGCGGCCCGCTGTACTTTCAGCCACTGATCCAAGCCTGTTTTCCCAAGAAAACGCAGCGACTCAGAGTCCAAGGGACCTCAAATTTAAGGCATGGGCACTCGGAGACGTACATGAGTTTGTCGTTCCACTCGTCGATGTCCTCTTTGAACGGCTTGTTGAATGGCGAGAACCTAGGCCAATACGACCGCAGGCCAACCCACCAGAGCGAGCACTTGCTTCTAGGGTCTCTGCTGCATCGCCTGTGTCACAACAATCTGCTCGTCCAAAACAGCCATGACCTGACCACGACTGCACTCGCCGCGGGCCCGCGATCCTTCCTGCGGCGCATCCGAGCTCGCAGACCTCGTCGGCCCCCTTGAGAATATAGGTCCCCTCAGACGAGCTTCAGTCAAATCGTTCTGTCGGTGACGTCCCTGTCCTCACTTTGGATGCGGTCTGGTGTCTGTTGTTCGATAGGGCTCGCTGCAGTCGAAGAAAACCTTGTCCCAGGCCGCCTGCAAGCACAAACTGAGGCCGCGCTTCGTCTACATGGCGGTTTCCGAAAACAGGGGACAATGGTGTAGTACCCTAAATAGTAGGATCCTTATTATATGGACCCCAAATAAGGTACCCCTAATTTTCGGAAACTCCCATATCAACTCTTATAGTAGCTCTTATAGTAACCCTTATAGTGCCCTTACAGTAACCCTATAAAGGAACCTTAAGGTAGCCCTAATTTTCGGAAACTCCCACATTGGGCCAACAGCGCCTGCATGCTCTTCAGCTGGTTCTCAATGTTCTGTTCCTGAGGCTCGACACTCTCAAGCGCTTCTCAAAGTTATGGGGCTTTCTTAGGGAATTCCTAAGTGGTGGGTTTTATTCTGTTCTTCAGGGTCTTATTATCAGGGAATTCCTAAATGGTTTCATTATGGGCTTCATATTCTTCAGGGTCTTATTATCAGGGGATAGGAATGGCCTTGCCGGCACGGTCCCCAATGTCCGCAACGGCAGCGGCATGCTCCACCATGCCAAGCCTAAGAGGGGCCGGAGCGGAGTGGGAGGCCATAATACTAATGACGCTGATAATGCACTAAAGCCAGAATAGAAATGACAGTAATGATATCATAAGTAGCAATTATCGAGAATACTAACAATAATCGTGAGAATAGTATGAGCAGTAATAACAATAAGAAGAAGAAGAATAGTGATAATAAAATCCAATAAAAGTATAGGAACAAAATAGGCATCATCATCATCATCATCATCATCATCATCTTTCAACGTGGGCTTGCAGGTGCTTGCAACTGACGACTCACGATGAGGCTTTGTGGCTATGAGGAGGGCACTCGACGAACTTCTCGAGGGTGAAGTTCTGGACAGCGTATGCGCTCACAGTGCAAGGCGTGAGTTTCCGCAGCTCCGGGCAATCCGAGGCCTCCATGGTCGGGGTGACTTCGCTGCCAACAAGGTTTGACACCTGCTGCCAGTGCCGCTCGGCCATGCCCGGATTCCTCAGAGATCGGGTGGGTCTCACGAGAGCAGAGGGTAGCAGGGGTTCCTGTGGCCCAGACCGGAGGCCAACCACAATCGGCACTTTTGGAACGAAGGCATCAATGGCTTCCTTTCAGCTCAAGCCGCTCACCGGGTTTTCCATGCAAGTGTTTGGTTATGGCCTTGATGTTCCGCGCAATGTTCAACACCTGCCGGGTTTAGACATCAACGGTCAAGAAATTTCTCTTTCTCCTGCTCTTCTCGTTCTGGGACGTCAGTGTTACGGGCTCTTGCAACATCTCAGGGCTTATGGAGTTCAGCACAGCACTGGCGATATTGAAGATTACGCAAGCTAGTCTGGGTTCTCTCCTTGAAGACCTACTTTGGCTGTCGAGCCGGCATCGCAGCGACCCCCATCTCATCTTGTCAGATCTTACGCGGAGAGCACTGGCCCCTCCACCGTAACTTCGCACACTCAGGCGGAGTTTGGCTTAGGGCTCTTGCTCTCAGAGCTCCTGGCTCTTGGGAAGACTCTCGCCCTCAGAAAGGTCTAGGCGAGGCTTCTCCAGGGTCGGAACTTGGAGTACATAATAGATACGGGCCTTAATAGCCAGAGGAGGGTTTTGGGCGTATTATACGATAATTACACTGAGGAACCCCAAAACTCCATTCTAATCATGCAGGCCCCTGCATTCACGACATCTACAGTGTAGCCCGTGCAACTCAGCAAGCTTGACTACCAGCCTGTCCAGACCTAACAAGAAGCTGCCAACCGCAGCATTTGCGGTCGCAAGTAAGGACAGCTATGAAGGAGTATGCCTCCGAGTGAGAGGCTACAGTCTCCTACTCCTGAAGGGAATGTCCCTTGCTTGGAGGGCTGGGAACTTAGCAAGTAGATCGTAATTAGGATCACCCAACCCCTTTCAGGGTTCGCTGTGATACTTTTTCCATAATATCTCCCAAACCCCCATTCCGGTTCTTCAGCCCCTTCATATTGGGCAAGGCCTTGCCTCGTCGCATCCTTCCCGCTTTTCGAAGGCCCTCACGGCCTTGAAGAGAGTCTTTGTGCCGGCCTGGCCGTGCCCTAAAAATTCCTGAGGCCTTACTTCATTTTGCAGGGTCCCTGCGACGTCTTAACATGGTCTGTGCTTTTCGGTCCTACGAAGGGGTTCAGGGTAGTTCGCTCAGACGGGATGACAGAGAGCGCAACAAAGACCTAAACAGAAGGGGCAAGCGCAACCAAAACAGCCCGGCCATCACGCTGGACTCGCAAGACTTGGCATCCACGGTCTGGAAAGGACCCGTCCTGGGGTCGTAGGCTTGGGAACATGCCACTCGCTACGTTGCATGAGAGGATGGACACACGGACTAAGGAACAAACAGCCATTTCTTGGAGTCATAGGTCCAGTTGTAAGCTGTGACCTGCAATCATCGCCAAGCAAATCACGTGACGTCCACGCCCCTCCGCACAACTGAGATCTCGACCCAGAGCTGTGAGAATGGCTCCCACCTTTTGATCTTATAAGGTAGTGTTACAAGGAGCTGCTCATGCCGACGCCGATCCACTTCACGTTCCACGGAAGTGCGTCGCCTCCTATCACGTTACTATAGGGTTGGGGGCCCATTATACTATACTTTAATAATGAAGAACCCCAAGGTAATTTTTAAGGCCTCTGTCATACACCCCCACTATACCTCCTATAGTAACTCTTAATAGGATCTGTTTTCAGAACCCCAATTAAAATAAAAACTACTCTAATTATCAAGGCCCCTATAGTACCCTGACACTCCGTGGCTGAGACATGGGCTCTTTGGTCAGCTGCGCGATCATGCCATAGTCAGTGGCCTGGTGTAGTTTGCTTGGCTTCTTTGCCATAATAATAGTAATATACTGCTAGCATAGTAATATATAGAATAAGAATAACAACAATAACAATTGAAATATAGTAATATAATGGTAATATACAGAATAAGAGTAACAACAACAATAATACTAATAATAACAACAGTAATAATAAGAGTAGACCTTGGCTTCTGTGGCCCCTAAGGCGCTAATTCGCGGGTCGCAGGGGGCGGCCTCCTTGCCAAAGAGCAGCTCCCGAGAGTTGAAAAGCTTGGCTTGCGTCGCAGCCTTAAAGCAGATGGCTTAGAGTTGAGGGTTTCTTCCCTCAGGGTTTAGGGTTTAGGGCGGGGTTGCAGGTTTTAGGCTCTCACTGCAGGACCTGACGGATGGGGGTTTCGGATGTCAAGGTCTTCGGTCTAAGGGTCTTTAAATAGTTTTAGATTTTGGGTTGGGTTGGGTTTAACAGGTCAGTAAGGTCTACCTTGGCATGCACTAATCCACGAACGATCACTCAAGCATCGGCAGACTTCAATCGCTCGTTCACGCTCTCGACATTCTCGTAGATCTCGTCCAGCTTTTCGAAATCCTGAGGTCGGGCGCACAAAGCAAGCTCTAAGTTCTACGACACCGCTGAACCTCCAAGCTGTGCGGTCAAGTCACATTGTACTGGGCAAAGTTTTCGATGGTGTTGGCCTGAAGCTCAGTCCCTCCATGATGTCTCATTTCTCTCAGTTCCCTTCGAACCGCCACGCTGCCCTCGCCATTCTGTTCCTTCTGAGGGCGTGGCCATGTCCACAATCATGTCATCAAAGTCGGACTGCTCTTGCTGCTGGGCTGCTGCAAAGGACGCCTTCGAAAAATTCGGCCGAGGGAAATGAAATGACTTCTCCTCCAATCGTACGAGATCCTCTCCCCTAGAAAACCTCGGTAGCAGGAGTATGTATGATCCCCGTTCTCACTTCGAAACCCCCGGCCCCCCGCCGTGGTATCCCCCCCGTCTGACTCCGACATGGCGTCTCCAAAAATCTCGTCCCAAAAACACCCAATCCTTGTGACAGTGGACACTTTCCAACCACGACTCCGACATGAGGACATTAAAAATGCAGCTGTCACGGGGATGCCGTTCCTAACAGGCCCGGTTCCTGTGGCAGTTGACCAAGAAAGGATCCGGTTTGATGATGATGATCATCATCATCATGACACCAAGCCCCCAAGCAGGAACCACACCACATCACACCAAAAAGGGGAGGCAGCCCCAAAACCGAACCACACCACACCACACGGGGCCGAGGGATTATCAACCATTTGTGGGGAGGGTGAAGGGGGGCCGGCTGCACCGGGATCATGTATCTCATTTCCGGGTACTTATGAAAGGATCGAGCTATTGGAGATATGTTTTAAGGGCCCTCGAGGCGGGCGGGACGCCTCCAACTCTTTGATGTCATCCTCGACTTTCGCCACGAGGTCGTAAGTGGACTTCGGACAGCCAAAGACTCGCCAACCTGACACTGGGCTCCAGAGGGTTTTGAGGTTAGGGTTTCGAGTTTAGGGTTTAGGAAGGATCACCGCAAGGGTAGAATAAGGGTACGACGAAGGTTGCTAAAACGGTGGTACTACTTTGCAGGGGTGTTGGTAACCTGCCTCCGGGAGCTCATTTATATGAAGTCCCGCTGAGGTTTCTTTCTTAGCCCTAGCTTGCTCTACTGGCTCGGAGACTTCGTGGCGGCTAGCGGCTCTGACGGCGCACTGGAGCTTCCGTAGGTTTAAAAAAACTGTGAAGCTACGTGAAAGGATTCTGGTCCACCGTACTGTGAACATCTGTCGCAGGTAGTTCGTGCTTCATGCCTCAGTCCCATCATGCGCACTCTGGGGTTCACACGTTGGTAGAAGTCGTCAGCTGTCAGCTGCACACCAAACTCTTCGAGAACGCTGTACGTATCCAGGCACCTCCGAAGTACGCGTCTTACTGTGCCAGCACCTTCGGCCCCGTGGTCTAGCAAGCACAAGCCATCCGGATCTTGTCCCGACCACGCAACTGAATAAGGTGCCTCTTCGTGTCGGGCGCCATCCTTTTCAGAAAACGCCAAGGGGAACAATGCCCTCACATTCGCTCGGTACAGATATCGTGCTCCAATTCAGTGCCCAGTGACTTCAGGATTTCGGCAGGGATGGTTGCGATGTACCTGTCAGGTGCAAGGCTTGTGACGTCCCGAATCTTCGGGCAAGCCCGAGGTCAATGCTCTCGCATGGCAGTGACTTCTTCGATGTCCTGAAGATCGGGACAAGGAAGCCACACATTGCAGCTGCATGACTCACAAGTTGCTGCAAGCAATGTCGCCCGGGATCCTTCGGCGACTTGCGTAGCTGCGAGAAGACCCCGGCATAAGCATCAGTAATTTCCTGCCGTCGTTGCAACAGCACATTGAGCATTCGATCTCAAGACTTAGATGAGGGGACCAGCGATCCTGGGTGCCATCCCGGAACTTAGTCCTCGGATTTGCCACGCAACGTCAAGTCATGGCCGAAGACCCGGCGCTGGTGTGCGTGCAACAAAGCCCAAAGCCAATGTCAATCACACACCCCTAGCAGTTCACGATACCTGGGCCTGTCTTAAACCCAGTGGAACTCATACGGGGGTTTCCGAAAATAGGGGACCCCAATGAAGCACCCTTTATGCTAGGATCCTGATTCTAAAGACCCCAAAATAAGGTACCCCCAATTTTCGGAAACTCCCACATGCAGCTGAGATTCATCATCATGTCGAGGAGGAGCTCTTGAATCTTCCTTGGAAAGATAGGGTGGGGGGTCTCTCCAAAGTGATGTAGGTGTCCTCTGTTAAGAATGTTCCATATAAGGGTCCGTAATATGTACATAAGGTGCACATTAAATACATATATATAGAGAGAGAGAGAGAGAGCGAGATTATGGTTAATATTATGTGTGTATATTATATATATATATATATATATACACGTATATGTGTGTGTGTGTGTGTATGTTCTGAGTCCGCTGTGTTCCGCAACTCCCAGCTGCCTCCCTCGGGCAGGCGCAGCACCGGGTCCCGCACCGATGCTTTCCAGCTAAGGTCTTCCGTATCTCCTGGCAGGACACCTGTCGAACGCAACCGAGGCAGCTTTCAAAAGGGTTTAGGTATCAGAATTGCTATTAGCATTGATACGAATATTAAAAGAAACTTAAGATGTTGAAGGAATTTTATCAACATTCCGGGTTTCGACTCTCTAGTTTAAGCGCCGGCCTCGAAAAGACCGACAACGATGGACTCGGGGATAGATTCCAGAATCTGTCGGCAGCTTTGTTGGATGCCCGGGGATCCACACATGCAGAGTGCAGAGCCTGCCTCGTGCTCCTTCTGCACCTGCTCCAAGATGCAGTTCTTCGCTTCCGCTGTCGTAATGTCTGCGTCCGCCTCAGCAATGGAGAACTCAGCCCCCCGACACAACACACACGCGCACACACACACACACACTGCACGCTTGCATTCCACCTTGGCTTGAACAAAGTCCGCTGGCTCCAGCTGCAGCAGGTCTTCGTACCTTCCCCCAGGTCGAAAGGTCGAGACACGGTCTTGGCCTTGCATGTCCGTCGTGAAGCCCACCCTGCTTTTTACTAGCAGAAAGTCTTTTTGGCCTTAAAGGGATTTTAGCCGTTGTCCTTCCGTTTCTCTTTGGCGATCTGGCATCCTCTTGCACCGTAACAGCCTCCCTCAGTCTCCGCTGCCAGAGGCTGGCTATGGATGCAAAGAAAACCTCATGATCCAAACGTCAAGATTCTGTAGTCGAGACGGCCGGCTGGGCTGCTTTCGGCATGCTAAAGAGCACAGAGCCAAGAAACAGATCAAAAAAGAGAAGCACGATTTCGAGGTTGCACTTCCCGGCGAGAGTTGTTGAGAGGCAGAGGCGCAAGAGGCAGAAGCAAGTTACCGTCTACTGAACATTCCGGACGGGCCTGACACACTTGCAGCTCTGCTAAATTTGAACACAGTGTTGCTCTGCCGAGCTTTTCAGACCATGTCTTGAAGGTTCCGTCTTTTCGGCTGAACTGTCACAGACCCGGAAGAAGTCAAGCAGGCAAGAAGCCAAACCTGCCGGAGGGGCGGGGCAAAGAGGGCCAGGTAGTCCTGAAGAGCGGGGAGCGCCTGACCAGCGAAAAAAGGCTCTCCACTCGCACACTACATGTAGGGGCCTTAATAATCAGATCTGGGTTTGGGGGTGTACTATACAAAAATTAGAATAAAGAATCACCAAAATAGTATGGGTCATTGTTTAGGCCCCTACAGTAACAACATGGGGCTGTGGGGTGTGTTTTTGCTTCGGGGCTCTGTTAGACTTGCCTGCGCACAGCCGGCCCAGCCGCCACGCAGCTTTGGGGGCTTTCTGCTCTTGCCTACCCTCTGGCGAGGTCTACGGCCATAACTCAGGGCCTAGAATGGTTTTTTGGGGGCTTGGGGTCTGAAGTTTAGGAAGCTGTCGCATTGGCAGCACCTTGATCTCCTTTTTCCCTCCATTTTTGCGTTTTACTCCCAGGCGTGAGCGATCCGGCAGCGACGGTTTCCGCTTGGCTCAGCCAGGGAGCCATTGCAGCTGTGGCTGCACCAGCATCCAGCACATCCTAAAGGCAGGCACATGCAGCCCGTCGCTTAAAGTCATGCTTGCAACAACTGAGGCCCGGTCCTTGCAGAAATCTTCCACGAAGTTCCTCTGGCAAAACACCTCGTAGTAGTTGGCCTCAAACAGACATTCGCCAGGTGCACTGGCGTCATGCGGATCATACTAGCTTAGAAGATGAGGCGAAGCACGTGAAGAACCTCAGCCACGTTCGGGCCGGACAAAGACTTCACCTCGGCCGCAGTCAACTGAGCAACAGGAATCCAGGAAGAGCCAGTCCAGTGTAGAAGGTATTGGACCGGCATGGCTCAGAAAAGAGGGACCGGAATCAGAAGAAGATGATGAAGAATCAGGAAATCAACAGCAACAATAGCCATAACAACCTCCACCAACACTTTTACAACTGGACGCAAAGACACAGATCGCACACCGAGAAGGACTCGCGCCTTCCATCACGACTCCCCCGCCACTAAAACCAAAGCAACCAGAGAAGAAGGCACTTGTAAAAGGTACGACTCTCCCACTACACTTCTACAAAGTAAGATGCACTGTGGTGGAGACGAGTCACTCCGTTGAAGGAAAGGACGAACTTGCCTCGCAAGCGGACCAATATGAAAGCCCCGACTGATACTCATCCGACCCGCCTGGGGCCCAGGTTTCATCAACCAGCCGAGAAGAAATCGGATGATACGAGTTCCTCGACTTGGCCCGTTTTTGCACCCCAGCTCTCGGCTTGAAGCAACCCGATGCTGCAAAGCTGCATTTCGGACTGCGGCAGAACGCGCACCTCTTGGGGATATGGAAACGGAAGGTCGCCTTACCCAGGAAGCAATGCGAACAGTTGACTGAAGCGGTACGGTGGGAACAGCTTCGAGTAAGGATGGCACGCGACGCCATGCCGGCTTCGTAGCGCATCTGCGCGAAGCGACGATGGTTGCCACCGAACAGCTCTTGCGCAAAGGCTTGCTGTTCCCACCAGGTGTGATTCTCAAAAGGCGAGAAGCCAGCATCATCGCCCCATACCTAAGCATGACCCTAGAGCAACTGATTCCAAGACTACCAGAGTTGAAAGCAGCGAAGAAAGGAATGATCGCATGCTGTCCAGGATCTCTTGCAAGCAACTTGCGGCTCCAAGCCGACCGTCGCATCAAGAGAATGGCAGTGTTGAGAGACTGCGCGTCCTCGGTGACCAACATGTGCACTGAGTCATCGATGGACGGAGCTGCTTCGCCCGCAGCCCTCGCATGTGTCAAGAGGAGTGAGTCCAGTGTCCGGTTCATGTCCATGAAGTACAGGTCGCAGTCAATCCAGGCGACCCAATCCCAGCGATCATCGTCCATGGCCTCGCGCAGCGCATCTACTTTGCCCCAGGCCGCAGGGCGTCCTTGCAGGAGCACCGCACACGCACGAACATTCAGCCAAAGCCGAGGTGCCCACAACATGGTACATGCAGCATGCCGGCTGGGCAGCATGGCACTTTTCTCTGTCCTTTGGCATGGTGCGAATGACGATGATGGATGTAGCCGTATCCGTGCCGATGGGCATACATCCCATGCACTGATGCCGCTAACCGCGGAAGCCAGGCACCGCTTGGATAATCGCAGATCGTTACGAGGCAAACTGTCAATCCGTGAGCGCGAGTGCCAGGATCCGCAGCCCTTCGATTGTCAGGCAGTTGGGCACGCAGGTTGCCCAGCAAGTTGGCAACCGATCGATGCTCATCCCCGAATTCGTGGGAGGTTATGGGCCATGCAGAATCATCGATGAAGGAGTCGTGATGGAGAGCTGCGACATTGTATGCATAGATGAGCCATCCAGACGCCAGATGTTGCATTCGCAGCGCGACTTCCAGGGCTGCGACCTGCACTTCCGTCCCCGCATCTCGCACGACCGGGTCTCCGTAGTGCGACATCGCGAGAAGACGAAAAGCGGCCCCCATCCCCACAGCGCAGTCCTCCAGCGCACGCTGCAGCGACGCTGCGCGAACGCTGGCGTCGGCATCCTCTCCCAGCACCTGGGCCACCGACTGGCTGAGGACCCGCCGTGCTTCCGGTGCTTCTCCGGCTGAAAGCAGGGTCTTTGCATGCTTCAGCTCTGAGAGAAAAGGCTCCCAGGACGACGGGCAGCGCAGCGCCGTTCGAAGAAACTCAGCTCGAGACTCCGGGCGCGTGCTCAGGTCGGCCACGAGGCGGAGCCAACTCTCTCCGAAAAGCAGCACGGCATAGACACTGAACATCCCCCAACTGCTGCTACCTTCCGCCCGAACCGCAAGCAAGCATTCCAGCTACAGATCTGCTTTCGCTCTGCGTTCCTGCATCCCGCGGCCGACCCATTGCACCATGCAGCAAGCGAATCTGGCATCCACCGTCTGCTGTTGTCGCGTCGTGATCCGATGTCTGAAGCGAGCTGTCCAAATGGGTGCTGTACACAGCAAGCGTGCTTTGGCATAGAATTCACGTAAGCTGACGGAAAATTGCTTGGTGGTTGGGATTCGTTAGGCTGAATGTGGCCACGAGACAAGAGGTCCACTGAACAGCGGTTCCGCACAAAGGTCTGCTGCAATTATGAGCTATATAGACCCACCCGGCAGAGAGCATTGCGCCGTAGCTCAATGCCTGGCGCAGGTTCTCCATCATGGTGGTTCTCCTCGCCTGGAAGGTGCAGCAATGCTAAATGCAAGGACAAGGGCAAGCCGAGCTTGGAATTCAGTCCCCCCAGTCCTTCACGAAGGGAGTGTCTGCCTTCTTGTCATCGCTTCGTGGCGTGTGCACGTCCACAGTGTTGAGGACTCGGCGACAGCAAGCTTCGCGCTTTGTGGGCGCTGCGACTGCGGGAGTGGCCTTGCTTCACGACCACCGTCTTGAAGAGCTGCGGAACAATCTGGGGCTCTACCTGTGACGATACCAGACAGCAGCCGCCTTCAACCACAGATGTGCTCGAACCAGGAGACATGTTGAACCGCCTGCGGAATGTCCCCCAGAGACATCACTCCTGGGTCAAGATGTAACCATCACGGGATCGGGATGCTCTCAAACTTGCGGCTGGTGGGCCAAGATCCAGTACCTCGCCGCAGACATCCACCGCAGCCTCGCCTTCGCATGCAAAGGATGCATCTCGGAATGTCGTGGCTGTTCCCGACATGCACAAACTGCGCGTTTAATCTGGGATCGAGGCTGCTTGTGGAGTAGGCAAAGGCTTTGTCCTGTCTCACCGGACATCGAAGATCTGCAGCATTAAAGCTGGGGGAGGCGCGATGCTCGGCAAATCTCCGGAATCTCGAAAGTGGCGTCATCATGGCGCCGTCTGATCTACGCTCCGCTGCCTAGCTGAAACTCTGGACCCTAAACCCCTAAACCCCGGACCCGAAACTCTAAATCGAAACCCTTTAAATCCGGGTCCCTGAGGAGGGTCCTCGGTGACCTTGATCTCCAGGAGGAAGAGCGCAGAGCCAGGTTTGAGATCGGCGCTCTCTTCGTCGTGACTCGGAATCAGCGGTTTAAGGCTTTTAAAGGGCGTCGTTTAGGGCCAGGATTCGGGGTTTGTTTTGCCAGGCTAGAATTCAGGGCTTAGGGCTTAGGCTTCGGGGCGTTCTTAAGCTTCTTCCCTCAGCGCTTCGGGTGTTCAGGGCTTGCACTCACACTCGCACGCAGCAGGCAAGGCTCCACATAGTCCACAGAATCTCCACTTGCATGCCGCAGAAAATGCTTGCAGCCACGTCAAAACAAACACAGGGTTTTCAAGGTTCAGGGCTCAAGGAAAGAGAGACCGTGCGCCAAAAGCCATGCTAGATGCCGTTTGAAGCATTCTAAGACTGCAGCTCTGCTCCGTAGAAAGCCATACCCGGACGACCTGCGCAAGAGCTTTATGGACATGGCTCCAGATGAGGGTCTGTTCTCCTGCATCTAGGCACCTGGAGGAATTAATTGTCGACTTCCGCCACGCTTCGCAGGGAGTGGTCGAGGACGTTCGGCAAATTCACACTCCACCTGCCGAGATAGCGCAGTATGAAACCCGCATCGTCACCTAATGCTTCGATACTTTGTCAAGCCTTCATCAGGTCGCTCACGATCACTTTTGCAGGGCACAGCTCCTGGCGGATGGGCCATATGATCAGCGCGAGAGCAGCAAACGGTGACATGTTAAACAATCGGATATTCCTCCAAACCATGGCAGTAGTCATCCACGGAGTCCAAGGTCTTGTGGGACGTCGCAACTCTGCGACCGAATCACGGCAGCTGTGGAATCTTAGCAACTTAGCACAGCACGAAGAACTCCAAGGAATCCTGCATCATGTTCTTGACAACGGCCTCAGGGAATCAGGCTCGGGATTTCTATCTGTCCACTCGGTACCTGGCAGATGGATCTCACTGGCTGCCGGACCAACAGCTTCTTGAGCTTGCCCTGTCAGTTCACCGGCACTGACCAGTGGCATCTAGTGATTCCACTCGACAGCGAGGTTTGCCAGACACCTATCTTAGGCCGGGCTTAGGCGATGTCTCCATGTCCTGCTCGATCTCTCAACATGCTCGTGAGACCACCCTTGCGGCCTGTCGATACGTGTCTTGGTTTGTCTCGTGGATAGAGAACCAACCTGGCTGACGGAACATGAAACAGAACTGCAATCCAGCACTTACAACCTACTGACGCGCAGGTGCCTTTCCCCACATCACGGAAGTTCTTGAGAATGATTTTCTGAATGTTGACCACCTAAGGCATCGTACAACATCACACATCCGACAGATGTCAGTGCTACAGCCCTTCTTGCTGCAGGGTTCAACACACCGCACCAAGCCTTGCAAAGCCATAGCCGACCGAGTTTCAGACCCACTGGTCTCTAATCTTGTGCGCCATGGATGTGATGGCCTAAGAGCAGCACGAAGCAAATCCCAGGAAGGATCCAGTATCTGCGGATCACAGGCACCCACCGATTTCTGCACATGTCGGAACTGCTCTGGCTTCATCAGCCTTGGTACAAAGCAGCAGAAACCATTGCCGGCTCTCGGCAACCACGATTGTTTTGGGTAACTGAGGCTCCGGACCGAGTAAACTTGTTCGCATATATGCAAGATGCCATGAGGTTCAAGTTCTCCTCGGCCATCGCTCGCTGCAAGCTACGGGTACAAGAAATAGGGCAGAGTGACCACACGACATGCCAAAAACAGGGCACCAGTCCTGGCACACCTCACCCAAGCTGCTCACAACTTCTGGCCTGCGGCGGGAAGCAAGTCTATTTGCAATGCGAAGCCCACAAAAAATTCTGGCCTTATGTAGAGCGATGCAAAACAAAAGGATGAAAATGCCGTGGTGAAATCATACTCCGGCACCTGAGCAGCCGTGCCGGTGTCAACCAAAACACACAAAGCCCCGCCGCATCCTCACCTTCAATTTATTTGACAGTGCTTGGCCATGCGTCAGTCTTGACATTATGGATGCGCATGCAAAGGCAGACACTGGCCAGAGCGAGAACCACGGAACATCCCGATCGAATGGGTTCTCGCCTCGCAGCCGGAGCGGTAGGAACTGAAGGTAAGGTGTAAGGTACACGAAACCTATCGCATCGAGGGAAAGCTTCTGCCGCAAGTGAACCTGGATCTTCGAGATCATCAACGTCTATGTCATCCAGCCTCACATCTGCGACGCTGAGACGCTTGCATGTGACCACATCACGCACAGCCACTGAGACGCAGACAACCCTGCCACGTCGGTTGCCTGCGCCCCGCTTGGCATGCTGGGCATGGCCTGTCAAGGATGCATACCATAGCTTCACGGTTTTACTGTGTCGTGTCTCCTTGCCACTGCGGCGATCCTCTTTTATGCAACTTCTGTGTACGTCGCACGTACAGCAGCATCCGTCGAAATAGCTTAACATGGAACTTGTGCCCCACGGCACTACGGGCAGGTATGAATTATAGTTATTGCATGTTATTGCAGCAGGGCATTGACCGATTCTCGGTGGATGCCGGCACTGGTGGCCAGCTCATCCAAGGTCTGAATTGTCCTCCAGGGGCGCTGCGGCTAACAGATTCTAGAAGAGCTTAAAAAGGAGTGGAACTTTTCTCAATCCAGGTTCAACTTAGGACATTGGGTCAGGTTGTTGGCCAGCGTCCTCAGCTGCCGTGCGTGCAGGAGTCGCTTGACTGCTCCCATTTCGTCGACATAATCCAGGCTGGCTTGCTGGAAAATACTCCGTAGCTCCTCCGCGGAGCAGTTGTTTATCGTTGCCAGGAGCTGCAGTTCCCCGGCAGAGTCCGCAGGGCCCAGGACATGTCGTGATGGCGACTTCATCCGCCCACGCGCTCTGGAAGGCGTTGGGATTTTCAGCTCTGGGCTGCAAAGAGGCACCTGATCTGTTGCTGTGTCCTTCGCACCTCTGCTCTCGTAGTCTTCACAGGACGTGTGCAGCCATCCAGCTGTGCTTAGCACAGCCAGCACCACCGCCAGGACATCGAGACGCATCCCATGTGCAGTACAGTCAGAACAGCGGAGGCCAAAGATCAGGTCGGTAATCTCCCGGCAGGATTGAAGCAGCCTCCGGCAGAAGCATCACATCGCGCGACACATGTTGGCGACGGTGGAGACTGCAAGACAAGTGCAGACCAGCAACGCATCCAACAGGCTTTGTCCAGCATCACCATAATACAGACATGCCGTGGTGCGTCCAAGGACAAAGACAGAAACGGCAGCAACGAAGCGCTGGACCTTGGTGCATCTGGCTTCACAGTGCGAAGCTCTGTTTGACCGAGTCTGACACAACCGACTAAACAAAATGTGTTGTTCTGCACATATCTGCATCGAGATGCAGAAAGACAGACGACTGCCCACGTCCATGCCATTTCCGTCCATGGCCCAGCCGGCAGCTGTTGATGTGAAGAACTACAACGCATGTCCATGCTCAGCTCCCCTGCACCCCGGCTTCAGAACCCGTCAAGACATTACTTAGAAGACGTTACTTAGCCCTGCATATTTGGCATGCATTTCTCGACTCCCATCTTTTTTTGCTACAAATCTTCCTAAGCACCCACTGAGAGCAAGGAATCATCGCGACACCCACAGCTGTTCGAATGAGAAGCACCGTGACCTGTTTTCGCATCGTACAGACTATGTGACGAGGTGCAGTTTGGAAAATCACGCAATCCTAACGGGGAGTGGTTCACAGCGAGCTCGCTCTCACAACGTCACCGCTTGGTGTCCTCCAGCTGCCTTAGCTGTGCAGACCTCCGTGCACTTAAAGAAATATGGACAAGCAGCCGAGAAGCAAACACATGTTTCTGCACTTGTTTGATCCATTGCTTCAAACCTGCTGGCTTTAGATTATGATTGCCAGCAGGGTTCCTGTTGGCATTGTCAACATTACTGTCATGTTGTGATATGTAGTGACATGTACATACTAAAATACATACCCACGTACGTACGTACATAAACATATACATGCACATACAAGTATACATATACAGAAACATATACATATACATGTACATATGTACACATGTACATACGCATACACAGATACTTACACACATATAGGTATACATATACATATACATATACACATATACATATGCAGATGTACACATACAGGTAAACATATATGCACATGCACATAGAAACATAAATACATATGTACATATACACATATACATATATACATGTATACATATATACATCTATACATCTATCCGTCTATACATCCAAACATTTATACATCTATACATTTATACATCTACACATTTTTACATCTATACATCTGTACATATATACACAGTATACACGTATATATACATATATATATATATATATATTATATATATACACACACACCCAAACAGACAGATGCATTGGATGCATAAACGGATGGATGCACGAATGGATGGATGAACATACAGATAGCTAGATACATGGACACAGGGCCTCGTAGCAGAACTGGCAACCGCTCGTAGAGGAGCTTCACTCTTGGGCTCGAGTCATCCGCCATCTGTCCTGCCAAGTCCCATGGAACTACATGGTTTCGCAATGCAAGCTACAGCCAGCGCCAAGAAGTCTGAGTCGACCCAGGTTGGGGTTCAACGGTTTTGAGTCTGATCTTTGGTCTGTTGCTTGATGCGTCAGACTGACGTCGAGGCAAGCTATACACAGGGAAATAACACTGAAGGTGGACTGAGCTCCGCTCAAGCCCATTCATCAGGATGCTACAGCATGCGGCCAAAAGCTTCTTTTGAAGCTTGCAGCAGCTGCGCTGGCATAGGCAGCTACAAAATGTAAATCGGTGTAGTGTTGCTAGGTTGGTCGAGGTTTGCAAGTCCATCAGTCTGAAGACCGGAAAGCGGAATGAAGATGCGGATGTTTTGACTCTCAGCGCGAGGGTCTCACCAGTCAAGGGCGACATGCTTGCCATTGGCATCGAAAGGCTTGGACTTGCCCATGACCTTGGCAGCCTTCACGCCAGCCTCCTCGACCGCCTTGCGAGATGCAGCCTGGAGGGCCTTGGCATACTCCTCCGGTGCTGGCAGCTTCACTTCCACCGTGCCATCTGTCACACGTGTCAAGAAAGTGGAGAGGTTCAGGTCCGGACTGGTGATGCCACATCCCGTTCTCAAGTCATAGACTGTCTTGTACACTGGATCAGCAACTGTGATTGCGCCACTGGCTGGCTCACCCACCAAGCCGCGAGAGATCACTCGCACTTGCTTGCAAGGGCACAGGTTCTGGGTGGCGAACCACTTCTCCGACTCATCCTGACGGTGCGACAAGTTGAAGACCGCCACCTCAGCGTCACCGTGTTTCATTGCGAGACCTCCAACCTGCGGGAAGTCTTCAACCCTCCCGGCAGGGTACCACTGCCAGCTTTCCTCCGCCTTCTCCTTGGAAAAAGCAGCTGCACCCTTGATGTCTGGCAAGTCGTAGGTGGCTGGATGGCGCTGCTTCCGCATGTTGACGTACTCCAGCTGCTCCGTGTCCTGGGTCTCACTGGTGTTCACGTACTGATGGAATTTCTTCTGCAGCTCCTCGTCATAGACAACCTCCTTCCACTCGCACTTGTATGCCTCTACATTGCGCTGCATCAGCCCCTCCAGGTCCGCGCAGATGCCCAGGCAGTCATCAATGATGACCTTCTTCAAGTACTCGATTCCACCAGGAAGCTCTTCGAGCCATGGTGCTGTGCGCTGCAGGTGCTTTGCTGTGCTGCAGTAGAACATGAGGAAGCGGTCGATGTACTTCAGGCATGTCTCCTCATCGATCGAGGAAGCGACGAGCTGTGCATGGCGAGGCTTGGCTCCGCCATTTCCGCAGAGATAAAGGTTGTAGCCAGTGTTCGTGGCGATGCAGCCCACATCCTTGCCTTGTGCCTCAGCACATTCTCTCAGGCAGCCAGAGACAGCCATCTTGATCTTGTGAGGTGCGCGCAGGCCCTTGTAGCGGTTCTCCAGGGTGCAGGCCATGCTGACTGAGTCCTGCTGCCCATAGCGGCACCATGTGCTCCCCACGCAGCTCTTCACCGTACGCAGGGCCTTCCCGTAGGCATGGCCGGACTCCAAGCCAGCATCGACCAGTTCCTTGAAGATGGAGGGAAGCTCGTGAACGGGGGCACCGTACATGCCGAGGCGCTGTGCTCCTGTGACCTTTGTCCAAAGCCCATACTTCTTGGCGACGTTGCCAATGGCTATGAGCTCATCGGGCGTGATGTCACCACCGGCACAGCGGGGGATCACGGAGTAGGTGCCAGTTTTCTGAATGTTGGCCAGGAATCGATCGTTGGTATCCTGAATTTGATCGCGACCGCTCTTTAGCACACTGTCGTTCCAGAGGTTGGCCAAGATAGAAGCGATCACTGGCTTGTCTAGCTCACTTCCGTTGCCGCCCACGGCAACCTTCTCAATGGCTTCTTCGAAAGTCCGGATCTCTTTGACGCGGAAGATGTTGAAAAGCTCCTGGCGTGTGTACGGAAAGCACTCGCTGATTCCGGCCTTGACCTCCTTCCCCAAGGCCTTCAGAGTGGCTGATAGCACTTTTGGCACCTCGCCCACTGGAGTGCAGCAGCCTCCGCAGCCTGTGCCAGCCTTTGTGCACTTCTTGATCTGAGGCACTGTCAAGCAATCCTTGTCCTTGATGGCGTTCACCACCTCGCCCTTGGTGACATTCAAGCAGGTGCAGATGACATCGTCCTCAGCAATGCCTGTGCCGTCTCCACCATCGTTGGCCACTGCTCCTTGACCTGGGGGAGGTCGGCGGAAAGCCAGGCTTTCAGGATCAGCGCCGCCCAAGTCGCCCTTCTTGCAGATCTGCAGCAGCTTTGGATAATCTTTCGCGTCACCAACGAGGACCCCTCCAACCAGCTTCTTGCCATCCTTCGTGAAGCACAGCCGCCGGTACGAGCCGTCCAGGGGACTGCTGCATTCCAAGTTCACAACTTCTGGATCCTTGCCGTCGAACTTGCGATTGAACCAGAAGCTCTCATCGGAACCGAAGGAAGCAACATCAACTCCCAAGAGCTTCAGCTTGGTACTCAAGTCGCTCTTCTCGTAGCTGGCACTGCCTGTGCCATCAACCAGGTTCTTGACCAGTGCTTCTGCTTGGTCAACTCCCGGAGCCCATAGACCATAGCAAAACACGCCCCCAATCGACGCAACCTCTCCCAGTGCATAGATGCTAGGGTCCGAAGAGCACAAACTTGAGTCTACCTTGACGCCTCCTCGTCCACCGAGCTCGAGACCACATCCACGTGCCAATTCATCTCGAGGACGAACTCCACAGGAGACAACAACCATGTCCACGTCCAAAACGATGGGCTCGGTTTCGCCATTGGGAATGAATTTCAAGCCCTTGACCTTGCCACCATCATCCAGGACAGCCTCTTGGATCTTGGCTCCACTGTGTACATGGATGCCAAGGCTGCTTATCTTCCTCTCCAGCGCTCTGCCAGCTTCCTGGTTGAGCTGTGTAGGCATGAGGTATGGGGCCATCTCCACGACGTGGCTTTCCATCTCAAGATCATACACCGCCTTTGCAGCCTCGAGGCCCAAGAGACCGCCTCCAATCACGGCTGCTCGCTTGGATTTCTTTGCTGCAGCGATGAGTGCTTCAAGATCTTCGATCGTCCTGTACACGAAGACGCCTTCCGGGCGGGACGCTGGGTCATCCGGCCACTGCGGGTTCTTCTTTTCTGGCAAAACGAAGCCGGGAGTTGGTGGAACGAAGCAGAAGCTGCCAGTGCAAAGCACAAGGATGTCGTACTTCAAAGAGTCTGCGTCATCATCAACAGAGCTTCCACCGTGGCTGACTTTGGAGTACGCTACGGACTTGTTGTCACGGTCAATATTGGTTGCACGACCATAGACAAGCTTGACATTCTTGCTCTTCAAGTCCTCCTCGCTCCAATACGACAACTTCATCTGGTCATGCTTGTCGCCATCGCAGTCCAAGAAGTACTGTGTCAGCATGACGCGATTGTATGCTGGACGGGGCTCCTCGCAAACCACTGTGATGTCGAACCCGGCCTCCCTCTCAGCCAGTTTCTCAATGAAGGAATGACCAATGGGGCCATGTCCAACCACAACGATCTTCTTGCCTGCCATGATCGCACACCCTGCGCTGCAAAGAGGCGACTACGCTCAGCCTCAGCAACTCTAGATCTGTGTCCACACCTCACCTTGAGCCATAGCCAGGGTTTAAAGATTTTGTGCTCCCTCATCGCAGGCCCACAGCAAACAGGTTTAGAGTTTGGCGTTTGTCTCAAATCCGCCTGGCAAAGGCAGCGCCATACTCGTGGAAGTACTTCGTCGGGGCAGCGGCGGCTAAACCTGAGCAACTCTTCCCATCTCATGCTGCCAGGACACATCTCACCGAGAACCACAAGCCTTGGGCCAAGAAACCCCGACGCGAAGAAACCTGGCCCTCCGGCCGGGTCTGCAGAGCGCAGGATCAGGATGTCGTGACTGCGTCTTCATCCAGGCGCTCTTGAAGGCATTGAAACTGTTAGCTCTGACATCCAACGGGCTTCGTCCAGGATCAGTAGAGACATGCTGCGGTTCGTCCGAGGATGAAGACAGAAATGCCAGCAACGAAGCGCTGGCCCTTGGTGCATCTGGCTTCACAGCGCGCAGCTCGGTCTAGCCTGGCCCAACAGACTAAACAAAATGCGTCATTCTGCAAATTTCTGCATCGAGATGCAGAAAGACAGACGACCGCCCACGCCCCTGCCATTTCCGTCCATGGCCCGGCAGCTGTTGATGTGAAGAACTACTGAGCCTATCCACGCTCAACTCCCCGCACCCCAGCTTCAGAACCCATCAAAACTTTACTTGGCATTGCATATTTGGCATGCACTTCTCGACTCCCATCTGTGACTCAAATCTTCCTCAGCACATTCAGCACCTGCTAGCAGCAAGGAATGATCGCGACACCCACAGTTCTTCGCCCGAGCCGACCTGTTTTCGCATCCTAGAGACTATGTGACTTGGTGCAGCTTGGAAAATCACGCAATCCTAACGGGGAGTGGCTCACAGCGAGCTGTCACCACGTCGCCGCTTGGTGTCCTCCAGTTGCCTTAGCTTTGCACACCTCCGTGCTTAAAACAACATGGGCAAGCAGCCGAGAAGCGCATATGGCGCATAAAGGTCGCCTCGTTTCTGGTACGAGGTGGGAACCTCAAGGAAGCAGAGTTCGGGGTGTGAAGTTCAGAATGCCTCCAAATCAACCAATATGCGAATCAAGCACCCGCTCGCCTGCTCCCGAATGCGATCTGCTTCGGAGGGGTCGATCTCCACAACCCACACGCCAGGCTCGTGCTCCGCCTGAAACGGCTGCGTCTTGTTCGGTACTTGGTGGGTTGGATGGTTTTTTTTTGACACTCACACTCGGACTAAGCCTGGCAAGGTCTGCAGTGATACTGGTTGGATGGGTTTAAGGTCTTGAAACCCTTGACTCTAGTCCCTTGAAATCCGGAATCTCCAAGATGGCCTCGACCACCACTTCTGCCCATGGACTGACCAGCTGCGAATGCCCCCAGGCCTGGCAATCTCATGTAGTGCTGTCATTATCATTGTCACTACTGTTGCTAGTGTTAGTAGCAGCAGTAGCAGTAGCAGTAGCAGTAGCAGCAGTAGCAGCAGTAGCAGCAGTAGCAGCAGTAGCAGCAGTAGCAGCAGTAGCAGCAGTGGCAGCAGTAGCAGCAGTAGCAGCAGCAGTAGTAGTGGTAGTAGTAGTAGTAGTAGTAGTAGTAGTAGTAGTAGTAGTAATAGTACTAGTACTAGTAGCAGGAGTACTAGGAGTAGTAGTAGTAGTAGTAGTAGTAGCAGCAGCAGCAGTAGTAGTAGTCGTCGTCGTAGTAGTAGTAGCAGCAGCAGCAGCAGTAGCAGTAGGAGTAGCACTAGCACTAGCACCAGTTCTCCATCCAGTAGCAGTAGCAGTAGCAGAAGCAGCAGCAGAAGTGGTGGTAGTAGTAGTCGTCGTCGTAGACTACTTTACCGTTGCTCCTATTGAAACTACCATTGTTATAGTACTGTGATGTTTTGTTGTTGTGTTTGTTGGTTTTTTGTTTACTAGTTCTTGTTCTTGGTTGCCACTGATATTACTGGAGTGCTTATTTTTGTGGAATTTGCTCTCTCCTGCTATTCTTGTTCTTGCCAGTATTCCCGTTGTTGTGATTGTTATCATAGCCATACTGTTGTAGTTGCATGCTTTACGTTATACTAGATGATGTTGCATGATGTTTTCATTCTGTGTCTGAATCATGTGTGTTTTTGCATCAAGACTTGTGCAATCGCCTGAACACATGGACGGAAGGTCAGCGATACCCTGCTCAAGAAACTAGTAGGGACGACCTCAAAAACACAAACACGATCCATAGCTAACTGCGCGTAGTGCACTTGACGAAACACCACCGAGTAAGGGTTACTGCTCCTATTCTGTTATATCATATTACCGATTATATGATATTGGATTATAGTGTGTCATATTTCACTGTCTATTCAATTGTATTGCATCCTATTAAAGCATATTACATATTGATCTCTGCTATACTAGGTTTGCTATGTTGTGTTTACAATCTCTTGCTTAAAACGAAATCCTATGTCGGAGGTTGTGTTATATTGTACTACCTGGGTTTATACAAATATACAAATATACAAATATATATATATATATATATATGTGTGTGTGTGTGTGCGTGTATGTACGTATGTATATAACGTTATTTCAATATGCTACTTTTCATGTCGCAGCAAAGGTGATATTGTACTTTTTGTGTCATATTGCATTGTGCGATCTTATGGTTTGCCATACTCTGCTAGAATATATCATGTTGTATATTATGATACTACACTTTACTACTATATTGTTGTTAAACCTATATTGCTCACTTCCATTTGGTTGGTCTTTTGTTCAGCTGTCCAAGAACGGCAGGCCGAATAAGGCTTCGGGGTGGGGTTGGAGTGAGTCGGGCTCGGTAAGGCTGTAGTCTCGCCTTGCAGGGTCCAGCGCTTGCGGGCTTCAGAGCTTGTAGTGTTTGGGTTTACACGAAAACTGAACACTTTTTCCACTGGCTTGATTGGAGCTCGCCCTTAACCCCAAGTTCCCTAAACAACAAAAAACAAAGTAGACTCACGTAAACAAGACAGGTGGTAACGGGATCCTCTGCAAACGTATGTCACAGAGGACGTTTACGCATACATATTTTGCCTCTTGCATGGCTAATTGATACATACAGACATACATACATAAGTACATACATACATATATATATATATATATATATATATGTATGTGTGTCTATGTGCGAGTGTGTGTGTGTGTGTATATCTAGATATAAATTCATGTATTTACGCATGCATCTCTTGAAATTTCATATTAGCATATTTTACAAATTCATGTACATATGTAGCCCCTGCCACCGCCTGATAGTCGTTCTTGTCGCTGCTTCTCGCTGGCGAGGCAAAGGCCACCTTTGTTGCAAAATTCGAATCCGCCGCTCCTCTCCCAGATACATTTAGCCCTCTCGTAAAACCCTATGAACAGCGCTCGGCATATCTGGATCTTCAGAACCATCAGTACGCATATATATATATATATATATATATGTGTATACATATATATATATATATATATATAAATATAAATATAAATATAAATATAAATATAAATATAAATATATATATATATATATACATATATATTTTGCCTCCTGTATATATATATATATATATATGTTTTGATATTCTTGTCTACGATGTGTATTTATACCGACTTATACAACCTATTAAACCAACTAAAAAAATAAGATGCCACCAGCGACGTAGGATTGAGTGTCGACTGCCCGGCCACGAGCGAGCAACTGGTAGTGTGCCGGCCCGGTTGTCATGTTGAAAGCTCCCGGGTAGATCAACACCTCTCAACATAGATCTGCATCACGTCGCAGCCAAGCGCATTCGTTACCCCGACGAGCACTGTAGCGTTGCGGGTATGGAAGCACGCAGCCCCAAACCACAACAGAACCGAGGCAAATGAATCTCAGGCCACGGAAAACAGAAGACTGAAGCACGGAAAAGGGCATCTTCTGATCAACAGTCCATCCTTTGCTTTCTGTCTTGCATAATTAGACATACCAAGTGCCTTCGAAAAAAAACGCTCGTGTCGGCACGATTACGGTCCGCGATTGGCAACCCTCTCGGTTGGCAAAGTGGCCCCTGTCGTTTTAAAACGGATTTCTTCACGATTCTGCTTCGCCAATAATATGCTGGTGTTGGCACGATTGTGCTTGGCAAACGTGCGTTTGCTTTGGGGGCGGTGACGCATTTCTCGCAGTTTTGTTTCGGGCAACCACGATAATTTGGCAACCTTCTGTGTAGGCCAGGCCGTCGTGCGACAGCTTCCGGTACGCGCCTGCCTACCCTCCGGTGGACGCGTGAATAGAATCTATGCCGATGCAGATGCTGGTGATGCCGATGATGAAGCAGATTGTCAACGGTGATTTCCTTCCCTGACCTTTTCACGACCTAAAAACGCTTTGAGACATCGTCTTCTGTTGGTGTTGGCATCACAACTATGATCTCATTGGTTGGATTTGGGTGCAGTTGGCTCTTGCGGCAGATCAGCTGTCCGGCCAGTGGATGCGTCAGGTCTATTACCAACGACAAATACCAATAACCAATATAATACATACGAACATCAATCACAATATGGATGACGGAGAACCATTACAAACTGCTGAGATCATACGCTTGAAAGCTTTTACGCCTGGCCTTTGCCCCCTGGGCACGCATGGCCAGCGCCAGCTCGGGGAAGCGCGCGTCGTAGCAGATTCCAACACCTTCCAAGTGCTGCCAGGCGCGCATACAACCCTAAAACCTAATGCCTACTGACATGAGGACACAACCATAAAACCTACGGTTTAGGGTTGAGGGACCTGCCCGACACCAGGGGAGATCGACGAGAGTCATCGTCTCTCCCGCCGAGAGAACGTCTGACTCCTATCTGCAGGTGGCAGTAAGAGCCAAGGTTGCAAATTCCCTCGACTCGCTTTCATGAGAATTCATCACCATTTGGCCCACTCACATGATATCACCATCTCGTCCGGAGCTCATGTGGAGCTCTTTCGCAAACTGGAGACCAAGAGTTCAAAGCTCCTTGAACTTCATCGCGGGCCTTGGCACTGCAATGCATTCCTCGCCCAGTGTCGTTCTGTGTCCTTCAGACTTCCGGCCAACTAAGGTCGCATCCGCGATGCAGTCGCAGCCACGTCTATGTCGAAGAGGTGCACTTTCCGATGCTTTGCAACCTCTTCTAAGAGCAGTCGGAGCTCTGAGGGATCGGAAACCCTGTCAAGCTTGAGTCCATGGCAATCCCGCCGGACGGGTTCAGCACCAAGCAAGTGTTGTAGATCTTATCCTCCTGATGGACATCTCCCAGGCATCAAATTGCGCATCTCTTCTGAATGCGAACTGCAAGCGAGCCACGTGCAGCTCTGGGAGTGAGCCGCCCACGATCCAGATCTTCAGTTCTCGAGCCTCGCTGAACATTCGATGAAACCTACGCTAATCAGAAGGACCAGAAGCTGTGCTGCAGTAACAAACACACCCAATCATGCGACATGACAGTCGGTCTATGATCTATCCATCTACCTGCACACACACATACATACATGCATGCATACATCCATACAAACGTACATACATATCCATACATACAGACATACGCAGGTATGCGCGAGTATACACAAGTGCACATATATATATATATATATATATATATACATATGTATATGTCTGTATGTATACATTCATACATGCATATGTATGTATGTATGTATGTACATGTGTACATATATGTATTTGTACATGCACAGATACATGTAGATGTAGATGTGCATGTACGTGTACATGTACGCAGCACGGTACATGCCAATAGATCGATAGAAGTGAGTAAAGAAATAGTGCATAGGCAGGCAATGGGCCATGCTGCACGTAAGTTTACATATCGAAACATATCTACAAGTAGATAAAGAGAACGAAGCATAAAAAAAGCCGTTAGACATACTGCACGAAAGTCTACTGCATACATATGAGCATAAACATTAATGTCCATACATATATATATATATACGTACACGTATGCATACACATGTATACATACACACATACATGTACATATACATATACATGTACATATACATATACATATACATATACATATACATATACATATACATACATATATATATATATATATACATGAACATATACATATACATATACATATACATATACATATACATATACATATACATATATGTACATATATATATGTGTGTATATATATATACGCGGGTGTGTGTACCTGTGTTTGTATACAAAACACAGACACGCACACACATACATGCCTGCATGCATGCATACATGAGCATGTGTTTCAGCACTTGCTGCTTCGCCCAGTCATCACTTTCAATGTGTGAATATGTTGGGTTCAATTTGTGATTGCCAGTGCTCCTGGCTACCATTGTTCACAGTACCATCCGATGGTGAAGTGTTATGTCATGTGTTGAAACACACACAGATTTGCGTATATGTACACGTATGTATAAATACATATATATATATATATATGTGTGTGTGTGTGTCTGTGTGTGTGTTTGTGCAGATGTATAAACACAAACAGATGAAGGGTGGATGGATGAATGGATGGACGGCTAGATACACAGACGGCAATATGGAAGAATGGCCAAAAGCGGGCAAGCCACCAGCTCGCAGAGGAGCTTCACACTGGGGCTCGAGTCATCCGCCATCTGTCCTGGCAAGGCACATGGAACAAAATGACTTGGCACTGCAAGCTACAGCCAGCGCTGCAGATCTCGTTCAATGGTTTTGAGTCTCATGTTTGGTCTGCTGCCTGATGTGTCAGACTGACACCGAGGCAAGCCATGCTATATACAGGCAAAAGCAACGCTGAAGATGGACTGAGCTCCGCTCAAGCCCATTCATCAGGATGCCACAGCATGCGACGAAGAGCTTCAACTGAAGCTTGCAGCAGCTGTGCTGACATAGGCAGCTACAAAAGATGTAGATCAATGTGCTGTTGCTGGGCTGGTCGAGCTTGGCAAGTCCTTCAAACACGCTTCTACTGGTGTGGTTACACATCTTCTTTCGGTGCCTGCACTGGAACACGGCAACCACTAGCTGCATAGACTGACTGTAGACTCGCTTCAGCCTATATCGACCAAGCTGTGCCTCAGCTGCTGTCTGAGGACGATCCTGCGGAATCAAGTACAGCAGGCTCACGGATGTGTTGCTTCTAACTTCTAAGCCTCTAAACACGAGGGCCTCACCAGTCAAGGGCGACATGCTTGCCATTGGCATCGAAAGGCTTGGACTTGCCCATGACCTTGGCAGCCTTCACGCCAGCCTCCTCGACCGCCTTGCGAGATGCAGTCTGGAGGGCCTTGGCATACTCCTCCGGTGCTGGCAGCTTCACCTCCACCGTGCCATCTGTCACACGCGTCAAGAAAGTGGAGAGGTTCAGGTCCGGACTGGTGATGCCACATCCCGTTCTCAAGTCATAGACTGTCTTGTACACTGGGTCAGCAACTGTGATTGCCCCACTGGCTGGCTCACCCACCAAGCCGCGAGAGATGACTCGCACTTGCTTGCAAGGGCACAGGTTCTGGGTGGCGAACCACTTCTCCGACTCATCCTGACGGTGCGACAAGTTGAAGACCGCCACCTCAGCGTCACCGTGTTTCATTGCGAGACCTCCAACTTGTGGGAAGTCTCCAACCTTCCCGACAGAGTACCACTGCCAGCTTTCCTCCGCCTTCTCCTTGGAAAAAGCAGCTGGACCCTTGATGTCTGGCAAGTCGTAAGTGGCTGGATGGCGCTGCTTCCGCATGTTGATGTACTCCAGCTGCTCCGTGTCCTGGGTCTCATTGGTGTTCACGTACTGATGGAATTTCTTCTGCAGCTCCTCGTCATAGACAACCTCCTTCCACTCGCACTTGTATGCCTCTACATTGCGCTGCATCAGCCCCTCCAGGTCCGCGCAGATGCCCAGGCAGTCATCAATGATGACCTTCTTCAAGTACTCGATTCCACCAGGAAGCTCTTCGAGCCATGGTGCTGTGCGCTGCAGGTGCTTTGCTGTGCTGCAGTAGAACATGAGGAAGCGGTCGATGTACTTCAGGCATGTCTCCTCATCGATCGAGGAAGCGACGAGCTGTGCATGGCGAGGCTTGGCTCCGCCATTTCCGCAGAGATAAAGGTTGTAGCCAGTGTTCGTGGCGATGCAGCCCACGTCCTTGCCTTGTGCCTCAGCACATTCTCTCAGGCAGCCAGAGACAGCCATCTTGATCTTGTGAGGTGCGCGCAGGCCCTTGTAGCGGTTCTCCAGGGTGCAGGCCATGCTGACTGAGTCCTGCTGCCCATAGCGGCACCATGTGCTCCCCACGCAGCTCTTCACCGTACGCAGGGCCTTCCCGTAGGCATGGCCGGACTCCAAGCCAGCATCGACCAGTTCCTTGAAGATGGAGGGAAGCTCGTGAACGGGGGCACCGTACATGCCGAGGCGCTGTGCTCCCGTGACCTTTGTCCAAAGCCCATACTTCTTGGCGACGGTGCCAATGGCTATGAGCTCATCGGGCGTGATGTCACCACCGGCACAGCGGGGGATCACGGAGTAGGTGCCAGTTTTCTGAATGTTGGCCAAGAATCGATCGTTGGTATCCTGAATTTGGTCGCGACCGCTCTTTAGCACGCTGTCGTTCCAGAGGTTGGCCAAGATAGACGCGATCACTGGCTTGTCTAGCTCACTTCCGTTGCCGCCCACGGCAACCTTCTCAACAGCGTCTTGGAACGTCTTGATTTCCTTGACCCGGAAGATGTTGAAAAGCTCCTGGCGTGTGTACGGAAAGCACTCGCTGATTCCAGCCTTGACCTCCTTCCCCAAGGCCTTCAGAGTGGCTGATAGCACTTTTGGCACCTCGCCCACTGGAGTGCAGCAGCCTCCGCAGCCTGTGCCAGCCTTTGTGCACTTCTTGATCTGAGGCACTGTCAAGCAATCCTTGTCCTTGATGGCGTTCACCACCTCGCCCTTGGTGACATTCAAGCAGGTGCAGATAACATCGTCCTCAGCAATGCCTGTGCCGTCTCCACCATCGTTGGCCACTGCTCCTTGACCTGGGGGAGGTCGGCGGAAAGCCAGGCTTTCAGGATCAGCGCCGCCCAAGTCGCCCTTCTTGCAGATCTGCAGCAGCTTTGGATAATCCTTCGCGTCACCAACGAGGACACCTCCAACCAGCTTCTTGCCATCCTTCGTGAAGCACAGCCGCCGGTACGAGCCGTCCAGGGGACTGCTGCATTCCAAGTTCACAACTTCTGGATCCTTGCCGTCGAACTTGCGCTTGAACCAGAAGCTCTCATCGGAACCGAAGGAAGCAACATCAACTCCCAAGAGCTTCAGCTTGGTACTCAAGTCGCTCTTCTCGTAGCTGGCACTGCCTGCGCCATCAACCAGGTTCTTGACCAGTGCTTCTGCTTGGTCAACTCCCGGAGCCCATAGACCATAGCAAAACACGCCCCCGATCGACGCAACCTCTCCCAGTGCATAGATGCTAGGGTCCGAAGAGCACAAGCTTGAGTCTACCTTGACGCCTCCTCGTCCACCGAGCTCGAGACCACATCCACGTGCCAATTCATCTCGAGGACGAACTCCACAAGAGACCACGACCATGTCCACGTCCAAAACGATGGGCTCGGTATCACCATTGGGAATGAATTTCAAGCCCTTGACCTTGCCACCATCATCCAGGACAGCCTCTTGGATCTTGGCTCCACTGTGTACATGGATGCCAAGGCTGCTTATCTTCCTCTCCAACGCTCTGCCAGCTTCCTGGTTGAGCTGCGTCGGCATAAGGTACGGGGCCATCTCCACGACGTGGCTTTCCATCTCGAGATCATACACCGCCTTTGCAGCCTCGAGGCCCAAGAGACCGCCTCCAATCACGGCTGCTCGCTTGGATTTCTTTGCTGCAGCGATGAGTGCTTCAAGATCTTCGATCGTCCTGTACACGAAGACGCCTTCCGGGCGAGAAGCTGGGTCATCCGGCCACTGGGGGTTCTTCTTTTCTGGCAAAACGAAGCCGGGAGTTGGTGGAACGAAGCAGAAGCTGCCAGTGCAAAGCACCAGGATGTCGTACTTCAAAGAGTCTGCGTCATCATCAGCAGAGCTTCCACCGTGGCTGACTTTGGAGTACGCTACGGACTTGTTGTCACGGTCAATACTGGTCGCACGACCATAGACGAGCTTGACATTCTTGCTCTTCAAGTCCTCCTCGCTCCAATACGACAACTTCATCTGGTCATGCTTGTCGCCGTCGCAGTCCAAGAAGTACTGTGTCAGCATGACGCGATTGTATGCTGGACGGGGCTCCTCGCAAACCACTGTGATGTCGAACCCGGCCTCCCTCTCAGCCAGTTTCTCAATGAAGGAATGACCAATTGGGCCATGTCCAACCACAACGACCTTCTTGCCTGCCATAATCGCACACAGCTGCGCGGAAAGAGGCGATTACGCTCAGCCTCAGCAGCTTTAGATCTGTGTCCACACCTCACCTTGAGCCGTAACATAAACAGGGTTTAGAGATTTTTTGCGTCATCACGAGCCCACAGCCAAGAGGTCTGGAGTTTCGGGGTTGTTCCAAATCCGCCTGGCAAGGGCAGCCGCTCGCCATACTCGTGGAAGTATTTCGTGGCGTAGGGGCAGCTAAACCTGAGCTACTGGTACGGCAATCAGGGCGCTGCCCCTCCTAGAGCCCTAACCCACCCCCAATCCCATGCTGCCAAGAGGCATCTCACCGAGAACCACAAGCCTTGGGGAAACTATGCCGCCACAACAACAGAAACCTCGCCCTCAACGCTCCAGCCAAGGTCGGGACTCAGCGCCCTTCTTCGCCTTCAGCTGCAGATTTGAGGCAACAAGAAGCATGTGTGCTCCTAAGTGTATGCATGCACATATATATATATATATATATATATACACATGTATATGTGTGTGTATGTATGCAGGCGTATGTATCTATATAGATATGCACATGTTGCAGATTGTTATAGATATGTAAATGCATACATGTGCGTGTGATTGTGTATGCATATACGGAACACTCCTAATCACTCCTATGTGTAAAACCCATGGTTGCAGTCTCGGTCACGGCTTCTTCAATGGCTGCTTTCGCATTTGCCAAGCTCTCCTTCTTGTCATGGCCTTGTCGGGTTTAGGGTTTATTGGGGCCCCTAACCTTAAACCCTAAACCTCTCATTGCATCCGGCATAGCAGAACCTGGGCATCCTAAGGTTCGCGCTGACGCCAGTCCTCGGCGAACGATGAATACGCGAAGCAGCGAAACACTGCCGAAGAGAGGATGAGAAGCGAACTGGCAGAGACCGATCTTGAATTTCGCGTTCGAGCCTGTGCCAGGCAACCGGAACGGCCAGCAGCTCCGAATTAGGACAGCCAGCCAGGGGGACCTACAGCCTGCGAGGCAGGATAGCCGCCGGCACCTCAACTGTGTTGGCAGGACCAGATCAGCAGATCGTCTCATGGCCACTCTGAGGCACGTGCTCGCCATCGCTATCGACCCGATCGATGCAAAGGCACGAAGGGTCCAGAACTTATCGCTGCCGGGCCTGATTCAAGCGCGTCACGGTGCACGAATCTAGCATAGTATAGCATAGCATGGTACGGAACAGTTTCGTTTGGCATGGTGTAGCATAGCATGCGATAGGATAGCACGGCATAGCACAGCATGGCACTGTACAGCATCGCGTAGCAGAGAATAGCATGCCCTTACTATGGCATGGCATAGCCTAGTAAGTAGACTAGACTTCATTGCGTAGCATAGCACAGCAGGGTCTAGCATAGGATAGTATGGCATAGTAAAGTATGGTATAGCATAGTATAGCATAGCTCTTGTCTACAATAGCATGTTGAAGTCTAGTGTCGAAAAGTATAGCATAATAAGTTCAAGTCAAGGTTCCCTGAGCCTTGTTTTCACCGTGTGAGGTGCAGGCAATCGAACCAAGCGGCTCAGGCCAGGGTGGACCTTGCAAACTGGTAGGAGGGATCGACAAATCGACAATCGACAAGGATCTACTTCACCATATTTCACCATGCTTCGGTTACTGTAAGGTTGCTGCAGCACGTGAGGCCTCAGCAAGAGACCCTAACATCGAGATGAGCCGAAACGCTGCCAGGGTTTCAAGCACTGCACCCAGATTCAACAAGCTTTGGTTCCCCTTCAGAGCAGAGAACCAGCCTGTGCCATATTGCTATCATAGCCTGGCGGCTTCTGGACCTGCAGTCTCGTCCGTGCCAGTCCTAGCTACCACTACGAGGATTGCATGCTTGGAACCAACGCCAAAAACGAGGATCTAAGGAGCTTACACAAGGACTTGACACTCACACTAGAAATGCGAGTCGACAACACAAACTTGAGTGTGTTGGTACCAACTGTTCAAAACACCGACAGCACAATTCTCCCAAGTTTGGCTGCCCAGCAGACAAGCAGCAACTGCACATTCATAGTGCCTGCAATAAACCACAGCATGCACTCTCGCTAAGATACGCAAAGGAGCTTGGGGATCACCCACGAGGATGATCTTGTTCCTTAGAAGGCCGTAAATAGGTGCCTCACTCTTAGTTCTGGCATGATACCACCTTAGCTCCAGGCATTGTGCGTGCGAAATCCAAATTGGCTTCTCGCACGAGCTCGTGGCAGAAAGTTTCCGACCTGAACCCCGGGAAAGATTGGGATCGCATTCTCCATGTCATCTCAATCTTGGCAGCTCACACATCTTTCAAACTTGATGAATTCTTGGCCAACTCCATAACCTAAGTCGACTTGTGGTCGCGCGAAACTTCCCAGAGAACTGTTCTCGAAGTCTGGGCTACGCACCCTGATGACCTGGCGAATGTGAAGCCACGGGATACTACAAGACGGCTGAAACCATCTCTGTCGCCAGAATCTGCTAGCAACATTAAGCTTGTCTAAACTGCTTCGTCACCTTAGCGCCAAAGTTCACTGGCGAGCCATCCGAGTTCAGTATGCAATGCGGGTATGTCCAGATGCCTGATCGTCGTCAAGGGTCTGGATGTCGTCAACTGGCATGTTGTCTACCTTGTATCTTCTTTCGGAATTCACTGAAGAACCACGAGAGAGCTGCAGACCAGAGAACCACATCAAATCCTGCCGAAGTAATGCACATGCGGATCCCAGATAAGGGCCAGACGAAAAAGTTTAGCCGTATTCTCGCTTGGGCCTGAAGAGAACGCCAGCTGTGACCAGATTCACACCCCGAGCTCAAAGCGCAACAGCCGATGCCTTCTGAAGAGCTTGAAAGGCATAGAGGATGCGGTCGGCAAACACCTGAAAGGAATCTGCTGAAACCCAACCCGGGTGACAATATGAAATAGTCAAATAGGATATACGAAGTGGATACGTTCATAATTAAATAGCTACAACTTGGGAACCCTGAGAATGCTTAACACAACTTTAAGGAGGTTAGCCCCCCACGGCCATTGATAGGGTGTAATGAGAATCGAGTATGCGGCAATATGCGATGCAAATCCAGTCTTAAGCATTCTCAGGCTGAGGGGTTTAACTGTCAGGTGGAGTTGCTGTGGATCTGCTCCAAGCCTTCCCGAGCTGTTGAGAGCCATTCCGAGACTTTCTGACCCGAGCCGTTCCGAACCATTTACCACCATTCCGAATGTTCCAAGCCCGACCGTTCCGAACCGTTCCCAACCGTCCCGGGCCGTTCCGAGCCGTTCCGAAGCATTCCGGAGCGTTCCGAAGCGTTCCCGAACCGTTCCGAACCGCTCCGAACCGATCCGAACAGTCCCGAACCGTCCCAAACCGCTCCGAACCGCACCGAACCGTTCCGCGACCCGTTCCGAACCGTTCCGAACCGTCCGAACCGCTCCGAACCGTTCCGAACTGTTCGGAACAACCGTTCCTAAACGTTCCGAACCGTCCGAACCGCTCCGAACCGTTCCGAACCGTTCGGAACAACCGTTCCTAACCGTTCCGAACCGTTCCGCTCCGAACCGTTCCGAAGCGTTCCGAACCGTTCGAACCGTTCTCAACCGTTCCGAACCGCTCCGAACCGTTCCGAACCGTTCGGAACAACCGTTCCTAACCGTTCCGAACCGTTCCGCTCCGAACCGTTCCGAACCGTTCCGCTCCGAACCGTTCCGAAGCGTTCCGAACCGTTCGAACCGTTCTCAACCGTTCCGAACCGCTCCGAACCGTTCCGAACCGTTCGGAACAACCGTTCCTAACCGTTCCGAACCGTTCCGCTCCGAACCGTTCCGAAGCGTTCCGAACCGTTCGAACCGTTCTCAACCGTTCCGAACCGCTCCGAACCGCCCCGAACCGTTCCGAACCGTTCGCAACAACCGTTCCTAACCGTTCCGAACCGTTCCGCTCCGAACCGTTCCGAATCGATCCGAACCGTTCGAACCGTTCTCAACCGTTCCGAACCGCTCCGAACCGTTCCGAACCGTTCGGAACAACCGTTCCGAACCGTTTCGCTCCGAACCGTTCCGGGGCGTTCCGAACCGTTCGAACCGTTCTCAACCGCTCCGAACCGCTCCGAACCGTTCCGAAGCGTTCCGAAACGTTCGAACCGTTCTCAACCGTTCCGAACCGCTCCGAACCGTTCCGAACCGATCGGAACAACCGTTCCTAACCGTTCCGAACCGTGCCGCTCCGAACCGTTCCGAAGCGTTCCGAAGCGTTCCGAACCGTTCGAACCGTTCTCAACCGTTCCGAACCGCTCCGAACCGTTCCGAACCGTTCGGAACAACCGTTCCTCACCGTTCCGAACCGTTCCGCTCCGAACCGTTCCGAAGCGTTCCGAACCGTTCGAACCGTTCTCAACCGTTCCGAACCGCTCCGAACCGTTCGGAACAACCGTTCCTAACCGTTCCGAACCGTTCCGCTCCGAACCGTTCCGAAGCGTTCCGGACCGTTGGAACCGTTCTCAACCGTTCCGAACCGTTCGGAACCGTTCCTAACCGTTCCGAACCGTTCCGCTCCGAACCGTTCCGAACCGGTCTCAACCGTTCCGGGCCTTTCCGAGTCGAACAATCGGGACGGTTCGGAACGGCTCGGAACGGCACGGGACGGTTTAAAACGGTTCGGGACGTTCGGAAGGGTTCGGAAGGGTTCGTCGGGTTCAGAACGGCTTGGAACGGCTCGGGAGCACAGCTCACAACCAACAGCCCGCAGCCCACAGTAGCCCAGCCCGTCCAGCCCAGCCCAGCCTGCTTGCTTAAAGTCTTCTGTCGAAGCCCCGTCGAAGAGCACCCAAAACACTGCAGACCCAGCCCTCATCCCACAAAAGTGCCTGCATTTAGCTGTGCTCCGAAAGTTGGCTTGCAACGGAAAGTGCGGCAGTCTTAAGCCTTAAGCATTCCCAGGGGCCAAGCTATAACTATATACTCGATCATAACTATACAGTTCTTCTGAACCCGACAAAGCTGAAGAACAGCCTTTGATGCTCTGGCACTCGCACAAAGCCGGCAGGGATCCATTCGTCCAAGGCTCCCAAATGCAAAACTATGCTGCAATGTGCGGGAGGTCCATCCCATAGTATACTATGGCATATCATAGTACGAGTATGTTGTATCGTATATTATAGTATATCACGGTATATTATATCGTATGCTATAGTATACTATACAGTATGTTATAGTATACCACGGTGTATTTTGTCACTCCTGCTCGACAAGTCAGACGAGGTTTGTGGGCAACAAACGCACTTACAGCAGAAAGACATGCACTACGGTGTATTACAGCATATTTAGTATAGTATCGTATAGCATAGAATATGAAAAAAACCTGGTATATAATAGTATACTGTATTTTCATGTTGGATCTCGACTCGCACAGCGCAAACAGCACTTCGACTCGCACATTGCCTGCTGCGGGTCACAGCAGGCACGGATACTCCGTAAAAAGTATCTCAAAGTAGGGAGTTTGGACTCTTTCGGTTTCAGGTAAACCTGAAACCCCAAACCTAAAACCCTAAACCCTCAAGCCGAAAACCCTAAACCTCAACCCGAAACCCTAAACCCGAAACCCTTTCCGGGAGCCGGACCTCCGGGTCCTCGCCTTGGATCACTATTCTCAGCCGGCCCACCGGCTCCAGGTCCTGGATCGAAGCTTTCGACGCGATTTTTGTCATTAGTACAGTACGGTTGTATTATTTACTGCCATTTTTTGTTTTTGTTGTTATTGCTATTTTTTGTTATTGTTATTGGTATGCTTAGTTTTGTTGTTATTGTTGATATTGTTGTTGTTGTTGTGATTCTACTGAAATATACCATGGATTAGACTCTCGCAACTCGGGAATTGAGGCGAGGACTCCAGGGCTTAAGTAATGTGGGTAATTCATGAAAATGCGGGACTGTGTGGCTTCAAAGCGGTGGTCCTTTTTGCAGCTGGGCTCTTAGTGTCAGCCAGCGGAAGGGGGGGTCCTAAACCCTAAACCCCTAAACCCCTTTTTTGAGTCACGGGCAAACCCCTAAACCCTTTTTTGACACTGGGCTTGCTGGCTGCAAACCCCTAAACCCTCAACCCTAAACCCTAAACCGCCCTAAACCCTTCGGATCCTTCTCTGGGCTGGAAGCCCAGCGCACCAAGAACTCCTTGGTGCCTTTGCCATCTTCCAGGTCCTTCAAAGCGGCAAAAGGAGCGCCAAGCAACATCCCGTAGTAAATGTCAGGGTACGCTATAGTATGTCATAGCATATTATATAGTACGTCATGGCAAACTACAGTATGTCATGGTAGATTATACAGTATGTTACAGTATATTATACAGGTGATACAGGAAAGCAAAGCACGCAGTGAGCAGCACTAGTGCAAGCAATCCTTGAGGCCCTCCACTGTACAGTCCTGCCAAAGCTGCTCAGACGCCACATCACATAGACTGAGGTGCTGTATGGTGCAGTCCTCCCAGACAGAGCCCTTTGTCTCATAGATGCGCAAGGCCTTGGCCTTCACAGCACACATCGCTTGCAAAGGTCCCCACAGCCGAAGGCAAGGCAGCGCCTGCAAGGGAAGGAAGCTTCCATCGGGTTGCTGGCCGAGCCTGGATCTCAACAGCATCATTTCTGGCTCAAAAGTACGGGTTCCCATGGCAAGGGTGCGGCTCTAGCCATTGATCCGGCATACGGATATCAAACTCCGTGTTGTTGAAGTCGTCCAGCTGCAGCCAAAACCTGACGCAAGGTGGCGAGATCAACCAGCGCATTGCCAGAGCGTCGCCGATTCCCCCCTATGCTCAGCCGCACACTCGCGATCCCAGTCCGGAGTAAAGTTGCAGCCTCGCTCCTCTAGCAGAGCAACGACCTGACACTATGGAACTTTCAGACAGCCATCCCCAAGGATCAGCTCTAAGTTAGTTTTTGTTTTGCTACTGGGCTTGAGGACTAGCCAGCTCCGCTCGACCTCTATCATCACGACCAATCATAGTCAGAATAAGGTTGCAGGGTGCCGTCAAAGGGGTCACTTTAGAAGGGTTACTATACAGTAGAAGCCAGAAAGTTGGAATATCATTATCGTAACCCCTTTAAGGTAAATTATAGGGGATCCTACCAGTAATCCATATTCCAACTTTCTGGAGTTCCCTTTAAGGCATCTGTAAGAGGGCACACCCAAAGATCCCCGAAGCCGTCGAGCTGTAAGGCGTCAGCATCCAGAGCTTCGAACCACTTCCTGCGGCGCTCCACGGTGACTTTCCGAGGTCGGTCTCCCGGTCGATGGGCGTAGACTTCGATCACCTTTAAAGCTTTATTAAGGGTTCCTTTTGAGGGTTTAGGGTTTAGGGTTCCTTTAAACCTTTAAGTGTCTTTCTTAAGGGTTTAGGGTTCAGGGCTCTCTTTAGGGGTTCCTTTTAGGAGTTTTTCGTGTTTAGGGTTTAGGGTTCCTTCAAAACTTGAGAGTTTTTTAAGGGGTTTCGGCGCTCACACTCGGACAATCCAGGCGAGGCATATGAGTTCGCGTGTGCAAAGTGAGACTGCACTAAGACGCTCCGTCATGATATGTCAGCAACAGAACCTATCAACACCTAAAGTGACTGTGTCCTCCATCGAAACCTCTCCTTAGAGTCCTGTTTCGAAACATTGTTGATCATTGGACTCCAAGGTGGCATATTCGGACAGATCGTTGGGGGTGGGCTCAGGTAAAAGACTATCGAATGTCATGATATACACAGGAATAATACAAAGCCAATAAAGGATCTGGGTCGGGACGACCCGGGTGGTTAACGACCTGTTGTTGGAACATGAGTCCCATGTTGCCATACCAGTCAGCATGTTACCGACTTGTCACTATGAATTACTTGCATACAGAAGTTGTGAAACTACGGAATACGTGGAGCTACATGCAAATGAAATAATATACAGTCGGACTTGGATCATCTGGTTAACCTTTAAACCTCGGAATATTATACATCTAATACCAAACCTCTTGATTCCCTGAACCTATCCCATGCATGTGAATTGAAAGCTTGCAACCCTCTATGTACAGCTCAGGATCACCGCCAAGAAGAGCAAATTGAATACCATGCACAAGCATTGTACTCAATGTGGTCTTCCATACGGCAGTGTGCAGTTTCCACCATGTGCAGAGCAGCCAGGAATAGCGCTAATGTCAATGGCAGGTTGTGCTCACCATCTGCTTGCTGTATCGTGCACATGCAGTATATTTCATTCCAGCTTCAGTTCGTCCTTCTGCAGCACCATTGGGATGATCCATGCACCGTGCATCGCAGGTTTCCATCCCTGCTTCCTTTTTTTTTTGACTTTTGAGCAGCCAGGGATACACCTGTCAGAAAACTTGCAAGTCCAGTGTAATCCATGTAGCCGCCATAAGAGCTCCTTGATGCCGCCCGTGTGTCGTGAATTCCAGAAAACATGCAGCGTCAGTGACGTTCGGGCATCTGAGGTGGAGGTCGCATAATACTGCTCCATGCCAAGAGTCATCCAGCATGTAATCAATTCAGCATGCAGATCGAATCACTGGGCCAGAAGGGGAGCCATGCAATATGATGTGTGGCAGCGGAGGCCATGCAGCGGGGCATTGAATTCCGAGAGATTCGTCATTGTTGCCAGCTATGTGATGGCAGTCAGCCCGAGTCCCATGTGTGCCGAGCGCGGGTTAGTGGTTTCTAGGGCGCAGACCTCAAAACCATACCATGAAGCCGTTTAACCTGTAGCACCTGACTTCGTAGTATAGGAAATTAGCCTATGCCCGTGAAGATACTACAGAAAAGTAGACCTATGGGGCCCGGGAACAAGGATAAAACATGTTAAAGTAAGGGAGGTAGGGGTAGAGGTTACAAGGATTGGGGTACATTAATTCGCAGTAGACAGACAGGATGACAAGATTTAAGACTGGACTTTGACAGCATGGGGGACAGGTTTATATGGGGTAAGACGACAGGAGTAACCCCAAGGAAAAACCCTTTGTTAGCCGGCACTCCGTGGAACGTGTATTGCACACGTTCCTGCTGCTGATGGATTTAGCCGCCTGCGGCCGCATCTGAAGGCCAAGGGAGGGTGGCTTGTGATTCTGAGGTGTAGGAGTCTACCTGTGTAGGGCGGTGTTTCTTATTGGTGTGCTCTCCTAGTTCCACAGTAGATGCAGGTGAGCGAGGGCTGTTCTCGTTCTCACTGTCACTGAGTACAAGAGTTAAAGGAAACCCCTGTTTCAGTTTGCCTACCCCCAGATTCCTGTGGTCCCATATCGTGGAAGTTCTGTTGATGTGGTCTGACGAAGTTGTCCTGGACCCATAAGTACTCGTGTATAGAAGTCGACCTCCAGGCTATCTGGGGTGATAAACCCTAGATTGCCTAATGCCTCATCAAGTGGTCTAGGGATACTGATAGATCCCATGACTGTAAAAGCGACTGCCACTACACGTCTATGTTCCCAGTCTTCCGTAGCATGTAATAACCGTTTCCCCGTGAAGATCAGTGGGTCGCCTGACGAAAAACTATGTAGGGTGCCTCGAAGTACACCACCCATATAATTTTTCTGGGTTGTTCCTGATGGCGATTCAACCCAGATCTCCCCTCCAACAAATTCAGTTAAAGGTACGACGGCTTGAGGATAGTGGGAGTTTCGTAGGTCCCGATGTAGCCCTTTACCTGCAGAATCCCTAATCGTAATGGGTTTAGGGTTGGTTGCTTTTCAGGGATTCCGTTCAAGGGTTCCTTTCGTCTCTCACTCTGGCAGAAGGCAGGCAAGGGTCTAATTACACAAGCAAGAGCGGATGCCTAAAGACTTTAAGGGTTCCCTTTGAAGGGAACCCACATTTTTTGGAGAAGCTATCGATTTGGGCATATCATCCTTGCGCGAGGGCCAGGCTAATCTTCTCCACCATTTGGCTCCGGGTTGAAACTTGAGAGTTTCTAGGGAGTGGCCGAGGGTTTTGCAGGGTTTTGGGGGGCTGACTTGTCTTTGAAGGCAAAGCTTTCAACGGGTGTGGCTTAGACAGGTCAAGCAAGCTGACAGGGCTTGTGTGGTGTATGGGGCTTTCGGGGATCAGGGTTCAGCACTGACGGGGTTGATTTTTGGGCCCGAAAGTAGTGCCTTGGGCTCCACATCTTGCGTTGTTCTCCGAGGCGTCTTGGGAGTTGCCTGGCATGCCAGGAACTGGCACCGCAGTGGAGCGAGAGGCGCTTTTCGCTTCGGCCTCCTGTGCCTTTGCCCGCAACCTCTCGGAAAGGCTAAAGCTCGTGGCACTTGCGGACCTCAAAACAGGATCGAGCGCGACCAGGACTCTCCTCAAAGCCTCAAAGTCTGTTGCTTTTGAGGGCTGCGCTTTCGCAAGGTGCTGGAGCAGGTTCCCACATCCTCCGGTCCTAGCTTACAGGAGTCCACCTCCTGGCGCCTCACAGGATTCCACATCGCCGCAACCTTACGAGCCGGTGAGTTCTCTCCGCTCTGACCGGCCTGTGCGGCTTCACGACCTCGGACAGGATACCTCGCTGCCTCGGGCACCGAAGCAAGGAATGACAGAACTGCGCAGAACCCGCACCCTGTGGCTTTTGCCTGAAGCCAGAGGCAGTGTAGAAACCTTGGGCGGAGCTGCCCATGGTCTGCCGGCCGCCTGGCAGCGGAAGTGGATCGACAAAGGGGCCCAAGCATTGAGACTCGGGCTTTAGCGGCTTCGACCCAAGCATCGGATAGGAGATGTGCAAGCACGAGCTCACATTTTCCCACGATTTGCAGTGTACCAGTGTGGCATGGCAAGAGGTGCAAATCGCAATCTGAGTGCAGGACTCTTTGCCCGTGTGCCACTACTGAATTCTGGAACCCCAAACGATCAACGACATGCGGGCACTTTCAGCTGAATCGAGAGAGGAGGGTGAGTTGGGCAGAATGTGCGGCACGCCATGCATGAAGACTTCATTCAGCTCCGGCGTGAAGGCAAAGACATCCCCATTGCTCTGAGGGAAGGACATGGTCACACCTGACTTCACGTGCATCAGCGTCAGCTCACGAACTGCCCCAAAGGATGCTCCCACAGTGAGCTGGGGAACCCCTTCAGAGTCTCGGCCGCGGTCATAGTGCAAGGGCTTGTAGTCTTGTTGCGAGCGATACAAGTTCAAGCGAACAGCCGAAGCTTTGATACCGAAGGCCTTCTCCATTCGCCGCACAAGCTGTGCTCGCAGGCTTCGATCGAAAGAAGGAATCCCGGATTCAAACTGCAGGCCTAAGTGTCGAGCTCCATGCCACTCGGACATGGCCTTCTCTTCAGCTTCCAGCTCAGTCTGAAGTCGTTCCATGACACCTCTGTCCTCGTGGGGGCATAGAAACGCCGGCAGGAAGAAAGCATCCTCCCCATGTAGAATCGGAACTCCCGAGGAAGACAGCCTCGGTGGACTGGTAGAAACACGTATGGACGGTTTCCACCATCCGCAACGCTCCCAGGCGCACCAGCATTCCTGGCAGAAAAGCTGGCCGCGCTCCGAGAACACACGATCGGTCATGACTTCCTGCCCCCCGCACGAGTGGCAAGTCATGCTCGAGATTCCGAGCACCGTGGAAGGACGCCCAGTATCCTCCTCGAGCTTGAACCCAGGATCCGTGGCAGGTGGATCATCTTCCTTCTCGTACTCTCTTCGCATCAGCTCCGAAGAGGTTGGGGCAAGCCCACCATCCGACGAAGGCATCTGCAGGTCCGGGGTCACGCCCGCCTGACAAAGCCTCGAAGCACGCAGCAGCAAGATGCCGGGGAAGCACTGCAGCTGGTCGCGCAACATAATGCGCGTCGGTGGTGGGTGATGCCTTTTGCCAAGGAGCTTAGTTTTGACCTCTCGCACTGCCCTAACGCGTGTCCTGCATGCTACTGGCTTGATTGCTTCATGTGTTTGCTGCTTTGCTGCCGGGGCATTGTGCAACTACCGGAAGATGTGTGAAACCTGTTCCGCTACTGTAGTGCAGCATGAAACACTACCCGGGAAAGCATCCTGCCCTGTAGCTACTGCTTGGGAAGGAAGCGCAGCCAGCAATTCGAAACTCTCAAGCGGCAGGCAACAGACCAAGGGACGCTAGCAGCACGCCATCTGATAGGATCTTAAGGGACCGGCCTGTCAAAGAAGGCAGGGATCCCGAGTGGCCCATCTGCCTGGCAAAGTAGAGCAGCGAGAGCAGCCAGAACATGCCACAACCAATGAAACGAGGCGATCGGTTCTCCAAACTCGGACGGGCTGACTTCTTCGACACCAGAGTCCGCTTCCCGCCGATGCTCTTAAACTCGGCCACCTGTAACGGCGTCAGAGGCCACTGGGCCACGAGTCCAAAGGCCCGATATGCCAGGCCTTGCTGGCATCTTCCATGGCCTCGCCCTCCGCGCGCCGCAAAGGGCCTCGGAGATCGGGGGCCATCGGAAGAACCCCGAAGGATCCAAGCGAAGCCGAGGCTCCTGCGCTTCGCACGTGCTGTCCTCTCCCCTCGAGGTCCAAAGCAGGGGAGGGAGCTTTGGGGCCTGTGAGCCCTGCGTAGAACCAGCCACGCACTTCAAGGTTCATGCGACTCACTTCAGATCGGTAGGAAGTAGAACCTGCTGCAGCGAACGTGAAACAGGGTTGCAGCTGCAAACGTCGGACAGCACTGCTTTTATGCATGAAAGGGGTGAGTCCGGCATCTCAGCGGCAATAGGTCCAACGAAGACGAATTGGTCTCCGCTGACTGCAAACACAGTCGCCCACATCATCACATGTGTACCAGTCGTATCCAAGATAAAGGCAATTCTCCTTGCATAAACCTCCGCCACTGGTATTCTCACACCAGTATTTGAGAAGGTCTTGATCCCCGGTAAAACATTCGCAGCGCCCTTGAACGCAACTCCAACTCCGAGCGCCGGGGTAACGACTGCATGACTTATCGCAATCGGCGTCTATGAGGTCTCGTTTTTCTGCTTCATTGTTGTGTTCACGAGCAGGCTCTTCTCAACATCTTCCAGCGCCGCCTGCAATGCAAGCAGAACTATAGACCCCGCCTTGCAACCACGTGATACAATTTGATGCACGCTGTTTTCTTCTTCAATCAGAACTAAGACAACTAAGACGAAGAACTGTTGCTCCATCTGAGACGTTCCAAACAAAACTTCAGCACTATCAGACAAGATGTGCAGCCGTCTCGAAAGCAGTTGCGAATAACATCGATCCGGTCCTCGACCACATTTTTCGCCTTGAGCTGCAGCAGGTGTAGAGAACCGGACTCGTCTTCCGCAGACGACAGGGAGGTAGGGAGGCCCAGTTGATCCTGAGCACAAGTCAAGAATGTCAGCCGAGAAAAGAATGCGAAGCATGAAACCATATCTGGAGGTTGAGAAGGCGCAAGTCTTGGTCACGAAAACGCCTAAACCTAAACATTGTGCCGAGATCTGCTGAAGCAAGCTCGAGCAACAGCAGCAGATTCAACAGGACCTGATTACACATCGTTGTTGCACCATTTCTGACATGAGCCTCGGCGAATGATGGGCCTAGACACAAGCTCATTCCCCTGTTTCTTATCTTTCTTTTGCACTAAGCCGCCGATCGAAATCCACCCATCGCAAGAAGCACTTGGCACACTCGAGCAAAGGAATGGCTGCAGCATTATCATCTAGGCTTGGTCCAGCAACATCCAAAACCCCGCCCGAGATTAGTGCGTGGATCTGCGATCAACATTTCTCAGGAACCGATGTGTTCTGCCACGCGGCACAAGAGTCTTTTTGGTTCTTTGAACTTTCTGCCTCCTGCGGTGTGAAGCCGTGTGAGACTTGGCAGAGGGCGGCGGTATGCCTTGGCTGTGTGTCCGAAGCGAGACCTGGACCTAAGCCCAAAGAGTTTTCGCTAGGCGGCGGAGGATCCGCAAGCCGGATCCCTTCTTCGCCTTCGGCGCCGCCAGGAAGGCCTCGGTCTCGGCACAAAAAGAGGCTCCTCTTCGAAGCGTAACCCGAGCATCTGACATAATACTCTATCACATACGTTAATACACTATAAAACACTATAATATACCATAATATACGATAATATACTACAATCTATGCCATACTCCGAGAGCATTGCATCGGACTGTTCTATTTAAAAAAAACAAAGAAGCTGCGAGGCTGGCCCTGGCCTTGTCTTTGTCTTTGCTGGCGACTTGGATCTCCTCCGGTCTCGGAGCCGATGTCGCGAGGCGCCTTGGGGCTTTTTTAGCTCGGACTTAGCGAGGACGAGGCCCGCTTTGCAGGGAAAGCCTTGCGGTTTTTTTGTGTTAAGGGTTTCAGGTGGTTTTAGGTCGGTTTAGGGCCTTGTGCCTTGAAGGGTCGGAGTGTTGGCTGTGCGCGCCTCTTGCGCTTCCTGCGGCTTGGCTCGGGCGGAGGATCGGCATCGCCAGGGCCATGTGCGAGATGCTCGAGTCGGTCCAGTCGGCACAGGAAGAACCCTCGACACTTGTGGGTGACAGGATCCGACCTTAAGCAATTCTTGGCCCAGCTGGGGAAGGGCTTGCCTGTCGCAGGCTTGAGAGGCGCGTTTTGCCACCAGGGAAGTGCCTCCACCACCTCAAAGCCGGGGTAGCGGCACAACACCTCCTCGACGACGTCCTCATTCTCCAGTCGATGCGTGGAGCAGGTGGAGTAAACGACTGTCCTTGTCTGAGGAACATCACTGGTGCCTCCGTCACCCTCTCCACCAATCGGTGTGGGGACCCCCCAACAACTTCTCTCTCTTCCTTTCGCCAGGACTGGGGGTCTCACTCTCTCTTATTCCCTCGCGTTCGGTTCACCTCATATGACACTTCCGCGCAGCCCTCGAATCTCCACCCAAAGCGTCCCTGGAATCACGAACCCACACTGATGTCGCTCTTCGCAGTCCCCTGTCCCGCTGCATGTCGTCAAACTACTCAGTAGCGTCACTAAGATTTCTACAAGTAGTTGCACGGGCACACACAGAGACACATTATCGAAACTCCACCGAGGCTCTTCGCTTTGGGGAAGCTGAGCGCGTGCGACAGGATGCGCTTCTGGAAGGCAGCCAGACGCTGCACTCTCCGAGATGTCCCAGTTTCGGCAGTCGCATCGATCAAGTGGTGCTCCGGCAGGCCCGAGCCAGAACAGCTCGGATCAACAATTAGAACATCGACCTGATTCCATGGGGGGCGCGCTGGATTTGTGTCGAGGAAATCGCCGACATGCACAGCTACCTCGACTCCCTCCGCCCCAGTGGCAGCAGCACCAGCACCGGCACGAGCCCAGCAACGCCCTCGTATCTGCGACCCCCATTTCAAGACCGAGAAATCGCTCTTCGCTTCCGGTTCATGTCTTCCCTTAGCCTTACGCTTGGGAGTCTCTGTAAAGCCAACCAAGAGCTGCAGGCGCTGCAGGAGGGCTGCCGCCCGCTTGGGATCCCTCTCGAAAGCAGCCAGGCGCCCACGTGCCTGAAGCAGCTCGATGGCATGAGCCGTCTTGCTACCAGGGGCTGCACACGAGTCCAGAACGAAGCTGCCAGGGACCAAACCTGCGGCCAGGGCCGACAAGCAGCTGCTCCGATCCTGCAAAACCAGTGCTCCGCTCTCCACTTCCGGAAGCTCCCGGAGCCATCTCCGCGAGGCCGCCGGCAGCCGCAAAACGTTGGGCACCACGGCGTCCACCTCCACGCGAGTCGCCTCCATATGCTTGTTCTGCTCGGATCGGGCGCCGGCGGCCCTCCTCAGGGCCTTCGCCAAACGTCTCCTCAGCACCTCCAGGTCCTCCGCCAGCTGCAGCCGGTTCACGCGGACGTAGCGCGGCAAGGAGGAGAAAGCCTCTTTCTGTTCCGAAAGGACCTCACTATGCTGGCTCGACTTCTTAAAAGCCGCCTGCAACTCCCTTGCGTGGCCCTCCAATTCTCGCCGCAGCTTTCCTCCTCCTCTCAGCCCATGTCCCAGAAGTAGCTCGTAGGCCATGACCAGCATCATGCCATGAGAATGGTGATCCAGGCCAACATGCTCGAGGGCTTCAGCTATAGCTGCCTTGTTTGACAACGTACACGAGGAGAGCTTGCAGACTGCCCGTGGGTCCGAAGAGAGCTGCTGGGCATAGAGGGCAGCCTTCAGACATCGAAAGACTCACAGCAGGTTGGAAGTCAAGAACTTAGAGTCGATTTCTTCTCTTAATTCTCTTACCATGTCCACAGACAGCCAGTAATGGATGGAAAAAGCGACGTACTACTGAGGGCTCCCGTCGGCGGGCATCATAAAGCTGAAAACGGCTTTGATGCCAGTATTCCTTAAAAAAACGAAACTATTTAGAGTATCCAGGGTCCCTTAAACAAGGTAGATGTACCAAGTGTGTTTAATGTCTTTTCCCTTGTTTTAAGGTACAGTGGTCGTTCTGGGTCATGAGCACATCAGCCTTCAGGCCGGATCGGCCGGAGAGCACATCGTCCACAACCCGACCGGCTTCGAAGTAGATTTTGGCCATGGCATACGAAGGTCCTACATGACGCTATGTCGCAAGGAGAAGCTGTGGATGATCAAGACCGACTGCAGGACCAAATACAATCGCGGTGCCGATCTCTTTGCAATCCTTGACGCCTCATACTTCGACGTTGCTTCAGGGCTCGTCGCTCGAGCCACCGGGGGAGCTACCGAACACACGTGGGCCGATCAGACCTGAACCCCCCAACCCCCACCGTATTGCTGACACGCCAGGTCGAAGATTTTTCTGAAGAGCCCCCCAATTCGAAAGACTCCCAGGGAGGATTGCCTCCCGCCTCCCGGGCGCGATGGTCGTTCTCTTAGCCTGGCGATGGTGCAGGCATCAGATAAGCACCGAATTAGACTGCGCAGCTATGGGCGACTGGCGTCGAACTCTCTTTGAGAGTGAAGAAAGCATCACCCGAAAGTGCCGGCAGAAACAAGCTGTACTTGAGTAAACGAATTTGGGACTCCTGAACTTGAGGCTTGGAGACCCCTCTTGCATTGAATCGAAGAGGATGGCCCTCCCCTTCTGAACGGGCCTGAGATTTCTCACCTGGTCGCTCTCAAATTGGCCGGTTGAATGGGAAATTGCAATTGCGAATGCAGGCTCTCACGCTGCGAGGGCCGACTGCCGCTGCCCCTCCGTCGATTTCGCATGTCCTCCAAAAGCTCCAGGACGTCTCTCCTCAGCTCCCAGCTCTGAGTGTCCACAGATGTGGGAGTAAACACGCCAGGTTGCATCTTGTTCAGGATATCTTTGACGTCCATCTGCATGACCTGTCGATCGGCCACAATCGCAGGACCCTAGCTGTGCTAGCCTCCATTTGGCTTAGCTAAAAGCCAAGCAGTGTGAACCACCTTCAGCGTGCGCACCTGTGTATGGAGCGTGGTCGCCTCACCAGACAAACGGTAGCAGCCGGAGACGAACTCGTCAATGTTGACACCATCCGAGCCATCGCCTGAGATGGAGATGCTGAGAGCCTGGTCACCTGCCCATCCTCACCGCCACCTATTGCAAGGCATCCAATGCATTCTGCATGAGTTCCTCTATCTCCCCGTGTCAGGAACCACAGCGCCTCCCCCTGAGTCTCGCCTCACTATTTTTTACGCCTCTGGCCACATTCGAAAGATGTCGAGGGGCTGTCCAGAAGGCGGAAGAGGGTCTTGGCATCGCTCACGTCCAGCTTCAGCGTGTTGAAGTAGGCGATGACAGCCTCGTGGTTCCTGAGTGAATCGGAGCTGTCTTCAGGGTTTGCAATGATATGGGCTTTACAGGGTTTTTCTTGGGGTTGGGGATTGGCGGTTCTTTGAGACACGCCATGAACACAATACAGACGCCCGAGCTGACCGCTGCCGGGTTACAGCTGGCTTTCGAACTCCTGCTGCGTAACGGTGCCGTCGCCACTGGAATCGAGCTCGCTGAAAACATCCCTGATCCAATTCATGCCTGAGCTTTGCGGCTGTGACCGTCCGAGCAGACATACGCTACAAGACATACACAACAACGGAAAAACAATAACAATAAGAATAAAACAACACTGACAACCATGACAGTACTAAAAACAATCAGCATAATAACAACAATACCAATAATTAAATCGTAACAACAACGCCTCCGCAAGTTGGCGTGCAGCTGGGCGTCGCAACCTCTTGTTCCGCAGCTCCTCCTGAACCGCGAGCTCCTTGTCCGACTGGTTCTTCTCGATCGCCGTGTCAACGAAAACGCCTCCAAAACAAGCGCAGGGACTCGTTCGGAATCTGTGTAGAGGCGTGAAACAGCACGAAACGCCCTGCCTGTCACAACATTGAGAACGGCGAACAGAGCAAAAGTCACGAAGAAGAGGAACAGCAACCTCGACTGCGGGGAGTGTTCACATGCACTGACGGCCAGTGATCGGATTGCAAAGAAGCACGTGCTTTGGCAACAATGGGGGGCTGAAGCTGGACTGCGAGATGGGAGTAGGTACAGATCCCGTTCAAGCGTCCCTTGAATCAAAAGAGGCCCAGGAGCTGGTATGGCCAGGGCAGCATTTCCAGGACGTGGAAGTACCTCGTCGAGAAGATTGCTCTCAGAGTTACATGGCGAAGTTGGGACACAATTGCAGCACAAAGCCAAGATATAACTTGGATGAAGAAACATGGATCAAAGCCCCTCGCGCATCCTCGCCATAATGCTACTTCCTTGCATCGCCCCTGTCCCATTGAGTCCTTCCGTTTGGCCACGTGACACTGTCCAGTCTTCTCCTCCGGACATGGAGCTGTAGAGTGTCAAAATGGAGCTTGACAGCGACCCAAAGTACCTGGAGAGCGGCACTTCATCAGCCATACACTTCACGGAAGCACCATGAATGTATCTGCCACCCCTACTCCACAAGGCGAACTTCTTGAGGTCTTCAGCGCCGACTGCTTCCCTGGGCAACGATTCGAGCTCCATCGTCACCTTTGCTAGTCCGGCATGGCCGATTTAACTGGCGCCCTGAGACACAAACCTGGGGTATTGTAGGGTGGTGACGGGCTAAAGTCTAAAGGAAACGGAGTGCCCTCCAGTACCTGACGCGGACTGCAAGCAGGCGACCGCGCTGGTGAAGGTGATTCCAAAAACCTGTTGCTTCAGAGGAAATGGAATTAATCACAGCTCAGCAGGCAGTGCCCAACTCTACTGCAGGCTGGCGGCGTAAAGCATGACACAGAGCACCAGGACGACCCAAAGCAAGTTTCTGGCCTCAAGAGAGAAAAATCTCCTCCTCTCTGAGCCGAAGTCGGCAGGAACTAGAAGAAGGCTTCTTGTTGCCGACGGGCATCTGAGCTGACAATCGAAGCCACCATGAGACGGAGTTCTCGAAAAGCCTGCGGGGTGAGCTTAAGCTGTCCTCTTTGAGCCCCTCCTTTGTTCATTATACAGTATTATAATACATTATACTCTATTATCACAGGATATAATAGAGTATATACTATGCTATTGCAGATATTAGATCATCCAGCCTTCAGGACTCGGATTACCTCAGCTCCGAGAGAGCTCACTTGCAAAGATGTGCGGCGAGCAAAATGCGCCGAAACCTGAAGGTTGCCGTGAAGCTGCCTTTGCTATGCGGACCACACGCAGCACGCGGATCATCCTCACGACCTGCGCTGGGAAAAGCTTGCATGATGCTGACGGGCTCATCCTCTCGCTCGCTGAGCTAAGACAGGGGCCGAAAAGTTTGTCATCAAAGCTCCAGTCTCAGATCCTGCAAGAACCAGCGTCTCGGTGACCACCTCCATGCAGCCGATAGCCACGACGAAAATGTCAAGCAGGTTCCACGACATTTCCTCGATAGGGCGACCATTCTCGGGACATCTATGTAGCAGCCAACGGGACAGCAGCGCACGATAACAATGCAACAGAGTTGCTTCGCTGCAAATGAAAAACAGGAACCCATCTGCAAGCCAGCGCATGACCAGGTCCAGAAAGAATGCCACAAAGAACATAATCTGTGCGACCTCATAGCGAAACTGGAAAATCGAGGCAAGCAAGCCCACACAGGCCAGGTTCCGATCCTCTGCAGAAGATGCCACCAAGCTGCATAGAAGAACGTGCGCTCAAATCCCTGATCATCTTTGTTGACGGTCTGGGCCAAATGTTCCTAGGCTCGCAGATCGAACCACCCCGAAGAATCACACAAAATCCTAAAGAGGGCAGCTCACGATGCACAAACAATGTAGGTTCGCAAAGACTCTGTCTGCCAACCGACGAAGATAGCATTCACCAGAATCAGACAAGCACCTGAGGCACGTCGATCCAGAAACTCGCACGGAGGATCTGAATGGAAATCAAAACCCAAGGCTATGCACAAACGCACACGGAAATGCGTCAAAGCAGGGCTTCAACTCGATGCTCTAATGTAGGCGACTGCATAGTTAGTAGAAATATGTAGTACTATCCAACCACGATCAGAGTACAGTATGCCTGACGGTTTGTCGTGCGCGTCTGCTTCTTGAAATCCAGGCCCAAACTGCTTCCAACCAAGGCTGGGGAATCCAGGAGCTCTCACCCCATCTATCTGTCCATCCGTCTGGCTGTTTAGCTATCCGTCTATCTGTCTATGCTTACATACATAACTGGAACCACTAGAACTACGACTAAAAACATACATACCTAAAAACAGCAGAAAATAACCGCATGTATGTGTCTACATACATATTCCTGTATACAGATATACGTGATATTATGATGTATCACTACAAGGAGTTGTAGAGATTTGTTCCCTTGACTTTCCGGACTGGCTTATTGCTCAATCCAGGCGGCTGTACATCTCATAGCCGGTGCTGTAAACGCACTTCTGCAACCACGACTGGTGAACTTCGACATCATCTGTAGTCCTCACATCATGAGGGAATGCAATTATGTTGAAAGCCAACGCAAAACCTTAGTACAACCTGCTCGTAGAATACCGTAATCAGAGTATGCCGCGAAAACTGTCGCACTCGACCAATGTCTCAGCCAAAGGGCTTGATGATCTTCCTGCGCGTCATAGCTCTTGCTTTCTTCCTACGGACACATCAGCTCAAGAAGCCGCAGCAAGGCGGCTCGCGTCCGTGGGACATCTCTTCAAACATAAACGTAGAGCGTGGCTTCAGCAAAACCCACAACTTCTGGGAAGAGCGAAACAATCCAGCACAATCACACATCCGCCTGAATTCGGTTTTTGTAGACGACCTGTGCAGATACACGTGACATGAACACCCCAAGCTTCATGCAAAGGGCGTGGATATTGCAGCTCTGAGGTTCAGGCCTGCGGGAACCTTCGGAAGCCTCCGCTCGGCTGTCTCACAAATCTCACCCCTACGTCATGCACCCCCTTCTTTGCCAAGGTGGTGCAGTAGAAAGTCGAAACTTTATCACTTTTGAAGTCCCAGCGGCTTTGGACGAGGACGATGAAGAGGATGACTCTGAGGATCTGGAGGCTTTGCTTGCTTTGCTTTCTTTGCTCGCTGCTCTCGACGGCGGCGGTGGTTCTTCCACGAGAGGCATGACTGGCACGAAGTTGTTCTGCACGGTAGTCTTGGCCTCATGGTTAGGGACATGTCCTGCGGTGAAGCCTGCCATGCTACGCCGCTACGCTTCGAAGCTGGCGCACCACGAATGTATTATCACGGGGGAGAGATCTGCCGGGCAGCCTCATCGCCACCAGTGTCACCAGTGACCATGCCTGCCACTGCACAACTTCAGGAAGCCTCACAGGAAGCGATTAATTCCTCCGCAATCGGGCCTGGGACATCTGGAGTTTCAGTCACCTCAAGGCCGAGCTTTTGGGAACAAGATGGTGACGGCACTCCGGGTGCCCCAAGATGGGCCTTAAGGCCCAAGGAACCAGGGAGTCCAGGGGATGGGGCACGCGCCTCGCTCTGGAGAGACCCTCGCTTCAAAATCGTCGCATCCATGTCCTCTGCAGGCCTCGGGAATGAGCTCTCATTTCGAGGGGGTTCGTAGGTTCAAGGGGGAGTGTGGACTAGTTTCTTTTAACTACACTCTCTGTGGAGACCACCAAACAAGCACACTGTGAAATGAACATGAAGTCGAAACGGTTGCCTAAGCGTCAAAGCAATGGAGGAGACCATCTGCTACACCAGCTAAAATCACCAAACTTCCGTCACTAGCAGGCTACACGATGTATCAAATCCCCTTTCTCGACGCGATGTTCGATGCGCACAACACCATCAGAGGATGCGGAACACAATGAACCACGACCGCCCAAAGTCAAACTGAGGAGCCGCAGGCTGCGCTGCAGGCGCTCTAAGACCATCTGCAACTCCTGAGCATGTCTCCTCGGCCGGACTTGTTGTGTTGCTTCCAGTCTCCCTAACACTATAGGCCCGCAATGCAGGACGTCTACAGAGTATGTGGAGGTTTGGGCCCGGAAGTCAACAGGGCCTGAGTACAGTTGTCTATTTGGGATGAACCAATTGCGAAGGCTCTGTGTCAATGAAGAGATCTCGGCAGCTGCGCTGTCTACGACGGCAAGATCAACCGGCGCCATCCTTCACGAAAGTTGGGAAAGAAACCAGCTGGATGCGGACAGGCCAAAGTTTCTGGCCTGCCTCCTCAGCAACGAAGATGCGTTGACGCTCGACAGGCGAGATCGCTGCGTCTTCTACAGGCACCGAAACCGGACTGTTTACGTGCTGGGTGTATTTCTGCTGGACGAACACACGCGTTCACCGTAGGAACGTTTGCACACTCGCCTCCTACAGGTCCGTCTAGTGGACTCCAGGACAGTCCCTGCTTTGCAGGGATCTTCCTTGAGCCGCTAAGCTGTTTCAAGGCCCTCCGATGGCTCCGCGTAGGCGGATTTCAGGTTTTCCGGGCTTTGGGGTTTTGGATACTCGCACTCGCTCCTCAAGCTCGGGGAGACGCAGGCAATTTCAAGAAGGCCGGGGATCTCGCGCACTGTTTTTTGGCTTTCATAGGCTGGCGCTCCGAATGCTCCGTCCCTGTGAACCCTAAGAGCTGTCACTTGCGGCGGCATCTTCCTCCGGCTCTTGGTTCGAGCCTGCGGAGAAGCGCAGTATGGTAAAGGATTTAGGGTGTAGGGCTTTTAGGGTTTCCGGTTCGGGGTTTTGGGTGTTTATAGTTCAGGGTTTCGAACTCATTGTTTACACTCTCGCAACTCGGACTCCGCCAGATGAGGATAACTTGGCTCTCGCAGCGCACACCACGGCACGCACGGCAGGTCTACACATTCAGCTAATGAGTGACACAACTGCCACAAACTCAGGAAAAGCAGTCCTCAGGCAATGTGCAGCTAGAAACTTTATTCGTGCTCCAAGTGGGTCCGCTGTTGACTGCTCTTCCACTATTCGCCATTTCTCGAGCGAATGTCCCCTCGGAACGAAATGTCCGAGTAGATCTGCATTAAAACATGGAGCGTGCAGGAAGAGGAGGAACCCGACAAAAGCAACATCTAGAGGTTCCCACCGCCTTCCTTCACCTACACATGTCAAAACTTGAGACCCAAAGTGAGGTCTCCAAACTTCTGGGATTCTGGCTGCCACGCCTCCTTCTCACCCACGGTGAGCAGTGGATAAGCGTGTGCCCAAAAGCGTGGTATTGCGCACTTCCTGGTCCTAGACATTTCGGCACTGCCAGGCTCTCGCAGTGTCAGTGCCCTTGTGGTGCTGTACTCCGGAATTTCAGAGGCACCGGCAGCATTCTTTGTCCAGAGCTCTGCCGCTTGTTTCGCGTCGGTATACATGAATAAATCTTTAACAAATGACGAGGTCCCTGCCTCTTAAGCTGGCAGTGGCTGGCAAAGAAACTGCTCACACATAAATTGTGCAATGCTTCCGCAAATTAAAGTAGTCTACTCGCACGACCCTTGTGGCTCTTGTAGCCTGTGGCTTAGCATCTGCTGAGTTGCGCGTAGCGGCGCTTGACTCGGCCAGGGCACTCAATCTTTGTCCACACGAAGTAGTAGTTGTCATACTTGGCCGGTGGATTCGCGAAGTCGAAGTGGTTCTTCACGCCGAACTTGTTCCCACGGCCCTTGCGGGCAGGGCACCAGGCCTCGTTGCCATGGTGAGGACAGGTGTCTGCGACCACAATTTTGATCTCCCGCTGGAAGATGCTGGCACCCGGCTGTGCCCAGAGAGGGTAGGAAAAGGGGTGGGCTGGCAGAAACTTGCCCTTGGCGCAAGACAGGCATCCCATTCCCTGGGTTCCACCATGCGAAGAAGCATCCTTCGTGCAGTAGTGCCCGTCTCCGATGCCGTGGTCCTGCATGGACTCTGCAGATGCGACGGCATAGAAGCCCGTGCCCCGCACCAGTCGGCCCGTGTCGATGGAGCCACAGGAGGCACAGCAGGTGTTGCCATACCTGGTCGTGGTGGCCAAGTGGTCGTAGCCGGCATGCCGGCGCATGTTCTGCAGCTCCGACAGACTGGGATCCGTGCTCCATCGCAAAGTTGCATTCTCCCAGTACTCCTCGCGTCGTGCGGCGCCGCCGGGGAGGAGATCTTCTGGCGATGGGCCAGACATGTTGGTCGGGGCTTCTCCCAGCCGGGCATGCACAGAGGGGGCGAAGGCCAGAGCTACGAAAAACATCTTCGCCATTGCGATCTGAGGCAGCCGGGGGAAGTAGGCGAAGCGAGCGATGTTGAACCACCAAAGGGCTTGAGCCGTAGCAAAGCGTTCAAGGCTTGAGATTTGAGATTTAAGATGGGCCTATAACCTACTATAACACCATGAAAAATCCGAGGACTATAGCATGTACCACAGGGTTCTACGAGATACTGGAATGCATAACAAGATACGATGAGATACTCCAGTCACCATAAGATACTACACTACATACTATAGATCTTGTACAACATTTAAGTATACCAGGCTACCACATGCTCTAAGACTCTAAGCTCTTCTCTGCAAGACTTCAACACCAGGCCTTGGGCCGCCTCGGGCTGCGGCTCCTGCGCTCACCGGTGCACGTGTGGAAAGTCTACTTTTCGGTGATTGGGGATTTTTGGCCTCCCACCGTAGCTAGGACAGGAGGGTTGAGGGTTTGTGAGGGTTCTTTGGGGATTCCGCTCGCCTCTGCTTCCATATCTGCTGCACCGGAACCAGCTCCTTCAGCCAAGGCGAGGTAAACGAGGCTACTCAAAGCTCAGAGCCCCTCGAATCACGCGAAGAACATCCCGGCCTTTGGAATCGCCCTGCTCCTGCAGCCGCCAGGAGCGATTGGAGCCCAAGCCATTACACCGCTGCGCTTCGAAAGGTCTTGCCTTGGCTTCGGCCTCCGCTGCCGCAGCAGCCTTGGCAGCCTGGGGGGTTTAGGGCTTTAGGGCACGTCTTGATACTTCAAGGACTTTAGGGTTTTTTGTCCCTCTCGCATGGCAGGAGACAATGTCCACAGGACTTTAGGGTTTAAAGTTTAGGGATCTCCAGACATTGCAGTGGGAGTGCCCAGTCTTGAAACCAGCTCCTGCCTCCTGGCGGAATTGCATCCTCAGGGTGGCGATCTTGTTCTTCAGTGCATCGCGTGACTCTTCGAGCCTCGTACATGGATCATGGCTTCTGTATGCTCGCACAGCTGGCTGCAGAAGACTGCTCGCAGCTTCGCGTAAGCCGCGCTCTGCTTCTCCGTGTCACGGGTGTGCTTGTTTGGAAGGAAGAAGATGGTAGGCTGCACCTGCTGGTATATGAGACACCGCAAGACCCCATCTCACTGCCCCATGCAATCGCCAAGCCTCTGTCCTGATGAAGTTCATCATCAGTGAGTAGTGGTTCCTAGAACACAGGTGCACCGTCGGAGGGAATCGCGGGCACAGTACCATGGCCTGATATGGCTTGATTGCAGGCGAGTCACTCGAGGCGGCGCTGCAGCAGAAGAACTTCCTGCAATTTCACAGTTCCGACATGCATCGTCTGTCGCCCAGATGAAGACATGTTCGATGGAATTCTGGGCTAGCCAAAACCAGCAACTGGGCCGCACAGAGAACTCTGGAGAAGTGGCAGTTCTCACTGCTGGCAGCTCGGTGGCAACTCACACAACCAGACGGAGCGAATCCGCGGATGGCTGCCTTCTCCTCAATCTGCTTCTCGATCTCTGCTGCCTCAGTTGGCCCATCATGCAGGCATTGCTCAAGGTCTCAGTCGCCAGTCCGCCTTCGCCTGCTCCTCTTGCAGCTGCTTCTCGAACCTCGCTCTAAAGGAATGATCAAAAAGCCAGAGAAGCACATGACAACAGCAGAACCAAACCTTCAAAAACTCAGTGCATCCTCGTCACTGTCCTTTTCTGAACTCCTTGATGTTCATCTTGTTGAGGTTGACCTTGTCCTCCACTCTGCTCAGGGCCTTCTGCTGAAGCTCGCCCATCTTGCTCGTCTTCTCCTTCTGCAACCTGCAGAGAGACCCCGCGCGAGCACAGGGGGTTCTAATCACACATCCGCGCACACACACAGATGTGTGCCGTCTGTCCCGTTAGAATTTCAGTGCCGACGACTGTGGGGAGCATCGGTGTGCAGGGGAAGCAAAAAGAAGCCAAAGGGAAGTTGCGCCAGCGATCCCTGTCTCTGGTAACGATACTTAGTCTGGAAGCCAAACTTGGGAAACATATTCACAACATTTCCCGAGGATATGAAAGCCCTAGGCGAATCGGGAAATCAAGCACACTCGGCTACGCACCTGTCTTTCGCCGAGTGAAGATGGCCCAGCAGCTTCCCAAAGAGGTTGCGGCTTCTTGGGTCAGCTTTGGTCGGCCGTCCCTCCTTTTTTCGGCGTTCCTGGCTAGCTAACTGCTGCGACATGAGATCGATGGAAAAGTCTGGATGAAGAAACTGCAAATATGAAATTCACTCCGAGATGCGATATCGTCCTCACGCTTACGCTTCTTGGTATCTTCGCTTTCCTCCTCCTTCTTCTCTTCCTTCTTGTCGTCGTCCTCGTCTTTCTTGTCTTCTCCAGCTTCCTGGATGAACTGACAAAGAAACATGGATCCTACAAATCGCACACATGAGTGTTTACGGGAGTGCCGCACCTGTTCGCCATCTTCTTTCTTTTCATCTTGGGCATGAAGTGCCGTTAATCTCGCCCTTTCTCCCTCTTCACCTGGTCGTGCCAGAGGCAGCTTATTCGAATGCCGGGAAGCGAGCATCAAAAGAAAGTCACAAGCTTGGCATTGGACCAAAAATGCGCTTTTGGGTAGATTCCATTTTTCGAATGCTGTCATCCAGCTTCACCTGACGACATCATCCGACATCGTTAAGAAAGCTATGCTGCCCTTCATTGGGCTCTGGTGGCTTTCTGCGGTCCTTGTCTCGGCGGAGCTCTTGGATCTGCCTCTCCAGCTCTCGCCGCGAGATCTCATTTCCGTCAGACCTTCTACGGGCAGCTCTAGCACGCTCAGAGCTGGGGAGGAAGCTGAGTTCCCTGCATTGCCGCAGCTTTCCGCGCTTGATCCGCCTGAATGACCAAGAACTACCCGAAAGAGAAGCCGAAAAGCCAACAACCGAACCGGAAGAGAGCCGAGGCCCCCTCGGCTCCTTGGGTACTCGGACAACTAAGGAAAGGGGCCCTGCTTGAGCCCTTGTTGCAAGTCAGCCCATGCAACTCACAGAAGAAATCCTCGCGGAGCACCAAGTGCGCAAGGAAAGAGAGCGTGCACGCTTTGCGCATCTTTATGTCAGTCGTGTGCGACGATCCGAACTGGTTTAAGCGGTGCTCTTTGGCACAAGATGCTAGCTGCTCAGCTTGCTTGCGGTTAAGAGAACACGCCGTCCTGACTCAGCTAAAGTCAGCAGTACGACTTACCGGTCTCCGCGGATGTGTCATGAAATGCCTGAAGCAAAGAGCTGATGTCCTCCCCGACACAGGCTCCACAAGTTGCCAGTACCGCCCTGCAGCTCTCGAAGCTGCGTGCATGGGAGTGTCGGGAAAACCAGCGATCCTAATGTACGCCCTACAATACAGTGGACCCCTGGATGAAGCGCCCCCAATCCTGCAGCCCCACATCTCTTGAAAGCCCAGAAGATCGGCCTTCACTGGGCTCAGCAATCGACCCGCCCTGAGCCAAGTTCATGACTCTGGGCGCATCGGCTGCAATGAAGTCCAGCCAACCTTCAGAGGCGCAGAACGGGAACGGACCCCTTTTGCATTCGGGCTGTAAGGGTCGGTCAAACCGGATCCTAAAGGGGAACCACCCTAAAATAGTGAAGTAACCCCCCCTATTTTAGTGTGAAAAACGCACCGCCCCCCAGTCTTCAAAGCCCGCAAGACTGCGCGGCCTCGGAACAACTCCGAGCTCGACTCCTTGCAAGGACCTTCGATCGAATCTGCTCTGCTCTCGCCAGGTCTAAGCCCTTGATGTGTGGCCAGCCACCAGAACCCCGACAGCAGCAGGAGGAACGTGTTCGGGTAGCCTGGGCTCTTGTTACCATGACAGGGCTTTGTGGTCAAGAATATGGGTAATATGCTTCCTTGTTATGATAACCTAAATAAAAATCCTTCACAAGAACCCAGCAGCCCTGTTCCCGTGGTAGTTGACTCTGGTATGCCCTGGCAAAACACTTTATGTCAAGAGCCAGCTCGCGAACATCTGCCCCCAAGTCCAACCAACTGCGCACCAGTGCATCTTTGGCATGTGCATGAGGATCGCGGCACGACTCCACCACGTCAAGAAGAAGGCCTGTTTTTCTATGCCTCACAATCACTCGAGGTATCCTTGCGGCCATAACCGACTCTGATAGCTCGAAATCGTGCAACTTCTGGTTACGCAGAGCCTTAAGTAGCTGATGGACAGGCTTGGATGATAAGATGTCCACATCCGAGGCTTCATCTGCCAGCCCCAGCACCTGGCTTCCATGGAGCTCGGCACCAGGATCGAAGCATCGGAATGCCTCTAAGGCACAAGAAACCTTGGAGGACCCTGTTGAAGGGCTGGAAGCTCGCAGTTGGCCATCGGAGGCGTCGGTGCCCGCGTCGCTGCCGCTTCCGCTTTCCTCGTAGCTTGCCAAGGCGGCCAGCCCTGTCGGTGCCGTCATGGCCGAATCGCTGCTACCCGAGACCCCGGACTTCTTCGCTACTGACCGAGATACGGCTCAAGCTTGCTAAGTAGGCGAATTGAATCGTCAAATGCGGCTGTGAGCTTTGTGCGCCCTCAAAAAACTTTGTTGTACAGTGCCCTATTGGGCCAAGAAGCTATTCGACACCATTGTCCTGAAAGGCACTCAAGGAGGACTGTGATATGTTCGCCATCCTTCACAACATTCAAATAACCAGTCAACAAAATTCTTCAATGATCCTAATCCCACACAAACCCTTTTGCTCGCCGAAGGCCGTCTGGGCTGTACACGCTGAAGAGGACCTGCCTGCTCAGCACCTCGCACAAGCTTCAAGCAACAGAAGCTTATTCGGCTTCGCTCACAATCCACGATTGTGAGTCGGAGCGCTTGCGCAGCAGAGCTTACGAGGCTTTGACAAAGCCGCCTTGCAGCTTTCGACTTGGGAGTGCTCCTTGAAACGATGCAGGCCGCCTGGAAGACGATGGCAACAGGGTGGTGGGAATGTCTGTTGAATTTCCAGGCGAGCAGCGGCTTGGTTGGCCACCGTGCCAGTACCGGCGCCAGCGCAAATGAAGCTGGCAACCAGCCACCTGCACACTGCAGACTCTCGTCGCTAATGGCTCTGCAAAAGGATCTACGATGAACAAGCCGCTGCGCTTTTCTGGGAGGATGGTGAAACTTGGATCGGGTCAGAGCCGCGCCTCTTCGGAGATATGTACACTGGATGAACATATGCAAAAAACCTGTGGCCTGGAAGGAACAGCGCTTGAGTTGTTCCTACCACAGAACTGCCTTTTGCATGTTCTGCTGCTCCCGCGTTCAGACGATCTGCCAGAGCTGCTGGATTGTTGAGCCTTCCTGTGCGGCACACCAACTTTTATCTACAGTAATGCATTAATGCTTGTTCATCCATCGACCATGATGTCGTTAAACTGCACCAGAGGGCACTACATCGGGTGATCATGCGAGCTACCTTGCGGACAAGAACTAGAGTCACTGGAGCGTGAGCCTGAGACCACGCAAGAACCGATACATGGCAGGACAGGCCTTGAGCCGCTCCATTGCGAGCCCAAGCCTCTCTTCAAGCGTCTGTTCGGGTTTGCAGTTGGGTCAGGGCGCCCTGGTATTTTATCAAGCTCTTTGTATTCGGTGCTTTGCCTTTAGATTTTTGGGTGCTCTATGTCCCGAAACCGCGGGCACCTTATGAAGCTCTGTGGGCATAGGCAAACCCGGCGTTTCTGCGGTTCCCACAGTGGCGCGGTATACAATTTGGACTAAGATCGGTTCTGGCGTGAGTGTCCAAAATCCAGACTTGATGAGCTGCTCTCTCACCACTGCATTCAAACCTGTGGTGTTTTGGGGTGCGAAATGGTGCGAACTTGGCTCCCGCTATGGTCCCGTTCTCACCTTGGCCATCAAATCGCACAAAGTCTCTGAAGTGTGGCTTCTCGTGACTCGCAGGTGTGGAAATCCCGCCGTTTTAACGGATACGGAATTCCCGTTATCGTGCCGCGAGCATGTTGGGGTGCTCCTCCCACCAGAGTTCCGGGGCCCGCCGCGGTGTTTTTTCTCCTTTGGGATCCTGGAGCACTCATGGACCGTGACAATCTCTGCCAGGCATGATTCATGACTTTGAAGGCTGAGTTGCTATGGAGGTGCTGCATAGGGTGGCCATGTCAAGTAGTCTCTGGCTTGAGGTTCACAGGAGGTCCATGCCAGAATTCAAGCAGGCAGCTCGTTGTTGTAGATGGGCTCCCGGTCGATCTCCTTTTCACCGTCGGGCCTCAGTCAAGATCTGGCCCTTGTACCCACGAGCTCCCCTCCATTCCCCGAGGCCCCGGGCTGGTAAAGCAAGCAAGGCTCGATGTCATCGCCCTCCATAATTTGCACGTCGTCCTGACATCGCAGTGCCTCCTCCCACCCTCCTTCGGCTCGGGCGAAACAGATCGGAGCCGGGCCTCCTGTCTCGGCACGAAGTTCTCCTTCCCATCCGACTGCTTATCCTCGACGGAGAACTCGACTCCGAAGATCGGCGTTACACTGAAGATCTTCCTCAGCTGCAGAGCGTCCAACGTGCAGGCAGGCGGACACCGAGGTTGTCGGCTCTTAATTCTAACCGAGTCAAGGATCCAGAGGTTGTGAATCTGGGTATACACCTCGCACGACAGAAAGGCCCCAAATGCACAACAAGTTCTGCTGCTGGCGCTACGCTCTCCCCTCCCCCCCTTCCACGCCTCCTCCAGATGCTCCACCGGGTCCGCCCGGAAACCCAAGATGTAACCTCCACCTGAGGGACTCCGGACATCATACGGCTCTATGCATTCATAAACAGCTCGGTCAAAGGACTGGAGGCCGTGGTCTCTATGACCAGCGCTTGTCCAAACTTGGAGTTCCTTACACAATCAGATACACAATCAGATTCACAGATACGAAAGCAGACGGAAAGGAAGGCGGCTGACAGGCACTTCTTTAGTCTTTATGTGTAGGCTCAGGCATGCCAAGCATCCGGACATTGATGCTCTTCATCTGCAGGTACGGGATGGACACCTGAACTGGCCCAGATGCTGTGTACAGTGTACGCCTTGGCCTTACCCTCAAAGTAGGACTCAGGCATTGAAGTTCTCTGCCAACACGGCAAACCAGACCGTGCGCACCTGAGGCTGAACGTCCGATGCTCCACGCACCTCCGAAAGCCGGAGCTGCTGCAGACACGATGCATTCGTGATGATGAAGGTTCCGAGGTTGCCTGAAATATTGCGGGGGCAATGTGAAAGTATAGCGTGGCCGACCAGGCAAGGCCTTGATCCGAGGACAAGTTCCAGATGCCATTAATCTTCTCGTAAACCTTGAACCAGAATGAGGGAGTCTCAACAGGATATGGGAAACCTCGATCCCTCGATGTAGTTGACAAGCTCGGCAAAAGCTTGGCCGCCAGCCTGCTCATTTGGCAACATGACGAGCTCTTTGTCCCGGATGATGGCCCCACGCAGCTTCAAGTCCTGAAGGAACGCCGTCGGTTACTGAAGTATCTCTCTGCACCCACCCCAAACAATTCTTTTCCTAGGAAGCCCACGGCAGAAGATGCCAAAAACAGACCAAGCAGCTCTGTACAGCTTCGTGGTTTCATAGCTTTTGAAGACAGCCTGCCGAATGGCTGCAGCTTCTTTTGCGAAGTCGCGTCACGCTCGGTAACCGCCTGAACTGTGGTGAAAAGTCGTGGGCTGTGCTTCACCTCGGTTCGGTCCGTGCACACGGGCTTCCGGCATCAACCTTTGTGAAGGTTGTGGCTGCCACCGTGAACTAGGAAACAGCCAAGTCGTTGCCGAGATAGAGTCAGAGTGTGGGTCAAGCTGCGAGGGATGTGAAGATGAACTCGAACCGAGTGGAATTGAATCGCGTCATGACCTCCGCTTTGCAAAAGCGCGTGCGGCACGAAGAGGCTTGGATGGTCACATCGCCACCTACTGAGGAGGACGCGTACAAAGCCTGGCTGTTGCCCCGGAGCTTGGAGTTCACCTTCAGAGTTTAAGGCTTGCGGGACCCAAGCAGTGCATGAGCTTGCAGATTTTCAAACGAAGTGAGCATGGGCCTAATTGATTCATCCCAGTTGCGGTGCGAATGTTCACACTCGACACACAGTTAAAGCCAATACCTGGAAGAGCAGCATGTCGCATTCAGACATGCAGATGGCACTGCTAAGGCTGCACAGTGCGAAGCGATGGACAACTCGACTCCCAAGCATTCTTTTCATGTAAGCCACTCAGGTTGGTCCTCGCGTACTTTGCCGAGGTCCATATTAACCTGCAGACAATGTGCCATGAACATAAAGCCCCAATGTTTCTAGTCCCCGAAATTGTCAACAAAACGTTTCTTCTTTCGGCCTCAGGTTCGTAACAATGAGGATGCCCCTCTCGCCGTTGTTGCCCTTGGTGTCCTTTCGCAGGCGTGCTGTCGCTCAACAAACACGCAGAGGAACGGAAGCAGACGAAACACAAGCTCATACAAGCTCGCTCCAACGATGCCCGGGAGTCCTCCACTGAATTTATTGAATCAATCCTCAGATGAAGTGCAAGCTTTGATCAAGCGTGCCAGTGGCGGGTACAATGGCCCAGGGCACTCGGAGTCACGTTGCATGTCTCTGTTCTTACGGCTTAACACTACCCCCCAAGGGCTACTACAACGTCCACCCAAGCTAGAGCCGCAGACTCTTTTACACTCCTCTGCACGCTGTGCGGACCGAGCTGCTGAAACTCACCCTTGCGCAGCTTCAGCAACTGCGGCATTTGGTCAAACTTGATCCTCAGGCAATATGAAACAAAAGGGTTTGAACAACGGATAACATGGCTTCCAGCAATGTACTTCTTCACGCCCTCTTTGAAGTGCAGACCAGCGGCTCACGATCCTGCCATACCTGCCACCATCACAGCCCCGTTCACCACAGCCCTGTAAAAATCTCCGCAGCTTGCTGAACTTCTTGAACTCCCGAGCCTCTTCCTGAAGCTGGTCGGGCGCGGACATGGTGCCAGAAGCCTTGCTGGCTGCGCCTGTAAAATGTCTTCGAGACTCCTTATCCGCCCAACTTCTGCTTAGAAGCTTAGGCTTCGCGCCTGCCGTCTTGGTGGGCGCGCCGTGCCACTACGCCATGGCCGCAGAGCTGATTGGAGCCAAGTCAGGCACAAAGAAAGCGCAGAGCACATCGTGCAGACACGGCTCCCGAGAAGACCCCGCTTCAAGTTTCAAGCTTCACCGGCTGCTGTGCCTCAAGCTCGGATCGGCGGCCATCTGCCCAACCTTCCAGAATGCGGCCCTGCATCTCCGAGTAGCATCGCTTCTTCGAGAGCACTGAGGAGCTCTTTTTCCCTCTGCTCTTTCTGTCCTTCCTCTGCCCCACAGTCTACAGAGTCGACAGCCAGGGCCAGACTTTCTCTGCAATCATCTCTGCCATGATCAGGTACCCATCCGATGTGAAGTGCAGACGGTCGTACAAGTGCCTCAGGCGACTGCACCCAAAAACCCTTGCAGACCGCAACTGATCCAAGCAGTCGGCCTGGATGAGACTTCGGTTAAGTTCACGAAGAAGGAAGGAAAGCCTGAGGCACGTGGGACTGTCGTGTCAGGCCCCATAAAAGGTGAAACCCACATGTACCAGCGGGAGTATGTGCCAGCTACCTTTCCAAAGCCCGCAAGAACTTCCAGCTGGGCTCTAACCCCAGAAGCATGGCAGGCAACCGTAGGTTTCTTCAAGCTCGGCCAGGGCATGATTCACCGCGAAGAGCGTTTTGGCCGAACCCACCTGCCAGCATGTGGATCTGAAAGCGAAACTTAGCCAAGGCATCTGGGACCTTGGGATTGACGAAACGCGGCAAAGCAAGCACCCCGACGACGGCGCCCCAGGAGGCAGCAAGCTCGTGCATGGCCTGCAAGCGGATCTCAACTCTGTGGAGCTTGGGCGAGACAACACTTTGAGATTTTGAGATGCAAGCCTTCATGTTTGAAATCGTGACTGCCACGGGCACCTGCATTTGTGCACCAAAGAGACGGAAGCAGTTTTTCACCCCGCTTGCAAACCCCGCCTGGCTAAGGTCGTTTGTGCCACCCAGCAACAGAACCACGTCAGGCAGGTCACTTGGGGCTTTTGCACCGTGAAACCTCGTCAAACGCTGCCGCATCCTCCTTAGATCTGCGCACGATTGAAACAACTGCAGACTGCTGCCGCTTACTTCCGGTAGTTTTTAATGGATTTGGACAGACGATGACAAGAATGGCCCAAAGATGCCCTAAGAGTAACCTCAACATTCATGTCCCCGGTGCTCGGACGTCTCGCCCCAGACGCCCAGGACCTCCACCTGACAAATCTCGAAGCAACGGAATCGAGGTTCCCAGTGAGGCGCAGGCCTGGGCTCCCAGGATCTCGGCCAAGAAGACTCCGTAAGGAATGCTGCCGGCCCCGGCGGCCGTCAGCGAGTCACCGAAGGCCAAGATCGTGGCATTGCTCCGCAGGATCTGGGCTGTGGGGTTTGCCCCAACAAGGATTCAACACAAGCGGCCCTGCTCCAATCCATGCTTCCCATGGCTGTCGGGGCCTCCGGCGAATGCAATATGCAGGTCACCAGATGGAAAGCCAGGAGGGACAAGGCCAGCCGAAGGCCCATAAGACTTGCAGCACATCATGAAGGATCCGCCATATCGAGGAAGATGCACCATGGAAAACTGACCGAATCTACATCAGCTTGGGCACTGCTACGGAGGATTCGAAGCCAAGTCGGCCCTAGCCTTGTAAGCGGCACTGCCGAGTTTCTGAGCACCCGACGAGTCTGCCTGGGAGAAAGACCGGGATGGACGAACTGTGACGGGAGGCAGAGGCCTGTGGAAGCAGCCAGAACAGAAGGCTTATAAAGCACAATTGGGACTTGCGCTGCTTTGAACACACCTCCAGCGGCCCGGCCAGGTGCCAGGGATGTGGCCTGCAGGGACTGGGGGGGAGGCATGCGCGCTCCGCAGCTCCTCCGGTTCTTTGGAAAAGCTCTGAGCTTCCGACAACCTCGTGCCCGTTGACGTATGCCAAGCCGTCAGCACGCAGCCTATGGCGATATCGGCAAGGGCTCGAACTCTACCAGCACGCCTGTGCTATATACCGCTGGCCTGCAGAAGCGTCACCCGGCTGCCCCAGATTACAAGCAACAACCTCGGACGGGGATGTCATCATGATGGCTTTTGTGAGCGAGGCTGCCTTGTGAAAGCTCAGGGTGGGACAAGCACCTCCTCTAAAACCACCATTTGTGTGAGCTGCGCGGGGAATGCCATCTCTGCTTGTCCAACCGACCAGGACAAGTTCTCGAAATCAAGAACGGTAAATGCAGGGAAAATGGCAAGCAATGTTCGGTCGACCAACCTCCAAAGAAGCACCCGGCCGTCCTCGGTGGCTGCGGCCACTTCGGTACTAGAAGCGCCCAAGGACACAAGTTGGGCGCATCTCTCCTCCGGCTCAACAAATGCAAGGATGTCGCTTCCCTGTACATGTGTGGAAGCGCTGTGCTCGGAAATCGCAAGGACCGTGCAACCCACGGCCAAAAGCATGCATGTTGTGGCAGCGCGCGAAGACGGAGCCTCGCAACACCATTCCTGCGGCTCTATACAGCGACATGCGGCTTGAGGGCACCCGGGCAGGTCGATGAACTGGATGCGCTCACCATCAGAGGCATCCAGCATTTCAAGTCCTGGTCTCATACTTGCTATGAGTATACAGCGTCCAACGAAACTCAGGGGAGAAGTCGACGACACGTTCATGGACCAAAGTGGCGGTGAAAGCCCTGGGCCAGCGATCTCTGATGTGAGGTCCCACATGCACAGCAGCAAGACAGGGCTCCCAGTTTGTATGGCAGCCAGGAAGTCTCCCGCCCTTCCCAGATCAAGGGCCACCACGGGGCTTCGCGTCCTGATGACGCCGAGCTTGGACATCTCCGGCATTCCCCACAAGCGGATGCCGTGCTCGTGCCCCGTGGCCATGAGCCCAGCAGCATCGGGGCACATGGCCGCACAGGACGCCTCCGCCGTAATCGTGGCTGACATGTAGGCTGAGAACGAGGCGGCTGTGGCTTGGCCGCTGCCTGTGATCCACGCACTCGGAGCTGCTCGTGGTTGCCGGGCCAGCTGCTGGAACCTTTGTGCGACTTTGGCAGAGCCAAGGTGCAAGGACGCCAAGAGGTCGGCCCAGAGCAGAGATGCCCTGGCAAAGGAGAGCCAGCGATCTGGACCCTTCTCACAGGGCAGTGGCATCGCTTCCCCGACGTCCGAAGAACCCAAGCAAAACAAGGAAGCTGCGGCTGCCAAGCAGCAGAGACCCGTCAGATCGCAGCTGAGAAGGATGCGGGCAAGGACCGCAGCAGGAAGCGCGGACAACCCAGCGGCATGCGCGTCCGCTACAATAGACGGTAGGGTGTCTGTTGTTCCCGGAAGCTTGTGAAGCATGGCCTCAGCTCTCCGTCGAATCATCTTCGCACAACCGAACCGACACGGCTGCTTTCGATGCCCAGGGACATGTCGGTCCCACAGCACATCCGTTGCGCAAGAGATTCGCCAGATTCTTTGCCAACCGCACGGCGGACCTGTCGAGCCATGCAACTAGCATCTACACTTCACCCTGCATGGAACAAAAAGCAGCATATCTAAGGAATGCACATAAAGCTTTGGCAGCTCCAACAAGCCGTCGAGACTTTTCCTCCGGTGCCGGCTGCACGCAGACATTGCCAAGGAGGTGCAACACGGCCCTCCTGACGAGTGCGTAAGGAAGACAGAGAAACAGAGGCCGTAGGGACCGAAGCATCTCCACCATCAGCATACCTCTTCAGGTCTCTTCGATCCAAGTTCGCCAAGCCAATGCACCGCGAGAGCATGACCGTCGTCCCAGGCGCACTCAACTAACACGTCCCAAGCATTGAAAAGATGCCTCACCTCCACCGCTTCCACCACCTGGGCATGTTGGATGTGCTCACACGTCACATGGCCACACATGGGCATGCCGTCCCGAGGCCGTAAATCCGGAGCCCTAATTAAGACTTGGATCTAGGACATCGAAATGTCAAGCTTCAGCACTCGTTGCTTAGCTCATGGCAACATGAAACGCCTCACTTGCTGTTGGGAAATGGCCCACCTGCACTCAGTAGCCACAAGGTGGTGTCGTGACGAGGAGGCACAGACGACCCTCCTCAAATGGCCTGTACTTTTTCCGGGCAGACAGAAGCGCTTCTTAGCTGACCGCGGACTGCACATCAGCCGACTGGCTACTTCGCACGTCGGAGCTCGGGAAAGCGACGCGGTACATCTCACCGAAGAGTGTCCTCCCAAGCCCACCAGAACAAGCGCATACGCAATGACTAATTGTTTCGACTCTTCGACTTAACACATCTCCACGCCTCGTCACATCGTCGGATTGCTTCTGCAATCCCACACGCTGCCTTGTGGAAGCCTGTGCTTTTGCCTTAACTGGGCAAGCTTGAGCCGCTCCAAAGAGACACGGCGCGAACTCTTCGAGGCTCCGGGGGCTCCACGGCCTCCAACGCCTGCTGCGCCGCGCCGGCGCCCTCCAGGGAAGCCTCGAAGCCGAAGCGGAGCAGCGCTTCCTTCTGTGGGCCGAGCGCCACCTGCGTCCAGACATTATGTCTCACCGTCGGGCATGCTAAGCGAGAGGCTCACTCTCGGACATGCATCAAGGCTTCGGTTTAGAGAGGCTCCGGGTGAGAATTTGTGGGGTGTTTTTTGTGGCTGAGGGAAAGCATCTTGCCTTGGGCAGGTGCCGCCTGAAGCTTTCCACATCCCAGCGCACATCTCGCGCCAGCTTGGCGACTTGCTGCTGGAACCCAGGGTCTTGGTAGGCGGAAAGCAAGACATCCAGGAGGTCCTCGGCTAGACAGAACACTCAGATACACTATAATATACTGTTATATGACATACTAATATATACCAATATCCTAATATCTAATATATACTCATATACTAACTATGATGAACTCTCATATCTCTCTGTCCCCCCTCTTTCTCGCAGAAGGAATTCTCCAACAAGCAAAAATATCAAAAATTGAGGCGAACATGGGCCAGGGCTCGGATGCTCCGTCATGAGTCAAGCAGAAATCTCCAGGCCTCGCGCGACTCCTGGATGACTCCGCGCTGTAGCCGGCCGCACTTTCCGTCAGCAGGCTGCTGAAGTCCACGCTGAAGATCAGCTGAGCCTGGACAGCTGGAAGCTACAACACGAGAGAGACATGAAGGCATCGAGCAGCCTCGTCTTGTCCGTCGAAAAGCACCTGCCGTAAGATTCTGCTGTGATTTCATGGGTTATATTATATTTCTGCACCACTGAAGGCTTGAACACTTTCGATCCGATGAAGCTGTGCTAGGCCAAGATTCTGATCCCACAATCGATTCCCGCGTGCGTCCGCCGTTTCTGGCTCACTACACTTGACTACACGCTTCCGCAAGGAGTGGTGCCTTGATGTCACCATCACCGTCCACCTCGACCACTGTGCCCCAGTGTCCCGCGTCTACGTCTGCCAGCATCTCCCGTGCTTGCACGCCTCGCCCATCACTTTGCCGTGGCTACAGCATGCAGTATGCCGCAGTACTCGCAGGAACGCTGCCAAGGGGCGATCTCCAACGGCAAAGCATTTCGTCACCGCAGGAACAACACTCGAGACTGCACGGGAAGTGCCATTCAGGGCTGCATCTTCCTTGTGCACATGATGCTCGCAGTTTCACGCTGACACCGACAATGCCTGCCGAATGGTGCTGAGGCAATCACCATTTCCAGCTGCAACAGCTCTTCCTTCAGCAACTGCATACTTGGGACGGAGAGTGGTTTCACATTCTGAATGGGAGAAGGACCGTCCTAAACTTCCTCGTTGCGCAACCCCGAACAGGTGAAAAATGACATATTCGGCTGCTTGCTGTTTATGGTGCAACGCCAGAAACCGCGAAAAGGTGTGAAATTGCAAGCTCATTCGGTGAAGAGTATGCTAGTCGCAAAGAGTGCGACAGCCTCAGGTCAGGATGTGCATTGCTTGGGTCTGGGACGCTGTTTCCATTGCCGGGCAGCCAATGCAAAAGTTATCTTGTTCGACGGCGGAAGAGGAACATGCTTGCTCAGCTCGCTGCAGACGCCTGTACTCCCCATCTATCTCGAGAATGACACCAACACACAGAAAGCATCACTACGAAGACAACCTCTTTATTTGCACTTGGTGTCTCAGCTGTCGTGTCCTCGAGCTGCTGCAGTTCTTGATCATCTTCTTCCGACTCCTCAATAAAGGCGCGCACGTACACGCACACACCAACAACAATGGTCGCCACCTGTTGCAGGCCTGGTCCGGCACCTGATCCAGGCTGCCAGTCATCTCCAAGGGCGGAACTGTGTCCTGCAGCACCCGTCTTCTACTGGAAATGATTCGAACCTTGCGAATCCTTGCGAGGAACACGGGCTCCTCTGCAAACACCCGCTGCTTCAGGGCTCTGCACATGGCGAGACGCTCTGTCTGCGTGTGCTTCACCGTCAAGGAATCTATCCGCTCGCCTAGCAAATACACGAGGACACTCTCGACTCTCGCAGTCAGCGACAGAAGCATCGTCCCGACATGTGAGGCACTCGTAGCCAGGGCCAGGGAGTGGCAGCAAGCTCACAATACATGTTGCTTTCTCTCTGTGTCTGTTTCTTTACTTCGCAATTCAGTGGGCCCGTCGTCATGTTCGCAGGAAAACCAGCTACTGCATGTCAAACCCTGTCGACTTAATAAATGGGAAAAGCTCAGTCCCAGTTGCGGCGGGTGCCGACATCTCGAACCAAGCGAGCACGATCAGGACGTCCCACTGCAAGTGACTCGATGTGCTCCAGCGCCTCCTTTGCCTCTGGATAGCGTCCTTTGCATGTTCACAGACTCCCTTGACAGCCCAAGGTCTCAGGCTGTACGCATCTTGAGAACCACGTTCGGCGTCCTAGGCCTTCCAACGCACAGGCACGTCGAAACCATGCTTTGGGATCCTGCTCAGAGGCACCGAATCCGGTGCAGAGACATAAACAGAAACAAGGCAAGCGGCAGCTCCCAGGAAGGCCTCGTCGTCTATCGCGAGGGCATCCTCTGACGCTCGCAAAGCGTCTGACCAATGCCCAAGCTTGATGGCTGCCTGGCACAAGCCACACCGGCAAGTACACTCCAAGCCTTACATGGTGACAGAGAGACCGGCCTGCGCAATGTTCTTCAGCAGAATGCAATGCAAATCGCTGACCATGGCATTTCCTGGCAGGCGACCAGCCCAATCTCAAGCCAGACACCATGTCAGGGCAACAATCTGACTGGCATCCTGCATCACCCTCCGGCAGTCGTTTGCGGTACAGGTGAGCTTCTGCTTCGCACCAGCTACGGAAAGCCTCCTCGACGGCACCTGGAGCACCACAGTGCCACAACGCTCCGTGAGACCGGCAAAGCTATGAGACGACGAACCCTGGCACCTTTGTGCCATTCGATATACCCATCTTTTCGGAGCTTCTGCGCTTGGTTCATGAGCTTTGCCATGCTGTCGGAATCCAAGACCACTGGCATTGATCTCTCCTCCTCTTGCTTGATGGTGGCGTTTGTGCGTATTCGGTCCGTGGCACGTGCCTGTCACAGGGTCAAGCTGAAATGGACCCTAAAAACATTGGACAGGAAAACTTGACACTGACTACAACAACTCTCGACCGGCAAAAAGGTGCTACTTCTCGCCACAAGCACGTTGTATTCCTCCAAAAGCTGCTCAGCCACTTGGGAGCCGCCGTCTTCGAGCTTCAGTCGAAGGGACTGCATCTGGTGCACCTCGTGTTGCTCAGCCAAATTATGCCAAATCTGTGCTCACCGTGGCTTAACATCACACCACACAGCTCGGAAGTCTCAGGAGGGGACCTGATCGGGTCTTTGAAGGATTTCGCTTAGCGGAAGCCGCTGTGCTCGAGCAAGATTTAAACTGTTCGTCAACGCGATTTCTGTGATCTTGTATTTCCTGGTCAGGCACATGGAAGCCAAGACATGCCGATGCCTGCTTAACAAACCCGACACATACACATGACATGAATGCCGCTCAAGAATCAGGATAGGCATAACCTGCCGCTTTACGCTGGGAGGGCATGCTTCCAGTTCTGCAGCTAGCTCTTCGCGAATCATGTTGGCAAGCGCAACTTGCTCATATTGGCGGAGCCAAAGCTTTCTCCGTTGGAGCCAGTGCTGCTCGGATCTAAGAATAGCTTTCGCATATGGCTTCCGAGAAGCGTTGTCCCAGAATTCCTGGTGCGTCTCATCAAGCAGAAGGTTAGGATTGACCCGTGGGTCAACCTTCTCCAGCTCGATTTGTCTCAGCATCCACTCTTTGGTCCAGTGGTCCGGAACCTTTGGATATCCCAGCTCATCAAACTCTTTCTGGGACATGTGTCCTCGTCGAAGGGCTACCGACAAAAGCAAATCAGCGTAACATCTCTACAGGACTGATGTTAACTTAATTAATGCAGCAGCTTTACACCGACGGACTAGACCCCAAGCTGTAAAATGCAAAAGCCCTCGCGACCTTGAAACGGTCCGAAGTTGGCCGCGCAAGCAGAGCCATTACCGCAGTCGGCTGTCACCATGGCTACCGTCTACGTCTCAAACGCGATTCTATTGACGTCTGCGTGTTCAGAAACAAAAAGACGATGTGGCGCTTGTTACTCTCAGAAGTTCGGCATCCCTTTGCTCTTCTACAGAAGGAAAGCAGTGTCGCAGATCATGCAAGCCTGCTTGTGCAAACATCTCCACGGATGCCTTTGTCGCCCGACACCGGACGACAAAAACATAAGCTCCGGCGAAAGCTTACACCTTCCCAAACTCGGATCCCAGCCTTTGGAGCCATGGACCACGGGGAAGCAGGATGAACAATGCTTGAACCCCCAGATGTGGCGAAGAACGTCTAGGTCTCGGATGCCAGACCATGCTGACGCGATTGATCTGCTGGTTTGCCCTACAGGGCTCTACAACCATCGACATCTTCAACATTCTCATATAGGACCATATAATGGAAGCCCATCATGGCCCTGAGCCAAAAGCATCGGAATTACAGGGTCCAAAAGCTCACTTTCATGATGGTAGCTGCCATGGAACAACCACACACACTGCCTTTTGTGTCCCGCGCGATGTTCACAGGAATGTCGGATGTTGATAGGCTACTCCAGGTCACGCTGCATTTCTTCAGCTTCGCGTTCCAATTCCTTCCTCCTGATATCTTGCGGAAACCGTCGCCGCATCACGGCTCCTGCAGTGACTGCATCTGGCCCGAACCATCTCTTTAGGAGCCATTCAAAAGCGGCTGGGAAGGCGGATTGCAAAATGGCGTTCGCCTCTCGGGCTGTCATCCTGGACTCGCTAAACCTGTCCATGTGTGGCATGAGGTTTGTTCTACTCGGGGCTCCAACACCAAACTCGATGCGCAAGGGCTGTTCCACGGCCTTTTGGCCTGGGCGGAACTGAGGGCACACGGCGTCCAGGACTGGTTTCGCCCACGCCGGTGCTTTTCGGATTCCTTCCGTGACCGCAAACTTCCCACACGATCTTCTTGATTCGGCGTGAGCAATCACGAAATGGTCGGAAGAACGAACCCCGACGTACTTCAGGCACTGTTTCGCAGCCATCGGTGCTGATGAGGCCCCCGATGCCGAATCATGCCACAACCTGCAGAGAACAATGCCGCTTCCATGCTCTGCAAAATCTGCCAAAGCTGCACTGGTTGGTCGCCACGGGCCAAAACCATGAGCTTCGGCGACATGTTCCACAAAAGCTCGTCCGACATGGGCTCTGAAGAAAGGAAAGTCTGTTGACAACGAGCCGCCCAAACCAATGATGCAGCGATGCGTCATCACATGCAGGGCGAGATGTCTGTTCCGCCTTTCTGTTGGTCGACGTCACAGGTTTCGTGCTCTTAGGCGTTATGTTCCGTTTTGCTTGGCTTTGCCTTATTTGGCTTCCAACATGCATGTCCGGTCAAACAGTCGAAGGGTCAATCAAAAGTTGACGAAGACTGGACCCTGAAGGTGAACTTCTGCTGCTTGAGGCTTTGAACATCATCGGCAAAAGCAACCGGCGGATGGGTCACTACGGACTCTGCTTCGAACTTCGAACACTGTACCTGGCATTCGCAAAATGAGGCCAACAAAAATGGACCAAGGCTATCCGCAGTATGGCCTGTCTCTCAACAGTCCAGCGGCATGCATTTTGCATCTTGCATCCTGCAAACTGAATTGGTTGTACGGGAACGGAATAAAGTCCGCTGCTGTGGCAAATTTGGAACAGCTCCCCCACAGCAACAGTAGAGAAGGCTCTCACTCAGAGTCAGCAATCGTTTAGAATTGTTAGTCAGCTGTTCACTTCACCACAGTGGAGGACCGGTGCTTCGTCTGCGCAATCTGAAAGCATTCCTGCAACAATCGTCGGTCCAAGGACATACCACTATGTTTGCCAGCAGCGTTGCTTTCAGAACCTATCTCTCTCGCATGCTCGGCCGACTCGACCCGGCTGTCACCGCTTTTCATGTTCACCCAGCTTGTTCCAGCAATGAGCGCACTACCGAGCGGCAGACCTGACAACCAAATGCATGCATCCTAGTTGATAAATCTTGGCCATGCGCGAGCACTGCTCCTGGCTTTCAGACGTTGTATTTTTTCAACAAGCCCCGGGGATGTATTCTGACACGTGGCGCATGCGGCAAATGCAGCGCTGAACATGCTCAAGGCCAGCTAAGAACTGCTTGCAAAACCTCCAGAACAGTCTGGAATGGGATGTGTCGAATTCGTTTGGCCATCAAAAATCGAAATCGTCATCCACCTCGGGCTCGTCCGGGACGGAGCTGGGCACCGCGATGTCCGGCATCATCAGCTGGACCACCTCGAGATCAACGGTACAGGCAGGACCGAAAGGCCACTTCTTCAACCAAGCCCTGCCTTGGGGGCCAGAAGCTCGCAAAGCTCCTTCACCTGTGCGGGATCAGGTCCCGACAGACTGGCAGGCGAAGCAGGTCGAAACGATTCTATCTCCAAGTCCGCCCCCATACTGGTACACTACATGGTGCAGTGCAGCTGAGGCACGTTGGAGTTGAAGACCCATGATTGGCTCAAAACCTCCAAGATGCTGGAGGCGTCCTGGCTCAATTGGTCCACCTGTGGAAGCACCGATTGCCCGGCAGCCCTCGGTGGAAGTGTGGATGATGCCGAAGATGCAGCGGTTGATGGGACCTCTAGCTTGGCGCCGAAGCGTGCTTCTGCATTCGCCACCAAAACATTCACATGTTCGGACATGAGCTTCTCCAGCCACTCGGCCAGGGCATGTGCCGTCGCGAGCCGAGCATGCACAGGAACCCTCGAGACCTGATTCTCGAGAGATGATTCGAGCTTGGCACGAGCTGTCGAGTCCAGCGGCTCTCTAAGCTCCGCTGGCCAGCAATGCGTTGACGACCTATTAGGCTGTAGACACATCATGCTGAGCACCTGAACCAATGAAGGGACATCCAAGACACTGTAGTTGCCGAGGTGGTACGGAAGGGAAGGGTCGAAGTCCCCGAGAGACATCCCCTGCAGATGCGCAATGGACGGAATCTGGGTCCCTGTCCACTGCCACGCAGGGCTGTCCAACACGCAACCAATGGCGCCATCAAGCTTTCTAGCCAACTGGCGACATTCCTCGGGAACTGATGCACGCTGATTGCTCGTCGAACCGATGCCATTAATGAGGCAACCCAGCCTAAGAGCCTATGCAGCAAAGACATCTCAAAAACAAAGTGACCACTCTTTTCGAACAGGCTCTGCATCGCTTTGAACATCTCTCAGATCTCTGCTGACTCTTTCTTTGACAAAGGAGACGGGCTGGAATCGCGCGCAAACCTCAGGACCTGCGAAATCCTGCAGCGAATCCCGCATGCTGACCACGCTCTGATGCAACTTCTTCAGCTCAGAGGGCAGCAGAGCCAGCTTGGCTACAGGTCCACTTGAAGCGGCAGTAGAGCTGGATCCGTTGGCAGCAATGCTGATGCTCCATGTTGGCAGATCTGTCTGGCAGACTTGTTGGAGCAGGACCCAGTTCTTCAACTCGTGGATCATGGGAAGGGTTACACACATGCGCAAGCCCCGATCAAGAAGAAATGCCACAAAGGCCTTGAGCTCGTTCACTTGAGAGACACCTCCCCGGCAGAAAAGTGGGATGAACTTCTGTGCATCCATCTGGTCAACGGACTTGGCGACAAAATGCTTCGAGGTATACGGCAGCATCGAGCAAGTGACGAAAGCAGTGCCCACGCACCTGCTTCTCCCCGGTTGCGTTTGTTCCAGTTGCCCGACGAGCCAGTTCTCAGAATCGGCAAAGGAGCTCAACACCTTCAGCAAGCCGTTAGGCCCGTTTCTGTCCTGGGTGACCTGCGCAAGCAAGACTCTCGGCACCGACTCTTTTGAAGACACCGGGGCATGGCCTACATTGGCCTACATGTGCCTTGCATGCCACCGCTGTCCACAAGCTTTGCAGGCCGGGCCTTCGTAACAGCCAGAAGAGATACTTTGGCCCGCCAAGGGTCTTCCAGGGTCTGGAACGCTTCCAAGCCTCCCACGTTCTCGCAGTCGTCCATTACGCCAATATCGATCGCCTGCTGAAGTTCAACGGATGCCATACACGAAACATGCCCGTTGCGAAAAACCGTCATGACTGGATGGAAGTCTGCCGGACGCGCCCGAAGTAGGATCATGTGATACCTTCTTCCTAGGGTGACTTGACTGAGACAGGCACCTCGTTCCAGACACGAAACAAGTCCTTGAATCCTTCCAGCAATGTCTCGTGGCAATGCTCTGGCAACTTCTCCTTAAGCATCATGTAAGCCTTGGCGGGCACTGCAAGCGAGTCATGAGCATTGTACAAAGAAGAGATGGCCTAACAGTAAACGGCATCCAGGTGGCATCCTCGAGCGTTGGCTCGTCCTCACCTTCTGTCTCGAACAGTTGGAGTTCAAGGTAGGTGGAGACGATGGTGGAAAACCAGCGCGCCCGCCTGGCAAACCTTGGAAGTATTCCTTGGCCCAGTGCTTTGATCCGCCCGGCGTGCTTTTCGTGATTTAGGGTGGCTGCCTCAAGAACGGTTTGGAGCTGCGCATGGTCCGCATCTTCGCCCAAGTCCGGATCGATGGAACGTGAAGCAGCTTCTGCGGGTGGGCTGCGCTGCGGCAGGACATCTTTCCAGTCCATCCTGTGAGGGTGGATCTTGCGGCGAGCCGCAGCCTGCTGGGACCACTCGTACAACTCTGCTTCCTTGTTTGCAGAGGCTTGAGAGTTGGCAGCAAGGTCTCGCTCTGCCTGCCCGACAGCATGTGTACCCGGACTGTACACTTCGTGCCAAAGGAAGCATTCGTAGGCCACGAGATTCTCCGGCAAGACTTTGTGCTTCAAGTATGGCTTGTGGTGCTCCTGCTGCTGCTCACAAACGCACAGGTATTTCCAAAGGGTGTGCCCCATAATGGAAGCACAGGATGACTCTGGGCAGAGCACACGCAGATGCCCTAGAAATGTATCCATGCGATCCATCACATGCATCAGGCGTGACTCTGCCGTGACTTGCCCGTTGACCCGATGGTGTGGCATCAGGCCTCCCGTCACGTAGTAGCCAAGATTGTCCTGGACCCCTTGAAAATCCAGAAGGCAAGCGACACCGAGCGATGCCCATGTCAAGTAGGCACCCCATGCACGACCCTCGGCATGACCATCAAATTCCTTAGGCGTAACAGGAAAAGCCTCTGTGTCGTTGTCGTTCTTGTAGCCGCAATCCTTGACAGAGTGCGTATCACGATAGGAATGTGAGCCAATGCCTGCACAGCGACTCGCATTCATTCGCTCAGGAGTAAGGCGCCAGTGCATGAACGTCGAATCTCTTGGTGCGGAGGCCAAAAAGCACAGCACATGTGCGAAGGCCACCATCCGGTCCTCAGAGCCACCATCGTGACGCTCCCACAGATTGCGGAGCTTTTGCACTTCTTCGGTAAGACACGGTGTGGCCAAGTGCAAGAGCAACTTCAAGCTGTGTTCTTGTGGTGAGCCTCTGAGCTGAAGCAAATCTTGGATATCAGGGCCATTGATCCAGCTACGGAGACGCTGGCAGGCACGGGCCGCTGCTTCCTCCTCGGCAGCTCGGCGACCAAGATGAGCTCCAACTGTCCCGATGATGAAACGGGCCTGGGCTGGCGATCCAGCCGTGGCCACATCACGTTGTACATACAACATCAGCTGACGCTCGGCTTCCTCAAGCCGGGAAGCACGCTCGCCTGCCAAATCACATTCGACGGCCCTCAAAATGCTGTCACACAGCACCCTTTCCACGTGCTGTCCATAAGCAAAAGACAGCCAAGGCATCTCATGGCTGTTGCGGCTGACATCTGTCGGCGACCACACCTTCAATCCGGGCAGGACACTCATGAAATCTGTATGCTTCGTGACTTCAGCCTTCAACTGGCTTCCTATAAGCTGGAAAAGCTGAAGTTGCGCGGCCGCATTCTTTAGCAGCTCCTGCACGTATTTGAGAGCCCGGTCTGCCTCCTTGAGCTCTTGCACCAGAGGTCCTACGCCTTCTTCGCGAATTGCTGAGGCGATGGCCGAGATCAGCGCAGCACGGTGGCCTGCAGCTTCAAACTGTTGCCATGTTGGGCTTTCGGGACTTGGCCTCAGGCTCCCCCAATCCTGCGCCAGAATCCGAGCTTTCTTCAAATTGGATGCCCTCCTGTTGGAGAACGTCAAATAGCGGTCTGCATAGCGAAAAGCAAGTTCATCTGCTGGCGTCCAATCGCTGACCCACGAGGTCATGTCGCCAGTGCCATTGGGCTCTTCAGGGAGGTCGAACTTCTTTGGGGACAAGTGCAAATCTGAGGCCAACGCCTTTACCCACCCCCAAAACTGCTCATGGTGGGCAACCTCGAACTCGTCTGAGAGGAGCGTGTCCGACAGAACAACATGAAGACCTGTTCCACTCAAGGAGCTCTCTGCCGCCAGCTGCAAAGCAAACCTAGCCAACTCGAGCTGTAGATCCAATTGAGTTTGTGTTGTGGCTTCCGGCTGCTGCTGCTTTGCGAAGACCCGGCCCACCCTCGCGAATGCATCCAAGGTGAACACAATAACCTTTGTCATTCCGGAGGCTTTATCACCACTGCTGCACTTGGACAGAATGCCCCGAATGCAACCTCAGACAGTGACCAGTTCGCAAGTATAGCAACCAGAAACTGCTCAGAAAGAACGTCACAACATAGGGTCTCTACACGGTTTCGGGAACAAAAACCATCCAAGCAAAACACCAATCTCTCCACGAAGCTTTTGGCCAAATCCACCAGCGTTCTCGCATCGGTCTGGGGCTGCAGATTCGGACATTGACGCACAATGACGATGCAGTCAAGGATGTGCTGTGGCGACACGACAACATACTCGAAGCTGAAGTGCGCCAAGCTTGCTTGAATGAAGCTCGTGCAAAGGCTGGCGAGATCACTTTGTGGAGATTCCGCATCCAGAAGTCCTCTGAGGAGCGCAGACAATCCACCCAAGGCACCCCGGCACATGCAGTCAGATGCCTGAAGCATCTCTGAAGATTTGGTCTTGATGGTTTCGAGGATGGCGTCGAGAATGATGTTGAGGAACTTGAGACTAACCGTCTGTCCAGTGCTCAAGACCACGCATTCCCTAATGTTGACAGGCAGCATCTCCAGAATGCTGGCAATGTCAAGAACCATGCTCGAATGCCGCCGGAGAAACCAGTAGACAAACAGAGGTTGTGCCTGACGTTCCCTCGCGATGCACCGGGCGGTGTTCACAAGTAGGCTTTTAACTAGATGCAGTGTGTCAGAGCTCCACTTGTGCGTAGTCGCTGGTGAAGACATCATGCCGGCCATAGCATCAAGACAGAACAGCGGAAACACCTCATCGCTGCTCAGTGGCAAGAGCAGATGCTCAAAGTTTGCTTGGCTCCTGGCAAGGGCATGTATGCCGGACTCGATCTGTGACCACGCAGCTTCCAGAGCACTTTCGGTTGCAAGCCGCCCATGCTCCGATTCTTGCTGCGTGAGGCTGGGACCACCCACCAGCTTGGAAAGAAGGGCATCAACATCCCGGAAGAACGGAACATGACAAAATCTGGGGGAAATCGCCGATTCCGTGAGAGGGCGCACAAGTTTGCGAGTTCCCAGCCACCGGATGGCAGCTTCCACACATGCCTCGAGGCCTTCTGTCTGCTCGTGCTCCTTCAGCAACTCAAGCGGGAAGGATGTCACAAAGCGGTGCAAGAAGGACCGACAGACATCGTCAACGCGAGACACCACGGCATCCCACAGCTCACTAGACAAGGATGTCCTTGCCAGATCGGTCCAAGTTGAACACACATCTTTCAATCGTGCCCTGACACCATGGTCATGGTCGGCTAAATGCCTGCAGATCTGATCACGCAAGTGCTGCTTGATGACACCATTCTTCCAGTTCAGAAGTTGGGCCAGCATGCGTTTGCGTTCCGGGGCACTCCTAAGCAGGGACTGCTTGTGAAATCCAGCAGCCTCAAGACGAGTTTGTGCCTCTGCAGAAGCCTGCCAGAAGAAGCGCTGGAGTGCCCCAGCTCGGGAAAGCCTCGAGACCTGGTCGCAAATTCGCGATTCCAACATCGCGTCAGGGCACAAGCTGGTTCCCGGCAAGGGCTCTTGTCCAAAAGGCCAAATCTGAACTCCATGATGTACCTGAGCAGCCCTTAATACCTCCATGTCCTGGTTCTCGCGGCTAGTCCGCGAACTTTCATAGCATGGAGGTTCCATATAATGAAAATCCCATTGGTTCAGCCACAACGATGCACAGGCCCCTGCACGAAGTGGAGTTGCAGCAGGGCCAAGTTGACGGTATGTTGACGCGGGTGAGACAATGCACAGGACCATGACGTTCTCACCATGGCTCTCCATGTAACTATCAATGGCTTCGCGCACATAGGACAGCTGTGCGTGCTGGTAGTGCCGGGACTGCGCATTTACCAATACTGTCAGCAAATGAAGGGTGTCTCTGTTCGACGCAGCCGGCGCAGTGCCGAACAAGGTGGTTTCAGAATCAGGCGGGTCATTCTGTGCCTCTGCCTCTTTAGCAAAGGCGCTCCGAATCCTGTCCTTACACTCCTGACGTTTCCGGACAGTCGACAGATCCAAAACACCAATCTTGCAGTCTGGATCGACAGGTTGGAGAGCCGTCGTCAAGAAGCTTTTCATGCTGTCTGCAAGGCACACTGTCCCACAGTGTTCTGTGTAAACGACCACCTTGGTACCTGCACCACGATTGAGCGTAGTTCTCAAGAATCGTGACCAGGAGAGGTGCTCTTGGATGCAGAACGAGTAGTGGCCTAGATGCACATCTGCATGCTCGGAGAGACAGTCCATGACGGATTGCTTGGTGAGGCAAGTCTGCGTCAAGAACAGCTTGAGCATGCATTCGACCAGATCTTGGTTGGATTCGGGGACAAACGTTGGAGGAAGCATCCGGCTTCCATCTACTGCTCCGGTGTCTGATGGGATCACATCCCCAGCAAGCTGGTTGAGCAGCATAGCCAAATCTCCATACCGGGTCCCGTCTCTAGACATCAGGCGATCCAGGAAATGGATCATAATGGACGGAACAGTATTTTTCGGAACAAAGCCGCAAAAAGTTGATCGTCCTCCCAGCTTGTGGGCCCATGCCTCAGTCGTGGCAACTGCGGCCAGAACGTCTCGCTCAAAGGCCTGATGCTCGTCTCGAGGCACAGGGGCCTCCTGCAATCTCCTTTCCAGAACGTGGGAGATGTCGAGGACGAACTTTTCAGTACGATTCCTCAACGCCATCTCGGTGTTCTCAATCGTTTCTGGCACCTCGAGGACGAACTTGAAGAGAGGATGTACACGCTTCTGATCTGATGAAGCTCCAACTGACACTCGCGCTGTGTAGGTTGGGTACCCCTGTTCCGGCTGAAGCCCCCGGATGAACTGCCGGTTCCAGACATCATAGAAAGACTCAGAGATGCGTGAAAAGTTCTCACACACTGCAATGCCTGGCATCCCCATTTGCTGACAAACCTGCATCACCATGTCCGTGTCTGCCTTGCGGCTCGCTGTGTCTTCCTAAGGCTGGCAGGGCTCAACTCTTTCAAGCTATCTTAGAAACCAACAACTACTTGCATAATGCTTGTCTAGGAGCGACTTCCTCCGGAAAGGTGGAAAGCGATAGGCGAGTCAACTGAAGAGCTGTCCCATCACCAGAGTCCTGGACAGCAACTCGCTTATGCATCAGCTTGGAAACGCAGAGCTCTCGGGCTTTGCTGCTCGGAACTTGGCCCTGGGACCGTCGCGCCTGCGTGTCGGGCTGCACTTGGCCAGCCAAGGCAAACTTCCCTCTGAAAGCCTCCAGAAGCATAGCAAGACCTGCATTGCTGCCGGTGGTGTCAATGAGCATAATGTACCTGGTCGTGACACGAAATCTTTCCAATCAAGTTGCGTATTCTTGGATCCTCCCTATCGAGGCCCGATGCATGCTCCTGTGCGTAGAAATCCCGCCTGAACCATGTGTGGTTGAGGTCCTCCTGAGGCTCGATATGGTCCTCCAAGCTCTCAAGCAACGCATCCAGAACGGAGACGCCCTGCAGGCAACGCAAGCAATGAGCAGACGGGGAGCACCAGCTAAGACACTTCAGCGACAGCCGTTCAGGTGACATCCCCTGCCTCCTTGCCACAGCGAGCACGGAAGGCACGAGACTCTGTGATTGCGGGGCAAGATTCAGACAAGGCAGTTCTAATTCGCTGGAAAGCCCATTGCACAATACTGTTGGTCTCATCGAGCGGGAGACCCCCAAAGTTCCGAAGCACACCCTTGGTCAGAATGAAAGAGGCTTCTTCGAAATCGTTCAGCAGCAGCCTCTGCTCAAACTTGTGCTGCTTTAAGTAGAAAAGCAGCCAGAGCATATCTCGAAGATGAAACGTCTGCTTCCACTTCGGAGTGTTCTGTATCCCCTGCAACTTGCCAGACACCGTGTCCTTGTCCATGTCCCAAACTTGCAAGAAGCCCTTGATAAGATCTTCCCGAATTTGAAGGATTCTGGGGGCAGCCTGGTCCGCCGTTGCACTTCCAAAGAGTGCGCCCTTGACCAGGTATTGCAGATCGCCTGACGTGATCTCGAACTGCCGCATCTGCAGCACTCGGTTGGTTTTCGCGGCATCCAGTTGCTGGTTCGACAGAAGAGTGGTAGTGGTCTCCTCCAGGGCACTGTGCAAGCATTTGAGCGCAACGCCATCGATCAATCCAGCCTGGCACAGCAGAGGGAAGCAAAGCATGCAACTGCAAGCACTGTTACACATTCCGCTACAATGTCAGTCGAGCCTGGGCTGATCGCATGCAGGGGCAAAGTGCGGTGAGTGCAGTGCAGGCTCTGGGTTTGGGTTTGCTCCTACAGCTACGTGACAGAGTTAATGGGGCCTCGTCGATGACCACCAACACCTTGCTCATGATACTAGCATCTTTCCTCCTGCCATCCTCACTTGCCTCCTTGGCCAGGGCTTTCTTCTTGCGTGTTGCATCACCATAAGTCTGCATCAGCTGCTCTGGTGTTGACAGGGCACTGCCCTGGAAGTGGAACACTCGTGCAAGGTGCGGCCGTGCTTTGAAGAACTCCGTGGCCCGGCTGCTTCTGGAAATTTGCAGCACTTGCGTCGCCATGGTCATTGAAAATGTTTTCGAATGGCCTGGGGGTGCGACAATCATGTTCGGGATGTTGGCATCCAAACCCAAGATGTTGATGAAGAGGTTCTGATTCAGCAAGCGATAAAGGATCACGTGATCGGTGTGCCGCCTGTGATCATGACCGGTGACTGGCTCCAAATGACGCAGCTCCTCTGAAGCCTGCTCTGAAATGCAGTGCGTGAAAGCATCGAAAGCATTCTCGACGTGCTGGGCGAACATGATGGCACTGTCCTCTTCGGGCTTCAACAAATGGAAATGCTTTTGCAATGCCTGTGTCAAATCCCTGCGCTGCCCTCGTTTTGGCAAGCGGAAGCTATAGTTGGTCACCAGAGCAAACACTGCACACCATTGCAGCTTCACCTCATCCGATGCATCCCTGAGGAAGTCGAACCCTTGGAATGTGACATCATGGCCAGGATGTGTTGCAACACTCTGCGGTGAAGGCTCAGAAACCACCTCTTGGAGGAACCACAACAAAATCTTGCGCCATCGGAGTAAATCCCGGATACTGACTGTCTGACATTCGGTCATTGCCTCAACTTCAACTTTGCCTCTGTCTTGCTCGATAAGGTTTCGAATGTACCTGTGCACATCAAGAATGGCTCCCACGGCTCGGATCCTGAGGTCCACCGGCAACCCTGTGATGCCGGCACAGCCGATAGGATCTTCGTCTTTGCTGGCAGGCGACAGCATGCTGTACAAGAACTTCTTCTCCATGGACTCATCGAGCTCGCCGAAATCGATCAGCAGGCTTTGCATTGGCTTGGGGAGCTTGAAGACCGTGAAGATGGTCTTGTCCGCTTTTAGAGGGTTGATTGCCCCAACACAAAACAAGTTCGGCGGAATAGGCCTTCCGTCGAACAGCCTGTCGACGAAAAGAGATGTCAAATGGGGCAATAGTGTTTTGCTGGTGTTCAGCTCGTCCAAGAAAAGGATGACCGGTTGAAAGCTTCCTGTGGACTTGTCCTGCCAGGGAAGGCCTGACCACTTGAATGCGACTTTCGCCATCAAGATATCCAGAGACGGATCCGTCTCTGCTGCCGAGACACTTCCGTCACGAAGGCAATGCAGGCAGCGGCCATTCTGGATGATGTTCCCATTTGGCAAGACTTGGAAAACAGAATTCGAATCTGGCTCTTGGCAAAAGTGCAGACCACCATCCGCCCGGACTGACAAATAGCACCCGTCATAAGACTGCAACGTCTTGCCAGGCTGATCCCTAACACAAGATTCTCGCAGAGCAAGTTGCTGGAAGCAGTCGGTCGGAAGGGCATCTCTCCGAAGGGAGCCCTTGGAAATGCCGACGACCTTTCCAGACCGGGTCTGCAATGTCACGGCGGTGGTTTGTCCACGGGACTGCCAAAACTCAGCCGCATGAATGGCTTTTGCCACCACATTCGTGAAAGCTTCAAAAGAAATTCCCGGATGGATGAGCTCCTGGAAAAACGTCGCTGCAGGCTCTGCCCACTCGTAGTCTTGACAGCATTGGGCGACCTGTCTAATCCACGCTGTCCCCTGAGGCTTTGTCTCCAGCAGCTTGTCGATTGAATGAGAAAGACGCTCAGCTGGTTCATCTCTTGCGGCATCGTCCACCGCCACGGGAGTTGGCAAAGCCTGGTTGAGGCCTCTCATCTCTCCCAGGATCTTGCACAGAGGAGGAACCCAATCGGAAACAGCATTATCTTGCGATGGCTGCGTTGCAGAACTCTGCACCAGGTTGGACAAGCTCTCATGCATTGACCCTTTCCACTCCAGTTGCTCTTGAAATTCAGGTGGTACTGCTGCTTTGAGCTGTGCAATGCGGTCGGCCCGCAGTGGGTGCACAAGACCCACCAACCGTGAAGAGAAAAAGTGTTGCAACAGCTCCACTATTTCGGTCTTCCCGACTCCTGTGTGACCCTGCAGAATGACATTCATTCCAAGTTGCATTCGATGCTTGAGCACAACTGCCTTCGCGACAACATCAGCCGTCAGCACAAATCCGCGGCCTTCGACAATCTGACGAACCTCGCTTGTGTCCGGAAGGTCCAGCGCAATCCCCAGCTTTTGTCGCAACCGACACTTATGCTCCACATAATTGTTGAACGCAGGTTGTCCCAAAAGACTGACATGTATCGGAAAGTCTGCCGGCAGCAACGTCTGATGAGGCTGTCGCAACCGCCCGTTGTTCAATCTGATCTCGAAGCCAGTACCCTCATCTGTCATTGACAGCGGCCATATGGTTTTGGCCAGCTTGGACTGCCAGTCATCAGAATATGGCAATGGAGTCTGCTGACCCTCGATGCTGTCAGCGAAGTCGATGGTCCGTTCCCTCTCTTTTCCTGGCTCATCACACTTGGCAATTGCATGCCTTATGTTGCCACACTCGTCCGCGTTAAGAAACATGTACTCCTCACTGACAGATCGTCTATCCATTCCATCCACATCAGGAAGGACGTTCAGCAGGCAAAAGGCCAAAGGCTGTCTGAAAAGGCCATTCTTCAGTTTGTAAGAAGATGCTGGACTGGCATCGTGCTGCAGGCCAAGAACGCTTGCCAAGCATTCCTTGGTAATCGCCTGGACTTTCCAAGCATCCTTCTTCTCACTGAGCTGGCAAAACAGTTCTAGGCGTAGAGCCAGTAAGCGGCAAATCTGTGCCATGTGACGATAGTCGGTGAGTTCTAGCTGGCTTTCCATGGACGATTCCTCGTTTGGAAAGCCCATGCCAAAATGTTGGCATAAGTCCCTGATTGCGCGAGGAATCTCGGTGTCTGAGAGGTCTCGTATCTGGGAAGGAAACTTGCCTTTCCGAATTCCGGAGAAGGGCTCACGCTGCCCTTCGCGAAAATCCAGGCAACAGTGGCTTGCGACCGAGATCGATTTTCTCATCAAGTCCGCGGTTTGGTCCTTGCCCTCGGTGGTCGTAGGCTGCAGGGCCCCGCTTGTTTCAGCAGCGACCAGGTCGAGCTGGAAGGGTGCCACAGCATCGCTCAGTTCACCAAAGAGATCGCACGGCGCAAGAGCGAAGCTGTCTGCTTTGCAGGCATCACTGACCTCGATTTGAAGTGTCAAGTGGATGTGCGAAGGCTTCAACCACATCTTGCCAGTACCTTCAGCAACAAGAATGCCCTGGATCATGGACATCAACATGTTGGACAGCTTCACAACTCGTAGGTCATCGTGCAACACCAAGTGCAAACAGAAGTGATGGGTGCTCTGTGTCGCGGCATCCTCCTCGAGATTCGAAAGCACGCGCATCAGCTGGGAGACGGAGAAGTTTTCATCAACCATGACACGGCTGTATGCAATCTCTGCGTTTGACTCTGACCGCTTCTGCATCGCACGCTGAGACTTGCCGCTTCCTGGCTTGCCCCTGTACTCCTCCACTGCATTAAGAAATATCGGCCGTGGGAAAGCCTGCAACGCATCCTTTATGCTGCCATCGCTCTCAGGAAGATCTTCCAAGCTGCGGGTCAAAAGCACCCTTGCCAGGTCTGATTCGTGCGCTGCTGAGCTGAAGATGTATATCGTCTTCACTTTCCTTGCATTTCCGATCTCGCTTTCGTACTTGCCTCAGATAGACATGGCTTGCGATATTGATCTCATCAGGACTGATTAAATTGCTTTTGAAGTCTCAAAAATCATTCCCGAAATCTTTCCAGGGCGCTCAACTCCTGAAGAACTGTGCCGGGGAGATGATCCGGATCGAAAATGAACACGGGGCGGTCCTGCAACGGAGCCTGCAGGAGTGGCTGCAGATAATCATCCCAGGATGTCACGTCAGTGCACTGGAAGAGCTGTGACATATGAGGCCACTGAAGCTCATTGTTGCTGAGGAGGATCCATGCAGCAACAAGAGCTGGACTTGGGCCGGCATCTGTGCCTGGCAGTTGGAAGCACTTCATGCCACGCCTTGGTGCGAGGGGTGAAACGAAGAAAATGTGCTGCTTTCAGGGTTGCATCGAGTTGGAATCAAAGAGGCTGAAACAAAAACAAAAACTGCTCATGACTCCATGTCTCTCAACAGGCTCGCCATTCCACGAAACGCTAACATTGTGCAGCTCGGCCAACCCGTCCACGCAGGCAGCCAATGCACCCAGTGCCTGCAAGAAGGCATTGCTGCCCCAAATGCACCCACTTGAAACCCGAACTGACCGGCCTCCTCCATGCTCCTCCCTGCTTCCTCGATGTCTGGCATAGCAGCATAGCACTCATAAGGTTGACAGGCAGCTGCCAGTCTTGCCGCATCGTGCCCATTTTGCGAGCCAGTCTGTCCACCAGGTCCGTGTCCATCTGGAACCAGTGATCATAGGCTACATCAGGAAAACAATGCCAAAGCAGCCGGTGCACAGCAACGATTCGTTCCTCCTCAGCCTGGTCTTGTCGTTCAGCCAAAATCACCTGAAGCATCTTGCAAGGATCCAGGAGGCGTAGCCTGGGACAGGTCTCTTGAAAGGCCTTGGTCTTTGATTTCCACGCATCGTGCAGGTAGTGCAGGAAGCGACTGCATGGTCGGCATACTTGCTCCAAGTGCCGGCTGGGGTCGACATGGTGAAGCCCCCAACCATCAGCTAGGATCCTGAGCTAAACACAACACAAGCACCTTCACGCGGGAACAGTTCCAAGTGCACCAAGGCGGATCAGCCAAACAACGCCAGGAGTCAGCTGCAGGTTGTCAACATCGGCTAGATGGGGCTCACCGCTCGCATGAAGGCTCTCCATCAACTCAAGCATCCGGCGCGTCTGGTTATAGAGCCTCGCAAGCCAACTGCTCAGACCGTAGTAGCACGCGAAACCATGCTACAGTGGGTTGTAATGCGATGAATGACTGAGCGGACCAAGGAACTCTGTCATGAACCGCACGAGGACGGCCTGAAACGGCGAGACCTCGCTTTTAGCCGGAGACTGACTGCAAAACCTCTCGCCCACAAAACAAATCAGAAAGGCACTAGCCACTAGCACACGGGTGCTGAACGAAACCTGAACTCGACAGCAACTCTCAGGGTTTTCGCCGCGTGACTGGTGCGTCATCTCTCCCACGAGCCGCTTCTCTTTGCACGGAGGGTGTAAAGAGAGCAGCGCGCCGCTCCAGCTCACGAAGATGTGCTCTGTCCAGACACTCCTGCCACGACATCATCAAAGCGGACATGCAGGATCCCCGAATTATGCCATTGAGCACAACTTCGAAACTTGAGGTTGCTCCTGCCCATAGATCAGCCGAACCGTCATTTTGCCATCTTGGCCACGGAAAAACTGCAACGTTCCTGAATCCTTGATCTTCTTCAATTGCGCGGCAAAGGACTTCAGCTGTTCAGCTACGTCCGCCCCTGCTCTCCTGGCCGCATAGCTCTCACTGATGCTGTCGTAATCCAAGATGACGCGTCGAAGTGCGCCGCGCATTTGAGTGACAGCACCTGCCGTTTGCATGCTGGAATTGAGGCGTGCTGCGAAGTCCTGAAAACTGTCGGCTTGTAGCCAGGCATGAGTCTTGTCGTAGAGCTTCCTCAGTGCTTCCAGCCAAGATACGTCTTGGTCCTGCTGGCCCACGTACCCCAAGAACATCTCCATGCCGTCACTCTTCAGCAATTGGACTACGAAGTTGGGCTGCCCCTCCTGAGCTCCAGTCGGCCAAGCCACCTCCCGCAATAGCTCCATAAACAGCGATGAGTCAAATGCTCCCAGCAGTTGGCCCAAAGTGTCTGAACATTTGTCAAGGTGGGCACCTCGGCAGTTCACGTGCATGGGAACTACTTCACATGTCCAACCCCCAACTTGCCGACATACTACTGCCTGCTGCCGTCGAGTCTCGAAGTTCCTCGGCAACCATGTGGAGCTCAAGCCTGTCCAGCACCGCAATCACCTCCGTGAGCCGATCTCGCAAAACACGACTGTTGGCTTCACGCAGACCCCGCTCCCACATGGAAGAGCTTTCGCAGAAGCGGCGTAAGAGTTGATCGGACCCTTCCTCCTGAACCAGCAATCTTAGGTTGGGCGACTGATTCTGTCCCATGGGAGTTGCATCTTGCGAGCAGCCCAATGTAAGCTCCATCTCGACACATCTTCTTGCATTCTCCATCAACCTTTGCAGCTTTGCGACTTCACGGTGAGCATTGAAGCCGTGTGTGTTGATTGTCGCCTGATAGATCTCAGTGCCGAGGCCTTCATGGCAAGCCTGGTCCATAAGCAGTAGCTTGTCCAGGAATACGTTCAAGCCTCCTGTTCCTGCCTCCAGGTGCCATTTCAGCAGCCAGGAAGGCTCTGTGCACGGAATCTGGAGCTCCTCCTCCAGAAAAGGTTTCAGCATGGCGACCTGCCAAGCATGCAGGGATAGCTTGCTGGAGGCATTTTGGAGGCTGCTCTTGAATGCACGAAGCGTCAGGTTATCTTCCCCGACGTGGGCTGCACAGCCACCTGGCTGCATTGCGCACCAGCTGGCAACCGTGGAAAAGCACTCCTTTAGCTCCGACGCTGCGGACCATTCCGCTTCCAGCAAAAGCAAATCCTTCAGAAGATGCTCCTTCAGTTCGTCTTCTGCACGGTCCTTGCACATGTCTACAGCGCGAGCATCCGGCGATTTGCCTTGCCTCTTCGCCTGTACACCCATGTACAACAGCTCCACGGCCGCCTCCACCTCGCACAACATGTTCTGCAAGTTCTCTCGCGAGATCTCTCTGTCCTGAACTCTCTGCCAAAAGCTTCCGAGGAGAGGAAACACACATTTCTTCATGGTGTCCCCGAAAGTCTCCTTGAGCTTGGCATCTGTCTTCCAAATTCGCGTGATGAGCTCCACGAGAGGTCTTTCGATGTTCAACTTGCCACCAGGCTCAATCAGCTTTGGGATACACAGCACGGCCTGCCGGGCAAGCACTTCCAAAATCTCGCTCGGATCCGATGCATATCTCTCCACGATGTTTTTCAAAACCCTCCCATGATGTGGATCACGCCAGTACTGGTCAGGGCCGAAGGACTGCCTTGCCACATCCTCCAAATAAGAGCGTGCGGGAGGCGTCAGCGTCGTACCCCGTACCAGGGAGGAGCTTTCGAGCAGAGGAGCGTCTGCGGTGTCAGAGCCCAGTGATTCACATAGCTGATTCGCTAGCTGTGACTTGAATTGCTGCCACTGGGGCCGTTTGGCGTCATAGCGGCAAGGGCACTTGGTGATGAGACGCGCAGCCTCCAGCACTCCCAGCCTGCAGCTCAGCTCACTGAGAAGTGGGACCATCTTGCTTTCTTCATCAGCTTGCAGCTTGCCGCTGTCCTCGTTAAGGATGCGCAGGTGCTCCTCAAGCTGGGGACCTGAATGGCCGCAGCTTGACTGGAACAACTACGTAAATATGGATCTTAAACAACCGTCGACTGCCACTTCTGTTTGCTGACAATTCAGGCCCCGACGGCTGTAGCTTCTATCAATCGCTGAGCTCTGCTTAACAAGGCTCAACACGTCCATGACTTTCCACCTGTACCTTGGACGCACTGCTCTCATGAGGGCAGCAGGAATGTCGTGAGGCTTCCAGTTTCGAGGATCCTTGCACATGTTCTCGAGAAAAACTTCCAGAGGCTGTAGTAAAGCATCGTGTCGCACGAAACTCTTCAACCAAGAAAAGAATAACACGACTTCATCTATCGCCGCGCAGGCCCAACTCGTCGACCAGCTGTACATCTTCAAGTTGTCTGGATGGCGAACACACACTTTCTCTTGTAGAAGGAAATCAAGCAAGTCCGAGTCCACGAGCCAAGTTGACTCGCAGCAGAAAGTCAGCAATGTCTGCATTCTCATCTCCCAGAAATATGGGCCCTTCAGATTGGTTGACCAAGCACATTTTGATGATGCTAATTTCTTGCCAAGCTCGGAATTGTGTTTGATTGGTCGAGCCGGTCGAGCCTTCTGCCGTGAACCCTGCCATACCAGTTTCGCGAAGTCACCAAGACGGCTCAAAGCTTCTTCTCCCTCCAAACAAAAATGTTTAGTGTTGTCGGACTCAAAAAGCTTCGACCAGCCAAAAACACCGCAAACCTTTGCCAGGAATTGCAACTCGTCTTCCTGCTGACCGTCCATCAGTACAACCACTTCATTGACGAACGAAGGCAAAGATGCTGGAAGAAATGCCTTCTCAGCCTTACCTCCAGCCGCCAGTGTCGCTGCCAGAAAGGAAGAGGAGAAAATCAATCGAGCGTGAAGATGTCCCAGCAAATCCGGGCAGAACTGCCCCAGTTCACCACTGATGCAGCTCAGAAATTCCACGGCCCACTCCTTGACATGCTCTTCTGCGAACCTTTTGCCTAACATCGGCCATTCGGGATGCTCCCACACGCTGAAGTGATCAAGCATGCAAGCCTTAGCAGCATCAAGAAGCTTCGAGGAATTGCCATTCAGCATGTGACTGGTTTGCGCCAGCTTTGTCATCAGAATCAAAGCACATGGTTGGGAGGCTGTCGTCTTCTTGCTCTGGTTCGACTCGAAATAGTGCGCAAGAAGGTTGCTCATGTCCCGAATGAGCTGCTCTGTGAAGTTCGAGCAAATGTGGTGCTTCACTTTCCACTTATTGAACTCATCGAACCATAGGAAGGCAGCCCGTAGCAACTTCAGTGCGTACAACCTAAGCCGAGGACAGGGAACACAATAATCAAAAACTAAGTACCTTGTGTATCCCCATGGAGACCATAGGACCAACTCAACCCTTCGAAAGTGTCAAGAATGTGCCAAGCAGATTCGGGCAGCGTGGAAGAATCAGCCTTCAGAGCGCTGAAAAGAGCGTGATCCGTCGAAAGCAAAGTGCGACAAGTGCAAAGCTTCTCCAGGATTTGCGCACTGGCCGGATTGACCTTGGTGATATCCTCTGGCAGCAGACGGAGCAGCTCCTTGGTTTCAGAGGTGAACGTATGGTCCAGCTGCACTTTGTGTTTGTGTTTTTCCAGCTCCATCTCCACGAACTGAGCCTGTTGACAAATCCTGTCACGCACTGCACCTTCGGTTTCTTGGGAAACCTGTACTGAAGGCGAGAACACTGCAGATCCTGTCATAGAAGCTGCTGAGCCTGCACATTCCTTCCATGCGTGAAAGGGTGGCGGGGTCACGTTGCCGCTGAGCTCCACCGTAGTCATGCCTAGCGAAGCTGTGTCAAACTCGTCCAGCCTCCGTACCCCTTCCAAGACTGCATCCCATGTGCATTGACCACAACTTGGCAACTCAAGCGAAACAAACTCTCCGTTGTGGTACTTTAAAAATTCGGAGATCACCTGTGCATATGCTGTTGCCCATGCCTCCTCATTGTCTTTGGGCCTCCTGCAATGGAGACGATCTCCACAACGACGGGGCTTGGATTCGTCCGACTGATGCGGTTCCCGGCCACACTCACGCCTGGCCTCTGGGTCCGTCTGTTCGAATACAACAACGAGTCGCCGACCACTGCCAGTTGATGATCCTCGTAAACGGAACACCTGCAATGCACGCTGCAGCCCCTCCAGCATTTTCACATCCGGAAGGGCCATGTTTCCTGCCACCACAGCTCGCAGCTCCGTGCGACTGGGCGCTCTTGATCTGGACGTTGATTGAAATCGCTGAAAGTTTGATAGCCAAAATGGGGCTGCACCCATGGTTGACATGTGCAAACGCATCTACCTTGTCGATTATCACACAGCTCGGTGCGGTTCGGGCTGCATAAATACGTGCACTTACACGAAACTATTCAGATCAGTTGAACTCCCACACTCGACATAGCCACATAATTCATTCCATGAAAAAAATTTGCAAGCTCAGTTTCCGGGCCGGGCTAAGGGTCTCCATAGGTTGGTCGCCCAATCCCGGGCCTTGCTACTGTGATACAAAAGTAGTGGGGAGTGGGGAGGCCCACGGCTTTGCGAGGAGATCGCTCAGAAGAGGGGCCTGCGCCCTACTAGTGGAGCGGCAAAAGAACAAGGTGGTCGCGAAGGCGCGGGCAGCGGCAAATGGCCGACCGTCTCGATGCCGAGCATGACGATGCCGCAGTGGTGCAAATTTCTGGGTATTTGCGCTCCTCAACATGTCCAATTCAGATGACGAGTTGCTGCAAACATCTGCCCACGCGGCCGAGTAATTGATCTGCGGGAAATACCCAGCTGTGAGTAAGCCGCAATCTCCGAAGCTCGGCAGCAAGAAAACGCGTGGCGAGTAGTAGTCCAGTCGTCGCCCTAGCCGTGACCTTGGGCGCTTCAATGTTTGGAACAGGTCGGCCTCAGCTTCGAAACGGTCAGCGGCTGGGCCTCTACTTAAATCATAAGGACCAATGGGCATCGCCGAAGCTACGAACCCAGGCTGAACCGTGAGGAATGGCAACACCAAACGTCCAGGCCGAGGACATTTATCCCGGGTGTGCGGCTCCACCTGCCGCGTTGTAGAATTGTGTCTTGCCCAGTTTGCGGCCCCGGCGCTTCGTTCAACCTGCGACAACGCGCTGCAGCCGTGCTGCGCGTTCCGGCACGGCGATGCACGGCGACGATGTAGAGGTCGCTTCAAAAGCCGCAAGGCGCTCATCCGGCCGTAGAAAATCCGCGCCGCATCGCGCTGCCACTAGCGAGTCGTGCTGGCCAAGCACATCAACCCTCGGTGCGAGAGGGTCGTGTTGCTCGACGCCGAACACTTTTTGTACACCGGGAGCGAGAAGGAAGTTTTTGTTTTTTTACTCGCCTCTTTGCCGCCTGCGGGTGGCTGTCTCATTGTCCTGCCACGGGCAGGCTTACTACCGCAGCTACGGCTACGTAGGGTCGGCGCCAAAAAAAAACGCTACGAGCACAACGCAAGCGACTGGGGCTGCACTCGAGCTGGCGGAGCTAGCGGCGACCGTGCGCGGGGGAGGTGCTGCACGAAGCGGCCAGCCTCGCCATTCTAGCGCCCGCCGACCTCCGAGCCCAGAACCACGGCTTGCGGTCCTCCGCTGCAAAGCTCCGGGTATGTGCACCACTTGCGGCGCTCGGCCACCCTGAGAACGGCCCCGTCCGTATCAGCGGCTCCCGGCGGTGGATGCCCCGTCCGTGCGAGAAGTGAGACGAGGGTCGCACACAGAGCGCCTGCCCGCGGCGTGGCGCCGTAAACGACTAAGTCGAGCCGTTTGCGGTCGTCAGCTAGCACTGCCCGCGCGGTAGTGTGCACAAACCATTGTTGAGGGATGACTTGCCCATCAGATCCGACCGGCTCGCGGGTTACACGCACCCAGGCCCGCTCCACGATTTTTTGCGCGCGTGGCAAACACTGGGACGTATTGAGCTTACTACTCACTTTTTTCCGTTGGCTAGGACCTGAAAGGCTACACCGGTCACATGCATGTGGTCATGCTTTTCATGACGTGGTTCGTGGTACATGTACAACACTCAAGCATACTCAAGCTACAGCGTTTATACATGAGTACGCTTCGTAAACGCTTGCACGCCCCTTAAAGGCTGGAGCTCGAACAGCGTGAAACAATTTCCGGGTGGTGACGACGCAACGTCAGTGAGCAAAAGTTTTGAAGGTCGTTAGCGCTCAAAGGCGCTGAGGCCTGAACACGTGGGGACTTCCCTCGAAAGCTTGACCCTGAGAGAACGTCTATGCGATGGTACGCTCATGGCACAAATGGGCCGCACAGATTTGTAATGCATCAACGATTACGGCGAGGTTTGGCTTCCACGGTGTCAACTTCTGCCTTTGGGCACGCTCGGTCACAAACGAAGCCACAAGCTGTATCTCAGCCGCATCTTGCAACAAAGTGCGGAGGTCGGACTTGCTCATGTCCGCCATGCCTAAATCAGATACGCAGCGCTCTTTCAGCACAGCACCCAGATGTTTTGTCAGACAGTTGGCGGGATTCTGTTCCCTGGCAATTTTTCCAACCTTGATTGATTTCTGATGAACCAACTCTTGCACGCACAAGCCTGCAAGCTCGATGTGGCGCATCTTGCTCCCGGCACCTAGACGCTTGGCGGTTTGGAGAGCCGTGGTTGCATCTGTCCACAACCGGGGTTGGCCTATAGTTTCAAGCGGAAATCTTCTTCAGCCAACTGCTTGATGAACATGATGTCACGCGCCCTTCGGCTCAATGCGCGGGTCTCTGCTTCACCGGAAGACGAGGCGGGAGTGTCCGGCTGCGTTTGCGGATGAGCGATGACGACAGTGCCGGCGACATTGATCAGGCTACAATCGGTGGATCGACGAGTGTCAAGGCAACCTGCCCAATCCGAATCGGTGAAGCCATCAACGGTCAGAACGCCGGAGGCTTTGCTTTCGGCATTGAGACAAGTGACCCTCGCAAGGTCGGGTTTGTGTAGCAAATATTGCACCAACACAATCAACTTTGACCAGTCTACCTCCCGCGGCCCCCGCATGTGACGCGCTATATATTTCTTTTTTTTTTCAGCACCTTTTTCCGCCTGCCGGAAGGAGTCTTCTGGTGCCTCTGTCAGCTAGGACCTACTGGGCCGCCGCGCGGGGCTTGCCAGCGGACCCTCGCTAGCACCGCAGGGGCAAGCGGCTCGGGCCCTCAGGGGCGGCAAGCTGGAGGACTCCGTCGAGCGGCGGGCCTTCGCCGGCCTCCGGCTGCAGCGGATGCCGCCAGGCGCCGCCCAAGGCCGTACTGGCGACTGCCTGCTGCGCCGCAACAGAGCGTCTGCGGCCCGCCGCGCGTAAGTTCCGGGTACGCGGTGTGCTTGCGGCGCTCGGCTACTCGCAGACTCAGTATATACGGCCCCGTCCACGGCCGCTGCGCATGGCTGTGGGTGCCCCGAGCGTGTGAGTTTTTTTCGAACGCGGAAGGCTGTCAACTACTAGCCCATCAGCACCGACCTATCCTAATTCAGTTACTGGTGGCTTAAATTAAGCACGGCCCGAAGGAGGTTTGTGTACTACTTTCGTCCAAAACAGACGGTCTTGGCAACGTGGCTGCACTTTGCGGTAGAGGGACGTATTGTCCATCCACATTAACCCGGAGGAGCGGTGCGCTGCAGCGATGCTAGCCGGATTTGGCAATTGATAGAAGCTGTGTTGTATTTGTTCATGAGAAGGGGCTGCGTCCGAGAGCAAATGATCGATGCGTTCTGCAGCCTGCGTCATGCAGGATTCGGCCCAATGTATGCGGGGCCGACCTGGTCTGTTTGGAGCCCTGATGTGTCTGTAGGCATGTGATGTCATATAGGTACATTGACTTTCTAGTGATTCTGGGTGTCTATGAATGTGTCCGAAAAGTTGTAAGCGTTGTTGTGAGTATAACTGAGAGGGAGTGATGACCTTACGTGTTCGGTAGGAGAGAGATGCAAGATATTGGTTAGAGCATTGAGAGTCCGATGGGTCAAGGATTCTATGATAAAAAGAAGATTTAATTTTAAATATACGGCGCAGTGATTTGTAATGAATGGAATCCAGTTTACGAAGTTGTGGTGAAGTGAGTAGGACACTATCCATAGCGTAAGTGAGAATGGAGAGGACAATGCTCCGATATACTGTAAGTTTCCAACTTGGCGGTAGGCCCGCATGAGATAACAGTGGCCGAAGCAGCTTCGAGGCTGCGACTGCTTGTGAAATTCTATAAGAGGTGTTCTTACGATTGTTATTGGTCGGGTCCAAATAAACCCCTAAATATTTAACCTCATCGGAGAGGGGAACGGGGGTAGGGGGAGCGTGGACGCCGCCACAATATTTGCATTGACATGGGGTTTGCGCCATTGGCGCGTAGTATATGCGGTTTGGCGAATGTAGACGTAAGTGCTCACATTTGTCTTCATTAAGGAGGAGACCCCTCTTAAAACCATGGTGTTGGACGGAGTGTAGGAGGCGATTGAGTTGCTCCGCCGAACATGAGAGGAGAACAGTGTCGTCTGCATATTCTAAGTCCCAGAGAGGGGAGGGGACATGAAATACACCTGATATTTCTCCAAACCGACCCTGATATAGTCTTTCTCAACGTCGTGAAATAGGTGGGTTAGTACAAAGCCAAATAAATAGGGGGATAAAGGGCACCCCTGGCGGAGACCTTTAGTCTGTGTACGTACGGTAGATTTTTGAGAAGAGTCTCTGACCAAGAAAGTGGGGTTATCATAGAGAGCCATTATGACTTTACGTGTGTGATCCGGAACTCCCACATGGGTCATAGCCGCTTCGATAGCGGTAAAGGTAACGGAGTCGAATGCTTTGCTCCAATCTATAAATAGAGCGTGAAGAGGTGAGTTTTGCCTTTCATAGACCTCCAAGAGACGACGAATAATGTGAATAGGCTGTGTGGTAGAACGATTTTTGCGGAATCCAAATTGCCTGTCCCGAATTCTGGGATCCAGACCCTTTTCTAATTTCTGTTGTAGCATTGAGGCGAAGATCTTGTAGGATATATTAGTAAGGGAGATGGGGCGATAGTTGGAAAGGAGCCGGGCGTCTTTCTGCGTGTTTTTTAATATCATGACGACCTCTGAGAAGAGCCATGAAGGGGGTACTTTCGCTTCCTGATAACATTGGTTGTAGTGAAAAAGGAGATAGAGTTTCAATATGTAGGGGG